TTTAAATGGGAAGTATGATGTGCTTGTGATGTATCGTTGGAAAGGTTTCTTCATTCTCTATTCAAAAATGTAGTTGTTTTTAATATTATTGCATAAAATTGAAAATAAATTGGATAGGAAGGCGAGGATCGATAAAATGACCAGCAAGATCACCTGATCTTACACCACCAGACTTCTTTTTACGTGTACAATTATAAGGGAAATATTAAAAGATTATTAAAATAACATTGGTTATCGCTCTCGCTATCACTCTTTGTTGCACCCATAGACCATATATAGCGCACAAATTTGCACTGTATGAGCGAATGTGGCGCGCAATCGATACGAAATAAGAGACCCCGAATCAGAAAAGCACCCGTCACGTAATCGTGAGAAAGGAGCTGATTGGTTTTCAAAAATATTCATATACGTACCTTCTTCTTTTTCCACGAGCATTGTGTTATTTAAAATTAGATCGCGCATTGTGTCGGTCCCCTTCTCGCAGCCGAAGGTTAGCCGAGGTTCAGGTTAGACTATCACCTGGTCTTCGTCTTCTTACGGAAGTATAGAGAGATCTGCGATGCATCGGGCGAGGAGGAGAGCCGGATCGAACGGCGACGACGAGAGAATGAAATGTTGAAAAAAAAAAACTGCACTTCTTTTGTGCCGGTTGCGGAACGACAAATTTCCGTTGAACACGTACGAGCATTCGGTCAAAGACGGCGTTCGATGTTTATCTTTTGATGTATGCAAAAGGCGTGTAGCTGGGATGCGGATCGCAGGATATGATACGTTTCGATTGTCGATTCCAGATAACGCGTAACTCAATATCGGATACATTAGCGGATGAAACCGAGCTATTCACGATTGCCCCTTGAACGTCTTTTCAAAAAACGTTTAGCGCCGATTGATGTTGAAGCGATAACGAATCGTCCTGTAGATATTAAACGATAAAGTTGAGTAATCAGGAGATATTTGTAAAATAACGCTTATTTTGTAACAGTCGTTAATGTACCTCTATACTAAAAAATTGATCCCACCTCTATTAAACTTGTGTCGTACGAATTGTCAATAATGTCAATTTTGACACAAATGTATTATCCAACGGGTCTTATACACTGTGCTTTATTCCAGATCGCAACATAGGTTACATATGCTATAGGTGTGATAAAGACAACTTCCATTAGACACTTATAAAGTAAAAAGAAAGAGTGACATTTGTGTCATTGCAACTTTTCACTCTGACAACTGTCATCTCATTATTCTTTCTTTGTTCAACTCATGGAAACGACCATGTTGCGGTCTGAATTGAAGCAATCGGTATGTATAAAGTCAAACTCACATTATATTCGAGTATAATATTTCGCATATTATATAAAATGCGAAAAAAGTACCTAATTCATCGTAGAGTAGACTAATTACGAGAACGAATTATAATATTTGAAAAATAACGCTTATTTGGCAACATTCGTTACTGCACCTCTATACCAAAAACTATTTCCCACCTCTTCTGTCACACGATATGTCATTAAAGTCAATTTCAAAAGTTTTTGCCTATGTATCATCGAATGCATCTGAAAATCCCGCACATATTCGCGTACAATGCGAACGCATAAAGCAACATAAAAAAATAATAACCCCAATAATTACTCGACGGAGTTAAGTGATAATTAGGCCGCGAACTCGAATTTAGGGGTCAACGGTAAATTGCAGCGAGCTTTATGAATATTATTACCGTATTCGGAAAGGGTTATTAGGGACAGTGCCCGCATGGACATATGTTTGCTTGCAGATGGTCATTAATCGAAAATCTGTTTGTATTTTGCCGAAAATTTCGAATGGATTATCAATGGGTCGCCCGCTGATTGACTCGAGTAAATAACGATGTTAAAAGTAAATAATCGCCCCCAGATTTGCCTACTCGCACACGGGTGTGTTTCGTATACGCATAGGGGTCGTGAATGTGCAGTAAAGTTATGCATTTATAGCGCTGGAAAATATTTTTGTTTTATCGCGTTTTGATCAAAAAAATCGTTATTTGGTAAACACTCGCAAAAAAGGGGGTAGCGATAAAATCTCGCGCAAAAGGGTAGTTTTTTTTAAAGCGATAGAATGTATCAAACAATAGGGAGGGCGGTTGCGCCTAAACCGCGTTTTACGACTTTCCCTTTGAATGCATACCGATAATTCTGCGACATGACAATAAAAGTTTTGGTTAAAATATGTGCCATAAAGTTGTTTATAAGTAGGATTTATTCGCCCAAATAGGATTACGGAAAGGTAGATTTATGCACCCCAAAAAAATGTATAACTTTTACTGCTGTTTAAGTTGATGCGACGCGTGATGACATTAATCCATTCAATTACCCAAGCAATAAACTAATTCAAAAAAAAAATTAATATCTACTTAAAGAGTTTAATATTATGCACGTAAAAATTAATTCGTTGACGGAGGAGAGTCTATTAATCGATTGAGGTTGATGATTTATGGTTATTTTAAAACACACAATTACCTATTATGTAGGCGTAATTGCAGTAATTACTGTGGTGTTAACTTCTTTTTAATTTACGCCTACTTAACTTATCGTCGTCTCTAAAATGTAGCTATTTTACTTACCGGTAACATATCATTTCCATATTAAAATCACCGAGTGAAAAACGCGATTGCAAGTCACGCTATGGTGATTTCTCGCCATATGCCACCCTTAACGTACTTATTTTTGACTATTATATTACTATAGGTATACAGATAAGTGCAAATTTGTATGCATTTTGAGTGCAACAAATACAAATTTTATTAGTCTCATATAAAGGAAAAAGAAAGTGATATTGTAGGATTGCACTGTAACTCTTTGACATTAATGTATTATCGAACGCATCTTAAAGTCCCACAGTTATTCTCACTGTAACTCTAACAAATACATTAGCACTTTTATGTATATTTAATTACTTTTTAAAGCACTTTTTAATATGCTATATTTGTATACTATTAAATTAATACAAATTGTGACATTAACGGCTTCGAAAAAACGCCTCAAACTTTTATATACCTGTTAAAAATATTTAAAAGTCAGCTTAAATGCCTCCACCCTTCGCCTTGGTATTAACGAGGCTTTTTTTCTGTACAGTTACATCAACTCATTCACCTGTTGCCGCGCCATTAACTACTCAACAGCGGAAAATAAAACTCCATTCATCGCTAATTCGATTATAAAAGAAGTTAACAGGTGCCTCGATGAATTAATCACGAATTAATTGATTTTCGTACAAAGTTTATGCGCTCGAGCGCGACATTTGGGAAGCGACGCGTCTTCGCGGACGTCGATGGTCCTTTTCCCTATAGGAAAATAAAAGAATTAGTTTAGTAGGTTCCCTTCGGGGCCAGATATACTGTTGAGTCGAACAAAAACTACTCGTCCTTTTCAACTCCTTTTATTCCTGAACATTGGTTTTCGCAAAAAAGTAGCGATAATGAAAAAAGAGGAAAAAAGTTAGGTTATATTGACTTAACGTCAAAATTCTCAAAAATGACAAGAGGCCTTTTACTCATCGGTACTCTAAGGTGGCCTCTTGCTCGACATATACCAACGATTTGATAGCTAAATTGCACAATGGCATTTCGACAGCGGATAAATGAAACGCCCATTATGCACGGTTGAAGTTGCTCTTTATTATTTTCGAGATTGATACAATAGATTCGCCGGGGCACAATGCGAGCTTTTTCCCGACTTTGGCGTTGACATCGGACGGGCAACGAAAAGCTTTCTGGGGCATCGAAACGTTTTGTTGATGAGTTCGACAAACATTCGCGTTTTATTGAAGTTAAATACGGCGTGTTTGATGGTTTGACGCTGAATAAAAAAAAACAACCGACGTCCCTTAATTTCCCTTTATAATTTTTTTTATCGCCCGATATTCCGCCGCGTTTCCGTTGCGTTTATACCACACAAAAAACCATCTCGTATCGTAGGCGAATGTTTCCAACAAATTCTACTGGGTGTTTAGGGTTAAAATATTCAAATTACACCAATTTTTAAGGGTGAATAGTACCGTTTAAATGCAGCTGACGTACAACACAAACAGGTTCAAACACCTGCCCTCGAAACTTTCGCATCAAACACCAAAAAAAAAAAAAAACAAACCATTAAATTATTCATTCAAGCCCATTAACTGCCCCAAAACACAACCTACGCCTGTAATTAACGCGCGTTTAGTAACGGTCCCATTATCTTTCCGCAGGAACGATGCTCAAATGGACGGCGATGGGCCGTCGCGACGCCACCAGCGACGAACCCGCCACGCACCGACCGCCGCCGCCGGACTTCCCCGCGCCCGCGGCCTCCGCCTCCCGTTCGTCGACGCCCCGCGTCCAGCGGAAGCGCCGCTCCGGCGCGGCGCTGCGACGTCGACGCTCCAGCGCCGTCTCGACGCGCCGCAGCCTCGACGGCGACGCCGACAAGGAGAACCGGTTCACGTCGACGCCCATCAAGGCGGCCGACGGACTGGGCGCCGCGCTCCGCGACGTCGGAAACCTGACGCCCAAGCTCAAGGACAAGCATTGGGAATCGGTGAGTTTTGATGTTGAAATATTAGGGCGTATTTATAAAAAGAAGCGCAACTTTTTGCTTCGAAAAATGAAGGAATTGCTTCTAGAGAGCGTAAAAAGAGCTGAAGGAAGAGAGGTTTCGCTTCGAGGACTCTGCTGTAGCTTTAAAGCAAAAGGTTTTATGGTTTTAAAAGTGTTTTCCCTTATTTTTTGTCTCTACCTTTTGCTTCAAAGTAAATGCTTCATTTTTATAAATATGGACTAGTAACGCGCCAAGTTCTTCTACTTATTCTTCCTAAATCTGCTACAAATATTCACCGGTTGCTTCCGTTTCGTTTTCAAGTTTTTGGAGAACCACAGGGCGCTGTCGAACGGCAAGAGCAAGAGCAACAAGAAGAAATCGCTGGGGCCGTCGACGAGCCCGCGGTACCGCCACAAAAAGAAGAAGGACTGCATCGGCTCCCACAACGATTTCCTGACGCTGGACAGCCAGACGAGCAACTACTTCCGCCCCTTCGAGGCGGTCGATTCCCACATAGAAGGGCTGGAATCGTGCGCGTGCGCGAGGAAACCCGGCGCCCAAGGCGTGAAGAAGAAAATCGTGGACACGTACGCTCCTACATTGCCCACGTTCGCGTCTGAATACTCACCGTGTGCGCTGCGGACGACCCACCGGCTGGAGACGTTGAACAGGCACAGCTCGAAGAAGCTGCCGGCCAACGTGAACATCCTGGACGACCTGCCGCCGAACAAGAAGCAGAAAATCGACCACGTCAACGACTTCCTGCACCAGATCTCCTTCATCGCGTCGCCGGAGAACCACGGTTGCATCGCGGCGAGCGTCGCCGGCGAGAAAATCACGCCTCTAGTCAAAAGATTCCTAGATTTTAGATTCAACAAAACGAAAGAACTCGCCGACAACCCCAACGATTCCTCCTTCATCAACAACCTATCTTTAGATAAAATCGTGGATGTTTTAATCGACGACAGCGACGCCGGTGCTACCAAAAACCCCGTCGAGCAAGCGGAGGCCACCAGCGAGAACTCGTCGGACTCCGGCTTCCGATCGTCCAACACGGAAAACTCGCACAAACTCGACAACAATTTCCAATGCAAATGCAACAACAACAACTACGAGGAGAAGACGATCATACAGATCGACGAGACGTACAACGAGCGGTGCGTGGACGACGTCGCCAGGAAGCGGAAATCGAACGAAACGCTCACCAAGAAGGGGCTGGACGCGTCCCGGGGGGACTTCACGCTGAAGCGGCAGAAGTGCGTGAGGCGGCGGAAAATCGAGAAATTCAGCAGTCTCTTCGATTCGGATAAGATCGATTTCAACAGCACGCCGCTGAGGATCGAGGACAAGGAGGTTGAAGATGGTACGCCTTTGGAGGCCCTGAGGGGGATCAGGAAGTGCTTGGTGTTCGATAATTCGAGCAAAATCAACGATTCCTCCGTTTTCTCGGAGAATAGTGCTATCGGTAAAAGTAACGAGACGGACATTAGGGGTTCTATTGAATTGAAGGCGTATCGGGAAGGTGATTATGTTCTTTTGCACGGTAAGTTTATTCTTCGAGCGATTTTTTTTAGAGGTAATTTTGCGCATTTTTTTTTTTCAGTGGTGAGATGCAAGGACCTGTACAGGCCGAACGGGGAAAAAATAAACGCTTACGTTAAGGTACGTTAACCAAACACAATAATAATCTGGCATAATAAATCAAGCGTGTCAGCTTTTTTAATAAGCCTTATGTTTCCCTAATTCCTAACACATGTCGGATATTTTGATTGTATTATATTATTAAGGGCGCTAATGGCTCTATTTCCAATTTCCGGACGCACGAAATCTCCAATTAGACAGCAATAACTATTATACAAAACCCGATATATTTTTTTACAATTCCATATAATAAATACAGGGTGTCTCATAAGTTTTTTTTTTAACTTTTATAGATCTTTTAATTCTAAGCAACTTTTTCTAAACAATTTTTTTAATATTCTAGAAATTTTTAAAATTTCTTTAAATTTCGAAAATGTTCCAGTACGTACCTGCCATTACCATACAGGTGTCAAAAAATATTAAATAATTAATGACAAAAATTAATTATTCGATTGTTGAATTGAAAATGGCTCATTTTTATACAAATAATGAATTGGTGGACATGCTGATTATTTATGAAGAGTGTTTCCAAAGCATTTCCAATCAAAATGGCGACAATTTTGAGCAGTTCCTTTAACTTTTAACAAACAGAGCCGTAATAAATAACTTTTTAATATTTAAAAATTGAAAAAAAAAACATGCTCTCTTATTTTCAATAACATTAAAAAATTTCACTTGAAAAAGTTGCTTAGAATTAAAAGATCTACACGTAGTTTAAAAAAAATAAGTATCAACTTATGAGACACCCTGTATAACAGTTAGGTAACTACTATTTGCGTCTGATAAACGCGAGTACATACGGCAACACATGTTCCGAATTAAAACGTGGGCATGTAGCGAGCGTTTCACGGTTTCGGGTTCGTCCTTTTCAAATTCCCTGACAGTTACCGATCGTCAGTCGGCCGCAATTACGGCACGTCGGACACGTTGCGCCGCATGTGCCCCGAGACGCCGCTGATATGCATGCGACGCTCCGCTACGCGACGGCGACGCCGCGCTTTTTTCCCTGTCCGGTCGTTTCCGATAACGACACGTTTCGAATTTGACGTTAATTCGACTCGATCGTTTCGTTAGTACCTATAGTTCATTCGCTAACAGTACACATACAATATTTATAGTTCATTCGCAAACAGTTTATACCACTGCTTATAGTTCATTCGCGAACTTTTTGGAGTATAAAATAATTATTATTTAGATCTCTCTGTACACGTTTTTTAAAAGTTTTGGTAGGGTTTGTTTCGATTTTGAGGTTAATTTAATTCGACTCGATCGTTTCGTTAGTATCTATAGTTCATTTACAAACAGTTGGTACAATACTTATAGTTCATTCGCTAATCTTGAAGGGCATTAAATAACATTTATTTGGCTCTCCTTGAACACTTTTTTATTCTGAAGTAGGTAAATTTGGTATTGATTTTGATGTTAAGTCCCTTCGATCGTTTCGCTAGTACCTACTTATAGTTCATTCGCCAATATCTCGTACTATACCTATAATTCTTTCGCAAACTTTTTTGGGTATAAAATAATACTTTATTTGGCTCTCTCTGTACCCTTTTTGTCATTATGTGGTAGATTTTGGTCGATTTTGAAGTTAATTCAACTCGACCATTTTGTTAATAGGTACATCATTTTGTTTAGTTCATTCGCAAACAATTCATACAGTACTTATAGTTCATTCGCAAACTTTTTGGATTATAAAATAATATTTATTTGGCTCTTTCTGTAAATTTTTTCTAAGTTGTGGTAGGTTTTAATTCGACTCGATCGTATAGTTCATTTGCAAATATTTTATACAATAAATTTAGTACATTCGCAAACTTTTTGGAGTATAAAATAATATTTATTTGGCTCTCTCTGTACATTTTTTGCAGTGTAGTAGGTTTTATGAGTCGACGATGTTGGCGAATGAATTTTAGTAATGGGTATTAGGTCGATTTTGATTGATGCATGGAATGGAAAGATAACAAATAGGTCATTTTTGTTAGGCAGTAAAAAGTATTGGCAGGTATTTACTCATTTTTCTTTCAGTAGAAACGGCTAATGTTGCGGGAAATCGGTCGAATATATTTCCGTACATTTTAGGTCCAGTAAAAAATTCCGTTTTCGTACATTTCCAATTCTTTCGAGACTCGGAAGACGGAATAGGAAAGCGGCATATTTTTTATGTGTTACGCAAACAAAAATTTAATAGAGCAGAAAGAGCCGTTCGCGCTCTTGTTGTTTTGCCCATAACTCCTCGAAATGGTCGTAAAGTTCGATCATATCCGCGGAATTGTTTTCGGAGAAGCGCCGATAACGAATTTCCCTCGAAATTCAAACGCCCTCGGAGCGTTTCCTCTGGCTCGGAAAATGTCCCTTTCGAAAGATTCGAGTTTCAAAAAACTCGCCCAATTGATTCGGCCTAGTTAGGCCAGCAGAAACGCCTATCGATTTCCAGATTAACATCTCGATTTAATCAAGACGTTTTGTAACTAATTTTCTCCAACGAAGGCGATTAAAATCGATAAAATGCACAATTCGTGTTTTCGAACACGAGCACGCTATCTAATTTATAACTACACATTTATAGGAATAGGAAACTAGTTTCGGATATCCATCATCAGGTCAAGTTTGCTAATTTTTCTACAGCTTCATAGAAATATAAATTTTAAAGTTATATTTAACTTAAAATTTTGCTTCTCTTTTCTCTGCTTTATATATGTAGATATCAAGCGACTGCTCCTGCAGTATAGCCGTACAAAGGAACCCTCCCTGTAGGCCCGCTCCCGTTCGGGCGCTTATCGTTAAATCAATCCTTGCATGCGAAACATTCGCTCGCCTCGTTAATTTAAGTAAAAGGACGGCAAAACTCCGCAAAGTGGTTTGTTGCCATTAGTCAACACGGAAAGTTTCCCGTTTCCTTTTCACTCGTCGCCCGGTTTTTTTAACAGTCAATTTTATTCTCGCAGGGCATTCTCTGCGACGTTTCGGACGACGACGAGCGGAAGCGGAACGGAGTCCTGCAAAGGACGCCGGTCCAGGGGAACTCCACGAGGCCGCACTTCAACCACACGTTGAGGTTCCCCGCGACCGATGGCGACTGCCGCGGGAGATTGCACGTGGAGGTGTGGCACAGGGAACGGAGCACCAGGTAACATATTTCATATAAAAACTCTAAATTATTATTATAATTCGTGCAGAGTGAAATTTCTAGTGGTATAGAGTTTAGTTGACGAATTTTATTAAGGTGCAGTTAGTATTAGGGATTCGCTTATAAAAAAACACCATTGTACTAGGAAAGGATGTAAATTGGGGCATAATAAAAATGTATAGGATGTAAATTGGGGCAATCCCGTAAAAAGGGAATGTAGAATTTAATTCTATAGGTAAATTGGGCGTAGATTACTCTATACTTTCTATTTTTTGCTATCTACTCTCTACTTTTTTCTGTCTACTTTTCGTAAATTCGTTCATTGCACTGCTTTAAAAAACGGTCAAAAGTTTCCAATTCCAATCAAAGTTTGCAATGAACTCAAACCCCTTTAATACCAGAAACATATTCTCGCGCCCAATTTCCTTACCAGTTTTAAAAAAACCCTCTGGTAATACATAAATTTCCGCGCCCAATTTACCACCGCAACAGCAACTATAAAACTCCCCCCGTACAGGCATACCACACGCAAGCATCCCTTTCAGAAAAAGCGCAATAAACGTCCCCGAAACCGGTCCTGGCGGGGCCCGCGTTCGCTGCGCAAAATCTGCCGAGCCGATCGATTTCCCGGCCGTCCGCCGTCCGAAAATTTCCCGTCCGAGCGATCGCTCCGTCCCTGTCCGACCCGGCCCTTCCGGCGCGCGAGCGACGGAGACGGAGCGCCGCCGCGTGGAGGCCGTCCTCGCCGGGCCGCCGCACTTGCAGGTCCTTCTCTCAGTCGCCCCGTCAGCCGCCCCCGGAGGACCGCCGTCTCGCGAACGCCGCTCGAACGGTCCCCTACGCGGTTCGGTGTGCGCTGCTTTTGCCGATGTAATGCTCGCGATCGGTGCTGGAGGTGCGGGCCCGAGCCTCGGATATGGAAATCGCGGATTTCGTGCCTAAAGTACGGATATATGCCATTCTAACTACATAATATGTCGTTTATTTTAGATTGTTGTTTCATGTTCGTTGTGCACCTTTGAGAATGTTATAGTAGATGATACGTTATTGGTTGTGTAATGAGAAAATGTGATTACAAAAGTCGTGCTATTAATTATTAATCAACAGGCGTGTATTGTATAGGAGTGGTAATATTGTGGTGTTTCGAAAATTATTCGCTAATCCCCGTATAACATGTACGTGATAAATTCTAAAGTACTCCATATTTAATAAAAATTCCTACAATTCTCCCTAATTCAATCGCGATACTTCAATATTGCCCTACTTTCTACCAACTATTTTCTTCCCCCGATTCCACAATTCATTATCTATTAATTTAACAATTCCTGCAATCATCTCTATTCAATCGCGATACTTCAATATTGCCCTAATTTCTATCAACTATTATTTTCTTCTCCCAATTCTACAATTATCTATTTATTTTGCTATCAACTATTTTCTTATTTCCCCAGTTCCACAGTTCCCCAGTTCCACAATTATCTATTTATTTAAACCGATTTTCTCGCTGTAATTCGAGCCGATCGTGCGGAAAATGTCGTGACTCACGTGCTTTTTTCGCCCGTCGTTATTTTAAACCGGCACCTTTCGAATGGAGGAAGAGCGTTTTAGCGCAAATTCCTGACACCTGCTGTCGATGGAAAAGCTCTTACCGTGCAGAGGGAAACTGTTGCACTTGCACGGATTCACCGGATTAGAATTGAACGGGAAATGGGGAGATAATACGCCCAGCGTTGAAATTGTAGGAGTAAATAAATTGCGGGTAAAATCCTATTTCAGGATACGCCTTTCGATGCAGCAAAAAATCAATTTCTTATTACGAAAACAATACATCTCGAGCAAGGAGGGCCTTGGTTTTAGACAAGATTGATGATGGAAGCAATCAAGTGGATATTGTGTTACTGCCTTACACAAAAAAACGATAACAAAAAGCACTACGTATGTGATATGAAACTATTATAAGCACAGCATCCTGCGACGCAATTTTAAGAGTACATACTTAAATTAATATTTAACCGAATGAGCAGGTAATGCAGTGTTCTTTCATCTCGATGTTATAAAGTATCAGATGCTCAGAAAGTTCACCCCGATTTCTTTCCCGTAATTTAAATCGTTTTTGTGGCCGATGAGTACCTACTTGAAAGCGACCCTCCGAGACCTCGTTACTGTATTAACGTTTTGTGCGCGGCATTATCAAAAGATAAATCGTTGAATTCGATTATTCTACCTTTTTACGGGGCGGTTCTCGGCAGATTATATTAGATATCTTTTTTGTATGTTGCTTTAATTGAGGCTTACGTACTCACCATGTGAAATTTAAATCAATTATGTAGTAGAGATACTTTAAATTAACTGTCAATTTTACTTGACAGGTGACATGTTCATAACTACTAGATGAAATCCAGTAAATTCGATTTCGATAATTCCGATTAAATTTGTACTTTTTTTAAAAAAACTTTAACAATTCGTAAATATTTACTACAATAATACTTTTTGACAAATTTACATAAAGTTTTCAATAATATAGGTACTGTCGAGATAATTTAAATTACTTAATCATTTTTACTTGCAATTTGACATGATCATACCTATGATCAAATCGAATAAATTTTGATTTCGATAATTCCGTTTTAATTCGAACTTTTTTCGAAGAACTTTAATAGTTTATAAATATTTACTATAATAAAACGTTTTGACTAGTTTACATAAAGTTTTCAATAATATATCGAGATACTTTAAATTACCTGCCAATTTTTAATTGACAGGTACATGTTCATACCTACTAGATGAAATCCACAGTAAATTTGATTTCAACAATTCCGTTTTAATCGAACTTTTTTCGAATAACATTCAATAATAGTTATTTACCAATTATTTACCACAATAATAATTTTCAAAAAGTTTACGCAACTTTTCTAGCCATTTCCGAACCGAATTTCCCTAACAATTATGACACGAATGGGAACTGTCACTTATCTGTCATTCTAAAAATATTTGACATCAAGGTCATCTAATATTAAGAGGTTGGATCAACCCGGTTAGCGAGTTACGTCACAGAAAAATAATTTGCAAACAAACGAGACCATCCTTTCCAGCAACGCTCGAAATCCTCGAATAACAGTAACAATAAAAGCGATCACTCGATCGCTCCGAATGCGATTCATAACCATCCCGGGGCCCCATCAAACAGCCGACGGGCAATAACCGCACGCCGACGACACAGCCATCGAGGCCTTTAATAAAATATTCGAAATCGACGCAAAGGGCATGTACAAAGGGCCCTTGATGGCTGCATTACACGAAGAGCGAACAGTTCTAATCCGATAGGTCATTGTCAGATTGTCGTTTACACACGTTTGTGTGATGATAATGGGGCTGATATTCGAACAGGAGTTTGTGTCCTTTTCGTAATCACTAATTTCTATACTGCTAGTACTTTTTAATACGCCACGATTTTTGTTTATTTGCTATAATTATTCTCTAGATTAATTGAATTTTCTGTTGCAGAACTAGTGAATTCCTGGGATGCATGTCATTTGATGTCAGAAATGTTACACAAGAGGTAATTCGATATTTATTAAATCGCCGCGTAATCGCGAAATTATGATATTTTAAAGCCTCCATCGGATCGTTTCCCTTTCTGGATGCATAAAAGCCCCATTCGGTTTAAAAATGGCGAGGCACGACAATTACGTAAAGCGATTTTTCAGCCGAATCGCCTGTAAATCACCGAAGTGGATTGTGTCATAAATATTAATGGTTTCACCCGCGCATCCACCGCACTCTGCGCCATTGTATACAAGGTGCAACGAAAATAACGCGCCGGAAAAAAAACTAGTTAATATTTCAGCAAGAGTTACGGCTATAAAATCTTCCATAGTAAAACATCATCCGCGCCCTAATGGCCTTTTTAGTATCTACGTATTTCAGCATCGCGTTTCACGTAATAATAATCGATTGCTCCTTGGCAAGCGCCGTCTATCGAAAGCCATCCCCAGCATACACAGTTAAGACAAAATCCGCAAAAAAAACTCGCTATTATCCGCCGATATCGCCGGCGAGATTGCCCGCGTCGCCAGCTATTTTACGATCGTTTATTTCATCCGCAGGGAATCGCCGGCTCATTTGGACTTCTACCTCAGTCTGCGGGTCGTTCGACGAACGCGCCGATAACACGACATCCGCAGGAGACGCGACCGACGGGCCGCAAACGGGCGAAAATGTGCGAAAGCCAGTCCAGCATCGACGAGCTGATCAGCCTCGACGAGCTCGACGGCGACCTCAAAAGGACCACCTCCAAAACGGTGCTCAACGAACAGCAGAAATACGCCGATGAAAATCTATTCCTAAGGTACGTTCCTACTTCCTGCAGTTTTTTTCAACCACCCCCAATCGACAGTACCACCCTCGAGTCAATGTATTGAGAAAGAATGTATCTATTTCCCAATCATCCTTTGAATGAAACCAGCTAATTCATTGAACCATTTTATTGAGAAAGAATCTTAACTAATGTAACAAAGATAAGGATTATTTCCAATCGTCTTTATCATAGTCCCATTTGGACGAAACGCCGTATATGGGATTCGCCCGAATGTCCAGCATCCTCCTGAACTGGGCCTCGCGGCACTCGTCGCGGAAGCTGTCCGGCAACGGCGGCTGCACCATGTATTTCAGGAAGTAGAACAGCCAACAGCCGACGGATATCAGCATCAAACCGTACCCAATCACCGACTTCCACTCGCCGGTGGGCGCCAAGAACTCGGCGTACGTCTGGCAGAACGAGAACCGGTACAGCTCGCGCTTCTCGCACACGCTCATCTCGCGCCAGTCCTTCTTCTCCTTCTCGCGCAGCTCCGCGATCTCGCAGTTGGGCTCCTTCCAGCGGATCGACGGGAACGGGAAATCGGCCATGTCGGCGTAGCCCGGCTGGCCGTTCCAGCCGTACCCAACGATCTCCCTCTTGCCTATCATGTCTTTGTAGTTGTACCGAGCGATTTGCGGCGACCATCGCGGCGCCAGCGACGCTCTTCTGGCTATCGAAGCCGCTATCATCGATCCCCCAACGATCATCTTCGATGTCTACTCGTTGTCAACTGGAAACGTCAGTTAGACGACGAATCTTCTTTCAATTTTTTTTAATCTAACTGACTCGATCGGTTGTTCGTTGCAGGTATCTGGAATTGGACCCGGTGGACGGTCCGGACGCCTCGTCGGCGGCCACGCAGCGGAAGGCGACCGGCAACAAGAACGGCAGGACGCCGTTCACGTGCACGAAGCGGCTGAGCAAGCCGCCCAAATCGGGGTTCGGCTTCTCGGTGGTATGGACGCACCCGCCGAGGATAGAGCGCGTGGAGAAGGGCCTGCCGGCCGACAAGGCCGGCATCCTGCCCGGCGACTATCTCATCTTCGTCGACAAACACAACGTGGTCATGATGCCCGAGATCGACATCTTGAATCTCATCAGGTAGTTTGTTTTGTTCTCTTCTCTAGCCTCTTCCAATTGTATCCATCAACAAGCACCATCTACCTCAACTCCTTCTCCAATTTTATCCAACCACCTCGCTACGCTTTCCTCGCCTCTTCCAATCTTCCCGATCATCAACCATCTTCCACCGCGATTGAAGATCGCCATAGACACTTTCGATAAAGACATCTCTTTGGGCAGGTCGTACGGGAGTCAATTAACGTTGGAGATATTCCGGAGGAACCCGTCGCGCAACGGCTCGGTGCCGAGCGTGAAGAGGCTGAGCGCCCCGTTGGCGGCGTCGATGAGCCTGGGCGGCGCGGCGGCGTTGCCGGCGACGGCGTGCCCGAACTCGGCGCCGCAGCGTCGGCCGTCGACGGTGTGCTCGACGAACACGGCGTCGGGGGAGTACAACCGGAGGAAGCTGCACCTGCCGCAGGTCACGTTCAGCGCGGAGGTTGGTAGCGGGGTGATCGTTTGAGCGGATCGCTCGCGTTGCTTTGGGTGCTCGATTGAACGATCTAGATGTGCAATCGATGAATTGCTGTTAGTTGTGAGATGAGAACGATTTGTAATCGATTGGTTGCCGGTGTTTGATGTTGCACTTTCGCCACGATTTTATTGGATGTTTATGTTTTTTATTTATGTTTGTTTTATGTTTTCGTTCATTCTTTTCATTGACTGTACGTCGTGGATAAAATATACTTTGCACATTTTGTTATTTTTTTTAGTTAGAATCGATTTTTATGGTAGTTAAAGTTGTATAATTAAATTAATAACTTTGATACTGAATGTGCGAAGTTGAAACTTTTTTAACTCGATTTATAACGCGTGACTATTACTTATTCAGCCAGTGTTCGTGCAAATTACTTTTTCTTTATTTTTTTTTTAATTTAGACACGGTTTCGTTTTGTACAAAAATTACGATAATCCACTGTTTTACTCACTTTCTTGTTTTATTATTTATTATTTAATTGCTAATATTATTTATTCCATTTTATTTTGTTACATATGTTGTTTATGTTGTGTCTAAATATATGTTTTTAAATTATTTTTTTTTCTTTACCATTTTTTTCTCTCTTATCCATTTATTTACCAACACGATTAAAGAGAATAGGAAATTTCCTATAATACATCTTTCCATTACCACCCTAAGCAATCAGAACGACGAAGGTAATGTAATAAAAAAATCCTAGAAAAGTACCCAATTAACAGCAAAACCCTTCAAACCGAATACTTTTCCAGAAACAGGCCAACAACCCCGAAGAAAACAGAAGAAAGGCCATATACCAACTGATCAGCAAAGAACAACAATACGCCACCGGTTTACAATTCGCCATTACAAGATTCGTTTCCTCCTTAGCCGAGAGAAAAGATCTAATTACACCGGCAGAACACCGAATGTTGTTCCAAAATAGCGAAGAGGTAACCCCAATCCCACCTCTATTCATTCACAAAACTGTATTGAATCATCCCCACAACCAAAAATTCCAGCTCCTCCGGATAACCGAAGACATCCTGGACCAGCTGGTGCAAGACGACGGGGAACCCCAGGTCCACATGCTGGCCAAAACGTACTTTTCCAAGCTGCAAGAGATCACCACGGCGTACAAGAGGTACTGCTCCGGCATCAAGAAGGCCGATTGCATACTGGCCAACAAGACCAAAAGCTGCAATTCGGAGTTCTGCAGGTAAGCGACCCCTTTGGAATCGATCTCGGCTGGAATCCAATCGAATCAATCAATTCAAGATTCCTGCAAGCGCCGCAGATACCCCGACGGAGGCCGGACATCACCACCTTCATCCACAAACCCCTGGAGCACTACAGGGAAATTCTGAAGCTGCTTACAACGATACAAAGCTTCACCAAACCCAATCATGATGACCTTCCTGTGATAAACCAAGTAGTACACGACTTACAGGTACCGCTATTCGAGATCAATAGTCGATCAATTGGAGATGAATCTTTACTTCGTTTTTTTAGTTAACTTATAGAGAAATTACTTCCGAGGCGGGACTGATGGAGCCACTGGGAGAGGGTAGACCCTTGCTGACAGTACAAGATTTAGAAAATAGGATAGTTTTTACCAAATGCAAAGTACGTAAACCACTGCGGGTTATGTGGGGGATAAAACGGTGATTTCGATTGCAGCCCTTCGTGCTGAACAAGCCCGGACGGCAATGGATCTTCGGCGGCGATTTGACCCGGATCGAAGGCAGGAACGTCCGGCAATACTGGACGTTGCTCTTCAGCGATCTGCTGTTGTTCGCCAAAGCCTCCAGGGATCGAGTGTTGTTCGTCATGGAGGACCCGATACCACTCAATCACATTACCGATATGTTCTTCAACGTGAGGAAAAAAGGTACTTTTACCCGGCTTCCTAAACTGTTCCAGTTGCTCTTTTAATTTTATCGTCCATCATCGTGCAATATTCACCACTATTGACTTATCAAAGATGACCCATTGCAATGCATTTCCCTAGGCTCTTGCAATTTTAAGAATCATCAAGGATCAATCACTTTCTTTCCTATATCCCATGTCTCATCCAATTTTATCTTCCCCAAAGCCTCCAGAGATCGAGCGTTGTTCCCCACGGAGGATCACATTACCGATAGGTTCTTTAACGCGAGGAAAAAAGCTACTTAGCTCCCGTTAGAGGGTGTAGACCGAGGGTGAATTAGAACCGGGACGCTTCGAGCGAATGAAATCGATATTGCGGCGGGGTAATGGCGCAAATAATTGATGGCCGGTCTCTGTTTTGTTTAGACACGGAATTTCGGATCAACGTCAGCCCGGAAGGTAGGACGGCGACCAGTCCGACGGTCCATTGCGGACCGGATCTGTCGAGGACGCCCAAGAGGAGCGCTTCGAAAAAGACTGTGATCTTGAGGGCGCCCACGGCCGAGCTGAAGGCCGTTTGGCAGAACCTGTTGCAGAGACAAATGTGAGTAATTCGGGCATGGATGATTATTACAAATTTTTACTAGTAGTATCTATTAATACGATGAATTCATTAATAGGGATTAATGATCGATAGTGGAGGTATTAGATTTTTTTCTTAATGAGCTGAATATTAGGACATTTAGAGTGATGCACCATTTTCTTGTTTATTTCAAAATTTTCAGAATAATTGAGAGAAGATTTCAAAAAGCAAACTTAAAAAAAACACTTCAATTTGAAAATGGTGCATCTATAATTAGTTTAAAATACGTTTATTTAGATTTTTCTTAACTTATAGCTGTAGTGTTAATATTGCTGAGTGGTTGCTGATGTAAAATATAGTAAGCCTCAAAATGGGCGCACCGGAACTCCCCACCAACTAGTACTCTAGTTACCCAATTATCAAGATTGACAATGACATTTCGTATGACAAAAGTTTAATAGAGATGAGAAATATGATTGGTATAGAGGGGCTGTAACGACCGTTACAAAATAAGCGTTATTTATCAAATATCAAATTAAAAATCAAAAAAACAAATGTAAAATCAAAATTTTACTCTATTCCTGCATTACTCTATTCAACTCTCCCATAGTCTACTTTCTTCTACTCTGCTCTACGATGAATGACTATTTTTTTTCGTATTGTACGCGAATAAATGAGATCTTAAAATCTGTTCGATTAGATTTCTCTAAAAGAACTGTCAAAATAAACATAAATGACATTTCGTATGACAGAAGTCTAATAGAGTTGAGAATATATTTTTTGGTATAGAGGTGCTGTAACGACCGTTACAAAATTAGCGTTATTTATCAAATATCGTTCTCTCGATTACTCCACTCTATTCCTACATTATTCTCTGCAACTCTCCCCTAGTCTACTCTCTTCTATTCTACTCTACGACGAATGAGTAGTGGTAATAATGAAGTGGGATTGATGAGTTCGATGTTATACATAATATGCAAAAAAATCAAAATTGACATTAATGACATTTCGTACGACAGAAGTTAAACAGAGATGGGAATCATTTTTTAGTATAGAGGTGCAGTAACGACTGTTACAAAATAAGCGTTATTTATCAAACATCATTCTCCTGATTACTCTACTCGCTACTCTACTCAATTCAACTCGAATCTCGTTCCTCATTTAGATATCGAACCTGGAAGAAATGTATTATTTTGGCGGGGAATTCCGGCGGAAAACCAGGCCCGTTTCTAATAAAATATTTAAGCAACCATTCAGTAGAATTAACAATAGCATTGTTATTGCGCACGCAGCTTTCAATTGACCGCAGGCATGGACGGCAGCTCCGTCAGTTCGCCATTAGAATCGCCGGAGGTGCCGCTCACCACGTCGGTGGTGACGCTGCAATCGGCCGAATCGCTGTCGATGCGTCGCCAGGTGCGTCTAGTCACAACCACATCCCACACGCAAACCAAACTACCCCCAGACCGGGCGCGCGGTACCGTTTACACCGGCGATCCCGACACCTCGCCCGCCCGCCTCCCACCCCAAATGTCGCTCGACAAAACGCCCGACACGCCCAGCGCGAACATATCCTTCCACTCGTCCTCGGACCTGTCGCAGGCCTTCACCTCGCGCTTCACCTCCGAGGGCAGCCTGGCGCCCAAGGCGGCGGGCGCGCCCTCGCCCCCCGCCGCCCTCACGCCCACCGCCGAGCTGTGCGGCGCCCCCAGCGAGGCCACCGACGAGTTCCGGCTGGGCGACGAGCCCTGGGACGCCAGCCAGTTCGATTACGACATGAGCTGCTTGAGCATCGACGGGCTATCGCAGAAAAGTTAGATGGTGTACCGGAGATGGTGGTGGTGGTGGAAAATCTCTTCGTTAATTGTGGTTCTATCAAAGATGATGATGTGGTTTTTGTGGTTTTCTTCTAAATCGAGTTTTTGGTCTAAAAAAATCATCAGAGACGGTGATGTCTCTTCGAAATTCACTGCTACTTTTCTCAATCGAGTTCTTGGTGAAAAACCGATTCTGTGGTGCATCGTACGCGATCCAAATTAGCCAATCGAAGTAATGAATCGAGTTCGTCGTGCTTACGAGGAGCGGTAGGAGCCTTGAATGGTGTTATAGCATCTGCGTTGTTACCTCTGTTGTTGTTCCGCGTTCCTCTATTAGATAGGGATATATCTCCCTGGCGGGGAAGTTGTTTTAGATATTGGTGTTTCGTACTTCTAAATAGAAGTTTGTGATCTCTACGATATAGGTTATGTCGGATGGAGCGACTCTGAAGTTTCGTTTTTGATGTGAACTTTCCAAGTCTGTTAGATTTGAATTGATGTTCGATAAGAATGTATTTCTGTTGATTATCTCATAGGGTTGTTGAGTTTCCGTTGTCTCGATCTACCTCCTAAGACCAAGCTGTAGCGTTCGTTTGCGATAATGGCATTTGTCCCTTTAACATCCTATCCCATCGAACCGATATTTGTTCAAATGCTGATGGAGCAAGTGAAAAATTGTTTAGTATATCGACAAATATAGATAAATTATGAATGCAAATCGATAGTATTGGGCATTTTGAATTCGTAACTTCTTTGATTTTATACATATAAATGGTGAAACAAAGTTTTCTAACATAGTCCGTGAGGTGGTGGTATTGGAAAATAAACGTTTCTACTCGCGTATGATTTTTAATGAAGCCAAGCATTGAAATAACGGACAAACAGGGTATTTGAGTTTGTTAGAAATAGTTTTTCCGGAATATATGGCCTAATTTTTCGAATGGTATGTCACATAAAAAAACCTCGGGGTAAACGCAATTAAACAATCACCTTGGTTTATTTTTTAAATATCAGCCCACGGACTATGAAAGTGAATTGTCTTTTTCATGTGCCATCAGTGTTTTTCGTTTGCAAAAAAAGCACATTATGTAAGTACCAAAACGACTGCCTATTTCATATAAGTACATTAAAATTACCTTCGTTAAATATAACAGTTATTGCCTAGTAGATATACCTATTACCTATTTTGAATTGAACTTTACATAGTTTTTATTTTTCATTAGAATACGAGATTATTTTTATTGTTACGAAAAAGAGAAAATGTAATTTATATATATTTGCAAATAAAGTTTTCAGTTATTACATTTCGCTTTTTAATGACCTCCGGCAACGGCTTGAACAGTTTTTTGAACCAACATACAGTGTGCATAAAACATTTTTCTATTCTATACAGGGTGTTTCACAAACATAATCGCGTATAATCGTTTTGAAACAACCTGTATCGTATTAAAAAACATTAAATTTTTGTGCCGTGCTTTGCGAAATGTGGCAGTAGAAGGTAAGATTTTAAATACTTGCCTAATAAATTTTACAAAGGTATAGGATGAGCTTTAAATTAATTCGCAATACCTACATGACTCTCATTAATATTGTATAGTACATAGCAGTTAGTTAGATTAGAATATAAACGATACTTTTGAAAGTTTCATGTAGGATTACAAGACGAATATATCGAATTTAAAACCATCCTGTATATTACCTAAACATTGATGTTGTGCATTTCCTTAATCCTATATGTGTATATATACAGGGTGTTAATTAAAGTTGAGTTGGTACTTATTTTAATGGGTTCATCTTGGATTAATTTTGAGTCGTACAAGGTATGTTATATCCTCAGAAGCTTAAATTATGTGGTTCGGTGTAAAAAATTACCCCAAGAATCACCCATCTAAATAAGTACATAACTGCATTAACTAACACCCTGTATATTATTTTGAGAACTTGCGTTAGAAAACTTTCTTTTTAGTTTAGATTTAATATTTTACAATCTCAACTCTAGTTAGCGTTTCAATGTTGCCCCGACACTAAAATATCTTTCCAACACCCTATATATATTTGCGAATCACCTACCATTTCAAACCAAAACATCATTCCAAAACCTCAAGTTTTTCTATACATACATTCTGTATTTTGGTCCAAAAACTGCCGACCCCAGCGCCCCCTGTCATGCCGCCTCTAACGCGCCCCCGTTTTCCAGCCGACGCCGCCCCTCGACCGGATCGAGCGCCGCGAGCGCGACCTCCAGCAGCAGATCGACGCCCTCATCGAGCTCAAGTGCACCGAGCTGAGCAAAAGCGCGACCAACGCCAAGTGCAACGCGCTCCACCTCGAGCACTGGATGAAGGGCCAGCTGCGCGCCGGCCATCCGCCGGCCACGCCCGACGACGAGCCGGACCCCGTCGAGGAGTGGACGCCGGAGATGCTGCGCAAGCGCTCCGAGGAGCTGCGGCTCGTCGACGCCGACGGCAACGTCCGCGGCGCCGAGCCGAAGGACGCCCGGCGGCGGGACAGCGGCGGGTGCGAGGAGACGGCGTCCGATCTGGAGCGCAGCCCGTCGAAGAGCACCACCACCGAGAGCCAGGTGATTACGTTGTATCGTGAATTTCCAATCGAAATATCGGGTTTTTTTAGATTACCGTGAGGTCGAGTCCTTTGATGCCGGAGACGGTGTCGGTTTGTCGCAAATGCCACAAGACTTGCTTGAGCAACAACGGTACCATAAACGGCAGCAGCAGGAACTTAAACGGTTGCTCGACGAAGCTCAACAAAGACAAAAACGATAACGAAGAGGACGATTGGCAAGCGTTTATGTTAGTAGGTAAAAGAATTCAACGATTCTCCACGCCAAAATCGTTATTAACAACTCCATTTCTCAGCGAATCCTGCTACGAAATTGGTACAAATCGACCCATTCTCGGTACCGTCGCTTCCTAAAATCTCAGTGGTGCCCGCCACGCCGGACAGTTCCATCTCCAAAACCAACTCGGACACCAAAATCGAATCCGCTCACCTCCACAACAACAACGAGGCGGAACGAACGCCGGACGACTCCCCCGAATCCGAAGAGCACCCCTACCATTCGCTCAGCAGCTCGATGGCGACGCTGCGGCGCTTCGGCACCGTCTCCAGCCTGGAGCGGCTCGCCTCCGACGACTGCGAGAACAACGAGGAGGACGAGGAGGAGGAGGAGGATTGCAACGGCATCGACAACGAGGCCTTCAACCACTCGGTGATCAGGCACTGGACCCTGAAGGCGGGCTCGTTCGTCGCGGAGAAGATGGCCTTCTTCGAGGACTACAGGAGCGTGGGGTTCTTCGACAGGTACCTCAGATCGTCGGATAATCCCGTCAACGGGGAGGAGATGCAGGAGGAGGAGACCAGCGGTGGCACCTCCGGTGAGGATATTTGGGGGACTCCCACCAGCGGCGGGGAGATCGACGATAATCTGTATTCGCCCGGTTACGAAGACAGGCATTCGGTGAGATGTGGAAAACTAAACTAATCATCGAAATAAATTTTAATATTTTACAGTCGAACGGTGGATCGCTGTCGTCCGATTACGGCGATGAGACGGAGATCATGATGGACGAGCTGCTGATGACGCCGCCCATCAGCGGGGCCGTGATGCGGGGCCTCCTGCCCAGGAGGACCCTGGAGCCTTTGATCGAGGAGGAATGCTCGGAGACCTCCACCACGTCCTCGATAGAGTCCAGCAGCGAGCCTTCGGCGTCTCCAGAACAGGTAGGTAAGAGGAACACAACTAACCTGTAACTATTATCTCGAAATTAACACCAGGAGTTCATCATACATACTTACACGAAGGTGTTTTTTTTTTATTGTAATTGTCCTTGGTTAGGGTAAGAGTGTAAATGTATACGTTTCACACACACTTAATTACAGCATCGTGAGGCACTTTAATTTATTTTATCATGTAGTAGTAGATGTTCACTACAATAACTCACCTTTTGTAATGCATTCAACCATATAGGACGAGTCAATAATATTTTTAATTGTGATTTATTTATAAATAAAAGGTATTATTTTCGATAAAAAGTGAATACTACTTGGTTGATTCGCCCTGTATTGGTAAAATAAAGCTTGAGCATTTTGTGTATTATCTACATAGCAGCTTGGCTAACAAAATTTGAGATAAAATCAAAAATGATTAATGAAATGAAAAAAAAATTAAAACTCTAGATAAATGAAAGGTATAAAGCGTTAAACAAGAAATCAAAGCAATATTGTCTTGAGTAATAGTTTATAGAGCAATAGTTCCAGTGTATTCATTAATTTCTTTACCAATTCTATAGTCTAGAAAACGGTTTAAAAATGCATGTAATATTTTTAACACAAAATATCAACACAACTGAAATATCCGAGGCGTTTCTATTATTCACAAAGAATCGCCCAGTACATAGTTTTCGAACAAAAACCAAAGAAAATCGAGTAAAATCCGGTCTTCCATTGCGGGCAGGGCAACGAAATTGGAAGTGCTGCTGACACATGTTCGGCTGTTGCGGCAAATCGAAGGGCGGACGACGCCGGTCGGGCTACGCCGTCGTCTGCCGTCTCGACGCCGACGACGGAGGTCCCTTCGGCGGCGATCCACCGTTCGGAGAGCTACAGGCGTATCGTCGAGGCCGCCGAAAACGAAGGCAACGAAGAGCGAAGCGTATTTTTCTTCAGTCGCTTCCGGCCGGCCATCAAGTTCGTCAACATCGAGCGGGTGCCCAAGGCCAAGAGCAGCAAAATGTAAGCATTATTCAAAATTTTTATTCAAATTTTGTTGGCTGGAGGAATCCCCAGGTCCCCAGTAGCCCCAGGTCCCCACTAATAGTGTTTCCAGTATGTCCAGGTCGCTAGTTTCCCAGGTCCTCGGTACCCATAATACCCAAATGTCCAGTAATCTCCAGTATCCCCAGGTGCTCAGTATACCTCCATTATCTCCAAATTCCCGGATAAAGATTTTAAATTGGGCGTCTGGGGAATCCCCCCCGTTAGTAGGACTAACAATATTCCATGTTATTTGTAGTTTTGAGTTTTTTAATATGCGTAAACCAGAGAGAAGAATCTACGAAACCTACCCAGAAGGTGGTCATCTGATGAGGATGTTCGATAACGAGGATTCCCAGTCGGAGGACTCTCCGTGCAAGTGCTCGCCCAAACAACTGTCGCCTAGAATGGATAAAGTAAAAGATTCGAATATTGTTTTTTTCGGTTTTTGACAGTTATTTTGTTATTCTTGCAGGATAAACAGCTGGATAGGAGATTTTGGAAGCAGCTGAGTAAAAGACGAGGCAGCAAAGGAAACGTCCCGGCCTAAAGCGGTTGTTTTACGCAGGAAAATGCTCAAGGAAACCGTAAAAAAATTCCGAGGAAACGTTACGAATCGGTTTTTACGAACGTGCAAAGTCAATTTTAAATTACAAAGTGGCAAAATCCACAACCATTATGTAGGTACGTGTAAATGTGCGATAATAAACATGTAGGTATATTTATTTTTAACGGAATTCTAACCTTTCGATTTTTAGAAATCCATCTTAGTGGTTTTGGTTTTTGTTACTGTTTTAAATAAATGACAAATTTGTCACTATTTATTAACAAAAAAAAATTAGGTGTTTAAAATTTGTAGGTAAGGGTTTTGAGAATTGAATATCTCGGTCATTTAACGTCAATTAAAATCATAAACAATTCCTATTTTTTACGTACACTCAAATATACAGGGCGATCAAGATACTTCCTTAATTAATGTCTACTCTACACAGCAGTAAAAACAGAGTTACATTTTAAACTACAGGGTGATCCATTATTGTGTAAAGATATTTTTGTTTTATTCGATAATCTTTGATCCGTATTTAATCACCTTGCAGATATTCTTGTCTCAAAAACCTCTTGTGATAGAGGTAGAACGAGTCATTTGTTAAACATAGCACGGCAAAAACAATACAAGTAAGCAGTTTGGAAATTGCGAATCGAGTGGAAAATTTGTCATCAGAAGGTTTGAAATAACGTCGAAACGAATCAAAAACTCGCTGTGAAATCCGGTTATTTCATTCCCTCAAAATTTCGCTATTTTTAAAAAAAACATTCCTAATGCCTTGTAAGCTTATTTTCGGCTCTAATAATATAGTGAGATCTTTTTATTAAGCTTTAAATAATTGTTATCGTCCACTTTTTATAAAGTAATTTATTAGATAGCCATTACTGAAAGGAATATTCTCTCTATAAGTGACTTTTAGGCGTAAAAAAATACAAAAAAAAATGTATTATTATAGTTACTAACAAAATGATAAAATCCGTCACACGTGTCAATGTGATATAACAAACATTTTTGTATCCCTACGTTAAAAATAAAAGAATGAAGTAATATATGTTATATTATTTCACCACACAAAAAAAAGTAAAACCAAAAGTAATCAAAAAGTAATTTTATAAATCAGATATACAGAAAAAAATTTAAATAATCACAAAAAAAAATAAATAAATAAAAAATGTAGATATATATGGGCAAAAGTTAAGAAGACTCCTCCGCCTTGGGCGTAATCTCGACGCCATCGCTCGCCCCTTTACCCTGCTTCTTGGCGTGCTGCTTCCTAATGTAATTGACCAACTTGCTGCCGAAGTTCCACTTCTTCTTCTTGAAGTCCGCCGTCACTTTGAGCGTGCGATAGCACTCCATCAGCGACTTCCCCGACGAGCCGGCCAGCGGGAACGTCATCGTCTTCTTGGCGTCCTCGGCGCGCTCCTTCGTCGCCGACAAGGCCACCTCGTCCAGCGAATCGTTCTCGCCGCCGGTCGACGACAGCGCCACCGTGGAGGCGGCGTGCGGCAGCGGCGCCGGCTCCTCCGGCCCGCCGGCCTTGAACGGCGGCTCGTTGCAGTCGAGGTCCACCACGCGCAGGATCTTCTCCGACTTGCAGTCGCGCGCGTCGTCCTTGTGCTCGTTGAACACCAGCTTGGCCCAGAGGTGCTTCGAGTTCTTCACCAGATCGGTGAGGCGGCTCTTCTTCTCGACGGGCGGGTGGCCGTAGACGGGCGCGGCGCCCACCTGCCGCTTGTCGCCGTCGAGGTGGTCGCCGACGCCGAAGGCGGGCGCGCCGTCGCCGGGCCGCTCCTCGCCTATGGCGAGCTCCTGGAACTTGTTGGACAGGTTGTCGAGGATGTCGCCGACGGTCTTCGAGGATTTCGCCTCGAGCTCGTCCACCGCGTCCATGGCATTTTCGATGATCTCCGTGACCAGCTCGGAGGCGATGACGTTGGCGAAGCTCTCCTCGCTTTTGCAATTTTTCTCTAGCTTTTCGCAGTCGCCTAATTTGCGCGGGAGAGAGTTAGAGTTTCGCGTGAAATGTTACAAATGAAATGTTCCTTACCTATTGTGTCAACGATATTGCAGGACATTTTTGATAATATTCATTTAATCAGGAAATTGAGGTGACAGATTTAAAAGAAAAACGTCGTTTGTTCATTGCTGTAGTTGGCGTACGTCTCGCACTATATACAGGGCGTTTAAATATCTAGGTGAAATATTATTTCAAGTTATTCTTTTATGCTTCTATCCAGAGGTATTCCTTATCATAATTAATCATCCACAAATGAAAAAACTACACAAACACATCTTACACAATTAGGGATATAGAACTACTCTTTGGCTTTATGTCCTAAGACAAAAAGGCCAAAATAGAAATTTTTTTCACTACAAAGAACCACTCTTCTTTTTTTTTCTCTCTGATAGATAGAAACTCGTCATTATTAGTCCATCATTTGGTACTTCCCAACATATTTTTGCTACTTTTTTAGGTGAAATTAAATAAAACTAGACCTTGAATATACAAGCAGAATTTATTAGAATTATCCTCAGATGTGCGCACGTATAATGAACACTTCATCTCGTCTCGCTAATATAATAATGCAATTTAAGTTATTAAAATATGACTAGATCCATTAAAGTACATCGACGTTAATATTAGAGTCAAAGATTATGTAGAGTTAAACTCCTTAGAGGTAAATTTGATAGCAAAAATTCAAGAAATCGAGGAGAGGAGCAATAGTCGCTCAAAAATTAAGCTAATTTACAATATGTAGGTTATTATTATAATATATTTTTTACTTTTTATATCCTTTTTACATAAATACTTTACTGAGATAACAATAGTAAATTTACAATACAAATTAGCTAGAAGTTAGGTAGAAATAAAACAGTTAAATGAGCGTTTTCTTAGAAATAACTCTTTTAAATTATTTGTCAAACACTCGGTATAATAATTATCTAATTGTTAATTCATTGATTAAATTGAGGTCGTATCTTACTAGAAATAACAACATATCCACAAAACATTGTGCTTTTCATTATACCTTAAGACTGTAAATTTACATTAAATTAAAATCCTTTATTCTACATAAAATATACTCACGAAATAGGGGTTCGAAAAACGTTTTAAAAACAAGTCCAGAAGTTCCATGGAACCTCTTAAAAACGCGTAGACTAGAAAGACAACTTTCTATTCTATTATACACTAAAATAATTCAGTTTAATTCAGTCACACCGCCGCACAAAAACTGCAATAATAAAAACAAACTCGGCGCGATTTACTGCATTTTCGACACCTCGAATCTAGTATTCACCAATTCCTCATCGGAATCTAATATAGGCAGAGCGGGATCGCTTTTAACATTCTCCTCCAACCATTTAAGATCATCATCGATCGACGAAACCTGAGGTGATGAATTTTTAGAATGGTGGATTCTCACTTTGACCCCGTACGCATCGTTCACCAGGTGCTCCTCCTCCTCGGCGTCGTCGCCCGTATCCAACAGCGGCACGAACGCGTACCTCTGGTTGTTGTTGGTGGGCCTCCATAGAATCATTATCACCAACAACAACAGCGAGAACAACACGTGCCAGTAGGCCTCCTCCACCCAAATGTCCTTCCACACCACCAGGCACTCCACGAAATGGTGCACTTTGATGCTGTACAGCATGAAGAACACCGACGCCAGCACGGCGAATATCAACGTGTTCGTAAAGTGCCTGTACAGGCCCAATTTCGCCTCGTTCCTCCTCAATCGCAGGGTCCTCGTGGTGTTCACCAACGCGGAGAATATCCACCAGCATATGGCCGAATCTAATACGGCTAATGGCACGGAAGCGACTAGAATATCTTTACTGGGATCGTTTTTGTCTTTCGTTATCCTCAGATAGGCTTCGGACGCTGCTAAGAAGAAATATAAAAGCCCGACGCCTACCACGCGATGCAACGTCGCGCCTAATCTAGGCTTCACGATGCCGAAACCTAAGCTCACGATCACCACGAGCATCCTGGCTAGGGTTCGCTTCGCGCAGGATATCCACTCGGCGAAGAGCATGGCCCCTTGGAATCTCACGCCGGTGTTGTTGATGCTCTGGTATTCAGCGTAGAAAGTGGCCTTCTCCAGCATGCCCAGCAGGATCACCCCGCCTATCCAGAATTGCACTCGCAGCAGATCCCGCCATTGGGTGAACGAGAGCACCAACCATATGACGCCGAGCATCACGTAATACAAGCACATGAAGCCGTAGAACGGGAGTAAAGGCCAATCGGCCGCCGATAGATATCCGTAATCGTGCTTCATTTCTATGTGAACTCCCACGCTGTACTCGGAGGTGTTGATGGTGTTAATCGTGAGAGCTAATACGTAGACGCCATCGTGGGGGATCTTGTGAATGGGTTGGCTGCTGCTGTGCTTCGTGGTCTTCTCCAGGCCGATGGGATTCTCGCGAATGAAGATGTGATCGTTGCAACGGTATTTCTCGCTGCTGTGGTAGACGTTGGTGTTGTTTTTGAAGTCCTGGTTTTTCCATGATGTCTCCTGTAACGCAGGGATCTAAGAGAATTGATATTGTTTGCGTTGTATTTACCTTTTTGAGGGTAGTTAGGGCGTCTGTGATGTCCCAACATCGGGATTGTATGATCGTTAAGCTTATTCCGATCTCTTGATCTGGAATTTTGGAATCGCAATTTACTGAAAAGAATAATTGATAGTAGTGTGTTTTTGATGTGGTGTATGTTTTGCTTACTTCCTATAAAAACTTCGGCTCCTTTGAATAGACTTTTCGATAAATGTATGCTGTTATAACCCTGAAAATAAAAAACTGATGAAGTGGCGGCAAAGAAGCGCCTTTATAAAATAACGAACCAATGTAAGGTTTTCATTCCATTTGCCTTCCATTGGCAGAGCGTCCGTTTTCGTAAACGCCAGTATTATAAACACTGTATAAATTTCGTATTTGAATATTCTCTTCATTTTGCTAAATTTTTTTGACAACATTCACACACAAAATTAGTTGACACATTTGTCACTCAATGACAATGACAGCTCTATTGACATTATTGACGTGTAAGCGACGTATGATAATCAGGTACGTTCAGAAAATTTAAATAATTTGTTGTTTGTTTGTTGGTTGAGAGGATTCTCGTTAATAATACATGCTAAATCGCGTAAACAAAGTTATTTTCAATTATTTAAAATAATTTTTGTAGTAAAAAGTAAAGTGGTTACATGATCTATAATGTTCAGGCCACAACAGTCAAAAAAAATAATTGGCAACACCGATCACGTCGAATCCAAAATTTATCAACAGCGCGAGACGGGAAGTAATCAATGAAGGTGTGTGTTTTGTGTCGATGTGATGTGCTTATTTCGTTCGGAATGATTTGTTGAAAACTGATCCGACGAGTATAAAACGCACGGTCGCAAAAGAAATGCACCATCAAATAATATAAGAAATTCGCCACTAACCGATTCTGCGGTTGCTAAAATGTCCTTATAATTGAGCATCAATTAGTGATTCTGGAAAAAAATTAACTGTCAAAATGAGTAGTGGTCAGGGTCTTTCTAAATTAAAAAAGAAACATTTTCGCGTGAAACACCAAAAAGTCAAGCTGTTCAGGGCGAACGAGCCGTTTCTGTCGGTCTTCATGTGGGGCATCAACCACACTGTAAGTAAAATTATACAAAGTTTAAATGTTTACACTCTTCTAATGTTTATTATTTTTTCAGATTAATGAACTCATGCACGTTACTATTCCAGTGATGCTTTTACCCGACGATTTTAGGGCCTATTCCAAAATCAAAATCGATAATCACCTGTTCAATAAGTAATTACATTTGTTACCTTTCAATTGATTTAATTGCGTGGTAAATTCATCGGGTAATTGAAATTCTGTTGTTGTTTTTAGGGAGAACATGCCTTCGCATTTTAAAGTCAAAGAATATTGTCCCATGGTGTTTAGGAATATCAGAGAGAGATTCGGTATCGATGATCTCGATTATAAGGAATCGTTGACGAGGTGAGAAATTTTATTGTACCATTGTATATAATAAATTTAAATTTATTCCGCTAAAACTCGAAGCATTTCTCTTGCAGTTACATGCGATAGGTATATGCAATTAAAAGTTATAAATAAAACGGAATCGAATGTTTAAACTAATTTTTTAATGGCCGGTTTTGTATGTTTTACCATGTAAATGAATACCTAATGTTTATTGGGAATTTTATTAAATAATTTTGGACTATAGAATTTTACCTGTTTATTAAAATTTTACGCATTTTTATCGCCATATTAATTTACGTCTTCGTGTTAAACGACTCGATCTTTAATCTATTTGAACTTATTAATTGCCCTCAAGGTTGTAAAAATTTTTCACCGAGGAATTTAATGAAACCTTATATAAAGTATGCCTGTAATAATAACACATTAGTAATACAAATTTGAATTTATTATTAGTCAGGTTTAACAATTATTATCGCGGTAAAAACAGGATTTTACTTGAGCAATAAAATATTCATTACGGTATTATTTAACTACATTTTTTTACCGCATTAATGATAAGGATATTACAATATGATAAAGTTGTTTGTTCGGCGTTTTAAATATCGGATAAATTTTAAAAAACGTTCATTTTTGTCGAGTCGAAATTAATGTTAATAAAAACCATCCCATTTTGATGTCATTGGAAATACCTATAAATAAACCAAGTGTTTTTATTTATACATCATATCATAAAATGCCAAGATCTATTTATAAATTTATAATGAAATTATCTGTATTTTTGATATCAGTAATATTTCGGATAACAATAAGCATCTCTCGTGTTACTAAATATATAAAATTCGTTGGAATTTTCATTGCACAACGATTGAATTATTTTAATTATGCAACGCACGCTCGATGCAATTGAGGTTCATCGCTAGGTTTTCTACAAAAATTAAATTAATTAATTAAATATATTATTATCGTTGTTTGTTGTTTTGAGGTCGCAACCGTTACCCGACGATTCGTCCGGCAAGAGCGGAGCGAAATTTTACCTAAGTTACGACAAGATATTCATCATTAAAACGCTGACATCCGAAGAAGTCGAGAGGATGCATTCCTTCCTCAAGCACTATCACCCAGTAAGCTGCTGAATATTCGAGTGGGTTGTCACTGCAAATCTGAAACTCACTGGCCTCTATCCAATCGTTTAAAGAGTCTCTTAACTTGACAGTTTTACATTGGTTGTTATGTAGTAACTAAGGACCTTATTTGAATTGACAGTTTTACATTGTTGTTATGGAGTAACTATGGACATTGTTTAGTTTGACAGTTTTATTAGAATTCATAGACTCATTTCAACAATTTGCAGTGGAACTCTTAGTATATTTGTTTACATTCCCGTTCCATTGGAATCACGCCTTATGGATATTTTGTCCTTAGTACATCGTAGAAAGACACGGAAAGACGCTCCTGCCGCAATACCTCGGAATGTATCGACTGACCGTGGACAATGTGGAAACGTACATCGTCGTCAGCAGGAACGTGTTCTCCAATCACCTGAGCACGCACAGGAAATTCGACCTGAAAGGCTCCACCGTCGACAGGGAGGCTTCAGAGAAGGAACGGGAAAAGGAACTGCCCACGTTGAAAGACAATGATTTCGTTAACGAACAAATGAAAGTAAGTCGAATTTGTTGATTTTTTTTTCAGCGGTGACTACGATCGAAAAATGTATATTTATTATGACATTTATTTTTGACAGTTATGTCACCGAGTCTAACCAATCACAGTGCTCGATTTTCAGTGGTGACTTTGATTGAAAAATTTATTCTTGGATCGCGTTGGGTATAATAAGGACCTTCCTTTAATCGATTTGCACATTATGAAAGCTCTTAAAAATAGCGCACGGTAGAAATTTCAACGCTGTTTTTGTTGTAGGTTACAATAGGCGAGGAAGCGAAATCTAAATTAATGGAAACCCTGTCGGCTGACGTCGATTTCCTGACTAAATTGCACTTAATGGACTACAGTTTGTTATTAGGTAAATTCGCTTATCTATTTTTTTATTATTCCAATTATATCTCAAGGTTTTTCCCAATTTCGCACGACGTATGTGCGACGTTTCATTATGTAGAATCCGTTAAAGGTGATATAAATATTTGTTCTCGTACTTTCTCTCATAAACAAAATGGAGGGGGCTCGTAAACAGCCATCTTGCTCTTTCGTACATAGATAAATAAATGATTTTTTTAGGTATACACGAGGTAGAAAGGGGCGAGCAGGAGCTGCAACGGCAGCGGGAACTCGAGGCGGAGAATCCGCAGGAATCGGACGAGAGCGAATCGGGCTCGGGCTTGGAGAATCGAACGATGGGAATGGCGACGCCGCCCGATTCGCCCAACGCCTTCGGGCAGTATTTGCACCGCGAGCACAGCCTGCAATACGAAGGTAAATTTAATAAAATTTACCAGTACTTAGACTTAGTGACAGGTAAGCTCGAAAAGGTTTTTTTTTTATTATTTGTACGTTCATCCGAGGGCGCTTACATCACGTAGTAGAGCTTATCGTCGATTAGTACTCGCGTAATCGCTATATATGTACAGCTTACGTAGATTAATATTCTAAGCGCGGTCGTATATTTATCAGCAATGTTGAGTTTAAAAAATGTCCTTTACAATATCGCCGCCTACCGGTCGTTTTAAGAACTACGAGGCACTTTTTTGGACCTCAGTTTCCAGACCTGATGATATATACGACCGTGATTCTAAGTAATCTAATCTAAGAAATTTGTGCATTTTAATCCATAGAATTGGTTAATTAATATACAATTAGCTCATTTGAAATCTCATATAAAAAATCATTTTGGACGAAATCACTGAATTTTGCGTATGGTTTTTTTAGGTTCTTTCAAACTGTACAAAGTTTATCCGTACATCAAACAGAAACGTAAACGTATAAGGCTGCAAGGTACAAAGAGAGTGACAAGTGCGATGATTTTTGAACTTTTTTTTTCATTTTTACGAATATTAACGATCTTGGCTTTCAATTGAGCTTTGTCAATTTGACGATTTTTAAACGAGAATGTGGATAAAACGAGTTTCAAATGATATGAAATTTCCAAGTTATTGGGAAACTCGATTTAACTGCAGGTTAATCCAACGTGTGTACAGGAAAAACGAATCGCCCTGTTTAAAATTAAATCGATTGTAACCTTTGGATTACCCTGTATATTAAGGTATTGTTGCAACATTTAATCCGTAACATACAATTTGCCTTATTAAGCAGCACATTGCAATTTTCGATAATTTAGAAAATTATAATATTTACATATTTCAAATGCCTACTGAATACACACGAATTAATCAAACACATAGTTTCAACAAAAACTATGAAATTTCCTGCGAATTAACGATTTATTTGAGCTTACTGTTTGCTTCATTCCGCTTTCAATTACACTCGCTAATCTCATATACAAAGTGTCCCAAAAGTAACTGACATTTTAAATTTACCAGAATCATCTATAACTGTCTAGAACAATTAAGAACGCTCCGGAACCATTTAGAAGATGAATTTATTTGGAAGATGAATGACAAAAAACTAACCCAATTTTTATCTTGTTTGATTCATGTAAGCAACGTTGCCATGTTAAAAATTCAATAATAATCGTTGGTTACAAAACCGTTTGGTTATAGAAACACTTCTGAATAACCCCGCGGGAGTTAGTTAAGAAACTCTTAACGTTAAACTCATAACGTTAAAGACCCTTGTGAAAGCTCAGTTACTTTTGGCACACCCGGTATAAACAACCCAATTCTAACGTGTTCTTCGTTTAACACTAATATCGGATGATTGCACATTCCGAACGTTTCAGGCGGCATAATACCGGAATTGGACATTTACGCGATACCGAGCTCGGAATCGGCGCCGGTCAACGAGATCTACTTCATAGCGATCATCGACGTCCTGACGCACTACGGCGTGAAAAAGCAGGCCGCCAAGGCGGCGAAGACGGTGAAATACGGTTCGAACGTGGACGGCATCAGCACCTGCGATCCCGAACAGTACGCCAAAAGGTTCATCGATTTCATGTCGAAGGCCATCGAGTAGATTGTAACGTTGAATTTGGAGAGGTGTGGAGTACGATAGAAGCGTATTCGCGCTGTACTCTCGAAGGGCTTTCCAGTTTGGCGGGATGGTGAGGTTCGGGGCTTCGTGTAGAGAGAGGTAGAGTCTGAAAACGCGTTTAAAATTGCAGGCTTTTTTGACGGATTGTTTTTTTTTTTTGTAAAATTCGATGTGGTTTTGTTGGTTTATGTTGTTCGAAACATTTTCGCACGTTAAATGGTGGCAAAGCGGTTGTTTAGTTTATTTTATTATTTTGTTTTTTTTTAGTTGGACTTTAGTGTGAAATCTAGTCGGTTGGATTATCTTTAAACGGGCCTTTAAAAAGGCGTTTTGTTTTACATGAAAATTAATTACGTACATAATATGAGCTATTGTTAAATATGCTTCGAAATTAGTATTAAGATTAAAGTTCCGGTGTATCTTGGATCGAAGTCAATCTAGATAAAAAATACGTTTTATCAAAATGTTGCATATTTATTTTGCCTATTAAATTTATTACTAATATCTATATTATTACCCTAATGTAATATTTAAGAAACCATTATTTTACCAATCACTACTTACAATTAATATCATTTCGAAAAAAATAACAGTTTTATTCTAACAGTACGTATAAGCAGATAAATTTGATGGGCAATCAATTAAATGTAGGTATTTAGGTACTACAGGGACATGATAAAAAGTGATTTAAAATAGAACAATTCAATTTCTACCAAAATTTTAATAAATTCGATGTTGCTAAAACATAGGAGTATATAAAAATAAATTTAAAAAATAACTTCCATTAATGTTTAAATTTCTTTCGTAGATAAATAAATAATAAGTGGAATGATGTTTGTGGATCGGGTGGAAAAAGTCGTTTTATTTAGTTTAGGTACCGAAGATTTTTTTAAAGTTTAATATGTAGGTGGTAAAACAAATTAAATAATTTTATTTTAACAGTACAGGATGTCCAAAAAGTTGTGTACAAGTTACCATCAAACACTTAGGTACATGCCAATTTTATATTCGTTGTAGAAACTTTTTGAAGCATGCTGTATATTTTACTTTTTTAATCCTTTAAAGTACAATCAGACACAATTTAAATTTAGAATTTGTTTTTATTGCAAAATTCTTTCGTATTTGGCGAATTTTTCAACTTGTTATGCATATTATAAAATAAGCATTTTCGAGGAAATCATTTGAGTTAATTCCTTTGAATTATATAAGCTAAAGAAAATTGTAAATAGAAAATATTTTACTTTTTTAACTTGTATATAAATTGTGATGTATTTCTAAATATATTTGGTTATTTTTTTTGTATTAAAACAATACACGTGTTTTTTCTCGCATTATTTCTCATTTATATCTTGTTATATTGGAAAAGTTATAAAATATATCCTTTTTTTATATTTTATTTATGTTTTTAGTAAGTTCCTACAATTTTATTATAGGTACTAATTATAGTTGTTTAAAAACTTATCGAAGGACTCTGTACATGTAATGTAAATCCTGTGATTTGTGTTTGTGATTGACGATATTCAGAATAAAGCCATGATTAAAAAAACAAACTAATCAATACAGAGATCTTCATTACTATTAAGAAATCGCATAAGGATACATTTTAAACATTTCTCGAAGCTCAGCACAACTCTTATAATCTGTAAAGCCATGTTTATTGAAAACTTTCTGTGATCGTAAGCGAAAGGTCAGTTTTTTGTACTTTTTATATACATTTTCTACTGTTTCCGCATTTTAAAAAAATATTCGTTTCAACGCGTATACGACAAAAAGCGCAAGTGTTAACGTATCACAGATTTTTGGCGAAAGTCGAAAGGAATCACGCATTGTGAAAATTATTTCCATGGACTTCGCTTTCGTACACTTATTTAAGACTCTTTACAAAACACACGATTTGAATTGTTTGTAACGTGTGTGACGAGAAACTTATCGAACTAGGATTTTTCCGAAAAGTATCAAATGTCTTGGACTGATTGTTTTGTTTCAATAAAGCTTCTATAGTCTTGTCGTGTTTTTGTGTACCAGCTTACAACAATCGAGAGGTAAAAAGTAAAAAATACTCGTTGAAAAATTATCCTTTTTATGTACATTCATATTTTACAGTATTTTATAAACTAAATTATAAATAAAATATTTTTTGTAGTCGAAAAACAAATCACAAATTCTCATATAACCGACACTAAATAGTGAAACTATGCGAATGCAGAAAAACAGTCACGTTTCTTATTGTACTTATAAAATACAAAATAAAAGTTACTCCACCGAACAAGAAGTTTCACCTGCACAATACAAAAATATTACTCGATACTCCATAAACATTAAGTCAGTCAGTGCACTTGATATATCAATGGTTTTAAAGTAAAATGTTTTTCAGATCGTATTTAACCCAGTAAAAGCTAAATCTAGATTAATCTAAAAAACTTTTTCAATGTTTGTCGAAAAAATTTGAAATGCAACAAAAAATATAACTGGTGTGATAACCGTTTTTTACAATTACCAGCAAAAAAAAATTGTACATCTTCAATCGAGTTGTTCTTTAAATAAAAGTTTCTTTTATCGCTCATTCGCTCTCCTAATATCTTCTAACACTCACTCCCTACATTCTCAATTATACATAAAAATAATATTTAAAAACGTATTATTCTTTTTATAATACAAACCTAATAGACTGAATAATGATCGCTTATTAAATTCGTTGTATGCTAGTGATAAATGAATTTAGGCCATTTTATAAACAGAAAAATAAAACAGATTTATAAAACTAAACTAACATGCAGTTATCAGTTTTGCCACACAACTATTCAGTCTACCAGATTAATAAAATCGTCGTTTTTAAAATGCAGTTGGCTGAAAATCATTCCGGCTAAAACGAATAGAATACACTAATAGAGGTATGTTATACGACTGAAAATAAATTTTAGTTGAATAGGTATCAACTTGCACGTTCGATATATCTGAAAACAGAAAAAAAATACACTCAATAACCTCATCTACTAACAACAAACTAAAATAAAACTCACCTAGTTCTAATCAGCATAAACGATGTAATCCGGATCATTGACTTCGACTTGTACAAAAGGATGCTGAATCATTTGTATACTATTCGAAGTGCGTTGCAAATTGTTTCTAGACCTTAAAACAAAAAAAAAAATACAATTTGCACACGTACAATTCATTAGACATATTCACAACTTACTTGGCTTTGGCATGAGTTAAAATGTGACTTTTCAAGTTGGTAGACTGCGCAAACTTCTTATTACACCCATCAAAGGGACACACATACGGCCTATCTCCCGTGTGAATCCTCACGTGGGTTCTAAAAGACAATTAATTCCTTAATGTACGAATAACCAGGCTCGTTAATGTAGACTTACCTCAAGTTAAAATCTAAACTGAATCTCTTTCCGCAGCCCTCGAACGTACACTGGAAGGGTTTCTCGCCCGTATGCACTAACTGGTGGCGTTTCAGCTTACTCGACTCTACGAAAGCTTTGCCGCATTCCGCGCAGACGTGCACTCGAGGTCCGTGGGTGTGCAGGTGTTTCCTCATTGCCGAATTGTCCCTGAACATCTTATTGCAACCTTTGTGTGGACAAGCTGTAACAAACAGTACGAGCATTATGTATGGGATAATTGAGTGCATTTTTGGAGTTAGTGGCTGGATATCGATAGGGCAAGAGGCCACTAACAAGACAGTTGAAGGGTAGTAAAAATATTACCAATGGTCCTGTCTGTGTTGTCTTGGTTTGGTCTCCGAACTCTTGGACTTTTGAGTCCGGGCCTGGCGAATTCGGCTAATTGCTTGGGATCCGAAAGGTCTAAACCTGGTATACCGTCGACTGGAATTTTCTTGCTGGTCATGTATTCGGTGTAATCCGGGTCCGGTTCGGGATTGGAGCCTTCATCTGAAAGTTTACATTTCCATTTAATTTCGGTCCTACAGTTGTTTATTGTATAATAGCGGTGTATTTGAATAGAAATTTTTTGTATTTTAATTTGAATTTTAGCGGCAACCATATTTAGGTTGGTATTACTGAACTAAAAAATCAAAGCCTACTAATTTCTAAAAATAGTAAAAGGAAATTCAGATAAATCAATAAACGAGTATAAAAATAACATTAACGTAATTATTTACATAATGTTTGAGTTAATATTCGAACAACAATTACGTATTTTTTTCTTTTCTGTTAGGTTAGAAATATTGCAGAATTGAAGTATGAAGTGTCCACCATCATTACTTTTTTATCGGACAGTAGGCTACGCAATACGCAATGCAATATGGCAGAAATCGGCATGACGGGCGGCGCTTCGCAAGTTTTTTTTACCTGAATTTCGGCTCCGAAATCGAATAAAATCGGCATTTCGAAACGCGACAAACGAAAAAATGTTTCAAGTGAGTGATAAAACGAGTGACCTAAGTGACCTTGACGTCGAATGGAAACTTCCGTTCGTCAACCGAAATGAAAATGTACCGGGTCGGTGAAAATAATGAAAATTAAAATGAAATGAATTACCATCACTGGCACCCGAAGCCCACATGGTTACGGAAAATTCACCTTCCATTGTTTTGATTTGTACTTGTTTTTGTTCCCACTTCCGAGGTTTCGTTTCGACGTGCATATCACTGAGCAATTCGTTTTCGCGACGGGACAGAACGCTGCGGTTTTTCATCATTTTTTTCCTCTTCGAGGGCCCCGGAGAGGACTCGACGTACTCCACGTACAAATCGGACGAATCCGGCTCCGGGACGTCGTACAAATGCAACGGATCGCCGGAATCGTCTATGATTTCTTCCTGGGCCTCTAAAATGATATCTCTGCCTTCCAGGGATTGCATAGACATCATAGGCTCCCCGCATTCGACTATAGTCTCACAACCGTCCGTCATCTCCACCGGATTCGTCTCGATTTCAACGCATTCTTGAATGTCCGGTTGAATTTCCACTTCGCACATGATATTTTGATGGTCCGCCATAAGTATGGCTGCTATTTTGTTTATAAAAGATGGTCGAACAAATATGGCCACTCGCAACACAACAATGGCGGACAACGAAACTGCTTGACTTGACGCGATTCGCGGAGAGGAACTAGCGCGTCCAAAACCGAACTTATCAACGACCTATCGCGATGTACTGTCCTTGTCTAACACGTGGCGGTTTCCATAAGAGTTTTCTAACAGGTGTTGAGGTTGTTAATAATTTTGACGCGTGTGGTGCCATCTTCACGTCAGTAGAGAAAGCTAGCGTTATGAATTAAAGAAGCCGGTTTTACACTGGGTGAATATTTTTTTAAGGGATTGGCATTACTGTTTATTTCAAATTACAAAATTTTATTTTTACGAATGAAATGTTGAATTAAACGACTAGTTTTTAGTTCACCTTATAAATATATGTATTTATTGCCAAAAAATCAACCAATTCGAAAATATACAGTCATTCCGAGGAATTTGTTCGATAAAAAAGGTACAAGATTTACATACAATAAATTGCTAATAATCCCTATAACCCACATTAAAATTATATACACTTAGTTTTCAACATGATATCCCTATTCAAGACAATCACAGTTTTGCGCTATAAAATTAATTAAAAAAAAATCAAGTAAGTTATGTACGAATGGAATAATATACAATTTAATGATGGTGGCCCACCGTTAATAGCAAAGGGAACAAACAGCCCACTATTAAAAATAATACTTCCACACTTTTGAGCCGGTTGCCATGCGTCGAAGGAGCCTTAGCCGAGTCCACTTGAGGCAATCTATCGTAACTGTGAGAATTCCCGTATCCCTGCGTTATTTCCGCCAATACGTGCACTGTCGCTACGTACAAAAACGTCCCGGCCGAAAACAGCATAGCTATACCTAAAAGATTTTGAATATTTATCATTCTATACCCTAAGTTCATAATTGCTAGCAGTGACGTCATTTACTGTAGCGAATCAGACCAATAAGATCTCTAGCTAAGTACTGACGTCACTGTCAAATATATAGAACATGTACCAGTGGCATTTAGAGATGTCAATGTTTCCTTCTGCTTTTGGCCGATTCCGAAGTAAGTCAAGCACGTCAAAACAGGCGCTGCTAATGAGAAAATCATCAAGTGTTTCCTTATTCGTTGCCTGCAATCAAAATTTCATGTACTAGTCGAATAATCAGCCGTCGAACTAAAAATACCGTTCGAGTCCCTCGTGAAGAAGGAACGTCACCAATCCGAAAGCCGCCGGGGCTTTATGGAGCATTATTGCTAAAAATACTATCATTTCGACGTCGGCATGACTAGTAGTGGCCGCAGCGCCCAATGCTACTCCGTCTACTGCTGCGTGCACTACCAGACCTATCGTGGCAGTTACGTTTCTATCGGCGACATTGACATGCTCGTTTTTACTTTGAGATATCTACAACAAAAAACATTTTGACCCACATTCTGGTTGTGTTTGGAAAACAATATATTACTAGGTAAACAAGCTTGTGGTGGTCTCACCTGATCGACTAGCAGCATGCATATGAAGCCTAGGATTAGGCTGATACCGATCACAGATAGAGGATCTTTGTGTTCTTCTTCTAGATGCGGTTTATCCGAAGTGTGGTGAATTTCTTCCTTTAAAAGAGATCGTACACCTTCAGGTATGATTACAGTCAATGCTGTGCTGACTAGAAGGCCTGCGCCGAACACAGTGATTTTCTTAAGTTTGTCCTAAAATAATAAAGGAAATATAATTGATATAAATATGCTTACCTAAGGTGAAAGTATTTGTATTGATATTGAATGCTTCAAATATGAAACAACAAATTATCTGAAATAATTACGAATAATACAAGTAATATTACCTCTGAAAACGTAAAAAATAGTGGAATAGACCCGGCCAAAAAGGATCCAATCAACATCACCCCAGCCAGCCCTAACAGCATAAATGTTTCTTCCATATTTATCCGTTCTTCTAAATCAAACTACTTATGAATATACTATAATATGATTATTTATACATTGTTGATTAATTTTGTTGGTGGTTTTTGCACGTATCGCAACGAAAAAGTAATAAACAATGTGAAAAAATTTAAACATACGAATAACACGTCCCCGAAATGCCACAACAATTTCACTGTTCTTCTGACCTACACCAACATACTTTCTTTATCGCGTCTTTTTTATTTCCACAAATTAAACAGAGAAAGCTATATATTCACATGCGTGAGAACGTCATATGACTACTGTCATTACTGTCAATGTCATTTTTTTAAAAACACTGTTGCCAAACAAAAATATCATAATAGATATGTCTAAATTGACAGCTAATCTGGTAGCACTGCTTCTTTTCACAAAAAAAATGTATACAAGAAAAAATAAATAAAATAAATTTAAATATGAACTTACAAACACTTTTCCAAGATTTTAATCCAAGGTAAGAGATGCCACATACTAAATTACTCTAGTGATATTAAAAAACCTTCTGTTTTGATGTTATTTTCAGCAAGTTCGTTGTACATACTTGCCTTCTGATATTTACAATTCTATTCGCCTTGAAATTAGATAAGTGCGTGTCCTGGTCGTTTTGGATCGTCTTTACTCCGATATGGGTCTGGAAAGTTTTAGTGATAATGGGCGCAATTGTAGGCAGCTACGTGTGGTGGAGGTATCCCCATTTCAGGTAACTGCATACAGCAGAATCCCCTTCTAATTTCGACTGACGGTATTCATTTTAGACTGGAAGGTGAGGCCTACGTACATTACAAATCGATGCTGATATCACTAGCATTGCACTTGATATTACTTATGTTCGAGCTGCTGGTGTGCGACAAGCTCGAATCCGCAAGGCACTTGTGGATTTTAGTGTTTATACCTTTAATTTTTATATCGATTGTAAGCGTTGCCGTTTGTATATGGGCTGTAAAACACGATAGATCTTTTGAGGTAATAATTATTGTATTTGCACTATTTTCGTTGAATCTCGTTTAATTTTTTTTTAGCTTGAACTTTTCTGTGCTGTGAACGTTTTACAATTTATCTTTCTTGCCTTGAGATTAGATGGGTTTATATCATGGTCGTGGGAGGTGGTATTCGTACCACTTTGGATCGTAATGTGTCTCTCGTTGGTAATAGAAGGTACAATTACTAGTTTTATTTAGCTAAATTATTGCTTTACAGGTGGGTGTTTTGTATACCATAATTTTCGCTGCCATTTTACTACGAACTCCTGAAGTCAGTGCTCAACAACGAAGGAGTAGCTTCCATTCCGCTGTCGGGTACACTTTTTTAGTCATCCCTATTCTTGTCTTTCAGGTTAGTTTAAATCAAACAGCGAAAAATATTTAATAATGTTAATTTCTTTACGCAGGTTTTGTTAGCGGACAAATTAGACGATGATATTAGATTATCATATATCGCTGTTGCCAGCCCCCTTTTTGTATCGTTTGTTACGCTTATTTTAATGTCGTTCAGTGCCAAAGGAGGAAATAAATGTAAATTAGAAATGCTAGAATGGATGTAGTGGTAATTTGAATTTTTTCGTAGGGTGGTTCGGGATGAGAAAAGACTTCTGTTCGTTCGTGTTAGGAGCATGTCCGCTTCTTCAAGAATATGCCAACATTGCGTATCATAGCGAAAGACGTACGAACGGCGTGGAATTGGAGTCGCAAATCGTCGGCGCCAAGGAAAAGACCGTAAAGAGAGCGGATTTGTTGAAGCCAGTCGTACCCATTATTTCGATAGAGATACCAGACTGAATATATTTATTGTTAGCGTAGGACCTTGTACTAGGTTAAGCCCTCGACAAACACAATTTATCCGGAAAGTTTTTCATAACCGATTTGTGAAACGTTTTTACTAATAATTAGACGCGTAAGATATGCTGTACGAAGGGATGCACAAGTGTTGAGAGGGCTTGGGTTAACAATATGTATTTTTTTTATTTATACAATATACAAAAATTGAAATAGACGTATAATAATAAAACGTTTAAATTTCTTGTGTAAATTATACGAATTTTGTTATTAGGAAGCAAATTATAGGAACTGTAAAATGGGTTGCCTAAGTAACCTACTTCATGTTTGTTACCAAACACCTGCAAAGGAAAAGTTCTGAAACTTGTTATTTCCATCATTGACATATATGTTTTTGTTTGCAGGTTATATTTACAAACTTTTAATCTATTATTCTAGAATAAGATTAATAATGATAAAAATGAAACAATGACACCTAATCCTTCTGTAATTAAGTTAACGCCAGAGGAATACAAACAATTGGCTTCGTTTAATATAACATACGGAAGGGCAAACACTAAATTTGGCGATTGCTTGATGGCTTTGAACGAAGAGAGCTTTTGCTTCGTGCATTTCGGCGATACAGACGCTGGTATCGATGAATTGAAAGAAACGTTTCCTAACGCGAATTTGTCGCTAAACGACGGTTTGATTAGGGAAAAGTCCCATCTGTTTGACTCCGAACAGCTAGACATCAAAGTTACTTTGAAAGGTACGTTGTTCGAAATGCGAGTTTGGGAATACTTAGTACACGTTCCCAGAGGGAAGACTGTGTTTTACGAAGAAGTAGCCAAAGGTATAGGCAAATCGAAATCGGTGCGAGCCGTAGCCAAAGCTGTAGCTAAGAACAGGATCGCCTACTTTGTCCCTTGCCACAGGGTTATCTATAAAAATTTAAAATTAGGCAACTACAAGTGGGGCGAAGATCTAAAGAGGAAATTATTGGCCAACGAGAAACAAACGTAATACACGCTTTATTAAATATAGATCCGCAAATCAATTTACAAGGACATTTTTTAGAGCTAAAAGGAAATTTCTGGATTTATTCAACAATTGCCGGAAAAAGAAATTAAAAGAAGTCGCCCAGGAAGATAGAGAAGATAAATGAATATCATATAAGACTATTTCTATAAGCCTAACTGTGATGCATAAAGTATTAAATATAATATATTTTTACTAAAAAGTATTGTAAATACTTCCTCTAACGGAAAAGCAGTAAATTAAACTTGAACGAGATCTTGGCCTAAAATGTATTACTTCCTTAACTAAATAAATACAATTTACACATTAGCCGTTCACAGAACCTGCGTAGCAACACTGTTTGTAAAGTATATGAAAGCACCAGTCAAGTTTATGAAAGTAGCACTGAGAAACACGGACATCCACTTGCCGTCCGAGTAAGTCACTAAACTGGCCGTGACCGGTCCGCAAAGTATACCCGGAACAGTAGCTATAGTATTGCTTATAGCGAACGTGGTGCCCGCGTAATTCGGCGCTATATCCACGTGATTGCTCAAATGCCCCGCCGAATTGCTGGCCGATAGCCCCATCGAAATGCTAACGAGAATGAGAGCGAACGCCAGGTGATCCACCACGCAGAATATAGCCAGGAACAACGCCGGTCCAATCAACCCAATGCTAGTCATGAGCCTTCTAACGTTCAATACGGACCAATTTTTGCTTCCCAGCAATCCATCGGCCACGTGCCCGCTAATCACGCCGAATATGGAATTCACGATGTAAGGAACAGCGGTCAGGCTCAAACTGTGAGAGTTCGCGCCCAGATACCTCGACAGGTAAGTAGGTAACCACTGCATAATGATGTAAGAGGACCAATTCATCGCGAAGTGAGCCACGTAGATCGCCCACAGGTGTTTGCTGAATACGAAATCCGCCCAGCGAATGCTGTGGTTTATCACCTTCGGCATGTGCAGGGGCAGGGTTTCTTCGGTAGCGTAGCTGTCGCCCGGGTAGGAAAAGTTCCACAGGATTAACCACAGCAGGCCTAAAGATCCGAACCAGTAGAAGCACGCTTCCCACGAGAGATGCGGGCACAGAACCGATGCTACTGTTTGTCCTACAGAGCCGGAGGCGAGCAAATAAGAGAACGCTCGAGATCTTTCTTCGACGGGTATGTTATGAGCAAACAGATGAAAGATCGTAGGTAATCCTTTAAAAAATCAATCGAATAAAGAAACTTACGCTGTGTAAATATATAATGAAGCTCTCACCCAATCCTTCGGCGAATCCAAGTACAATTCTGCAACTTACGAGAGATATGAAACTTCCGGCTAATAATGGCGTAACAAACGTTGCGATGCTCCATAACAATACGCTGCATAGCAGCACGCTTTTAGCTCCTACTTTAGTAGCCCAAAAGCTACCTAAAATGAAGATGGGCATAAGAACTAAGCAGTTATTAAAAGTAATGGTACATTACCGAGTAATTGACTAGTAAAGTAACCGAACGCAAAGGCCGATAAAATCCATCCCTGTGCATGTAAACTCCATCCGAATATATCGGTCATCGGTACGATTGCTATGGGCATAATAACTCTGTCAGCGCTATTAATGAAATTCGCTAAACTGCACAATGCAACGATTCTAGAAGTTCTAGATAACCAACGTATTCTCGCCATTTTTGTGTTAAATTTATAAATATTTATATATCTTTAAAATGGCACTGTTATTTTGTATTGACGTGTAAAAGGATATTATATTATTTGTAGTCCTACATTGTGTTTATTTAGATTTATCATATTTATTACAATTGCACAGCTGGCATTTGTAAAAAATTGTTATTTGGAATGTCATTGTTAGATGTCAATGTCAAAGGACCATAAATTCTTCTTTTAATGTAAACTTCCTTTTAAAATGTAATCACATATGATAAAAGGCCAACTCATATCAAAATTGAAGTGGGAGAAACAATTTGAATATTCTAGGGTGTAAAAAATTAACTGGGAATTTCCTTATTAAAACAACGGTTACATATAAATATGCATTTATTGAAAAAATAAGAATAAAAAAATACTAAGTCTATAAAGTATCGATAAAATCGATATAGATAAAAACTATCCTAGGTTTTAACAAAAATACCTTAAAATATTGAGCTTAAAAACTATTGCACATATAGTGTAAAATAAGTATGTATACAGCACTTGCCAGCTATTCATGTAACAATTTAATTTGTTTAAAATATGGTCGATTCTATGAGTTGAACAAAGAAAGATTATTAATATAACAGTGGTTAGAGCGAGAATGTTGCAATTCCAAAATATTACTCTATTAATATTTTTTTTTCTCCATAAAACGAGACTAATGAAAGTTGTCTTTGTTGCACCATTAGCCTATATTGCTAACAATTTTTCCTCTACCATCTACCTGTATAACATTATTCAAAGTTTATAGACTATGATAGCTGGCAACTGTAAATTTTCAAATTCAAATAAAGTAATTAGCCAATCAGTAAGGTTCACAGTAATAATTTTACATTTTAATTATCACGAATGAACTAAAGGAACGAAAACCCAATTCCAATTATATCACCAAACCAGCTTTGTTTTGAAACATTTAAGTAGAACAACGAAACACTAATAAACCTACATGTCATTTAAAGAACTTATTATAAATTCTTTAATACTAATACAGATCGAAGTGCATAGCTAAAAACCTCGAGATCCTCAGCTATTCCTGTCGATCTGTGCATCCTAGAGGAGGACCGAAAAATATTGAAATAATAAGTCGAATATTTTGTTTATCCAAGGAAATAAATTTTTCTCGATAAAAATAAAAAAACTTGTATCATACCGAGAAAAATTATTCCGAATAGAATGCTTAATAATTAACAAGTGCTTATGAATGATTAAAAATTATGTAGAAAAAGTTAAGGGTAGGTTAATCAAGTTATCTGTATAAAAATCGATAAAGCATTGATAAATCCCTCTTAACGTACAGGTTTTGTAAAAATATTATTTAAATACTACGCTAAAAAAATATAGAAAAATAAAGACAAAAAAAAATTTAAAAATGAGACAGTTGCGTAATCGAAGACGATTCGTTGTCATTGAATTTAGCTGTGGAGAAAACCATCAATGTATATCAGATAAAAATAACAATAAAAATAAACTTACCTATAATTGTTTTCACCGATTCCAACCCCTGCAAGTAGGGCTGTTGCTTCTCAATATCGTCTCCGCAACGCAGGATCTCACCAGCATATAAATCATGCACATATTTCAAAACGTTATTCCTCATTTGCGGACCAAGCACAGGAACCTGGATATAACGAATTTAGAATCGCCATTTTATTTAAATGAACGCACGAAACACTTACAGTCAACTCTTGCAAGTTTCTGCTCAGAACAACAGAAGCTTTCTTGGATGGTTTCTTAGCGACTATCATCCCCCTCTTTCTACTTTTAGCAGCCGGAATGTTTTCGTCCTTCTCTCTGTCACGTCTAGGACAGGAACATATTCTCACGTTCAAATTTTTACGACCCAGCGTATTACCGCTACGAAAAAAACGACCATATTAATACCAAAACTCTTGGGAAAACCCAAAGAATCTTACTGGATATCCTCTAATGTAAAAACGATTTCTACGGGTTTTCTATTTATACCGGGCGCCGGGCACGAGTTCAAGCAATAGAACTCGAACCGTTCTCTAACTCTATCAGTTCTAGCTAAAGGTATGACGAAGCTTAGCCTGTCACCTTTAGCTTTATCACCGTAATATTCTGTATTTTTGTTAAGGCACTTGACGATATGGCACTTTTCCTTTGGCAGTTCTGAAAATAAGCGATGAAAAATGCGTATCGGAGAGGCAGTGTGTTTACCATCGGATGGTCCGTTAAATTCGTGATTGGGACACCTGTACACGCAGTCTTGGGCGTATTGGGGCGAATTGAACATCGGCGTTACTCGTACGAACAACTGGGTATCCGGCGAGTTGTTCTTAACGATAAAATCTATGGGAACCGGGGATTTCCTGTCCGTGTAAATCTTATTCAGTTGGGCGGAGTACTGAAAAACGAAACGCTCAAAATCACGACAAAACGTGAACGCTACTACTCGCAACACAAAGTTAAAAATATTAAAACTGGGTTAAATATTAAGCGATAAAGAACACTGTACCTTTTAACAGCGTCGCATTATATCCGTTAAAGATATAAGTAACGAATATTTCTTAAACCTACAATATCAATTCAATAACACATCTTGAATTAAATACAAGTGGAATACAACTAGATATGTAATATGTCGAATGGTTTTACCTCCCATGGGTTCTTCGATCCCGTACAAACTATAACTTGGAAATCATATGGGCCTTGAAACTCTCCTTGTGTGACATTTAATTTTTGATCTTCGAGTTTGATCGACTCGGCTTCCTGTAACGTAGAGTAATAAATGGAAGAAAAGAAATTGAATTGAAGAAGTAAACCTTTGGTAAATCCGCGGGGTAATAATCATGGGTATTCTGATAATTTCCATTCAAAGCGACAGTTTGTTCGTTGTGGAGTAACAGCGAATATTTTTGCTCCTGAAAATCATCGATCTAAAGGGGATAATTATATTAGATAAATTTGTATCGAATCTTTCCTATTGAGAATATTATGTTTTTTAAACTTACAGATATTTCATCGGATAAATTAAATAAACTAGGATCGTCTAGATCGACGTGTGCTCTAAAAATTAAGCAAGATGTTATTTAAAACGGTGCTTTTTTTTGAATACGTACAATATATAACTCTCGTCTTCTTTGCTCAACAACTCCGATTGGAACGACATGACCTAAAATATAACGTTAGTAAACAAAAATTGGATGAAGAAAAATCTAGAAGGCATATTTTCCATGCAAGGTGAAAAGGTTATAAAATGCACTTACGATAGGAAAAGAAAGAGCGACTTTGGTGATCTGTTGTATTGGAAGATCTTCATGCACTTAGCACTAAATAACGATTAAATAATAAACTAAAACTTTTTGGGAACCTTTTGAAGGTTTTTTAATACATTGCAATAACCGGAAGGGATTAGGAAACTAAAAAGCTACAAAAACACAATCACCGACACCATCCTCCATGAGCACCAAAGTACCGAGAGCGAGAGATCCATCTAAAAGTCATATAAAAAGAAGAATTTAAATGAAATTGCTGAGTCATTTGTGCTTTTTGCCATTGGAAGAGCACCCTGCGTTGCCATATTTATAAAAATATTTCGTATTTTACAATTACAAGTTATTCCGATTCTTTTAAGATGCAACTATCTATTAGAATCAAGCGGAAAAAATGCATTTAAACGCTATTTTTCTTTAAAGCAATATTTATTTAATATAATCAACAGGTGTCAACCTGGCAACAAGTGGTTTGGATTAATGACACTAATGACGTTTATTGGATGCGTTCATAAATTTATAGAACATTTTCTGTAATTGAATTTTAAATAATCAACGAACAGTAGCAAAGATTTTATTACGTTAAAAATTGTACTTTTAACTTTTATTCTTATTAACATCTGCTAGAAAATTTTATAAAACCAAAAATAAATGTCACAAATTAACGTACCTGCCTTTGACATTGACATTACACAACCTCAGTTTTTGAATTATTTATATTTCTTCCTAACCTACAAATAAGTTGTGGGATCTTTTATCTTTATTATTTTTAAATTAAAAATCTAAATATAGCGATAAGGAGTTTTTTTGACTCTTTGACATGTTCGTTATCGAAAATTAAATATTCGGTCAATCGTAGGCCAAACATTCCCGTAAGTACATCTACTCGCACCGATTCTTTCCAGTTTTCGTTTAGTCGCAATTTAAATTTTTTAAATTAAAATGGGCGGAAAATTCACCAAACTCGATCCTATGCAAGTTGAAGTACCAGACATTGATGCATTACTTAACAGAGATCCCTATTTAAGACCGTACGAGAAAGAAATCCGGCGAAGGTAATAAAATGCGCGTTGACATTGAGAAGGTCATGAATTTATTTATCCATTAATCTAGTATGCTAGTAATATATATGAATATAATTCAAATTCGTTTGTTTTTATTTAATATTCGTTAGCAGTACATGATTTATTTTTTAGGTATGCTTGCTTCAAAGATATCGAAGATTCTATTGAGGAAAACGGTGGAGGATTAGACAACTTCACGAAAGCTTACAGATATTACGGTATCAATATTCAGCCGGATAACACCATTATTTGCAGAGAATGGGCTCCCGGAGCGCAGCAATTATTTTTAACGGGAGATTTTAGTAAGTTTCGTAAACCAATTAAATTAATACGATAATAAATTTCAATTCATCATAGACGGCTGGAATAGAGACAGCCATCCGTACAAGAAACTGGAATACGGAAAATGGGAATTAATCTTGCCGCCTAAGGAAGATGGTTCTCCTGCCATTCAACATTTATCGAACCTTAAAGTTAGTAGAAACTTATGTTATTTTATGTACATCGTAACCGTATTGTGTGGTATTGTAGATTGTTGTACAAAATGGGGAAGGCCACAAAGAAGACAGACTGTCACCTTTCGCTACTTACGTCGTGGAACCCCCTAAAGAAGAAGGAACGATCTACAAACAAAAATTCTGGAATCCTCCACAAACCGAGGTAAATTTCTTCGATACCTACTTATAAAACTTGCTCTGTAAATTCGTTTCGTAGAGGTACATATTCAGACACAAGAAAGTTCCGAGGCCTAAAAGCCTTAGAATCTACGAGTGCCACGTGGGAATCGCCACTCAAGAACCTACGGTGGGATCGTACGATAATTTCACCGATAATGTCCTGCCCAGAATCGTCAAATTGGGCTACAATTGCATCCAACTCATGGCCATCATGGAACACGCCTACTACGCCAGTTTCGGATATCAGGTACTTGTGATGCATATCGAATAGTACCAATTTTAATTCATTCCGAATAGGTAACCAGTTTTTACGCCGCTTCGAGTAGATACGGTACCCCGGAACAGCTAAAAAGACTAGTAGACAGGGCCCACGAGCTGGGAATCGTAGTGTTGCTGGATATAGTCCATTCGCACGCCAGTAAGAACGTCTTAGATGGCTTGAATAGATTCGATGGTACCGAAGCGGGTACGATTAAACGACGTTTTCGAAGTGAACATTTTAACTAAACCGATTGTTTATAGGCTACTTCCATTCGGGTCCCAGAGGTGAACACTCCTTGTGGGATTCCAGGCTGTTCAATTACTCGGAATTCGAAGTGCTGCGCTTCCTGCTGTCGAATCTCAGATGGTACATGGAGGAGTACCAGTTCGACGGGTTCCGATTCGACGGCGTCACATCCATGTTGTACCATTCGAGGGGCATCGGGCAAGGTTTCGGCGGCCACTACGACGATTATTTCGGCATGGGGGTCGACACCGAAGGTTTCGTGTACCTCATGATGGCCAATCACATGATCCACAAGTTCCACAACGACGCCATCACCATCGCGGAGGACGTCTCCGGCATGCCGGGCACCTGCAGGCCCGTCACCGAGGGCTGCATGGGATTCGATTACAGGTATATAAGTAGATTTAAATCGATAAATAGGTGTTTATGTAGTGAGTTGTTAGATTGGCGATGGCTATTCCGGACAAATGGATCGAACTGTTGAAGCACAAATCGGACGAGGATTGGGATGTGGGCAACATCGTTCATACTCTCACTAACAGACGTTGGATGGAGGGTAACATCGCGTACGCTGAATCTCACGATCAGGCTTTAGTCGGTGATAAAACTCTCGCCTTTTGGTAAGCACCTCCTAAGCAAACCGCAGTCGTGAGTTTCCAGACCTGTACGCGAGATATAATTGTGTTTTAGGCTAATGGACAAGGAAATGTACACCCACATGAGCACCTTGTCGGATCAATCTCTCATCATCGACCGGGGTATAGCTTTGCACAAGTTGATTCGGTTCGTGACGCACACGCTGGGGGGCGAGGGTTATCTGAATTTCATCGGCAACGAATTCGGCCATCCGGAGTGGCTGGACTTTCCGCGGGCGGGCAACAACAGTTCCTACCATTACGCCAGGAGGCAGTGGAATCTCGTCGACGACGACATACTCAAGTATAAGTACCTGAACAACTGGGATATCGCTATGAATCACGCCGAAATGAAGTACGGGTGGCTGGCGGCCAATCCGGCCTATGTCAGCATGAAGCACGATGGAGATAAAGTAATTTTAATTGGAAAAAATGTGTTAAATAGAGTTGTTAATTTTGCATATTGTAGGTGATAGCGCACGAAAGGGCGGGAGTGCTTTTCGTTTTTAATTTCCATCCGACGAAAAGTTTCACGGATTACAGAATTGGCGTTGAAGATGCGGGAACTTATAGAATCGTGCTTTGTACTGATGATCAGGAATTCGGGGGTTTCGGGAGGATCGATAAATCGGTTAATTTCGTAACGGTTCCCGAGGGGTATTCCGGAAGGAGGAATTATGTACAGGTACGTTTATTCGTTTAAAAAAATCGATTTGGTGACTGAATTTATTGATTTTTTTAGGTCTACATACCTAGCAGGACAGCTATAGCTTTAGCTAAATTTTAAGAGTAAATATTTATATTCAATCAATATATTTTCATTTGAAACTTTTATCAAGTGGTTGTTGCAATAAAATGTGCCATAAATGGACTAAATAAATGTAATTAAATTACAAAAATTACTAAAAATGAACTCTTTTGTTGGTGTTATTGAATTTTATAATATTGTAATCATATTTTTGTTGAATAAAAGTATATTTTCCTTAATGTAGGTACGTCTCAAATTAAAACTCTCCTATCATACTTGTAGATTTCGACGTTCTATGTAAACTTTGTACCCATCTCGAGGCCTCAGAACTAAATGCGCTTTCAATTTGATATCTTCCACGCTTTTGTACGTTGTGAATATTTTATATTTCCTCAACACCGTGGAAAGTAGAGATTTCATCGCCATCATGGCGTATTTCGGACCTAGATTAATACTATAATTAGTATGATAGTCGGCGGATCTATCACTCACACTAAACTCTCGCTTCTTTACTACCGATATAAGTGAAGGGGTGCAATAGAAAATGAACGAGAATTCGGGGTGAGTGATAGGACCCTCTATCATTATACATATTGAGATACAAATCTTACCAATGCAATTCCTGGGGCCGTACGAGAAGGGCACGTAAGTGCAAGGGTGTCTTTTGGCCACTTCTTCGGGTAAAAACCTATCCGGATCGAATTTGCAGGGATCCGGCCAGTATTTTTCGTTCCTGTGGGTTCTCAGTATGCCGAACACTACAGAAGATCCCGCTGGTATGATGCAATTTCCTAACAAAACAAAAAAATGCTACATTTTACCCTTTATTATTTCATTTAATCGCTTACCTACGTCAATATCCTCTTCTATAGCGCGCGCTAAAAATCCTGCAACAGGAAACAACCTCAGGGCTTCCTTGATGAAACGCTCCAAGTATTTCAGCTTTGGTAAATCCCCGGGTTCCGGTTTTCGGTCGGGGCCAAGGACGTCTAAGATTTCTCTCAGGACTTTTTCCTAACATAAATTGTAGATGTTTTGAGTTGAAAAGCAGTAAAAAAATTAATGTCTTACTTGTAAATCTTGATGCAAACCGAGCATGGTGAGGACATAACAATTAGTAGAAGCTGTCGTGTCGGAACCCTGAAAAAAATGTTTTATTACACATATAACAAGGAAATGTAGTAAATATGTAATAGTAAATGTAGTAAGTGTAAATTTGGTGTATAGGAGCAACAAGGACAAGTTGTGTTAGTGTCATATAAAGGAGAAAGAAAATGATTATGGGATTGCAACTTTCTCACTTCAACCACTGTTATTTTAATAAGCTTTTTTTGTTCAACTCAAACAACTACAATCAACATTTCGTGATTATAATACGCACCGCAATAACAAATGTATCTACTTCTTGTCTGAGTTCGTTTTCCGAAAAAGCTACGTTTTCATCGTCTGTTATTTCCAGCATGTAATCTAAAAACGCCTTCCTTTTACGGGGCACTGAAAAATATACGCATAAAACTAGTAAAATTATCCCATTCCACTTGCATTTACTCACTTTCCTCGTGATGAGAGTCCAGCGAATTTTCCCTTTCTCTTTTCTTCTGTTCGAACGCCTTTTTCTTCTCCCTAACAACCTGCAAATAAATTTTTATTCCATCGACAGGAATCCACTAAGATCATCACGTGCTTACTTTCCCGGAAAATTCGTGCATGTTCCTCACAATCCTGCTGGCTTCTCTACCAATCGGCAACATATTGAACAGCTTATCGGGGTGGTACCATAAAATGAAAATTCTTAGCAACACTATTTCCATCATTCTATCTGTCCATTGGGTGTAAAGCGCATCTGTGGTTTGAGCGTTAACTTTCACTCCCATCGCAGTCTCTAAATATTTATAAAATTAAATACATAATATATTAATGTATGTGTTAGTTTACCGCAAATGATGTCCAAAGTGCACGTGGAAATGGCATGAAATACATCAAACTCCCCTTTTCCAGCGTGCTTTTCCAAATTTCCCACCAACACATCGGCTTGCTCGGAAAACACCTCGACGAAACTGTCCAAAATTTGTTGATTGAACGTCGGGGAAATTAATTTCCTGTGCTTCTTCCAACTCGGAACTAAAACAACGTAATTTTCAAAACTCTCGAGTTTATTTTGAGAAAATTGACACGCACCTTCCGCGGTGAAAAGCCCTTTACCCACCACCATAACAGCCTTATTATACAGCTCCTCTTTCGCCAGGCATTTGGTCATCAAAATTTCGTAATGTTTCGGTTCAGCCGTCGCGAAAAATAGCCTGGGTCCAAACCACACCTTGAACACCCCCGGATACGTTTCGAACAAACTCGAAATATTCGCTAAAATATCTGCAAGAACGCCACTAAAATCTTGTACAAGTACTATAGCTCTTTTAATAAGTTACCGTAAGCACTGCCGGTGAAATACCAAGCGGAGCCGATGAGTGGAAGGGCCGGAGGTCCATGTACCTGCTTGGCGAAAGAGTACAATCGTCTTCTGGTCCATAGGAATTGGACACACCATACTAGAAGGGCGGAAACGGCGGTGATGAGGAGATAATCGAAGGCGATCGATTTGTATTTCGCCGATGGGTTGGAGAATACCGTCGAATGGGCGTAAATCGAGTCGATCATCGCAAGAAGCCCTTTCCTAATTTGTTGCAATGATAGTAAAAGTTGATATTTTCGGGCGTACTAGATTATTTTGCTTAAATTTTGTTGAAAAATATTTAATAAAAGAGAAGTAAATTAGCCCGAAAATAACTCAAAATCGGATTAGAAATGAAAATTGCTTACCTTACTCGGTTTAACTGGAAACAAGAACTAAAGCAATGAAAAAAATAACGAAACAAGCGGCATAGATTTGCCCGAGCACTCAATGGGTCAATGTTGTTCTATAAAAGGTAGTTATTCTACAATTATCTTACAACTTACCTAAAAGCAACAAGCTCAACACAATTTTTTTATAATTTAATATTCTATTCTAATGTCTAAGTGCCAAGGTTGCATTCTCTTTATTTTTCATTTTTTTATTTTAACAATAATTTCTTACAAGGAGTAAAGGAAGGGTTTTCTAAACCAAGTTTCAACCACATTAACATTATAATCTAATTTTATCCTAAATAGGATTAATTTATTGTTTATTAGATATATGTATATTTTTGAGGTTCCCCTAATAAGCCCTCATTGTTTGTCAGGTTTTTAAGCGAAACGCCCTGTATATTGGAAAAAAAATGGTCGAGAAAATAGCACTTTTTATGCGCTTCAGTCGAATCTGCATTATTGCATTGAAATCAGTTGGATAAATTTAATTCTTTACGGTGAAGGTGAATACACGACCGTAAAATAATTACCATATATCATCGACGCAGTTATTTGTCTTTTTCGCTTTATAATCCGCGTTTAAATATTTTCGGTCGCAAAATGTCGATATTCTTGCGATGAAATCTCGAATTGTTCATGTAAATATACGGCGTGAAGTCGAAGACCTCTTGTTACAATTCGTCCTTCATAGATACTAATTACTATTTTTTTTCGTTCTTCGGTTTAAACGCTTCTTTAGTTTTTTTTTGTCTTCTCTTTTTTATACATTCCGAGCAACAAACGCTTTTAAGGCAAAGTCATGTTCGTGAAGGATGCGCAGCATGTATACAACTGGTTTTTTTGCCTTTCTGCCATTATATACCTACGTTTCTCGCTCTTTTCAGTTAGAAGAACCGATTTTATTTTCGTTAATTAGTTCAAGAAAACGCTTATCGTTCCTTCGACATGTAGAATTTCGCTCAGGTAAGCTTAGAATGATTTAAGAAAGGCGTGACGTCACGATCGAATTAACGTGAACGTTGTTTAGGTACCGAATAAAAATGCAAGTTTTTATATTGGCGGTTTAATTTCCGAGAAACCCGTTTATCAATCGTTTCGTTAATAAAAGATGATTTTTTACGCTATATTTGTCGTATCTTTACATTTAGTTTATCTAATTAATGATACTAATTAACGTTTCTCTTGGTAACATATAGGTCAGTGCTGCAATAATTTTGAAAATTACGTTATCGAAAATCACTCTTTGAACTAGGTTGTTTCAGTGATTGTAGATGAAAAAAAAATTAAAATTTATAAACTCTAATTGCGATTGACAAGACAATTTTGACGTACGTCGAATATTTCTGTCATATTTGACATATGTCGAAGTATATCTCACGAAGTAGTAGTTGACTTGGCTCTTGGCCTGTTATCTTTTGGCTATTGTTGGTCTCGTAGATGTCTATTTTCCAACACAAAACTAAAGAAAACGGCTACATATATTTAACATTCCACGAGGTCGTCGATTCTTTATTAATACCAATTTTTTGTATACGTGACACCATCGTGTAGAGGATACTCCTGCATGCCGGCGTCACGTGCTTGTTGTCGAAAAACTTTTAAAAATTTATCTTCTACGATCCACATTCTCTCCTGCTGCATCCGAGATTGCATTCGCGTTGCCGCTCGAACCGAAAGTCGCAGAATAAGGGAAATTGTAAAGAAAAGCTGGCGAAAATCGGGAAAATTTGGTGGTAGAATTGGGCGACAAAATGGCGGATTGTTTTGACAGTTGTTACTAAAAATTAAATTTGACCTTGCAGTGTATTGTAGACCCGAGAATGTAAATAGTCGATCATATCCAATAGGTAGATACATATAATTAGCTATATTTAACTAAAAATTATCTCACAAATATATTTTATGCAAATTATAGTCTACCTACTAAATTTACATAATTTTAATATTTTAACATATCATAAACAAAAATATTCTTCGAGTAAGTAAAACATAAACAAAAAAAGGCATTCAAATATAATTATTTCAGGCGGTATAATCAATACAATCCTCTGATCTCTGATCAACAAAATTAATTACAAATTCAAACCAGCGTCTACTATAATCATTGCAATTTTACCAATTCTTATTTATTTTTTAATCCAATTTTTAATGTGTATTATTAGAGTAATATGACATTATGACGATAGGAAACAGGAATAGCGTAAATACTGCTCGGAAAGTTTTAGAATTACGTACGTGTAGGGAAACCCTACGTTTGAACGCATAATAGCATAAAAGGTAATACAGCGAGGAGTGTGGTCGTTTTAAATGGATAATGATATGATTTCGATCTGGAACATTCTGAAACAATAGCCTGGGAATTATTCATTTTTTTTGCGAATTTACGCAGGAACGAGGAGTTGGCCGTGAACGTCAAAAAAAAACGTTTCGTTGATATCCTGTCAGAGTAGCCAATTTCACAAAAAAATCCCTATAATTTACCGCCTACTTTGTTTATGAACGCTTGTTTGGTTTGATTTGAAATAATAAGCAGGATATGCTTATAAAATTGTATGCTTCTCGATATCTAAATTTAATTCTCTCAAATGGTGTTTTTCTAATGCACACTCATCTACCCCATGCATTCATCTACTGCATTCATATTAATTACGTCTCGTTGACGCAACGAATTCATATACTATTTATAAAAATTAAAACCATTTAAACCTATTATGTAATATCTTTTCATTCAACTGGAAGCCTATTAAAGTGCATCCTGACTACCTCAAAGCGCTTCGAAGGTAATTACCCGACAAGGGCGTCGAAATATAGCGCAGGAAAAATATTACTTCATCAAGTACAAGTACCTTATTCTATCGAAGTAATTTATTATTCTTCAAAAGTCTTCCAAAGCTCGTGAAAATGTGAAGATCCCATCACGAAGATTATGATCCATTACTAATTACGATTTATAGTTAATTAACCAGACTCACATATCTATTTTACCATGAAGTACTGTCTAAACAGGAAATTATAATTTGATAAATAATCCGCAATAAACAATGTAATTTGTAAGTAGGTACTAGTTGTGGAGATTTACGAGTTTTTAACGATCAAGGCGAATTGATTGATTGATCGATGGAAAAGCCGGCAACGCCGGGTCTCCAAAATCACTCAATGAGAGGACCCCAATGCGTTTGGGTTTGTTTTGGTTTGGAGTTGGAGAGCTTCAGAGTCGCGCTCGTTCATTATTCATTATTCTACTGTGATAGTCGTTGGTGGTAGCACGTTGATCGTTTCGTGTGAAATGGAAATAGGCGATAGAATTGAAATTATTCGCGGATTCGTCGTTTTGTAGACCCGGTACAGAGATATTATATTTTTTTGGGATTTTTCTTTCGATATTCCGGCCGTTCGGTGTTTGACTGTGATATTAAGTAAGTAGAATTTGTATGTTTTGGAAATTTTCTTGTAGACTTCAATAACAAAAAAACAAATTTACAATGCTTATTAAGTTGTCGGTAGGTTTATTAAAAAACAATTAACTTTATTGATCAACAAATTTTCATATTTTTTTTGAATAAGTTGATTTACAATCCATTTGCATTGGTAATGAATAATGATTAATTTTGGTTCACTTTGCATGCTTATTTATTTATAGCATTTTTATTTTCGGTAACTTCCGTAGTTTAAAATAAACTTTATCCTTAACTCAACAGTATAGAGGATTTTGCAGAAACAGAATTAAAGTATAGAGTATAAAGAATATCTTCAGAAACTTTAATTGAAGTATAGCTTGCAAATTTTCCATAACAGGCTTTCCATAATTTTCCATCATGGAATTTCCTATAATCAATTTTTCAATCATTAATTTCCATTTTAAATTCCGGCCCTGCGTGTATTTTACAACGCCGTTAAATTCAAAGTTTTTATCTTTATTGTTCGTTTCGGTTCACTTATCGTGAATTAGGTCGATTTTTTGTTATGCCTATAATAGATAATCCGTGAAAATTACAGTGAAAATATTTTTTTAGCTTCAAATATCAAATTCTGAATTGCTCATGTAAATACTTCTAATTCTCTGGGGCTATTCGAAATTGATATTCTTAGAATCGAAATAGAATCATCTAAAAGTAGAAATCTTTGAAGTTTAAGAAATAAGTTTTCTTAAAATATACCTACTTTTAATTGGTAAAAATAAAGTTTAAATCATCACTATTACATTATTAAACCAATTATTATATAACAAAATTTGCTTAATCTATAGGTCAACGTGTGAAAAATTAATGTAATGCTGCACCATACTTGAAAAAATCTCAAAGTTTATCTTGTGTTATTAGATTAACATTAAATCCTCTAATAAGCGCTTTTTTTAGCGCAATCAGTTCTTAAATTGTATCCATTTAATCGCTTGTGATAAGTTGCATTGATTACGATTACATTACATAAATTGATCACAATCTTGGTGACCAAATTTATTTCTAAAACTCTAAACACACATCAAAAATTGAGAAATTTTTAGGGAACATAAATGGCTCTAAAAAAACACACTTTTAATATTAAAAAAATAATCAGACAAGTATATCTGATCTTATTAAGGGTCTTTTCAGTTTAAAATTATCAACTTTAGGTATATTTTTGGCGCGGAACTTTTCTATTAACTATTCCTATTTCGTCAGTAATTTTTGTATGTTTTTACCCGTTGCGTAATAACAACAAAAATCATGCAAAGGATAATGATAAGCGAATGTTTGGTACGTGTTTATGATGAAACCTTATCAAGAATAATTTCGGTTATTAAATTTCGTCCACGCCCATAAAAATATAAGGGAGTTTCAAAAAAACAAATTCCTTGTTTAAAGTTCAGAGGTTCATCTCATCTAATATCCCTGCATAATTTGGCCTTTATTATTGACTTAACAACAACTACATAAAATTAACTGCTGGGTAAAATAGTACAATTTCTCATATTTTCAGTGGTATGTACTATTGTTTTATTAGGGGGAATTATGTTTATAATTATGGGGGGGTTGGAAGCACATTAATCATGTACTCAATTCATGAAATTGATACTAAATTTGTTATTGTTTGAGTTCGATTTTGCGTTAAGTAATAACTTGCGTCAATTCCTTAACTTTTTACTCGGTTCTTTTATTCTTAATTAAGCTCGTTCGATTAGATACTAATTAATCAATGTTATTGATATTTTGTTTGGATTCATTTCGAAATTTCGGTTGATTTACCTACATTTTTTTAAAAGTTGCGATGGAGTTTTTCAGATATTCCGTAAATCGTATAAATAACCGTTTAAAATGGTACTTTCCCAATATCAACGATAGGATAGTTCAAAAGTCGCTTTCAATGCTTAAGTGTGCTAAGTGTGGAAAATCGAATTTTAATTACGTACGCAATGAGCAGTAAAAAATAAGTTAGCAATTTCATCTAATTGATATAATAAAAAAACAATCATCATAAACAAACGCTGCGACTGGAATTCCTATTATAACCCGTAATTTTATTGATAAAACTGTTCGTTAAATTAGTAATTGAGGCATGGCGAAAAAGCGAAAAATCAACAAACAGTTATGTTCCTAAAAAACAAAGATTTAAAAAAAAACACAACATAAATAGCCCCCATTCTGATTCTTAGTTATCTAATCAATTCTCTTCCAATGATTCATTACCCAACGAACATTTCGCAAATAATTTTGTGATTCAATCCACAACACTTTGCAAACATCTCCTTAATCATTTAATGTACGATATTTACAACGTTTATTTCTCCTTTCATTGCAGCAAATTTACCAAAGATGTCGTCCGAACTGAAGACAATTTCGTCGAGGGCCATCAGCAAGATGGAGGATCCCCAGTCGCGGCTGACGCGCTCCTCCTCGTTGGACAAAATCAGGAGGTTCAACACGTTCATCTGCGCCCAACAGCACTACATCCTGCCGGTGCTGCTCAACTGGCTGAAGAAGAACTCGCAGGCCTCGTCGGAGACCACGGCCTACTTCCTGCGCTCCTTCATCCTCAACGCCTTCTTCAAGTTCTACGCGGTGTTCTTCAAGAACGTGCAGCCCTTCGGCGTCGAGAGCATCCAGATGGCGGTGAAGAGGTCGATGGCGAACGTCATGGCCAACTTGGCCCGGTCGTTGGAGCCGGCGTTCCTGCTCAAGGTGGCCGTGCATTCGGCCTGCTGCCTCATTCTGCTCCAGTTAGTTTTTTCTATTTATTTAATTTATTCGCATATACTTCTACCTCACGGTTTGGTTTTCCTCATATTGTGCTCGGTCACTATCAAATACATTTTCTACAAGACGATCGTATGCAGTGTTAGCGCGAGGATAAGGAAAAGTTGTGACAAATTGAAGTTGAAATTACATTGACTTTATGCGCTACTTTTGTTTCTTCTAAGACTGTTTTCGTCCACTTATATTAAGTGTAATTATAGTTGTATGTACGGTAATATTGCCGGGTTGCACGGTCTCGGCGAGCTCTTGATTATTCATCACCTATATGGCTCAGTATAGGTTGATGTATGATTGTTTTTGATGCGCTTTTCTGCAACCGGCCATATTGGATTTCTTAGATGTTTTTTAGACTATGGACAAGATGTAATTAAATACAAGTAGTTATATGGTATTCGTGTATTTTTTTTATTTTTTAATACACATTTTTCTTAATGATTTTCATTGTTTTATTTTCGTATATGTAATGGCGCGAGAAGTACCTGTTTAATGTTCAATAGGTAAATTCAAAACAATTTTGACAAATTATTATCATTGTTAATATCTGTACAAATGTGTGGACTTTGAACGCATCATTTCCCTTGTTTACTTTTATCTGAAATGCATAAAGCTTGTCTACAGACTGTTGATGGTGTGACAATCTCGTGAACATGAACTCGATAAAAAGTTCAATAAACCTTTTAGTTTTTACAATATTTTTATTGTTTTATATACAGCGTGTCTCTAAATATACCGACTACTGATGTAACACTCTGTACAGACTGTTGAGTTGGGTCAAACAAAATATTTTAGGCTTCCCTACAAGTCGCTGCTTTTTGTCGATTCTTATATGGGACACCCTGTATACTGCCATCATCTTTTAGAAATTATTAATAAATTAGAGCACGAATATTAGCTTTAGATTTATCAGTACTTGTGCAATTCACAAGCACAAGTAAATATTTTAACAATACCTAGATATTTCTAGTAGTTGTAAATGGATTATTGTAATCTTTAATACAAAAGTAGGGTGATTTTCTTTAGACATGAAATGTTTGGTTTTCTTATTAAAAACATGTTTACCAATTTTTATTATGACTAGTGCCTCAGTTTCGATAAGAATAATTATATAATCCGGACTATGGACGTCGGGGAGACATCGTAGACAAATTTATCTTGGAAACCAGGAAGTCATCCGTGCACCTCATGATATTGTATAAAAATATTGTTAAAATTAAGGACGGAGAAAAAATAGTAGGCTCTGTGATTCGATTTTTAAACTTTAAATTTAATTAGTGTCAATATGTCAATTTTACAGACAACTAGAGTTTTCACCAAAAAATTAATTCAACAATGTCAATGAACATAAATTGAAGATATTAATTAACGTCTATTAAAATTCTACCTATTTGTATTTCAATAATTCTTTTGAATTATCTTGGATAATTTTTTCAGTATACGAATATACAACTAGTAAAAGGCACCACAACCAGCAATTATATAAATTAAAAAAAAGCAGAAGAAAAAATTAACCCCACTTTCTCCGCCTAGAAACGTCAAAAATTTTACAAAATATTTAAAATGTATCCAATGTATTTAAACGTTTTAAAATGCCTTAGAATAAACATCAATATCCGTTATTTATCCAACGTACAAACGAAACAAACAGGTAATTAACCACTTTCTAATTTATTTGTAAATTAAATACATCTCATATTTTAGTTTCCGACTGTATGCCATCTTATTTTACGCTTTCGAAAGGACTCGAAGCTAACTCAGACCTTTCAAGCTCATTAATAAACAATATGACTGTTCACGACGATTTTCTCAGCCCAACCGAAGAACAAACGATACTAGAAGAAATAGAACCTTACATGAAGAGACTGAGGTACGAGTTCGATCACTGGGACGACGTGAGTTGACTGTTGCCATTTCGAAATTACTGTTCAAATAATTCCAATGTTAAAGGCCATCCACGGCTACCGAGAAACGGAAAGACTAAAGTGGAACGAAGTTAACACCAAAATACTCGACAGAGTGCGAGCCATCGCCTTCCCTCCCAACGTCGAGCAATTGAAGTATGTGCATATATTAGATTTGGACAAAACCGGCTACATCAAGCCCCACATAGACGCCGTTAGAGTAAGTTTCCAACGGGTTATCTACTCCGATGAATTTTATATTGCATTTCAGTTTTGCGGTAATACAATAGCCGGTTTGAGCCTGCTCAGCGACAGTATTATGCGACTAGTGCACGATAAAAACAAAGATTTATACGCCGACGTGCTGCTTAAACGAAGGTCTTTGTACATCATGAAAGACACGGCACGATTCGATTACACGCACGAAATTTTATGCAACGAAAAAAGCATCTTCAAAGGCGCGCAAATATTCAAAGACAGAAGGATATCCGTGATATGTAGAAACGAACCGAATCCGGAAAATAAACGCCTGTGAGGTACAAAATATAATTTATTTTATAGGTAATCGAGGCGATCGAAGGCTCGAAACCATTACATTTGTATAGCTTTTTTGATCCAATCCAAGTACTTAGCGACGTCGGTGAAGACGACATAATGCGTGGAATCGCATCTGTTTAGGTTTTGTAAAGCCACACTGATGGACACCAAACCCCTCAGTTGCCACACGGGGTTGTTTCGATCTGTGCCTGCTATCGGAAACACCATACCGCCCCCGGAATCCCCGTTGCAAGCCCCTGTACCTGCAAGAAAACAACCTATTTTTATACGAAGCTGGTAGCTTAGTAAAAATCCTTACCGTTGTTGAAGCCTGCGCAGTAGGTGTAATCAGAAGTGAACCTAGAATAGAAATCCGGTAGCGAATAAACGCACATTTCGTTCGACACAACGGGCATGTACGCTTTGATCAATTGCTCCGTAACGGTGCCGGTATGATCGTAACCCCATCCTACGATAGTACCTAGAGAAAAACTGAATGATAGTTTCGAAAGAGGCCGACAATTGATTGAACTGTATACCTTGTTTGGAGATGACCGATTCCAAATTCACGTTCTCCTGCCACAAACAGACCGGTCTAACGTAATCCGTCAAGTCCGCGGGATTGCGAAGTTTCAATATGGCGATATCGTGGCTGAAAGTACGCGAATTGTATTGTTCATGCACGATGATTTTCTCGATTTTCCTGTCCTGGATGTTGGGATTCAGCCAGGCTTGCAGATAAAATTTACCTGAAAAATAAACCGATCTAACTACTCGATGCTACAAACTTGCAGATGCGACCGGAATGATTGTGCGGAACGAAATAAGCGTTTACCTAAGTAGGCGAACAGGCTGTTGGGGTTCAAAACCTTCTGGGATTTCCTTCTGGTGACGCAATGGGCGGCGGTTACGATGTGATTCAAGGAAATCAACGAGCCCCCGCAGATGTAGGTCAGGTCGATTCCCGTTATCCTGGCGTGGTAGATGGACGCGTGCCAGGGGAATTCCGCTTCTCTGGTCGGTTGACCGGTGGTTATGAGAGGTTGGGCGGATTTCTGGAACACGTTAGGTGATGTTTTGTACTGAGATTTCCCCGTCGTTTACTTACGGCTACTACCCCGCATTGCAAGTTCTCGGCGTCCTCTTGGGGCTTCCCCAGTAACGCGAAGTCGCCCATGAAGAAATCGTAATCTTCGTTGTTTTCACCGAACGGCGGGTATCTGTAGCATTATAATTTGTGGATTATTGTTGTGTCTTTAGGTGTGGAGTTTTAGTGTGTTTTAGGAAGCAGTTATCCCCTTAAAAATCGACCGATTTAGTGAATTGTGCTGCGAAATCTCGGAAGTTTAGTTACTTACGTGTCGCCGTTTCCGTTATTGGATTGAAGTACGGCGATTTGGGGACCATTCTGGGTCACTGGTTGCGCTCCCCCTATTAAATCCGGGCTGGTGTAATAGGCTTCAGTGGTTAGAGACAAGGGAACTGTCTCCACTAGCTTGCAAACTGTCTTGCTGTTCAATCGCCATTCTACCAATTTCGGGGGTTCTTCGTTTGCGTTGAATCTGATGAAGAATCGCACCGTGATCGGTACATTTGCTTGCAATCTCTTATTCCTGTTTTGGATCCTGTAGACCTTGTTGTCGTCGGTTTTTACTTGCCCGAACCAATTCTGGAAGTTGCAAAGAGCAAAAAACATATTATCTAGCAGTTTACGAAGAAGGAATCTCCTATTATGAACTATTAATTTCCACAACTAGTAAATTATTTGATAAAAACTTACCCCCAATTGGATGCAGCGTTTGTCGAAGATGAGCCTCAACCAAACGCCGTCGAGTTCTTGCTCGGATAGTAGCGTTAAAACTCCGAAGATTCGATCGGGTTCGCTTGGTTTCCTCGGCTCGTACGCCAGCAATCCCGGACAAGGAGACTCGAGATTTTGAGCCGCCGCGCGGCTAGTCAGGAAGGCCACAATGCAAATCCATCTATACATTATACTCGCTCGACTGACGCGCTACGGTCGTGCCGAAGAACTGTCGCGGAAAATCTCGCGAGATAACCTTTGGCTGACCGCGAGTCGGCGTGTTTACCAGAAGTGGGTAAAAGCGGATAAATCCCCAATTGTTGAAACCGGTTTAGATTTATTGGCGGTATTTTTACGGCGTACGCAATCGAAGATGACACCGAGCACACCCACAAGGTCAGTGCAAAAGAAATTGCCGGTGCACGATTTGAATAATTCGGAATATTAAACAGCCGCGGTGCGACGTAAACAAGCGACATTTTACGACGTCGAAGCGTTAACCAGCTTTTTAATCATTCATTGATTTCTTCCTGGTGGGCCAATTCGCATGATAGTCAAAAAATCGAACACTCTTACACAATTTATTTATAAATTACCTTACAAACTAAACTACACTTCTAAAGCGTTTTTGATCCAATCCGTATATTTGGCGACGTCGGTGAAAACCACGTAGTGAGAGGCGTCGCATTTGAATTGGTTCTGCAACGCCACACTTATAGATACCATTCCCCTCAGCTGCCAAATGGGATTGTAGGAACTCGATCCTTTCATCGGGAACACCATGCCGCCCCCCGAGTCTCCATTGCATACTGACGTACCTAACGAAAATTCCAATCTATAACTGTAATAATCACTGGAGACCAAGCGATTCGGGGATCATCAAATCACAAGGGAGTAGGAGAAGACAAAATCAAACTGGAATCAAGTGATGATCATATAGTAACGGTACAGGAGAGAACCAAACCAAGCTGGAATCAAGGATCAAGGGATCATCAAATAATAACTGAATAAGCCAAACTGGAATCGAGTAGGAGAGGATCAAACCAAACTGTGGACCATCAACAAATATTCCTCTGCAACTAGTGTATTTTACCGTTGTTAAATCCAGCGCAATAGGTGTGATCGGACGTGAACCTCGAATAAAACTCGGGGAACGAGTAGATGCAGGTTTCCTGCGAGACCACCGGCATGTGGGCCTGCGTCAGTTGCTCGGTGACTTTGCCCGTTTCGTCGAATCCCCAACCGACGACGGTGCCTAAAACAATCCGAAATTCGAGCGCAAAATTCGCGCTGAATAGATCATCTCTAGATACCTTGTCGAGATATGACGGCTTCCAAGCTGGTCTGCTCCTGCCACAGGCACACAGGCCGCACGTAATTCGTCAATTCGGCCGGTTCGTTGAGCTTCAACACGGCGATGTCGTGGCTGAACGTGTGCGAATTGTACCGTTGGTGGACGATGATCTTGTCGATTTGCCTGTCTTGTATGCCCGGATTCGACCACACTTTGAGATAGTATTTTCCCAGGTACACCATCAGCGTGCTGGGCGGCAGCGCGCTTTGGGATTTCCTCCTGGTGACGCAATGAGCGACGGTGATGACGTGTTTCATCGTCACCAAGGAGCCTCCGCAGATGTAGGTCAGGTCGATGCCGCGGGCGTGATAGAGGGCTGCGTGCCAGGGGTATTCACCCTCTCGGGTGGGTTGGCCGTAGGTGATGAGGGGCTGGGCGGTTTTCTGGAATATCGTTTAAATTTTTAACGTTTCTTTGCGAGTCGCGGAGGACTTACAATGACAACGCCGCATTGGACTTCGTCCAGTATGGGCTTGGACGGTCGGGGTTTCCCCAGCAAGGCGAAGTCTCCCATGAAAAAGTCGTCGTCCTCGTTGTTGCCTTGCGATGAATGGAACCTAATTTATAAAAACTGTACATTTCGAATATGCTTATCGATGCGTAATTACTTTCTTTTTATCGAGCAATGTGGAATGAGGATATCGAGATGAATTTCGTGTAAGATTGCGCAAATATTTTGAAGTGTTTGATATTGTGGAGAAAGAGTAAAACAGGTTAATTTTTTAAAGACAATTTTCCGACTAAAAAAGTCAGTTAAAATGATATTAAAATCGAATTATTAAGATAACACGTTTATCGTATCACGCGTGGAAAAATTGTTTGAAAAAAACTTGACATTACGCGCACTACGTGCACGATTACTTACAGCTTATCAAATTGATCGTTAGAATTCTGTCCCATCATAGGCGTACTAAGAGTGGTCAATTCCGGACTGGTGAAGTACATATCCGAGCTTTCGGTGTCGCGCGACGCCGTAGAAGCCGGGCAAACGGTTTTCGCATTCAAACGCCATTCCACTAACTTCGGAATCGGCTCGTCTGGGTTATATTTGATGTAGAAACGAACGGGAACCGGAACGTTCTTCTCCAATACCCTGTTACGGTTTTGTATCCGATACACTATATTATCGTCCGTTTTCACCATACCAAACCAATTCTAAAAATCGAATCACAAGGCTACTATAACATCACGTGATTGGAGAGACTTAAGGAAAGCACTGTATGAGAATCTCGCAAAGAATACAGTGTACAGGACAGGACTTACCCCTAGTTGAAGGCTGGGTCTGTCGAAGATGAGCCTCAGCCAGACGCCGTTGAGGTCCTGGTCGGTGAGCAGCGTGAGGACGCCGTAGATCCGGTCGGGCTCGGCGGGATTCCTCGGCTCGTACCTGAAGGACCGGGGACACGGGGAGGCCGGCTCCTGGGCGGCCAGGTTGTGGGCCAGAAGCACCACGGCAGTCAGCCATCGGATCATCCTCGCTCAGCTCCGTCTACGGACAAACACGGACATAAATGTAGCATCGGTGCGTTCTGTCGTTAGAAAGCACTCGAAAATGCTATTAAAAAGCCATTTTCGTTAATGGGGCTGATTAGTGTCGGTGGAGTTTGAGGTATTTCGATTGATTTGAATCGATAGCTTCGCAAACTTACGGGCGTATTTTGTGTGGTTTCTTCATTTAGCGTGCCGATGGACCGAATTTAAATGAACGGTTTTGAATACACTACTTGACGGAGAAACCAGTTTCTTTTATTAAATTGTACATATTCGATTCTGCGAATAATTAAATCGAGAAGTCGTGTAGGTACTTCATTTCGCAAGGTCGCTACTAAAGATGTATTCCCCCGGTTACCAAGGGTCACTATCGGTCAACAAACAGTACTTCTTGCGTTATTTAAGATATTACTATTGATAAATAGATTAAACAGGTTTCATATTTGAATTAATTTTATATTTGCCTAATAATTGGTAATTTTCTAAATAATTGGAAGACTACTAATTCCGTGGGGAATGGGGAAGCAAGCTTTTATCATGAACCACCCTGCATAGTTTTTGTACTAAAATTAGCTGAATACTTCTGTTAGTAAAGACCACGTCAAAACTTTACAAACGAGAAGAATTATGACTTATGACAATTGTTAAGTAATTCTAACCTACAATTTTTCGAAGAAAAGGGAACAAGAATTAATATTTTATAACACAAATTTAATCAAAAACAACTTCTTGTAAACAAAATTTTAAATTATATCCGATATGTCGTTACTCTCCAGAATAATGCCAAGTATTCTAAAGTAAGCACCAACGATACTTAAATTACAAAATCACATTACCCATTCACTGCTAATTAATTTTAGCCGACTATCTTCTGCATCTGTTCAATCTCCAGCTTCCTTTCATTCGCTAACTGGAGATAGGGCTCTTGGAGCGAACCCCGGAGGTCTGTTCGGTATCGTTACGAGGTCCATAGTGAGAGTGCATTTCCCGAGGCCCTCGGAAAGGAAGAGGATCACAGTGCACGGCTGGGAGAAGAGGATGAAAACGGCCAGTGGTCGAAGGATCCTCATGAACAGAATACTTAAAGGTCGGTGGGTGTACAGTCACTAATTTGTAGGAATCGTAGTAGAATGTAAAGTGGTCGAATAAAAGTTAGTTGTTTACCTTTTTAACGAGGCCAGCTCTGGTGCAACTTCATTACTTAGACGGATGTTTTAGCGTTTCATGGTGTCGATAGCAAATCGGTTTTACTGCGTTCACGAATCGATCTCTTTTGTGTCATAATTCGAAAACTATGCAACTCGTTTAAATGGATAAGAATGCGTTAAGAATTTCAATTAACAATATCTTCGACCGATTGCGAGACTGTAGTAGATACGTTCGTTATGATTCATCTCGGAGAGTATTTAAAAACCGTTCTGAGAGAGATGTTCAAGTTAACTAAGATTTTCTACTTCGTTGAGATTTTTATGTGATTAATTAAATCAACAAAAAATTGCGTGATATAATATAAATCTTGCAATTTTTGCGTCCAATGAAACAAAAAATTATCTACTACTTTTTACGAAAGAATATTTTTATCGAAGATCTTACAATTAGTAATTTTTTTTTAAACTTTCAGTTTTTTCTATGTTTTCTGACATTTCTGGCTCTTTTGTCTCTTCTGTCATTTCTGTCTTTTGTCTTCTCTGTCTCTTCTGTCATTTCTGTCTTTTGTCTTCTCTGTCTCTTCTGTTTGATGATAAATGATAAATTACAACAAAATAATCAATGTAAAATTTATTACGATAAAGTCTTGTTTGTACAACAGGCACTTACGAAGGTTTAGGTTGAGCAATATCCCTCCAAATCGCTAACTAGTTTTTTGTTTGATCCAATCTAAATATTGCGCGACGTCCGTGAATATGACGTAGTGTTTGGGATCGCACGATCTGTCTAGAGTACCCACCGAATTGGAAACTATACCCCTGATCTCCCAAATCGTATCCAAGCCCCTTGTACCGGCCCTCGGAAATATCAATCCTCCGCCCGAATCTCCGTTGCAAACCGATGTACCTATAAATGTTTTGAAATTTTACTGACGTTCCATTTTACCCAATTTACCTACCGTTTCTGAACCCCGCGCAAAAATTGTCTTTGTTCACCAGTAGAGAATAGTATTGGGGACGTGATAGAATGCAATCCAGACGGTCCACCACTTCCATGCCGGCAGACATCAGCAAATCGGTCATTTTGTTGCCCAAATGGTCCTTGCCCCATCCTACGGCAGTACCTAAAAAACATATATTTACTGGATATGTAAAAATGTATTCGAAAGATACTTTACCTGGCGTTTGAACAATAGGAGTTATTTCGATCGATTGGCTCCATAAACAAATAGGCCTGACGTACTCTGTATATTTAGTCGGTTGATTCAATTTAATCAAGGATATGTCGTGGTGATAGGTAGTTCTAGTGAAATTCTCGTGGACGTAAACGTTCGTCGGATAAAACGTTTGTTCGCCATCTTCATCCACCCAAAGGGCATGTTTACCTAAAAAAATCCTTCATTTTATTAAAGCATAAGGGCATTTCCAACTACGAAGATCGAGTTGGTAACTCGGTACTATTCAAAGTTGGTATTACTGTCTTATAAATAATATTTTTAGTAAATGTGGCCCGCATTTAACGCTACTCAATCGCTTCAAGAGCCTCTTTAACTTGACAGTTATACATTGTTGTTATGGAGTAACTAAGGAGAGTCTTCAATTGACAGTTTTACATTGGTTGTTATGGAGTAACTAAGGACCTTATTTGAATTGACTGTTGAACATTGTTGTTATGGAGTAACTATGGATATTGTTTACGTTAAGAAACTCTTTAAGCGATTGAAAGAAGCGCTGAATAGGGGCCACTGTAACTTTAGAAACCTAAAACAACGACGAGATCATTAGGATTGACGGCTATCACGCCGGCTGTGGTGCAATGTGCGGCTGTCAGCACGTACTGATCGTTGATCAGCGTCCCTCCGCATATGTACTTTCTGGAGTTTCCCTCTTTTCTGTACAAGGCGGCGTGCCAGGGGTATTGTCCTGAAAAAACGACTGGAATTAGTCGAGATTCTTTGGGAAAAATTCAAAAACGCGCACCTCTAGTTGTCTCCTCTCCGCGCACGATTAAACCCGTTGGAATTACAGTAGGCGTTCCGCATTTCGGTAAATTAATTTGATTGATAATCGTCGGTCTAAAAGCAATTCAATAGTATACAATCACAAAGCCTGCTTGTTTCAATGAACTGTTTTTACCCTCCGTGATTCACCACGCTTATGATGGTTTCCTCTTCTTCTTGGTGATAATTGGGGCAAATTTCTCTCCCGTTCAATTTAATTCGCACCAATTTCGGTGGTTCGATGTCGACATACGGATCGTATACAGCGTAAATTTCCACTTTCAAAGGCTTAGACGGCGTAATGTCCTTCTTCGGGTTGCTTATTTTGAAATTTATGTTGTCAGAATCCGACGTTAACGGCCCGAAGTAGTTCTAAAAAAAAATTACATAGCACATTTAAGATACGGAGCACTTATACGCAGTACTTGCCCCTAATTGTATGATGGATTTATCGAATTGCAAATCGATCGTAACGCCGTTTATCGTGTATTTGCTCTCCAACGTGATGAGCCCGTACCAACGGTCCTCCTGGGACTTGTTCGGTTCGAACACGAAATATTTGGGACAGGGCGATGCGATGTCGGTTCGTGTCAGCGTAAACGCGCACGTTAACAGCACAAATATCGCCACAATCTGAAATTCGAATAAATAATAGATAATCGGAAATAATCGCACGGAATTCTTACCATTCTGCGAACGCTGAAACGTCGACTGGAAACATGTAGATGCGTTTGTGTTCAACTGTGTTTGTTCCGAAACAGAAACATGATAATCCCGTTTAACCTTTTATTCTTCGATTATTAACGTCGACTCGTCGTCTGGCTTTGGGGAATCCGTTTCGGTGTTATCATCGGACGCGAAACGGCTTCGATTGGAGGCGAGAAAGATGAGTTTACGAGTTGTTCGGCGGGTTTCTTGTTAATTTTATTATCGAAGGTCGCCGATGGTAAACGTATTTCCCCGGCGGGAAACGATTAATGTAAATATCCATTTTTAATATATTTTGTTATACATAATTTTGTGGGTTCTGCAATACTTACTAGCTGATGGTTGTAAACAGACAATGTTTATATGATTAATATTGTAAAGAGTATTTTGATTTTTTTATTGAAAAAATAGACCAAAAGTTCCTTTTTCTTTATTGGAGTATTACCTTACTTATTATGTTCATATATTTATTAAATTTCTCGTCTTGTCTTCAAGTAAAACATATTTCTATAAAAAATATACATATATTTACACTTATATCACAATTATGAGTATTTCTTTATAAAATAAATAAAAGACCAATTTATTACAAACATTTTATGTAGCTGTAATTCGGCAATGGCGCCCACAAGCTCAAATATAGAACGTAAAAAAAATGCAAATTTAACCGGTTGCCTTCAAAAGCCTCCAAAGACGCCACGTCCATCGCCGTATCGACGTAAAGATTCCATACCAGTCAAAAAATAAATTCCCTCAGTTCCTTATAATTCGTTTTATCCAGTCCAAATGCTTGGCAACGTCGGTGAAAATGACGTACTGCGAAGTATCGCAAACTCCTTCGCTTTGCAACGCAACTCCCACCGAAACGATGCCTCTGATCTGCCAAACGGGGCTCTGTGCACTCGAGCCTCTTTTCTTAAACACCATGGAGCCCCCCGAGTCCCCGTTACACACGGACGTACCTAAAACCCATTCGAAATTTATCACACTGCGAGGCTTTCCCCAGCTTTCTTATATCACCCACCGTTGAGGAACCCAGCGCAGAAGTTCTTATCGAACGTAAACCTGGCGAAGAAGTCCCTCTTCGAGTAGATGCATTTGATGGTCGACACCACCGGCATTTTGGCTTGCATCAGCTTCTCCGATATTCGCTTGTGCTGATCGAAACCCCAGCCTATCACCGTACCCTCCTTGTCGGTGACGCTCTCCAAGCTGGTGTCCTCGCCCCACAGGCAACAGGGCCGCACGTAGTCGGTTATCTCCACGGGCCTCGACAGCTTCAGCAGCGCCAGATCGTTGAAATACAAGCTGTAGTTGAATTGCGGGTGGATGAAAATCTCCGATACGTCCCTGTCCTGCACTTCTGGACCGAACGTCTTCAAGTTGTACTTGCCTAAAATGCATATTGAAGTTTAATCCTATGGAAGTTAAGGAAAGGGAAGGAAAGGAAAGGAAAGGAAAGGAAAGGAAAGGAAAGGAAAGGAAAGGAAAGGAAAGGAAAGGAAAGGAAAGGAAAGGAAAGGAAAGGAAAGGAAAGGAAAGGAAAGGAAAGGAAAGGAAAGGAAAGGAAAGGAGAAGGACCAGAACAGAAAAGATCAAGCCAAGTCTACTAAAATCTAGGAGAAATCTACTGTGTGTTGAAAGACCAAATCTAAGAATCCTACTAGGAATCATGGTTAGTTTTCTTACCAAAGTACAATAGAATACTGCTCGCGTCGACTTGATGATTGCTGCGTGGCTTCGAAACGCAATGAGCTGCCGTCAACACGAATTTCTCGGAAATCAAACTGGCCCCGCAAATGTACACCAGTTGGATGCCTTTAGTGTGGTAGATGGCCACGTGCCAAGGCCATTCGCCTGGAAAATCGATCGAAATCTTAGCGTACAAACGATAATCGAGCGCGCGATTTAAGTACCTGGTACAGTGTCTTGTCCGTTAGTGATCAGAGGTCTCGGTTGGGATACAACGGTACCGCATTCTACAGGTCTACTCGTATCCGGACCGGCAGGTCTCGGAGGCCTGTTGTTCGAATGGAAGTCCCCTTGGAAGAAGTCTTCGTCCGAATTCGCGTTTCTGGACGTCGAGTCCTCGCGAGTACCGCTGAAGAAATAGAACCCAAAGTAAACTCGCGACTCGTTAATGAAGTGGCGACCTTACCTGAATCTGTTGTTGCTTTGCGTAGGTCGTCGCGAGTTTCTGGAAATTCAATTCGATTCGTAAGATTTATTTGATCTACTAGGCTTTACTTACGCGTCGATTGAACTGTGTACGCCATTGCTCGAGCTGGAAGGCCTGTTGTAGTTTTCCGTCGGTCGGTAATTGCTGTTAAAATCTTCCTCTCCGATCCTATAATAACATCCGTACATTTCCTATACTTTTAGGTAATTAATTATCTACAAAATACCTGTTCGAGTTTTGTCTATCATAATCATTAGGTCGATTGTTGTTGTTCGATCCTCTCCTATCGTCACCGACAGGCCTGGACCTGTTGTTACTGTTATTGGTATCAACACCAAATAGCGGCCCAATTCCGCTGTCTACTATATTGTAATTATTATTAGATGAAGTACTAGTACTAGGTTTACCATGCGAGCTACTAGAACCGTGGCTCGGTCTACGTATGGTCGTCAGTTCGTCGTTGAAACTCGAATTACCGTTGGGTTCGTAACTCAAACCTGACCTAAGAGGATTTATGTTACAATATAGCGCTTGGTTCTGATGAATCGAAGATGTTTTTTAATGGTTCTGTTGGATTGGAATCTTACCCGAGCGAGGGTTGCCTGCTCAGCTGCGGTTTGCTGATGTGCAATTTGGGCGTGGTGGTGCGAAGCTCGTGCATGTCCTCGCTGCAAACGGTCTTGCCGTTCAATCGGATGAGCCGGACGCGGGGGGCGCTCTTCGACGGGTCGTATTTGACGAAGAATCGAATGGAGACCGGCGGGCCGGCCTCCAGCGTGTAGTCCTGGTTGGCTATCTTGAATTCCTGGTTGTCGGTCGAGTAGGTTTCCCCGAACCAGTTCTGCAAAGTCATATTTCGAATCATCTCTGGCTTCAAAGACTTGTGGAAGTTGGAATCTTACCCCGAGTAATTCGGCGCGAGAATCCAGTTTGACGGTGATCCAGATTCCAGAGAGGTTGTCCGGAGATCTGGCTAGTATGACTCCGTACCATTTGCCGGGTTCTTGGTTTCGGGGTTCGTAATGGAAGACGTCGGGGCATGGGGATTCCTGCGAGAGTGCTGTGTGAGATAAGCTTCCGAGCAAGAGCCAGAAGAAAATCATCATATAGAGTGTCCTGCGAGAATATAAGCGATTAACGGTTAATAGGAAGTAGGAAAATTTCGGCGGTTGATTGACCCACAATTCTAGTAATTAAAAAATTATTCAGGCGTTTGGTTGTAATTGGAGAATATATCAAATTGTCATTAGGCGATTCTTGAAATTTATTTATTTTTATAAGGTCATTCGATGGAATAGTGGAATTCCGATTCCTCTTTAACAGTTTTCTCGAGAATTATATTCATGAATTTTTATGTATGTTTTTATTAGCGGTCAATTCATTGTACCGGGTTGGGCAAAAGTATCAGGACATTTATATGTTAAGTAAAAACACTTACATAAATTGTTCGGTATTTCAAGACGTAGTAAGTCTATTTATAATGAAAATCTATTAAAATTATTCCACTATTTTATTCATTTGTCAAAAAGAAAAACTCAAAAATCTTTAAAAATACTGGTATCAAAAAAGCGAAAAATACACAATATTCTAAATATCTTTGAAATATAAATGTTACAAAATGTTAAGTAAAAATATTGAGCAGCATCTTGTAATTTACGATAAATCCTTGACCCATAATGTTAACGATTTCGATAATACTATTAATGAAAATATGATTTAAATGTTTTTTTTTTGTGTTATTTTATTAAATTCTCGTGGGTTTTGTCTTACATCGAATATAATTTTGTTGATTTCATGTTGAAAATTTATTTATCTTACTTATTTATGAATAACTCGATATACAAAATGTTATTATCTAAAATACAAGAATGTTTATTTAACTTGTAAATTTTCTTAGGTATATTAAAATAATTGGGTTAATTTTTCTATAAAATATTTCATACATACACGCTGATAATAATAACTTTTTGAGTAATTTTTCGATGGGAACCAAGCAGACTTTTATTCAACATTTATTTTACTATTATATAAACTCTTACCAATAAACAATAACTAGGTACTAACTATTCATTCAAAAAAGAAAAAAAAGAGTAGTCTGCCGATTCACTTCAAATGACGTAAATCCATTACTACTGGAAGCTAAAACTGATAAAGCATTTCGCATTTTGCGGTAATTAACGGAAGATGCAACCGAAGAGGTGCAAAGTTGACCACAGTGGTTTGTCACAAGTAAACAATGGTGAATAAGGAAAAGAAAATCTATGTCTGTGGTGATATTAGCAATTCTATGATAATTCCCAAAATCGCTATGAATTCGACCTATCCATTCGAATTGTTCATTTTCATATCAATAGTCATCCCATGATGTTCTTATTGACGCTCATTTGTGCAAATTTACTTTGTAATATGCATAATATTTAAATTTTTAATGAGAATATTGAATGTTTTTCAATCGGCTGGATTTCTCCGAAAATCCACTAATTTTAGCCTCTTTTGCATACAGGATGCTTGGTAAAGAACCCACTAAAACAATCAATGTAGCTCGGTTCATTCGTTTCCAAAAACACCGTTAAATTTACATTTATAATTTGCCAATGACCCGGTTGTTATACCTGAGTTAGTATAGAAGAATTCTCGAGTTCTACAGAAGCAAAGTGCAAATTTTTGCCTTTTACTTTTTAATTTTATTCGCCCTCGGCGCGATTTACATTATGTATCAACTCTCGCCATTAATAAGCTATCTTATACAACCATTATTTATTGATGAATAAACAATAAACAATAATTTTGTAGTGAAATAACCGATAGTATACTCACCCAACTGCGTAAGTCCAATAGATACCCGAATATTCGACATAAAACTCATTAGAAATGCAGATAACACTCGACTCTAACACAAGAGCTCGTGATTTTCGAACTCAACTGAAAAGTCTCCATACAAATAATAATGTTAAAAGTTAAAACAACGAAACCTGTTTACAAACAATCCGACGGAAATCCCCGAGTCCCGCCATGGTCGCTTCCAAGTTGAACTTCGAAGAAGACTCGGATTCTGCGAAAATTTCCATTAGCTTTTCCGAATTTTCTTCATTGGTTATCTAACTGTTGAAGATATCAAGTAGGCTTCTTAGTGAGTTCAGAATCGCCTTGCTCCAATCACCTCAGATAAGCATCTGTAAATTAATTAATAATGCGTAGGTAAGTTACGGTCAATTACCCTCGAACTAATCGGTTTATTTATAAGGGAATAAAATTTTCCTATTACTGCATAAATTATGCGTAAGTATAGATTATGTAAAAAATTGTTTATGTTCCCAAACAAATAGACTTGTAAGTAAAGAAGGAATGAAAATTTAATCAAAAATAGTGTAAGAACCAAATTTTTACATTAAATGTACAAATTCTGTTGTAAAAACCTTTATAATGTAATGAGTGTTGCCTATACATTAGTATCCATAAACGTGAAGTTATCTATTAATCGAAGAATCTACTTCTGTCATTTGATTGACAGATGGCGCTGACGTGCCGAACGGAAAAATCCATTTTCATATTTATAGTCATTGCTAATTTTCGAGTAGCAGCATGAATCACATCGAACGAAACGAAAACGTTGAAAAATTCGGGCGAGTCGGTTTTTGAAAATAGAAAGGGCATTTTTCCATTTGGCTGCGTAGAATCGAAACGGATCTAGGATCTAGGTTGCAGAAGGTCGTGAACCTTTGGAATCGGTCCGCGATCGGAGCGCCGCGATTGGTCGAAGCGGACAAACGACGCTCGCCTATTGGTCGGTTTCTAAGCTGCGGGTTCGATATCAAATTCCTTCGTCAGAAAATCATTTGTGGTCTCCTCGCCGAAGAGAATAGTCGGTTAACTTATTTAGATGAAAATATGCGTAATTTCTTAAAACAAAATGTCTGTCCCCTCAACACATTAGGACAGATATAAAACAGTGAATGAGTGACTTTTTTCATGCCATTTCAATTAATATTCCTGATTAAGTGAATATTTACTTAGGTCGTAATGGCGCTCGTATGTGATATAAAAAGGTTTGCATTAATTTTTACGGCAAAATTACACGAATTGCGTTTCCGAGGCCAGAAATATGTTAAACTTAACGTTGAGATCGAATAATTTCGCGTAATTTTGACACGAGAAACAGCAAAACCGCCGTCAAAATTGGCAAAAACGGCGTGGGAACACGCCCTACATAGGCGAGCCTTCGCAATGAGATGGGCGCTTATTTAAGCAAAAAAAAACTATCATCCAGCCCTGAATTTGTCTTTTTTCGAGTATTTCTAAAGGGGATATCGCATCGCATCGTCGAGGGCTGAATTGTAGGTTTTTTTCGCCGTTGCACATGCCAAATTATGACGCAAATAAATCGATCCGATACGAAGGTAAACATTTATCTATAAAAACCGTAATAATTTTCAAAATAATCGCTTTAATTTCGTTAAAAACACTATCGTTCCCAACTTAATATTAGCATATTTCTAAAATAGGTACGTAAATAGATAATTTTGTGTACTGTAAATATAATGGCCTCCATTTTATTAGACTTTGGCTGTGTGCTAATATGTCAGTAATGGTAACATATTTGAATTGAGGATTCTTATCGAATATTTTTTTTTGTTAATTTATCTTCACCGAGCATGTTAACATAATAATATTATCGTTTCCTCGGCGACATTTAACATCGAATCTTATCACGGTAAAAAACACGAAAATTAATGTCCTTGCCTGACCTCTACAGTGTGAGTGAGCATATGAGCACTTTATATGCTAACTGCATATGTTGACCTAAGTAGGTATTTTGAAAAATCATTTTCATTTAGGATCCAGTTTTATGAATTCGTAAGTAAAATGAAAAACTATTAGCAACAATAACAATTTAAGCGACTTCCATATTCTAATATAATATGCCTATCTTTTTTGCTCTTTTGGTATGGTATAGGAGTAGGTTGCTTAGATAATAGATTCTCATCGCTATTTTGCTATGAATCCTAATTAATATTCACAAAAAATATTTTTTTTTTCAATTAATATTTTCGATAGATAACGAGGACTGGATGCGCACTCGTCGAATTTTCTTTTCCTTTTCGATACTATTTATCAATTAGAACGTATTTTTTCCAGTGATAAGATTCGATTGAGTCATGATTGCGATTGAATAAAAGCGAAATGAACGGCTTATTGGCACACAGCCCGAATCGTGACGTCGAAATCCTCACACGCATCCGCTCGGCCTTGAAAACGCAAACAAAGAAATCGATAGAGCGATCGAAAGCGCCATCTCGAGCGAAGTTTCGCAACTAGCGAGCGGGAACATTCAAAATTTGACTCGTTTAAATCGCGCATTCGAACTATTGTGCGAAAATTGTTATCGCTTGTAGAAAATTCGTAGTCAGGTGAAGGGATAAATTCGTTACGTTCGAGGTGTATCGATCAAACTTTTTCTCGTGAACAACACGACGCACGAGAGAATTTAATTCGCGTTATTCCTTTTAAAAATGCTAAATTACATTAGTCCTCGTCAGCGAATTCTTTGCGGTACAAATAACGTGGTTTATTCACAATTTTTTCGTAAATAACAATTTATTTTTTGAATATCTAATCATTCGTAGTCTTTTCGAAATTTACAAATTTCAATCTACTCGAAATTCGAATTAGATGTAATATCACAACCCACGAAAAGCTCGGCCAACCGCGGAATGTTCTAATCGAAAATTCCTATTACATTCCACACAAAAACCACGCCATTTCGATTAACCACCCTCTCGATGCCACCCCGCTAATCGCGATTCCTTTCCATGTTACACAGCAATGCCTCCCAGGAGGACCCCCCGCCGGAGAAGCTCAACGAGGAGGACCTCGAAGACGGGGAGATCGAGGACGACGAAGAGGAGGAGATCGCCCAGCCGGCCGAGGTGCCCCTGGTGCTCGATTGCCCGCCGCCCGTCCCCAAGCCGGCCGATTTCCCCGTCGTCGCGGCCCCCGTCGCGCCCGAACCGCCCCCCGACAAGGAGAAGAAGCGCGACAGGGACCGGCCCGAGAAGCGCCGGCACGACGACAAGGGCAAGAAGCACATGACCGAGGCCGAGAAGAGCATCCTGCACTTGCGGAAGCGCGAGGAGATGCAACGGAGGAAATGGGAAAAAATAAGGAGTAAGGAATTTGAAGCACAAGGTATATCCGATACCGCCAGTCCTGTTGATTTTGCTCGTTTTCCTAATCCTGTAATGCTAAATTAGAATCCTCTGGAACGGATTCTAGTCACCCATATTTCTTCATTTAAATAACCCGTTTCATTCGAGCTACAACTAAGATAACACCATCCAATTTTGAACAAATAAAAGCTTCTTCATAACCTTCACAGTTCAATCCCATTACCTAACACAAGCCTTGTTAAAGAGTCTTATCTTTAATAAGGCTTGGGAGGTTAATAACTCATTTTATACATTATTCGATTAATCCTAATTCACATCTAGTAAAATTATCTGTACCTTCTTTCCCTCTGGGGTATTTACGAATGCACGTATTACCGCCGTATTAACGTTGTATGTTTCGTTTTAGACGACGATTTCGCCAAGAACATCGAAAAAACTCTGGCGACCATATTGAATAAAAAAGAAAAAGAGGCGGCGGCTCTGGGAAGCGGCGAGGACTTGCCCAAAGAGGACGAGCCGAAGCCCAAGAAGCGGAAGAAGTGCGACAGGGAGAGAAAGGTAAACGTTGGCGAATCCGTCGCGTGAAAATCATTAATTCGATTTGTAAATCGTAGAACAAACAGCGCAAGTCCGATTCGCCCAAGTCGGAAATGGACGAGAACGATGTGATGAATATGCGCGGCGGTAGCCCCAAGGGGGACGAGAACACGCATTCGGGGTATTCGGAGGAGAGTTTCGAATCGGAATATTCCTCGGACCAGAACAAGCCCGAGGAGAAGACTAGGGAAAATAAGAAGAAGCGAAAGAAAAAGTACAAAGACAAAAAAAATAAGAACAAAGAACGAAAGCTAGACGAGTCCGCTTTAATTGATAATCAGGAAGTTTGCGTATTTTATTTACAAGGAAAATGTCTTAAGGTAAATCTTCGCTATCCGCTCCAATAACTCTATGTAAGTGGTAATTTTTTTGTTGTAGAACGACTGCCCTTATTCCCACGAAGTTAGTCCCCCAATGAAACTCGAACTATGCAAATTCTACCTGATGGACTGTTGCGCTAAAGGTGAAAATTGTTCATATATGCATTCTGAATTCCCTTGTAAATTTTACCACACAGGTTTAAAGTGCAGTCAAGGGGATGACTGTAAATTCGCTCACGGCAAGGCCTTATCTGAAAGTAAGCCATTTCACTAAACTTAAAACAAACCCCAAACCTCCGAAGATAACAAAACTAACAACCTAATTCTCCTAAACGAAGACTACTAATTACCCGATTAATCCACCCGAGATCTCCGATCCAATCGATTACAAAAGTACCTATCCCACCCCGTCCAGTGCTCGTGCGATATCGAGAAAGACAATTCTATCATTGGAAACTCGGCTTTTAGGTCTGAAACAAATCCTATTCAAGCACATTGAGACGGCGCCGCGCGAAATCTTGGGCGAATTCCCGCGGATGAGTCGCGAGGACGCGCTCAACATAATAAACGTAACGCAAGCGAAACTGCACGAACAAGGCGGGGAAAATAAGCCGGAAGTTAAAGGTGGGATACCGTCTTTGTTTGATATTAACGTACCCGTACCCCCTGAATTGTTGCAAGGATGTGATGGTTAGTTTTTATTTTTTTTTTTTCGTTTTTTTGGTTTTTGTTTTGTTTGTTCTAGCGGGCGTTGCGATCATTTTTCGGTTAATTTTCTGGTAACTATAATTGTAAAGTACAGGGAAAAGTAGTGTACTTATAGTGTTAATGATGTAGATTATGTTACCAGGAATTTAACATGAAGAAATCGGCAGGTTGTTTATATTTAAAACGTGTGTGTTGCTTTACTCATTAATATACTTGGAAAGTAGATTGGTAAACAATTCAGGGAAAATGTTAGTGGTATATCATAGAAGATCAATGCTTTATAGTAGAAGAAAGAAACAAAGATTATTTAAAAAAATAAGAGGATGGAAGTGATTGGTGAAAAGATAAATTACAAGAGGAAATTCCAAACAAGTTCAAGCATTATTTTTTTACGATTTTTATTTAATTGTTAATGATTTATTTATTTCATTTATGCTGTGAATGGTTCCCTAAATACCAATTTATATATTCACATCTATTGTTAATTTATACAAGTATTTACAATACATTAATCCATAAATCCGTATTATTCCAGACGTAAAATCTAAAACGGAAAAAGGCATCCGAAACCGCCCGTCCAGATGGCAAGATCCCGACCCCATCGTCGACCGCGAATTCCCCATCAAATCCTTCAACTACCCCCAAGACCAAGACATGCGAATCAACAGGTAACACAATCGACGCAACCGCTCTCTCGCGATTCAAAACACTAATCGAAACCTTTCCCTTCCAGCAACGGCGACGTCGACATGCGCACGCTGCCGCCCCCGAAGATCCACGACAACCAGGAGCTCGACTTGGAGCGGTACAAGCGCGAGGCGGGCGTGCCGCCGGCCGCCAAGCAGGACGTGGACATCCGGCAGATGGGCATGCCGCCGTTCGCGGCCGCCGCCAAGGACGTGGACATCAGGCAGCAGCCGCTGTTGGCGGCCAGCCAGGACGTGGACATCAGGCAGCTGGCGCAGGCGTTCGCGCGGCCGCCGCCCGGCGACGACGCGGAGGACGAGCCGATGCTGCAGATCGACACGGGCGACGAGAAGGCGGACGAGGCGGGTTTCGACGTGCCGCCGGACCTGCCGAAGGCCCAGAGGGATCTCTATTTGAGGATCAAGGCGAACCAAAAAGACAACGTCGTGGAAACGGAGAACAAAGATAAATACGACGTGGACGAGAATATCAATTGGTATTCGGACGACGATGACGAGGATGACAATAGGCTTACGATTAAAGTGGATAACGACGACGCGAAAGACATTAAAGACTCTTCTTCGGAGACGGTCGGCGAATTGCCGAAAGCCGCGCCGGTCATCAAGCCGCAGGATGTCGTGGAGAAATTGGGAGATTTGTCCAAAATCGATATATCGGCGGAAGTTACCAAATTATTGACTTCGATGAGTCAAGGTAATTCGCAATTTTCGTTTCCCAAACAACAACAACCAGCCGAAGTCGATAGCTCCAGTCCCATCGAACCTGAGCCGGTTAAAGTCTCGTCGGATCCGAGGCTTTCAACTCGACAGGTAAGATTACTACGCAATTCAATAGAAAATATCTTACTGATAGGTTATTCTTATTTTTAGGATCCCAGATTAAATCCCGACAAGAACAGCGATACTCATCGTACCGATCCTCGATTGGCTTCCGATCCTCGCCAAAGATCGAGACAAAGCTCCACCGATACAAAGAACGATAAACTCAGTATATACGAACAAGGCAGTTTCAACAAAACCTCGACACCGTTCGAGGACGATATCGATTTAAGAAGTACGTATTTTACACAAATTCCGAATAAACTCGAAGTCATCAATTTATTTTTACCAGATTTTAAACCGGACGTGGACCTTAGGAGTCTCCAGTTACCGTTCAAGGGCATGCAAAATTACACGCCAGCCAGCGAAATCGACGCGAGCGTCAGCTCCCACCCGCCCATACACTGGAAACTGGAAATAGTGGACATTCCTCGACCGGATTACACCGGCTTGAAGCTCAGCGTAAGCGACGCCGAGAAAACGGGCGATCCTAGATTGAGGAAGATTTTCAGGCTCAGCACCGAGGAAAGAGACACCCCGTTGAGCCCGAAAGCCAGTCCCAAAGCCACGACAACGGTAAGTTGAAAGAAGACGAGTTGGAATTCGAGAGGGTACGATTTAATATAATTTTAGGTGAGAGTGGATCCGAGACTGAGGAAAGCCGACGAGCCCAAAACCGATCCGATGTCATCGGGGATGAACTACAACCAGCAGATCAACATGTTGAGGAAATCAGCGTTCTACCAAAGCCTCACCACCCAGCAGAAAATGCTGCTAAACAACGAACTGAGCCAACGGAACGACGCGAATTCGAACAGTCACGATCCGGTGTTGAACAGCCTCCTGTCGAACTTGGATCTTCTGCCGGGCGCGAACGTTCAAGTCAACCACACGCTGAATTCCGCGCTGGCGCTGCTGACCAACGCGAATCCCAAGTTGAATTCGTTGTTCACTCAGAACGCGGCGATGGTGGGGCCGCTCGGCGGGCCGGTGATGAACCAGCCGGGTTTGTTGGGCGCCGCGCCCGGGATACCCAACGATTTTCCGATGAACTTCGATCCGAGGAACGGCGGTTTGTTGGGCAACGCGCCGTTGCCGTTCGGCGGGTTTCCTCCGCCGCAGGATAATCAGGGGAATTTCAATCAGTACGACGATTACTATCCTGATAATCAAGGACTCGGTCCTTGTCAGGGCGGTTTTTCGGGTGGTAACAGAGACAGGGGTTATAATAGAGACAGGCGGAGAGGTAGGAATAGTTTTCATAATAGAAATAATAGCGGTAATAGAAATTTTAGGAATAACAGGAACAATAATAGATCGAATAGAAATCACTCTCCACCTTAGAATAGAATCGTTAATTTCTAGTTTTTATTATAAATTTTTCCATTGTGTATATACCGTTATTTATATTCAATTTTTTTTAGGAATAATTGGTTCGAAGTCTTAAGTTTTTTTTTGTAAACTCTAGAGATTAATAAAATGTTAAATACAATCTATAAAAAAATATTTTTTTATCAAATGTGTAAAAAGACATAAAAAGGTACATGTCATTGATATAATGAAAATAAATTTGTTAATGTACTTTTTTGGTTTTTACGTGCCAAATATATTAATAATTGTAGGGTGTAATTTTTTTGGAATGCTAAGTTGCATTTGAATTTACATCAAATAAGACTGAGTTGGACTGATTAGTATTAAAGTCTTTGTTGTTAATTTTTTCCAATTACCAATATTTATTGTTATAGTTTTAAAATAATTTGTAAATTATATTCGCGAAGACTTTAATAAAAGAAGAAAAAAATCGCCCTGCTACTCCATCATTCCTCGTTTGATAATTAAATTTTCAATCACTTACACTAGCTAATATTTCATCGAAATTTGTGGTGAAGCTTTAAATTATTTAATCTCATATTGAGATCAACTAATACGCATGTTGCGATGAAATATCGGCTATAATTAAGAGATTCTATTACTTTAATTTAACAACATTTATTTTTGTTACATTTTTTTAATGGCAAATATTGTACGTACCTACCTTTTATATTTAAGTAAATACATAATTTCATATTAATTACATAAATAAACATTAATTTTTGAAAGTAGTTTCTTTTTCAAAAATTCATCTCTATAACTTTATTACAATCGCACTATATTACATGATTTTATAAATATACACTTTGTCCTACTCTTTTACAACAAAGAATAAAATAATTTTATTAATACTATTATGGGACCTATATTAAAAAGTTAATAGACAACAAAAAAATTAACAAATATTGTAATGCAAGGATAGAGTAAGCTGCACTTTGTTGTGAACAAGTGAAGACATTTTTTTATAAAATGAATCGCAATTGTTTTTTGAAAGTATTCTTTGGCCAAATTTTAGGAACTACACAGAAAGAAACTAAAGTGTTTTATTCTTGGCATGCCTAATAAATTTATTGCTGTCGTTAAAAAATATTGGGAGATCTACGAATTTGTAAGAGCTGCCACGTCAAGTGACATCCTTTATATTCCTCGAACCACAAGTAGTTCCAAAACTAATAACAGTACAATGTCATACACATTGATAATAATATATTTGAATCATGTGATATGTTTTTTTTCGAATCGCTTATGAATCAACTTAGTCTTAAAACGTTATTATTATGCTCACCTTTTTATTGACATTAGACATAATATTCCCCTAATTCGAAATCGGAATCCTTCTGTATCACGATTTTGAAACCGACTTTCGCCAAACCGTAAAAACACCGAGGCCTCAACGTATTGCTCGTAAACTGCCAACCCAAATGATTGTGGCAATTTTTGCACTGCATTATCGTCCACGCGTAACTACGAAAATATATAACGTAAAATTCACTAGATTAGATCGTGAGGTTTATTGTACACTCACCCAGGAAACCAAGAAAATTGCTTCGAAGGATCTCCGTCCAATCTAAAATTTTGCGCGGTCATGACTGTCACGGTTTCATAAACGTGCCCGCCTGAAACAAACTTATGTGGTATAATATAATAAATATTGTAATAGTAATTTACCTGGATTTACGTAGTTGCTTTGTATGCCGTCCTTTGACATTGCGAATACTTTACTGGGATCAGTGATTTGTATGCCACAGCCATTGCAACACATACTCCTTTCCTAGATATAAAAAAATTTATATACATTTTTTTTTTCGAAATTAATCTACATACCAATTTCAAGTACTTGTACTCGAGCTTCAACCGTTCCAAAGCGGAATTCAGTTTGAGTATGTGCAAACGTTCCTCGTGGCTCAATTGGTAGTTCTGAACGAACCAGTAGCTCAATTTAATCGGATCTTCCGGTATATACTCTAGAATCATAAATTATCAATAAAACTCCAGCTAGAGTAATTTTAACTCTAAATTACCTCCAACATAATGCGCGAGACTTTCCAGTATTAATTTCACGTAATAACTCGTCTCGTATTTATCGTACACCCAAGAAGCCAAGGGATATTGTGCTAAATGGTACCTAAGAAATTTTATTAATTATTAATCTCGAATGTGCACGACACCAATAAGCACCTTCTATATTTATAATTCTTCATTAAATCACTATACAAGGTAGACGTAAACAGTCTTTTCTGTTTCAAATGTATCAATTGCGTATCACATAAAGGAGACATTATTTCTGGTTCGGCAATGATTTTCACTGTCACGTGCTTCAGTCTGCCGGTCAGGTTGCGAATTTCAGTGCCCGGCACTAATTTACACCGTTGCCTACCTCTGGCTTTGATGCTCAACAGATTGTCCCTTTGTTGCGTTTCGAACACCTCCATCGTTACGCCGTAATTGAAGATGCCGTTGAAAGTAGTACTAAAAATGAGTGAATCGTTGGTTCGTTTCGAGAATAAATTTACTGTTCGTAGACTTACTTAGCACAAAGCAAGACAAACACGTTGTTTTTTTCGAGCAACTGCGGGAGTATCGAATTTTCCATGTAAGTATTTATCACTAAAGGTAAGGTAAATCCGGGGAATACCATTGTAGAAGTGTATATCGCCCAAATGCTTATTATTTGTCCGTCATCGTAAAGAGTGTAGCCTCGAACGTTGTCTAATCTCCCTAAATACTACAAATATATTCTCTTTATAATAAAATAAATGCAAAATCTTTTCGTACATACCCTGTGAGATGTAGGTAAGTCTGTATCGAAGTCACCTTCCAGAGGTATCGGAGGAAACTCCTCTTCATCTGTACCAAACAAAATGTAGCACGAGAAATGTTAATGACTATTTTAATGACATAACATATAAAAGAAACGCGAAATAAAAATAGAGTCACCTGAAGTAACTGTATCATCAGCATCAGACGTAATATGGCCGTTTTCCATTTCAGCGGGTGGTTCGTAGTCTGGATCATTGTCATCGTCTTCAGCGTTAGCCCAATTCTCCGGTTCTGACATGATGTCTTCAATCACATTTAATTATCGTTAAATATAAACTCAAATTAAAACGCACAAACAGTTGTTCATGACTGAAATTTGACAATTTTCGCTTATTCAGAACTACCAACATTACTATAATAAACAAAAAAAAACAAAACAACGTTAAGGTAGATTCAAATAAGAAAACTCCAATCGTATACTACATTGTGATTGGTTCATCTTGTTTCCATTTCGGAACGCACCCTACACTCATACCAACTTAAACGTTGACACCTCGTTTTTTCTTGAAATGACATTGACAGGTGTCAATTTAGTTGTTTGCAAAATGTTTACATTTTGATCCATTTATAAATTTTGTTAATTTTTGTACGATAAATTAAAAGCCACAGGCTACCTAAGCCTGTCGGTTAGCAGTGAAATATCCAACAATGTCGATCATAGGCTCGCCGTATTCGAACGCCTACAACCAAGATTACGAATTCGACGACGATAAATACGATAACGAGGACGATAGGGAGCACGATGAGACTCAGGAGGAAACCGACGAAGATACGGAAGATGCCAGCGAAACGGACACAGGTATTTATACTCTTCAATTAACGAATTAGCTACTACGGTTAGTATTACAAATCGTTGCAGGAAGGCAAGAAGAGCCATTGGAAATCAAAGAGCAAATGTACCAAGACAAGCTATCTAATTTGAAGAAGAAACTCCAACAGCTCAAAGACGGCACGCATCACGAGTACAACAAGAAAGTGAGGAAACTGGAGTACCAGTACAAGGAGAGGTTGCGATTGAACGCTTTGTACAGGGACTACATGATCGATTGCGTAGAAAAGGAATTTTTGCAAGAGAAGAAAGCGGCCGTTCGCGAATTCGAAGAGAAGAAAATCGACTTGAAAGAGAACATGATATCCGATTTGGAGGATAAAAAGAGAACAGTGGAAGCCGAACGATATTCGATAGAATTAACCGGCGACTCTTTAGAGGTTTGCCAATTACTATTACTATATTTACTAATTGTTATAAATTTTATTTAATTGTAGGTGAAACCTGTGATGACGAGGAAGCTTCGTAGGAGGCCCAACGATCCGTTGCCCATGCCGGAGAAACGCAGGAAACCGCCCACGGCTCAGATAACTTATTTATTAGAAGACAAAGATGTCGAGCACGATTTGAGATTGATAAATAAAGGAAAACTGCCGACGCCGATTAGAAAGCAAAGCGAAAATTCGGGTTCATCTTCTAGTCCGGGTCACATTCAGGTTAAAAAACTTTTTTAAAGGAACATGTAAACAAAGAATTATATTTTTTAGTATGGAAATTGTACGATGCATATCTATGAATTTTTAGAAACTTACACGGAAATGTTCGCAACAGTAAAGTAAGATTGTTTAATATATTTTTAGAATATTCCGATTCAGCAAAATAATGATGTTTCTTTAATAGAAACTAGAATCGAAGATGGAAAATTGCTGTACGAAAAGAGGTGGTACCATCGAGGCCAGTCAATTTTCGTAGAAGGTAAAAGGGAATGAAAAGAAACTGCGAATAGAATTAATTTTGATTCGATTTTAGGTCGGGACATGCCGAAGTTCCCAGCGAATATTTCTGCCATCGGTAACGATGCCATTTGGGTTAAAAAATCCGACGGCGCGAAAGTCAGAATTTACACTTCGTACCTCGCCCGGGGCAAAATTTCTATCAAAAGAAGAGCATCTTAGATATATTTCGCATTCACCATGTACATTTACGATTCCATTTGCAACCTCCAAATTATTTTATAAGACATAAAACAACTTGTATTTAGTATCTAAGATAAACTATTTTGTAATAAGTTACAAAACGACTTGTTTAAATTTACATTACAATTCTCCAGGAGAGTTGGTTTCGATATAAGAGTAGGCAAATAAACTATTTTGATGAAAATTATTTTATTTGAAACTAGATGGAAAGGACTAAAGTGCTACGCCAAAAAAATCCAGAAGAAAAAAATATTACCTCATCCAATGTAGCTTGGCTGTTGAAAATCGCATTAGATGCGCAAACGGGAAAGAGAGAGACGAACGATCTTTCACAAAAGTTCTTGCAACGTTGCCGGGTTGTAATTGAAATCCTATTGTCCAAAAATTCAATTTCAAATGACGTTGGAAGCAGTAGGAGCATTTGAAATTCTACAGTTACAGTTGCTAGGGTATAGGAGGATGAACAAATCGAGTTGGCTTTTAAATGTCAAAAATCCTCCCTCTCAAAACCAACAATTGGCGGATCTTAGCAAATTCCGAAAAAATATTTACTTCTCTAGTTTTAAGGGGGGTCAAGTTTTCGTTGAAAGATCCTGTAGTTTCCCTCTTTCATGAGACATCAACAGGTCGGTTCATTTTAGTTTACAATATAGGCTATGGGTGCGATAAAGACAACTTCCATTAGACATTTATTTATAAACGAAAAAAAAAAAAGATTGTGTCATATTGCAACTTTTCACTCTATCAACTGTCATTTTAGTAATCTTTCTTTGTTCAACTCATAGAATTGACCATATTGCAAACTGTAATAAACCAAGGTGTATAATATAATCTCCATTATTTCGAGGCTACATACTGTAGAATATTATCATCTAAATCTTCGCCCTGTATACACCGAGTTCCGAGTTCCGCATGCACCATGCACGAGCCCGAGTCCCGATCGACGTCGACCCAAACCCAACTCACACGCACGCATGTCCACGAACACCCGCGAATCCGCTGCTCCCCTCTCGACAAGCCGCGCACCCGCGCATCTCCAGTGCTTGCCGAACGTCGCGCCGATACGCACACGTCCCGCTCGCTGTTCGGCTACTCGCATGTCGTCGCACTCGCCGCCCGAAATGGACTGGTCCAACGATCTCGTCATCGCCTTCCTCAAGCTCTACCGCACCTACAACGTCATCTGGGACCCGAACCACTCCGAGCACCGGAACAAGACCAAAGTGCTGGAAGCGTGGCTGCAACTCAAGCAGGCCATGGACACCGACATGAGCGTGCCCGATCTGAAGAGGAAAAAGGACGCGCTAATGGCGTCTTACAGGAACCTGCAGAAGAAGGCGCAAGTCGCCAAGGAGAAGGGGCTGACGTTCAAGACCTCGTGGTTCGCCTACAATATCATGAACTCTTTTTTGCAGAACGTCTACAAGCCCAAAGTTTTCGTAGGAACCGATGTCTGTGATGTAAGTATATACAGGATCGGTATTTTAAAGTTCTCTTTAGGGAAAACGAAGCAATCCTGTTGAATTGGTGAGAGATCTGCGTGGATAATTCTCGTATGAACATTTCACCAAAAAACCGGCCCTAAAACGCGCGCAACGAGAACGAACGGAGCTCGCCGAAGCTCGCGCGATCGAACCGTTCGGTTCGTTGCACCGGTGCGGAGGGCGTTGCCTCGAATCGAGGCCGCCGCTCTCGAGCCTCGCGCAGTCTCGACGTTCGACGCGATCCAGTCGTTCGCCGGCCTCTGTTCGAGCCGGCTCGTCGCGAATACTTCCGCCCGGCGCACGCGCGTTCCCTTCCTCCGGCGATGGACAACGAAGAGTGCAAGGCGTTCATAGAGCTGTACAGGCGGGAGCGCGTGCTGTGGGACCCGAAGCACAAGCGCTACTACATGCGCGCCGCCAGGGAGGAGGCCTGGCGGCGGATCAGCGAGCGCAAGGGCGTCGCCGCCGCGGAGCTGCAGCAGAAGATGAAATCGCTGTTGGGGAGCTACAGGAGGGAGAAGTCGAGGCGGAGGAAGAGCAAACAAGCAGGTGGAGAGTGGACCTTGCGCGTGATCGGAGTCGGCGAAGTGCTAGGATTGCTGGTACTTCACCGCGACTCTGGCGGTCGTTGCTGTACTGTAGTATGAATACGAGTTTGTTTTTATAGGGACCGTGTATGTTTCGAGATGGTTTGCTTATCCTTTATTCAATTTCCTGGATGATCGTCAGAGTTCTAACGACGAAATTAATGAATCTAAGGAGGTGAGTGGGTTCCTCTTAAATCTATAATCACTACTTACTAGTAGAATGAGAGAGGCTGGACTGTTGGACATACTAGGGCACCTCGTACCAAGGATGAGGCTCGCCAGAAGCCTCAGTGCCTGAACCTTGGCTTGAGTTGTCTAGGTCAAGGTTCGCCTGTAGGACTAGAAGGATCTTTGGGCCTGGATCTAGGGCAATGCTAGCTCAAGCAATCAATTTCTTATCAAAGCGATGGAGGAAAGGGTACTTTTTGTAGAGGATCTATACACCAAGGAATAGGATACTGAAAAAAAAAGAAACAATTATTAGATAAACTTTGGAATTAATGTTAATCGAGATGTGAGTAATTAAAAGTTATTCTTGGTTTCAGGATGACGCGAAGGATATGTTCGAGCACTCGAATTTCGAGTACGAGGATTTCGAGCTGCCCAACGACGACGAGAATTTCGTGGAGGAGAAACCTGTGATAGGTAAAAAGAGGCGATTCGAATACGAGGAGGAACCCGAGCAGGATCTGCTCAACGTTGCGGTGACTAAAAATGCAATAAACGAGAGCTGGTTGAAGTACTAAAGAGGCTTCGAGAAGTCCTACTGTTTACTACTTCCTCCAGATCGGTTTAGTAATTTTTATCAAAATTGTTTGGATAATTTTAGGAGCAGCCGTTGCAGGAATCGGTACCTTTGGAGAAAAGCAACCACCAGCCGGCTAGGAAACAGGACGAGCTGTCCTTGTACGGGCAACTGCTCGTCACGAAATTGAGGAAATTCGACCACCAAACCAGGCTGGTCGTTTGTAATAAAATAGATAATTTGATCTTCGAAATGGAGATGAAATCGATGAAGAGCAAGGAGCAGGCGTGCCAGGATCCTCTGCTGAACGACGTGCCGTCCACGTCCAGGATTAACTACAACAAAACGCCGAATTCCACGCCTTCGCATTCGGAAATGTCCGATCATTAGGACTATCAACATCCTGTATAAGATTTGTAAATAGAATAATAAATTACGAAACTATTGATAATGTTATTGGTGCACGTTGAGACTGAAATAAATTATTTTTGTAATACATTCCGCGTTTTTCTCCTAGTCGAATGATTAAGGACATGCGATTCAAACACATCATGTACAAATAAAATCGAAGGCTTTATTTGCGAAAAAAAAATAAAAATATTTTATACATATCTAACTGTCGCTCGTACGCAGTTCTGAATAAGATATTCCAGTGTAGCAAAAAACAGCACATAATAATTTCGAAATTAGAACGCGCCGTTTTCTCGGAGCGAAATAACATCTCCTATTCGAAACGCGAATGTTCCAAACCATTTTTTTTTGCAAACTTAGTTCAACTAAGTTCTTTCAACAATTCGAGGTGCCGAAGGTTTAGGTTTTTGACGAATTACACAAATGAAAAATAAACGAGATTTAAGGCACCTTAACGTCTAAGAGAAGCACTTCTCGGCCGCCTGATTTCTCAACAATCTCTGCCAATAAATTAGGAGCCTCTGCTCACCCCAAACGTACGTTTTTTTTATTTTATTTAAGGACGATACAAACGCATTATTGCGAGCTTCTTTAGGAGACCTTTGCAGCAACGTGAGGTCTTTGTAAAGAAAACGGTACTCTTATAAGTTTACTCATTACTTTAGATTAAATAATGGCATTTGTACGTCCTTGGTGTTGAAAAAATGAAACCAGACCCAGCTGGCTCGTTTTATTTCAAATACTGAAAGTCTATCCTTACGAGAACAAAAAATAATAATAGAGAGGCCACTACCTTATGATTTCATTTTCCTTTTTTTTCATTAAAAAATATGGAATGATATAACCACCGAAAATTAGCATGCACGAAAATGCTACTATGGAAAAAAAAAGTATTTTAGTAAACAAAAAATTACCTTAAAGACAAGTTGAAGGTTTCAAAAGTGCACTCTGCAGTCGAAGTTTAGCGGAAAATGATGCGAATCCACCCATCATTTCGCGCTAGACTCGCAAATTTTTCATTAAATGCTTCCGTTAAACCAAATAATTAGAATAAAATCATGATAGAGGCAAATTTGGATGTGTCGTGACTGTCAGAACACCTTTCGTAAGTCTTTTAAAGGCTTACAATAATAATTTTTATCACATATAGCCTAGGTAAACTAAAGAAAACAACAAACCTAAAATGTCGCCTGTCCGTTTAATCTTTTCGGGTAACCCGGTATATTTGATAAAAATTCCGCGCGAGTCGCTTCGCTATTCTCATTCAAGCTTAGAAAAATAACAATTAACAAAATTAAAAGAATATAACAAAAAATAACAAATTGTTTTTTTACGATTTTAAAATTTGCTGTTGATGTGTATGTTACTTAAAAATTGGCGTCAATCGATGTTACTCGAAAAAACCGTATAAGAGAAAAGCAATTCTTCCACAAAAAATTCTAACAACTAAATTGATTTTAATTTTTTTATTTTTCTTTTTATTCTTTAAATATCCTAACTAACCAACAACTCAATATGAGCCAACTTTAGGAAAATAGTGTTTAAGTTTTATAAGAGAAAAATTTTTACACCCTACCTTTTATTAGTCTTACAAAATACGATGTAAGGCTACGTAAACTAATAATGTTCCTCTAAAACATCACGAATAAAGTTAATTTAGATTTAAACAGTCAATGGAAGTGAAAAGATACTTTACTTAAACTTAAAATATAGAAATGTATTACATATTACACATTGTATATCTAAGTTTTTTATAATTTAATAAATATATATTTTAAGGAGTATTTTATTCACATCATTAAAATGTACAAAAGTAACTTACGTGAATTATCAATTAATGGTCAAATGAAAATGGAATAATTAATATTTTTTAACGCTATTCATCAATAAAGAATTGCTTTTCCGTTTCGTAAATCACTATTATCAAGAATGTCACAGAAGCACCGACAATTTTTCTTCAATTAACAAAAAAATACTTTAACCAAAACGCGATTTGAGAGTTTCGAAATTCTCCCGAAAAGCTTGTTGTATTCTCACAATTCTTTTCCTCGTTTCCTCCCAGCAGCAACGCCAATTTTTAACAATACCCCCGCCAAAAAAAAAAAGAAAAAAATTGACATTAAACGGAAGAAAAAAAAAATTAAAAAAAGGATATTAAAAAATTCGCCTAACACAACAACCACCGCTAGCGCTAAGGATTAGGCCCGTGCGGATTCCCCTGGCCGGGATGCTGGTGCATCAGCACCTGCATGGGCGGCTGCGGCGGCGGCGCCTGTTGCAAATACTGCATGCTCTGCATCATGTGCGGCTGCGCCTGTATGAGCGGATACATCAGCGGAAATTGGTGGTGGCCCTGTTGCGGCGGCGGCGCCGCCTGGCACTGCTGCGGCGGCGCCTGCGGCCCCTGCGACGGATTGTACTGCGGCGGCTGGGCGGGCGACGGCGCCTGCGACGGGGTGCGCGTTCGGCGGCAGGTACTGGATCTGCGGCGACGTCTCGTACGTCCGCACGGCCATGTGCATGGGCTGGTACGCCTGGTTCATCGTCGGCGGGTAGATGAACTGCTGCATCGGCGCCGGCGCCAGCAGCGGTTGGCCCGTCGCCGCCGCCACTTGCATCTGCGACGCCATATCCGCCCGCATCGGTACTGCAATTCACCACCGAAACCAATCAGTATCCGTACAAAACAACATTCATAAAGGACATTCGCGCTCGCTAGGCAATGACGTCATTAATTTCCACGCAGTTCAACATTTCCCTAGTGTCAATGTTAATTCTCCCATTTGACTAGGGGAATTTAACGACGCGTAGTTGAAAGTCGAAGGCGATGTTGTCATGCATTTAGTCTCAATATTCGCAATATTTAGCGGCGCTTTGTAGTTGACACTTTGACAGGTTATGATAACAATTTGTTTTTGCGCGATTTTTCTGTATTTTTTCAAGTTTACGAGTAGGTTTTGTGTTTTTCGTTCGTTCTAGATACTTTTTCGTGCGATTTGTGAACATTTATCGCCAGTTTCTCCCGAAATTTTCGGTTTTTTTTTCGATCTATTTCAAGAGGAACGGGGATCAATAAATACAGATCGATATTTTCGATAGTTAAGCACATTGAAATTTATAGGTAAACTTACGAATAGTTTTTTAAATGTATATAGCGTTGCAAATAAACACCTCTCCCGTCAATCGGATTGCAGCCTAACGCATTTTTTTTTAATTTCTAAATAATGAAAGTTAACATAACCTTAAATGAAATATATCTGTCACGTCAAGATTTTCATTTCAACCCGGCAACGTTGCAACAGATTGGCTTGTGACGTCATTGCCTAGCGAGCACGAATGTCATTTAAACCACTTTACGCATACAACTATAAAACATTCGATTCGCTTCGTTTACAGGCCTCTCAGATCCAAAACGAGCGAAATCATAAAACAATAAAAATACGTATAAACAAAAAAAAAACACAAAAAAAAATTGATGCGTTCTGAGAGACCTGCGCGTTCATCATGGAAGACTTACAACGTCTGATCTTATTGCCTTGGGGCGGCGTTTGGTACTGCGGTTGGCTGGTCATGACGTGGTAGAATGGCATCATGACGGGCATCGCCTGTTGGACTGCTGGCCCTCCGACCGAGGCCGAAACGTACGGGCTGTGACTCGGAGTTTGCGGCGTGTGAGGACGACTCGCCGACGGCGTACTTGGCGATCTACGAAATCAAATAAACCGTTGAAATGTACGGGTGGTTAAGCGCAAATTCGGGCAACTCGAATGAGCCGAACAAAGAAAGATTATTGGAAACAACGGCGGTTAGAGTGAGAAAGTTGCAATTCTACAATATCTAGCCTAACGGAGACTAACGGAAGTTGTCTTTGTTCCACCCACAGACCATATTGCGTACCATTTTGCATCTGTATATTAGATAATAGAGCAAATTTTGATGTTTTACCTTGGTTGGAATGGTTTAGCAGTGGGATTCAAAACGAATTCCTTAGCGTTCGGATTCAACGTGGATTTCTTCAAAGTATTAGCGACCTTGTCTAAATTATCCTGTTGGGGACTGATCGATTGCTGCGGTTGCGGTGGCGAAGGCTGTTGCGGCGGTTTATTTGGAATATTTTGAACGGGAGGAATCTTAACAAAAAAAAAACATTAAAATATAAATATTATCAGCGATAATAGAGCGTTGAAACGTACTTGCTCGACGACCTGCGGCGGCGGTTGTTCGTTAGAGAGACCGGCCAATTTGAAATCTTGAGCAAACTGATGTAAATCCTTGATGGTGTCGTCCCGGTGCCGCGCCGGATGGTTTTGGATCTGCACCACCTCCGGCTTGATATCCGATTGGTATTGTTGGTTTTGATAGACCCTTTGTTGGCGAGCGGGCGGCGCCCCTTTCGCCTCGCCGTTGATCTGAGCCTTCGACATGTCGATTTGCTGTTGGGCTTGCTGCTGTTGCTGCTGCTGGAGCTGTTGAGGTATGTTCGGCTGTCGCTGCGGGACGGGGGGCTGTTGGTATTGATGCGGGGGCGTGTGGGCGTGAGGACGGGAATGATTGGCCGCCGGGTGCGGTTGGATGCCCATCGGCGGCGAATGGATGGTCGCGTTGTGCATGTGCGGGGGATTCTGGGGTAGCGCAACTGCAACAAAAAACGCACTGTAACTCGGAGATTCTTTGGGCGTTAGAGAAGAAAATTTACCTCGTTGAAGGTGTACGTTGTTTTGATGGGGAGACGGGTGCGTCGGATAACTCATCGGCGGTCGAGTCTCCTTCGGCGACGGCGTATTCTGACTGCTACTACTCTGGCTGGGCGGCGGCGTGCTCCTAACTAATTTGCCGCTATTCTGGTTCTTCCGCTTAGCTGGAGGAATATATTTACCTAAAAAGTCGTTCCTCGAAACTAAAATGCCTAGCTCTCTATAATGGAAACCCCCGCTCACACACCATGCATACACACCCACCTTTCATACCCCTAAATACTATTTGTTCGTACATAAAGCACCGTTCACCTCCGAATAAGTAAAGTGCGAGTTATCAAATTGTATTTCGTTTTGTTAACTTCTACGATACATTCCGAGATGAAGAGATTCGCCTCAAAATAATTACCGTTTGTATTGTTTTCTTGATGTGGCCGGACGACCGCCGCGTATATGGCCTCCTCGTCGCCGTTTTCTAATTCTAACCTAGCTTTGTGTTGCGGTTGATTCTCTATTTCGTTGGCGATCAAATTGGCCTTGGCCTCGGCCTCCTTGTAATCGGCCGAATCGCTGGTCTGCAGCGGCACCGTGTAACCTCTCAGCGACTGATCGAACGTGCTCTGCACGCCGTAGTCCTGCTCGTTTTTCCTAAACATGTCGTTGGCGTCCCAGCCGTTGGCCTGGTCCAGCTCCAATTCGATGTCGGCGCCGTTCATGCCGGACGCGTCCCACGGCTCCAGCTTCTTCTCCTCCAATTTCATGTTGCCGTTCAACGGGGCCGATATGGCAGTATCCGTTAGGAAGGTGTCCCGCGTCGGGTATTCTAGATCTACGTCTTGGGCTACCATCGTCAAAATATCACAAGGCTTGAATATGAGCTTGTCGACGTACGTGTCGACGTCTATCTGGGCATTCGGACCGTCCGGGTTCTCCACTTTGGCTGCCACCTCTAACACTACGTCGAATCTGCTCGAAAACGTTTTGAATACACCTGGAAAATACAACCATTCAATAGAATAAACGACAATCTATAATAGTTAGCAACATGTGTTAAGTTGTTTTATAAAGAATCTACAATATAATAATGAACAATTGTCAACGAGTGTGCCGTTTAGTATAGCAACTAAATAAAGGTATACATCTAGCCTTAAGTTTTGGTGTCCAGTATCTCGTACAGGGAGTGCTCTCCCTTTGAGTGTTCTTACATGTTAAGTTCATGAACTTTAATAGGTGAATAAATAAATATTACCTTCCCATACGATTCCTGAAGCAGTGGTGATTCTCACCACGTTCCCAACCTGTGCCGTAGCAGCGTGCATAAAATGAGCATTGTTGTAGACCCCTTCGGAGACCACGGGCCTGTGAGGTCTTTGATTCCTAGAAAAGCAAAATGTATTGATTAGGATTTTTAATTTGCCATAACAAAGGCGTAGTAATCGTCTATAAAAAGCTATGTTTCCTAGAAAAACGTTATCAGCTGTTTTCAACTATTATCTATAAATTCGTTTGGATGAATTATCACGAAACGCTAGTGTTAGGAATGATGAAAGTAGAACGAATGAAGATACTTCCTGCCTTTCAATCCTCTAAATAGCAGTAATTAGCCGTAATTAACGAGTTAGAAAGGCGGAAAGTGGCTGAATAACTCCATGGGATTGGGGTTGTTTTGTTTTTTTTTCTTGGGGAAAATGGTACTAACCTTACAGGGCCCCCTCGATTTTTCCTCGATTTGTTATTCATATCACCGCTACCGTAGAGGCCGGGATCTCTGTTTCTCGTAGGCACCGGAATTTTGATGAATTTTTAATTATACCTTTTAAAAAAGAATATCAGGTTTACGGGGCAAACCGTACAAAAAACAACCTTATCCGTTCGCGAAACAAAGATTTCACCAAATACAAAATGGCCTAGTGACGTAACCGTGGAACGCGTTTTTCTTTTGTCGCCTCGATTGCATTCGAGCGATTTATTTACGTATCACATTCAGACTACAATAAAGCGTCTGATTTTGATTGATATCACTTTGAATTACTTAAAAAACTGATATAATAATTCTGACAACAAACAAATATGAAACCAGCATTTGCGGGTAATGTCCGTCTGTCAACGACTGACAAGGCGCGGTGCGCACGCGCGCCAGACGCCATTGAACTTTCTCGTTGCATTTGTTTTGTGGCGGCAAATTTCTCCCGATTCAAATAATCGATATCGCGGAGCGTGCGTACCGTCGCTTCTATTATTATTATTCTTCGTGTGCGTCGCTTATTTTATTAATTGTACAACCTGTTGGATGTATTTCGCTTTTAAGAGGTATGCAAGCATGCATTTTGATCGTTAGTGGTGGTACATTTGACCTAGATTCCAGATAATTCATAAAATTTCTTTTACCCTCCAAATTTTTGAGTATTTTTTAAATTAGTGTTTCTTCTTCATTATTTGGGTTTCCTTAGTAATTTTTAATAAATTTATGTTATCTGTTTCTATATACCTACCTAATATTGAAAATTCTTCCAAAATAAAAGAAAATTCATCCCTTAAACCAAATTTTTATTTACAGATGAAGAACGTATCTAGATTGACAAAACAAGAGCGCGATCAATCAAAGACGGTAAAAGAAGAAAATGAAAATTTCCTAAATACTTTCGATCGTTTTGTTCTATCAATACTATTCATTCTAATGATCATCAACGTATTGTTATCCATCGATCCGATCGCCTGGCGTTTGTGTTCCTTAGGAAGGATTCTGATGATAAAATCCCTGCCTTACTACGACTGGAGGCCCTGGAAAACCGAGCAATGCTTGATAAACAACAAATCTCCAGAAAAAACCCCGACAACCGCCGAATTAAACTGCAACACGTGCGAAGACACGTTCAAAATAGACGTGCACGAGTACCTAAACGAAGACATCCTCGAAGAACGGTACGTCAACGTCGACGCCCCGGTGGTACTGACCAAAGCGGGCGTCGAGCAATGGCCCAACGACACCGCATTCATCGAGCAATTGCTCGAAGAGCCCGACTTCGCCGAATCCTACCCGTGCACGCTAAGCGGCAGCTTCACCAAGCAACCCGCCGACCTGCGGGCGGTGCTGGCGAAGCGCAAGTACTTCGATCGCTTCCTCGTGCACTTCAGAAACTGCGAGCCGGAGGCGGTGCGAACGTTCCGGAGCGTCGTCAACAGGCCGCGATCGCTGCCCGATACCTACTCGCCGACGTTGTACAACTGGGCGCTCTGGAGCAGGGGGTACAAATCGTCGGGCTACAAGCGCGTGGAGCTGGTGGAGAAAGTGGCCGTCGTGGGGCAGCTGGTGGGCGCCACGCGCCTGCAGCTGGTGCCGAGGGGGAACTGTCGGGAGGTTTGCTCGACGCTGGGCGTCACGCTGCGCGCCAAGGAGGTGCTGGTGTTCACCGGCTTGTGGGACTTGGAGTACATGCCCGGCCACGGCGGGGAGAACTTCGCCGTTGTAATGGAGTTTTGAGACAATATCAACTTTTCAAAACTTCAAAGGAGTTGAGGTAGATGTTTTTTAATGTACGTCCAAGAGATTTCGATGGATTTGAGGTTTATAAAAATAAAGTTAAGTACATGTGTATCGGCTACTAAGTTCCACTACTTTTAACTCCAAGATTCGTATTAGCGCTTCATTAGTAACCAAAAAAAATCATCTTAAACTCAATTATAATTACAAAGCAACAATACAAAACGATCCAAACAATTCCTTTATTCTATTCAGAAAGAGCCTTTTTGCGTATCTTTTCCTCAATCTTCCAAAACGTCTCCAACTTTTCGAATTGCTCCAGGGTGACTCGGTGCAGCTCGCTTTCGGAGGGCAAATCTCCCCCGTATTCGCTCGGCAGATATTTCTTCGGTATAATTTCGAACAGTTTTTCTTGCGACAAATCGGGCGTGTGAAAGTGCAACTGAAACATTCCAGGATCACTCCAAAAATTTTAAAAACCGTACGACGTCATATAGGCATTAAATAGAACGAATTATATGTAATGCTTACCATCGACATTAGTTCGTTTTTTATGAAAACCTTCACGAGAGCGAGGATTTTGTCAATGAAATACACCGAATTGATTATGTGGATGGTTTTCAATTTCATGGGGAACCCTTCTTGTAAGAACGTCAGGTATTTTTTAATCGCTTGCATTTTTATTTTTGACATGTGCATCAGACCAAACTGCAGTAAAACTTACTTATAAATAATGAAAAAAAAATGAAATAACCATAATTAAGAACTTACCCCTTTGAAATCAATGACGACGATTATCCCGTTAGGGGGATTTTTCTCTTGAGAGACATCCATTAGCATATAGGAAATCTTCATGATGGGTACTAAATCGAAGTTTCTATAATAAGAATCGTGTATGTTAAAGTAATGATAAACATCGTTGTTTTCCGTCCTAACAGGTATGCTCGACATATGTCTAAAAAGTAATGAACAACAATTAATTCCAAATTGAATATTTAATTATTCATATTATCCCAGCCACCTGTTTGTTTTATTAGTCATATAAAAATCTTACATTGTATTAAGGGCCAACTTGATGTCGGTGTTATTCAGTTCCCTGTTGTCGTATATTTCTGGACCTTGGTATTTCAGTAAATAGTATGATATTATGGTTTTTTTGGTGAGCTCGACGTCGTGTTCGCAGGATAACAGAAATATGCAAATCGTCTCATCCTGCAGCCTGGAAGAACGAATTTCCAAAGTCAGTAAAACTAAAGACAACATGATATGTCAATTTGACAAGTGACAGGTGACAACAGCAAAAAATCTCACTTTGCCGGCACGTATTTGTCGTTCAGATTCGACACGAACGTCCCGACCTCCTCGACGTCCTTCCTGGATATCCTTCCTTCCTGTATGAGTTCTTCGGCAGTGAATTTGTAGGGCAGCACCAACTCCGCCGGTTCGTTCATATTTCCCGAATATCTTTGCACCACCACCGTCTTTTCCACTACGACCACTTTGCCGAAGGTGTTGCTAAGAAACGTGAACGTCACTAGAACAAATACGAATACCAGAAGAATTTGCGTCGAATGTTCGTGCAATCTTCTGCAAAACGCGCCTTTTGAGGACACCATGTTTCTACAATATACGGCTGAATGCAATAGGAGGAAGTTTGAATTTTTAAGTTCATTATTTTGGTACGTTTGTATGACCTTAATGGAATTTTGTGCATATTTAATGAGAATATTAAGTGCCTACAATGTTCGTGTATAATTAATTGACAGGATCTTAGTAGGCAATTTAAAAGAATGACATGTGTCAAAATTTGACATTTAATTCAATTTCATTTAATTCATTAGTAAAATCTAAATAATTAGTTATTTAATTTTACTCTCAAATATTAAAATAAATAATAAAGTGCCTAGAATATTTTTGTAATCAATTGACAGGATCCTAGTAGGTAAGAGACATATGTCAAAATTTGACATTTTTTGTTAAATTTACTAAGCTTATTTTTAAGCGTTAATTTTTATCGAATTTAAAAATTTTTGAATATGTGTTTAATTAATTTTACCTTAAAATATTGAATCATTTGTCTAATAAATTCGCCAGAACAACACAAAATTAAACTAACCTATCGGTTACATACAAATGTTAAAACGATCGGAAACTATTACATTACATATTATTAAAGTACCCGATAATTTGAAATGTTGAATGAACATTGAACGTCGAATTAGGAAATATTGAAATGACAAAATTGACGATTTGATGGGATTTGCTTACGCAAACGTGTATAAAGAAATAGTATCAAAACTAGTTTTATGATTTAAACGTCTACAAATTTAATGATCATATTAAAATTTTAACGGAACATTAGATATGATTTATGATAAAAAGGTCATTTGTACCAAAATAATTTCGAATTCAACATATCATACGTACCTAGCGATTTTGAGGCAAACGTTTATAAACATAGAAAGTCATTTGCGTATACTTTATTCCTTTTCGGTTATTAAAATTATCATTTTAATATGCCATTGTTTGATTAGCTATTATAATCGCAAGTAAATTGTCGTTTATTTGATATTTTTGTAGTTTTTAATAATAATGCAAACCAAGGAATTTATTATATAATCTTCGAACAATAAATAAGTATATAGTATTGCTTCACCGATATATTGCAGAAATAAAAAAATCCAGAAACTATAATTTTTTAAACAAATATATAAAATACAGCAGGATAAAGAAAAGTACGATAAAACCTTGTATTTCAAACAGGGAGTGTCTTACCCTCCCGTTGTGCTAATTAAAAAAATGCATCTACCTTAAGATACTCACCTTTCTAATGAATCAACCAGGCACTCGTAATTATTATTGTAGATATTGAATTTATTAGTTATTAGTTATTAGTTAAGTAACATTAAAAACTAACGGGACATCGGATTGCGGTTTTAAAAATAGTATTTGTTTAGCATTTCATACATGATGTAATAAATGCTAATACAAAACAATGTCAGAATTAAGGTCAAATTAGGTTATTAATTGGTAATATAAAAATATGTGGATTTGTGGAGAAAAGCACATTGGGAAAGAGGGAAAATTCATGAAACTTTAAAGCCTGAAGCCTTAAAAAATAACTCACCTTAATACAAAATTTTTATCACCAAAAATCCTTCCTGTTTCTTCACGATTTCTTCGAATAAACCCACGCAATTAATTACCATAAACGCGCGTATTTCTTCTTCTGCGTGCGTAATCTATCTCGATTAACGCGCTATTTTTCTATAATATTCCGTATTTATACGTCAAAAAATGATTTAGAGTACTATTTAATTCGCTTTGGAAATCAGAATATTCAAGCGCAAATAAGAACAATGCCGGCTCGGCTCTCTTTCGCGTTCACAATGAAGGGCATTTGAATTTCAAATACAAAATTTTAATCGTCAATACGTCGATAAATGCATAAATATGAATGTCTAAATTAATAGAGGGGGCAAGTAAAAACCTATATCTATAATATCTACGGTGTAAATATCCATATCCTCTCAAACATTTAACATTATCGCAGATAAATTAAATTATATATGTATCTATATTACCTAATTAATTTCGTACGATAAGAGATTCAAAGAGATTATTCATTTGGCGACTAGCGAGGCGTCACGACGCCGACGTCGCTATTATTTTCTCATTGATATTCTATCGAGCAAATCACATTTACTTCAGTTGAACGGCTAATATCGCTTCCTAATGGCTTCCTCCTTTATCCAAAACTCCTGATTCGCTTTCAGCCTCAACAGCGTGATGTCCTGCAGGATGGCGACGCTCGCCAAGTCTCCGCCATAGTCCTTCGGCAGGCACTTCTTCGGTATGTACCTGAACAGTTGCTCCGGGTTCGCGTTCGGCTCGTGCAAAAAAAACTACAAAAATATACCGCTCGAAACAGACAACCTCTTAGCTACAAATTTACCTTGTTCAATATATCGTCCTTGATGAACACCTTGATCATCGACCACAGCGTCCTCAGCACGAAGTTCGAGTTGAGGAAATGGAAGCCGGTGAGTTTCAACGGCAGCGCCTCCTGGACGAACGTGAAGAACTTCTTCAGCGTGTCCATCTTCAATCGAGACATGTGCTTGTAACCGAACTGAAATCGAATCGATATCATCAAAGGAAATCATCGGACGTACGATTTTCTCACCTTCTCGGTGTCCACGATCAACAGTAAACCGTTCGGGGGATTCCCGTGATAGGTCAAATCCATAATCATGAAACACAACTTCATGGTACTGACGGCGTTGAAGTTCTTGTAGTTGTAATCCTTCAATTTGAACAGGAGTATGACGTCGTTGGTCGAGGTCCTCGTCGGTATGAGGATCATTGTCCTGAAAAACAATTTACAACATCTCCTGGAAATGTGGATAGAGAAGGAAATGTGGACTCTTCAATAATATTTTTATTATTTAAACGGTGGAAAGAGGTAGAAAAAGGTGCAGAAAGAGATGGAAAGAGATAGAAAGAGGTTGGAAAGAGGTGAAAAGAGGTGCAAAGAGGTTGGAAAGAGGTGAAAAAGGGTGAAAGGAGGTGAAAAGAGGTAAAAAGAGGTGAAAAGTGGCGAAAAGAGGTGAAAAGAGGTTTGAAAGAGTATGGAATAAGGTGAAAAGAGGTTAGAAAAAGGTGAAAAGAGGTGAAAAGATGTGAAAAGAGGTAAAAAGAGGTTGGAAAGTGAAGGAAAGAGGTGGAAAGAGGAGGAAAGAGGTTGGAAAGAGGTGACAATTGGTAAAAAGAGGTGAAAAGAGGTTTGAAAAAGATGAAAAGAGGTTGGAAAAAGGTGAAAAGAGGTTGAAAAAAGTTAAAAATAGGTAAGAGGTGAAAAGAGGTTGGAAAAAGATGAAAAGAGGTTGGTAAAAGGTGACAAAAGGTGAAAAGAGGTGAAAAGAGGTGAAAAGAGGTGAAAAGAGGTGAAAAGAGATGAAAAGAAGTAAAAAGAGGTTGGAAAGTGAAGGAAAGAGGTGGAACGAGGCGGAAAGAGGTGAAAAGAGGAGGAAAGAGGTTGGGAAGAGGTGAAAATTGATAAAAAGAGGCGAAAAGAGGCGAAAACAGGTAAAATAGGTTTGAATGAGGTTTGAAAGAGGTGAAAAGAGGTTGGAAAAAGGTGAAAAGAGGTTGGAAAGAGGTGGAAAGAGGTTGCTTGGAAGAGGTTTGAAGAAGTTGAAAGAGGTTGGAGAGGTAGAAAGAGGTGGAAATTGGTGGAAAGAGGGAAAGAAGAAATGACAACAAGTGAAAGATCTCTTTAAAGATATACTTGTCCTGTTTCAAAAAAAAACTCTTACATGGTATTCAAGGCCAGGACGACGTCGTCCTTCAGCACGTTCCTCTCGTCGAACATGTCCGGCGCGTTCTTCCTCAACTTGTAATAGGCGACGATCGAATTCTTGCACAATTCGATATCGTTGTCCAGGCACGTCAGGAACAGAACGATCAGCTCGTCCTGGACGCCGTGCGGCACGACCGATTGGGCCAGCAGCCACTCGCCGATCGCGTCGATGTTGTCGCGCGTCGTGCGCCCCTCTTTGATCACCCGATCCACTGAAAATTTATAGTCCAGACTCATCGTTTCGCCTTCATTTCGCCCCCTGACGCTCGGCGCTCCGACGCGCTACGGCATCATCGGCGCCCGCAGCCCGGAACACCGACGGTCTATCGAGAATTTCGCTGTGACGGTCACGACTGAAGCCGATTTCGATGACAGATCGAAAAGGAGGGCTTCGATGACGATCGGCACAACTCCCCGATTGGTCGGCTACGTCATCGCACGCATTCCGAAGGCAACGATGTCAAAACGTATTAACCTCACTACCGCGCTTTATTTGAAATTGTCACTCGAACCATCCGCCGAACAACCTAAATATAATTGATGGATAGCGAGGGAAATTCCCAGTGATTATGTCTGGCAAGTCGTGCTCGACGGACGGGTGCCGGCCGTGTCCGAACAAACAGCCGCCGGAGAAGAGCCGGGGATGCCCCGGCAGGCTGACGAACGATTGCCCGGGGGCGTCGAAGAAGCAGGACGAGCTCTGCGAGAATCCCGATTGCCCGTACAGGAAGGCCGTGGACGGGGAGTGCAACATAAAGGAGGATCCGAACGCTGTCGCTTGCGGGAATCCGAATTGCGCGGCTAACAAGGAGAAGAGCCCCGTTTGCGATAATCCGAAGTGCCCGTTCAATCCGGAGACCTACGGGAAGGAGTTTTGTAAATGATTCTATTATTAGCGATATTGAAACTCGTGCAACTGTAAGATAAATAAATTTTACTGTATAGCTGCTTTTATTATGAAGGGATGCTTAGGGTAAACCTCTAATATGATAGAGAGGATAGATTTTTTTATTTCTCTAATTTAATAAAGATTCATAATTTTCTCTATTAGTTCATATACATTGGCTAGTAAGTGGAATAATAGGATTTAAATTAGAGAGGTTTCTTTTGACTCGAATACAAATCAATTATTTTAGATAAAAATATCCCGTATAACGAACGATAAGTTTATAATTTGTACGTTATCTAAAATATATAAGAGTTTGATAATATTAAAAGACAAAAGCAGTCCCCAATTTTCGGTGCAAAAAAATTATTATTTCTATAAGTACCTAAAGATTTTCACGTAAGTACCTAGATATTTGTAATTTTTTTATTATAAATGCTCATGTATAATTACTATTAATTATTTAAGTAAATAACTCTGTAAAACTGAATGCTATATACTCTTAATTATCGTTTTACACAAGTAAATTATTTTATATTTAACAAACTGAACATTGAAATGCATTGCAATATACAATTACCTAGTTTGTTGAAATTTAACAGTAAAAAACCAGTTTTATTTAATAATTTGACTACGTAATATATTTTGGAGAGACAACCTATACTTAAAATTTCACAGATTTCTATAAGTTACTCATATGTAACGATACATTCACAATAAGCTCTAAGCTTAGATCAATTGCAGTGCTTGGAAAATGCCATTTAAATTCAAATTCAAAGCCGAAGATTTAATATCGAAAGGACGAACATCCGCTGAAAATGTGGATGCCATAAAATCCTGGCTGCAAACGATAGAAGACGAGTTCGTGCCCAAGAATCTCCCCGACGAAATGATAGTGTTATTTTTGTTATGTTGTGAAAACCGTCCGGAGTTAACCAAGCAAACGATAACGTGGAATTTCAAACTAAAACGCCAGTGCCCCGAACTTCACGACAACAGAATCGTCACCAAGGATACGGAATTAATGTTTGACATTTGGTATGTAAATAAGGTTTATTTTTTATTCAAAAATCTTGTATGTTGGCGACAAAACTTGCAGCTTGGCTACCTCGCACGTTTGCTCGACAAAATTTATGAGTTATACGAGGAGTGGATGATAAGATAATAAATAAAATAGATAAAGTTTTTTTTTCAAAAATCTAGATTGTTAGTGACGAAACTTACATTGTGGCAACCTCGCATTTTTTGTCGACCGAATTATACGAGGAGTGGTTTATAATTTAATGTAAAAGTTATGAATTTTGTTTTAGGAGTATCGTTTCCTCGCCGAAAAGGACTCCCGAAAATTACGTTATACATTATCTCAGATTGAACGATGCCGATTGTAAAAAATTCGATCTGACCGAGATTTTCAGGGCAACGCTGATGCTGATGGATGTGTCCTTGCGCAGGACCGCCGATCCTCCAGATGGGCTCGTTGTTGTTATGGATTTTGGGCTGGTAATAATTTAACAGAGTCTCTTTAATTTGACAGTTGTAATGGAGTTACTAAGGAGGTTATTTCAAATTGACAGTTTTACATTGTTGTTATGGAGTAACTAAGGAGATAATTTCAAATTGACAGTTTTACATTGTTGTTATGGAGTAACTATGGACATTGTTTACGAAGGAGTGCTGACCGTGGGCCAAAAAATTCGTTAATTTTCTTTCATTTTCCAGGCGGGCTTGAGACATTTAACCAAAATGAACCTGGATTTAATGAGACATTACTTCAATTACCTACAGGAAGCCTTGCCGATGAAAATGCGGGCCATCCATTACTTAAATTCGAATTTCGCTTTGAAAAAAGTGTTCAGTTTAATCAAATTTCTGATTAAAAACGATTTGTTCGATACGGTGAGTGAGTGATTTTAGTTTAAGTTTCCGAATAGGCGCGAAATTTGTTTTAGATGACTTTCCACCCTCCCGGCGTGTCTGATGAGTATTTCTACGAATTCATCCCGAAAGATTGCTTGCCCAAGGATTATGGAGGAGACATGCCCAGCTTGAACGACCTCACTAAATTAACCAGACAACAATTCATCGATTGTGAAGAGTATTGGAAGACTGAAGAAAACCTTAGGAAGAATATCGAATGAATGCTTTATTATGTGTTTGTTATTAGGTATACGGTTTATAAATTGGAGAATATAAATTATTATTATCCACATTTAGGTACACAAAATTTTAAGAGTAACATCGAAAGTAAAACAATTCAAAAGCAATCAACAGTAAAATGTAAAAAAAGTAATACACAAATAATCGTAATGTAAATTTCAATTTGTCGTAAAATAATTGGCTGGTACCGATTTTGAAGCAATAACTCACATTGTCCTTGGTTTTTCTATATTATTAATTTTTAATTGAAGCATACTTGCCCGACCATGTCGGATATATCGCATTGATTGGTAGTTAGAAAATTAAATAATTCAAATCATAAAAAAAAACTCGAGCTCTATAAACCACCACCTAAGAAAAATCCAAAAAAAAACCTAATTAATCAGAGCACACAAAGGAAGTTTACCTATTAGATAAAACTTCTCAAACACGTTACAACCATCTTCAATACTATATTGCCAAATTTAAACCCACCAACGAATGCAAAACGTAACTTGCTGTTCGCATTAGAAGGTTACGAATACATTGCAATTATTCGCAATAACTCAGCGAAACATGAAACAACGAAAATATACCGAGAGATTATGTAACCTGCAAAAGGTGTTCCGTGTGTGCCACATTGTAATTGGAGTCTAAACAGCGCGTTTTTCGGTTTTCGTGTAGGAATTATACACCTTTCGTTTCGAGCCGTTATGTAAAAATGCCGTTGCTATGCTAATATACACGTAGCAAGTCCGCTCGATGGAAAATGCTATGTATAGGAATCGAATTTACTAAGAAAAATTGCCTGGACGAAGGAATATTGAGCCTCAATGCATAAAGGATGAGACACTTGCATCAGAAATGCATCATTGTTGAGTATTATTGAGTAGTTTCCACGTGATTAAGAAGTAATTGAATGATTGAAGACTTGGCATGTATGAAGATTGGATAATTCCAAAACAGGGACCTGGAGAGTTCTACCGATTAGTTCTGAATCAATCTAAATGATTCTGGACAGTTCTAAATTGTCTTAGACAGTTCCAATTCGTTCAGAAGCGTCCTAAATCATTTTAGACAGTTGTAAATAATTTTGGACAGCTCTAAATGGTTCTCAACAATTCTGATTCGTCATGAAGCAATCTAAATTAATCTAAACAGTTCTAAATTATTTTGGACAGTAGGTACTAAATCATTTTGAACAGTACTAAATCAATTTAGGCAGTTGTAAATCATTCTGGCCAGTTCTAAATGGTTTTCAATAATTCTGATTGGTCTTGAAGCAATCTAAATGATTCTTGACAGTTTTAAGAATTGTTCCGGGCAGTTTTAAATGGTTCTCAACAATTCTGGACGGTTATACATTGTTCAAGACAGTCCTAAATCGTGTTCATTTAACATTTGGTAAGTATGTGGAACTTTTATTAAAGAACATCCCAAACTGAACTTTCAACATATTTATTATTGTATAGCAGTATCGGTTGATCAATATTTGCGAAAAAAATCGCACTCGCGAGTATAATTACATTCTGATTGAAAAATAACCACTGTAAAGTACACGGTGCAAGTATCGGGTTCCCCTACTAACTTTCCATTTCTGCCGACTCGAAAGTTTCTTCTACTCTATACCATCAACGCTCATCAGTTGGCGAAATTCGCTGTAATCGTCGTTAATCAGTCCGCTACAGGTAGTACCATCGCGAACCATCGACCGGTACTCTTCAACTCTTCGACGACCAGCCGTTACATCTCGAAATATCGCGACGAGTTTCGAGTTCGCTGCGAGTTGTGCATTGAAATAACCGCGGAAATGGCGCCGGTGCAGCCCTTCTTGAACGGATTGAAGGCCGTGCCCGAGGGCAAGCAGAAGGAATTGCAGAAAGTCAGATCCTGGTGAGTCGTTTTTCTTGCGAAAATGCCGAATATGAAAATTCCTGCGGAGATTGTTATATAAACAACGATTTCTTTCGTTGACCATGGCCGAGTTTCGGCCGGTCGCTCACCTACTAAACGCGATAGGAGAAAGGACGATAAGGATTTTCGTCGCGTTTTAAGTGATAGAAATTGCTGGACAATATAGGTACATTTAATTCGGTTAATTAGCGGTTACTGTAAAGCTGCTGGGTGATTGAATTAACGATTGGTAATTAAGCGGTTTTAACGGGATTTCGATGAAATTATGCGAAGTTGTAGAGTTCAAAAACAACCAGAAAGTGTTAATTAGCATTTTTAAGTGTATTTATGGCATTATTGCATATTAATTAAGTGCTGTTTTGAGAATGAGATGTTTACGACATCAAGGTTCTATGAAGCCTATTTTTTTCGAATTACAATTACAAATTACAATTACAAACTTGGATTGAGTTCTTTAGGTATTAACTATTTAATTAGAGTATTTTTTAAAGTCCAAAATGTCGTGTTTCTCTCTCTACAATATACGTAGTTATTAAATTGTCCACAAAATTAGCAGAATTAAATTAAATATTATAGTAGAACAAACAATTAAATTTTTAATATTAAAAATCGAGCAGGAACTACTTGGAAAATGCACTCAAAACGCATACATTACAAGGCTAGATCGATTCCAAGAAATTTTCATTTTTTAACACCAATTAACAAAGCAATTTAAATTTGTAAAACTTTTGATAAATCAACGTTAACTACTTGTTTAATTAATTTTACACACGCGGAATACAAATTAATTAATTAATTCCTAGAAGTGCTAACAAATATTTACAATTCTCATTTGATAACTAATTGTAAGTACTAAAACTTACACATGTGAAGGAATTTTGAACGTTGAATTAAATCAGTGAGTCTACCAGCTACCCTTACAACTTTATAGTTGTAACATTTCTTTAATTACGAGCGTGATTTTCAAGTTATAATTATCTTGCATTTCTCGAATATTCCTCGACGGTGAAATGTAGGTCAATGTTTCTTAATATTTCATTCTTCGGCATATCTTATATAATATTTAGAGTGTCTAAAATATTATATAATATGGATATTAGTTTTTACTTTTTATTGGATATGTAGTAACACTTATAATAACAATAATTTTAATCGAACTAAAAATATAACTACGGGTTGCTCGAATATAAAAATTTATTGCCTATTTTTTAAGAAACAAATTACATATAGAATTGTATCGACATTTGTAATAAAAATTATAGTTTCTCCATTATTAAATTAATGTATCGATTTAAACGATGTATAAAAAAATGCTTCAAACCTTTATTTAAAATATCCTTACCTATTAAATCAATGTAAAATAAATTGGATTTTTTTGGTTCATTATTAATCTCATTAATCATAAAAAATACCTATGTGAAAAAATTAGATTTTCCTTGCATAAATTAATCCTGATAAGTGGCTAATTTGCAAACTCACTAAACACGAAAATAAAACATAACCGTTTATAACTGGTTTTGAATTTTTACAGGTTATCAACCCAGCCACATCTACCTGACATATCAGACGATTACATCTATTTATTCCTGCATTCCTGCAATTTTTCCGTGGACAGAACGAAGAACACGATCGAACATTACTTCAACATCAGGACGAATCACCCGGAGATATTCAGCAACAGGGATTGCGAGGACGAGAAAGTCAAAGTCGTCAGAAATTTAGGGTACAGTTTATTTGAATTATTTATTAGTCGGTGTTTCCCCCGTTTACATTGAATTTGCGTTAAATCCCTCTTTACTGTTTCTTTGTATTCGCGTACGAATTAAATTAATGGACGCCCGTTTATTAAGAAAGAGAAATTTACGTGACCCCGTTACACACATAATCCGTTTGGTACAGAGTGAATGCCAAAAAATACAGGGTGACCCATTAATATATCCAGTTACCTAGACTTAAATAATGTTATGTAAGTAGGTATCAATTTAGCAAATTTTAAAGTTAGTTAAATATTTTCATAGTGAGTCTCTAAACGGCCTCTTGCTAGAAATGTACTCAGCCAGTAGCACTCAACGTCGTCTTATTTTCGTTTTAGACGGGTTCTTCTTCTTTTTTCGCTCTTTCTCTTCCCGTTCTCTTCTCAATTTCTTGCAAATGGCTTCCACGCGAGGCGGGAATTTTATTTTGATTCGCCTGAAATCCTTTTTGCCGGTGGTTTTCGAGCCCGAAACGCCCGGCGAATTCCCGCTCGAGTCCGGCCTCTTCAGGTAAAAGTGCCGATCGAAAGCGCTTCCGTTTACTCCTAGAAATCACCGGAAATTTAGATGTATTATTAAAAAAAAAATAATTAAGCCGTACGTACTCACTTGACGATAAACATTGGAAATGTTTTTTAATAATCTATTCATGCTATTTATCGAGAATAGGTATTTAAAAATGCTTGTACATGACTGAAATTTGACGCAATTATGATGTTAGTTCCGCTTCTTTTAAATCGACTCACTACAGCTTCAGGTGTATAGGTGTAATGTATTTATGATTTATTGCAGAAATTTAATGCGATTGCCGAAATTAACACCCGAAGGCTACAGGGTGCTCCTTTATTCGGTGAGAGACAACGACCCCACTAAAATGAATTTCTCCGATTGCGTCAAAACCTTCTCAATGTTTAACGATATGGTATTATTCGAAGACGGCTTAGTAGAAGGGTAAGTTTACCTATAACTTTTTTATCATTTCTAAGAAAAAAGTTCCTTTAGACCGAATAGCCTTAGTAGACGAGGCCTCAATTGAAGTAGAAGAAGATCAATATCAAGTAGAAGAAGGGTGGCTTGATTGCAACAAAGTTTAGGCCAAATTTTGGTACGGTGCAAATGTGTATTATATTTTTCTTGTTTAATTGAATCAAATCGATTATTAAAATGCCATTAATTACACACAAGCGCAGTTAATTATTTCCGTTGTATATAATTAGAAGTAAATTAGAGCGAACCTGCGTTCGCAACCGGTGTTGTGAATAATTGCAATTAAATTGTCAATAAAATAATGCCATAAAATCTTTCCGCTACGATTGCATAATTAGGAAAAAAAAGGAACTTTCTGAAGATGTTTCTTCATAAATTACATAAGAAATTTGATTATAGATATGTAGTGATCTTCGACATGAAAGGCGTCCAGCTAGGCCACTTGGCAAGGGTCAGTTTGCCGGCTTTGCGGTGCTTCTTCCTCTACATACAGGAAGCCCATCCTGTGAAAATCAAAGGGGTGCACGTTTTGAACACGGCCAGTTGGATACAGCACGTCCTGAGGCTAATAGTGCCCCTAATTAAGAGCGAATTAATTAACATGGTGAAATTCCACAGAGGTAAATTCCCCGCTTCTTTTTCCACGTGGCCTCTTACCACAACCGGCACGAGTGATTGATTTTTTTTTGTTCTTAGGGAGTACACCGGAGGGCGTTCCGCTGGATATTCTGCCGATGGATTACGGCGGCGAATCGTCCTCCGTGGAGGATTTAGTCAAAGTGACGGATTCCTTGTGGGAAACGTACCGATCGTGGTTGTTGGAGAACGAGAAACTGAAAACGGACGATTCCAAGAGGGCGGTGAAGAAGTCTTCTTGGTGGGGTTTCGGTATGTTTAAAAGTAACGAGGATTTAAACGAGAAGAACATCATTAAGAATTTACGATACGATTAGATAATTAGGTGTTATTTAACGGTGTACGGAATTAGGTACAAGAAATGATAGTTTTGGAAATACAGTTGGTGCAAAACAAATAGGTGGCGTGCATTGTTGTTTTGCACCAACTGTATTTTATTGTGAGCTCAAGCTGTATATAAATTTATTTAACTCGTACGTTGTCGCTTAAAAAGAAACCTAATAAATGTCGAAACTGGGCTGAATAATGAATAAGTATTAGATAGCCAGTATGAATATTACATCGCGTTTATCCGAGTAATAGGGATTATTTTATCATAAACGAACTGTATAATATTATTTGTGGATTGGTACAATAAAAATTATAATCGTCCCAAGTGTTTGAAATTTCCTGCTGTCCCCAAAAACACGAAATAAAAAACATTTTTTTTTAATAATGTATTATCATCGCTTACATATTTATCATCTCACAATTGCGTTGTGAAAAATAATCGAATTTTGCTGCATTTTTCTACATTTCCTTTTGCGACTGTATACACGCTAATCGTACACGTTCAAAGAACCTATTAACTTCGTAAACGTAATTTTATTATCAGTTTTATTTGGTACAGTGTATGATACATGTAATGAAGAGATAACAAGCCGCAGAAACGTTCCAAAAATTTGTGGCCAATGTTTGATATGTGACCATTTTCACAACCATCCGAATCACTAATTAATCGCATTCGTTCCGAATTCATTCGACAAAACTAAAATAATTCTTGTTATATAACCATCTATATAACTTTATTTAGTAACCAAAGAGACCATAACCCTTTAGAAAGCTAAATTGAATCTCTAAATTGTCCCTTTAGCTTCTAAATAAAGCGACTAGGAAGAAACGCATTAATATTTGATAAATTATATGTTTAACGTGGATATAACGTTGTATAAAATTCTTTATGCAATATATTTTTTAGGAAGAAGTTATATAATCAAGAATAACTTTCAATATACATGTAAGCAGCGAAAAATTTTAGTTTATTATGTACAAAGGAAGTCCATGAGACGACTGACTGGTTGGAAACTTTGCAAAAAATACGATACATAACGCTCTTTTAACAAGTATTATTTCAAGCAAAGTTTTGATTCTTTTTAATTACGTATTATATATATACAAAAGTCTAGAATATTTTTAGGATTAACATCAATATTTATAATAATTACTTGTATCTTACATACTTAATATTATTTATTATTAAATTATTATTTTGTACACAACACAAGTAAATAACGAAACGCAATAGTGCCAATAATATACTAGATGTTTAGGAAGTTTTGGTCAAACAAACTCATAATTCACGTTAATAGCAAATTAATTGTTCCAAGGGCCACTTTTCACTTCTGTGCAAAAATTATTAGATAATCAGAGCTACACAAAGTTTCTAAAAAGATTTTACTGTGATTAGATGGAGATAAAAAATTATAATACTCGTGTATTATGTAATTTTTGTGCATAAAAATGTCGCCACTTTAGTTTTTTAAATAAAGTCTTAAGCGCTAGAATAAATAAATGGAGAATTCTCAACAAGCCTACTAGAAAAATGTAGAAAAAACAAACGTATCAAACAATTTATTTGTCAAAATGAAATTTGCGAATTTGTTTCATCCCAAAAATTCGAAAACCAGCTAGTTGTGCGTAAAAAGGAGAAGGCACAACATATCAACATGAGTGATAAGAATGTTGATTAATTAATTGAAGAAATTAATTTTATTTCCACGGCCAGTGCGATTTGAAGAGTCCGTCTCCAACGAAACTTACGTGAATAATCTTTTGACACATGCTGTCACAATGACAAACTGTCAATGTCATAATTTAATAGATATTTGAGCTCTTATAAAGCGCACTACACCGTGTACATGTGCTATTGTTTCCACGAAAAGGTGCTCGTGGAAATTGATGATTTTTTCCGAAATTTTACAACCGATTTTGGCGTAAATTTATCGGGCCGGTTGTGCCAATCTTACAGCTGTTTTTGAAACCTACAATCATTAAAATTGCGTTTAATTACAACGGAAATTGTCTCGAAGAATGTCTAGCGAAAGGAAGAACTAGGAAAATTAAACGTATTCGTTCAGAAAAAAATCAATAGTGAATTCATAAATTTTCATGGATATACTTCAGTTTGAGTTCGAAGAGAATTGCACTACAGAACGAGGCGCATCAGCGCGCGAGTTAAGTAGCGCGCTCGAATATTTACATTCCCTAAAATTAACCCCATTTCCAGCGGTAATGGGGACGTTTAGAATTTGTTCGTGATAAATCGTTTAATATTCGTAGATATACAAGCGTATTCCATGAAATCCAATAAAAATCGAAGCTATAAAAATTATATTTTGGTCAATATATTTTGTACTTATTACAATAAATCTGAATAAATTTATACTTTCTTTTTATACAAGATATATGTAGATAATACTGTGAAGAAAAATTGCAGCTCACATTGATTAAGTGATATAAGGATATGATTTTATTGAACGCGATTTCAGCAGTGTTCGCTCGACTATTCAATTTAAATTAGAAAATTAAATAACCTCTACGTAAACGGATATGTGTGCTTGACCGTATTTACATACATAATCATATCGGAGGAAGCTGAATATTCACAACTAATCAGTTCTTGTTAATATGGCAATGTGAAGAATATCTGAAGTAACAGTGACGTATTTGTGACGTCACGGCCATATTATCGTGAACACACTATACATATATAGTACGAGCTGCCACTGCTTCAATATACCACAGAAGCCACTTTTGTATTGAACACTTTAACCGATATATGTATTATTTATTATTTATATTAGTTTGCGATTAAAATAGAAAAACGATGCGTGAAAAATTCAACATTTTACTTCAGTCGTTAACAACAATTTTTTTTTAACTTTAACCCGTATATGCATTTTTCAGTTCCTTTAACGTATTATTATTATACCGTAATAGTTTCCTTCGGTTTTCCACAACATTCGATCAAGGCGAAAGAATGTTTTGCAGGTTTGCTCATAATTCCAAATACGTGACGTCATCCAATTCAGAAACTACACAAATGACGTCACGATCTAGTTGGTATAACCTGCAAAATATACTAACCTTGCCCGGTGATTTTCTATAACTTATTTATACGAGATATCGAATCCGTATTATAACAACTTTAGTGCAATTTCTATACTTTCAGTGTAAATATCTCAGGTTGCTCGTTGCTCTGAAACACCTCTATTTATTTTATCATTGATGTAAGAAAAACATTGAGAAAATGTATATTGTCTGCGATAAGTTTTTTTTTATATTACCTAATTGGTCCAGACCTGAAATATTTCACCTACAAATTCTCCCAGAAGATTCGCATCAAAGCAAGATGAACAGTAGGCGAGAAAACGAAAATTATCACGGCAAGCCATGCATGTCAAATGTCAAAATGTAAAAATCCCGCGAGCTCGTCGATGCGAATTTTCCAAAGCCACCTTGCACTAAATCGGAACGTTATACAATGACGACACTGCGCACTACATCAATCTACCTTCCTTCTGGAGATGGAAGAGGCTGTTCGACGACGGTTCCAAAAACAGCGTGATCGTAAATACAAACTAACAAAAAATCAAAAATGGTTATTTTCCTCCTAATCCGAATTTCATAAATATAAGTTCCTTGCCCTTGGAGAGGATATCACCGCCGGGCGCCGTGATTTCGTTCAATTTCTGCATCAAATTCGGCGCGCCGGCATTATTCATCTGCGCCTGCTGGGCGCTGTTGGGCATCGGCCCGGCGCCGCCGCCCCCCATCACGTTCGGCACCACCTGGGGCACGCCCTTGTGTTGCATCCTGCCGGCGTTCTGGAACCCCTGCTGCTGGTTGCCGAACGGCTGCTGCTGCTGCTGCTGGTTGCCGAACGCTTGCTGTTGTTGCTGCTGCTGCTGCTGTTGCTGCGGTTGCTGCGGCTGCTGCGTCGTCATGCCGCCCATCAGGCTGCTGAAGAGGCCGCCGGTCGACGCCGCCGTCGTCGCGGGCGGCTGCTGGAGGCCCATCTGCGGCCCGCCGAAGGATTGTTGCTGCTGCAGCGGCGGGTGTTGTTGCTGCATGGATTGCTGCTGCTGTTGCTGGTTACCACCGGGCCTCAGCATGCCTCTCGCCCTCCCCTGAAAAAACGCATCGAACGGGGTTACGGATTGATTGGAATTGGAATCCAGTGCGGTGCATGCGTTGTTTGTGCTACTGTTATTTATCGGAATAATGCGGCGTTCGAATGTCAAATGTCAGTTGTCACTGACAAAATTATGGTACAAATTTGTATTATATTGTCACTATTTGGATATTTAAGTGTATCATAATCACATTTTGAGTAAATATTTGATGTTATGTTTTAAGTCTTACCTGGTGGACATTCGAGCTAAAATGTTTTAATTGTTATTTGAAATCATGCGATATCTAGAAAAGTTTTTATTAGATTTTTTTGTCGATTTCTATGGTAACGTGATAAAAATTTAAAAATATGATATTTATTTACACGGGAATGAAACTTCAAGAATGTCAAATGCTACGTCAATTAAAAACCTAGCCTACTCTAATTGTAAGTACTTAACTGAAATATTAACGGAATTTTTAATTATTAATAGTTTCAATTGAAAAATTATTCTTTATTTAATTTATTAACTACGCATTTTTTTATATTATTTTGCATCCCATGAAATATCATTAAAAAGCCCAACATAACTCTACTTTTCCATTACGCATAATCATAACTGATTTACATGCATAAAATAACCCGACTCTAAATTTCAAAAATCAATTACTTCTATACTTTCCTAACAAACACAAAACAAGATCTCTCTAAGTGCGGGACTATACATTGCGTTTTGACGGGAGCGTTTTGGCCGGACCGGTTTCGCGGGATAGATAGAACATATTGTTTTAAATTAGATCGTCTATACATGTGCGGTGCGTTTGCGGCAACCGGATTCAACCGCGTCTTGCTGCGGTTTAGCGGGTCCCTTTTAAAAACGCATATCGACAAGAACACATTCATTTCAATTGTAGCGTCTATACACAGTCCGGTTGAACGGGATCATTATACAGAAAATTTGGTTATTTGAATATAGTATTTTGGATTTGTTGTATATTTTGTTGAATAATTATTGTATTAGTTATATTCGACACTGATAAATTCATTCAGTATATCAAAGAACATGAAAAGCATGAAAATAATGAATGTTGTATTTTCTTTCTGTTTTTTAGTAAGCCAGTAGCTTCAAGGGCGCTAACAATTTTAATATTTGATTAAATTTTCATCAAACCATCTACTTTCTATCTAAATTCTACAAAGAAATGACTGAGCCGCATCCTTTTTAGCGGGATAGACGATGGATGTATATACCGATGAAATAAAATGCGGCTGAACGGGTCCCGTTTAACCGCTCCCGTCAAAACGCAATGTATAGTCCCGCACTAATAATTAATCATCAAAATAAACCAAAAGAAAACATTGCAAGTCACTGAATATCTTGCGTACCGGAAATTTAGTTATAAAATTACCAACCGATTTTTGTCACTAAAATTCGACGCCTCCCTCGATGACGCCAAAAAACTGAATTTCAATACCGCCAACTATTTAGTACTAAAATTACCCAATGACTTTACAAAAAAAAACACCAGGTAAAAAAAATCAACATCGAAAAAATCAAATAAAACCATGCAAGGCACACTGGCGTACATCGATTTACAGAGAAAAAAAAGGGGTTGCGTATACGACAAATATTCATATAGAGGGACAGATAGAGACAGATAGAGTAGGAAATATGAGTTAAGTAATTAGTATACAGGGCGTTCAAATACCTGCTGGTGCTCGGTGATAGTGTTCGGTGTCGTAGACGTGTTCAGCGAGTCTAACTGAGAGGTATACACAGGAAGGCAGGCATCTAGACCAAACAAACAGACAAACAACATACAGTCAGCGCTGCCTTTCTAAACACCGAAACACTTGTTGGATATATTGTACCGGGTCCTCTTAAGACGGACGGTAACCATGGTTACAATAAAACAAAATAATCCTTCAATCAAATGGTCACAAATACTAGAGGGGTAAAAGTCTACGCATACTTCTTTATAAAGGATAAAGAAGAAGAAGAAGAGTCTGTAAGATTTTGGTTAGTTGGTTGTTATGAAAATGGCTGGGGATTATTATTTTTTAATTTAGAAAATGAATTATTTTTTTCTAAAGCAAAATTTCATTTAATTAAATGGCTAAATGTATATAGGCATTATTTATTTACTTTTGTAGTGCAAACTTGAACGTACTTTACTACATTTTAATAAATGTAAGGCGTATTTGTAACTAATCAAGTAATTTCTGGAATTTCTCAACGAGTATCTTGATATTTGATAAAAACTATAGCACCCCAAATTAGACATTTTCGGCACGAATAAAGATGGATTTAGTTCGAAACGAACCTGCAAGAGAAGGACCCTTCGTTTTTATCGAAACCATGGTACATGCACACGAAAAACAACAAGTGTTTTTGTGTCAAAAATCAGCATAAAAGAGATAGAGATAGAGCTAGCAAATATGGCAAACCATTTCGTTTAGTGCATTTCCGAACATAAAACAATTAAAGCTGATCCGATTTTTGCGATTCTTATCGAACACATTCTGCGAACAAATCGCGCGGTTTTTCCGATTTTCCGCGGCGTTTCCGTAGCGAAAGCAAAAATCGGATCTCTACATCACACGCTTGCTTTCGGAAGAACATGGAGAAACCACATATTAAAACTAATACGAATAATGTATCTACTCAAAGTAAAATGTACAATTAATGTATTTATTTTCGTTTCGTTTTCGTAGGAACTTACAATTCATCTCATCTGAAAAATTTGCCAATTTAACGTGCCAGAACTACCGTTAATGTTCCGACATATTAAAATTTATTACCCGATTAAATGTTTATAAATACAAAATGAGATGAACTTAATGTGTGTAAAATGCTAAACTAAAAATAAACAGGTGTACAGTATACAGGCGTTACAGGTGAGCAGGATATAAAAATACTACATAAAAAATTCTTGTTAGACGGTAATTTTAATGTTTTATATTATTTTGAAATTAAATTCCGCTGCAACTGTACAATATCCCAGTGTAGCTTTCGTTGGTGAGTATTCAAGTAGATGAAGAATTATGAATATTAGGTATGTGTTATATTTTCTCAGTGTAGCTAAAATTGAATACGATAAACAGCGTTTTTCGAAATAAAAAAAATTAGTAAAGCAAAATACTAATGTATAATAATGATTTTGCAAGTGTGTGATGGTATTTTCTTGTAATTATTTATTCATTAAATTAGAGAATGGTCGATTTAATTGATAATCTACACAGGTTATTCTGAAGAAATGTTAATTAATTTTAAAGGCGCATTAACGATATATCTTGAAATTTATCGCTAATTTTATTCATAATCAAATTATCCTGTGTTATTATATTATTTAAAGATGTGCCTAAATGCTGTATCAAAATTGATTAGCAAGCCATTAAAGGAACACCTTATAAATTCGATAAAACAAATAAAAAAAAACGCTGGCAGAAACGCTCAATAAAACCCGCAACGTCGCGTCGATCCTTCCACCAACGCTCTCGAGAAAAACAAAAACGACAGTAGAAAAAAAAAAAAGAAACGAAGTGAAATCCAATTTACCTTTGGCCCGGCCGCGCATCTGGTTCTCCCTGGGCGGCGGCGGCGGCCCCCTCGCCCCCGGCCCCACGCCCCTGCCGCGCTGGCCCCTTTGACCCGCCTGCTGCTGTTGCTGCTGTTGCTGCTGCTGCTGCGACGTCTGCCCGCCGCCGGCGTACTGCTCGGGCGCCTCGGTGAGGAAGTTCGACGGCACCAGGCCCCGCACGCCCTCGATCTCGCCCATGTAGAAGCCGTCGTCGTCCATCTCGCCGTAGACGGTGATGATCTGGCCGGTGGTGAAGCTCAGTTCTACCTGCAGTTGGGTCGGAAGGAAAACGTTCGGTAGAGCTCGAGGTCGACACCAAAGTGCACGAACATTTTTGTTTTGTTCTAAACCGTGTCCTTCAGTTTCGTTTTTTGGAAGATTAGATGCATAGAGCCTCTTCAAAGAGTACACTTGGACTTGGTGCAGTCGAAGATAAGATTTAGTTTGCATTAGAAAGAACTCTAGAGGAAGTATTTGTTGCCTTGACGATGATACAATTGAAGATGTAAACAGAAGTGTTAGTTGTACTAACTCTTGAGGAAGTTCTTGTTGAATTGTTGGTGATAGAGATGGAGGTATAATCAGAAATGATAGTTGGACTAACTCTTAAGAAAGTATTTGTTGACATGATGGTGGAAATCTAATCAGTAATAACAGTTGTATTAACTCTTGAGGATTTGTTGAAGATGAATGAAGATCGATCAATTGGTTTAGTGATGTAGAGTGTGCAGTGTCAATGATGTTGTTATTTTCTGTAGGAACTCACCTCCGCGTCGACATTGGGGCTCAACTCCTGTGGATCGTAATCGTAAAGGGCCACCATACGTTTCACGGGCATGTTGCTCAAACTGTCGCCCCATCGATCCCTGTTCTGGTTACCCTCGAGTTCCATCACCATATTGTGCGGAACGTAGCCCCTTCGACCTGAAAAACAATCCCCTGTATACCCGCTACGAAACCCTCGATAAAGCTCGGTACCTCTGCACTCGCCCCAGTAGAACCCGTCGGCGTCCTTGTCGCCCCACACCTTGATGGTGTCCCCCTCGGAGAAGGGCAGCTCCTCGTCGCAGGCGTCCGGATTCGGGGACATGGTGGCCGGATCGTAGTCGAACAGCGCCACGAACCACCGGGCCCTCTTCTGCGGATCCGGCCGGTTGCCGAGGCCCCCGGTGACGGCGTTGGGGCCCATGCCGCCCATCGCCTCCTGCTGGCCGCGCGCCGGCTGTCCCATTCGCCTTCTCGCGTCCCTCGAAATAGCTGCAACATTAATTACCTCGATTATAAACCGGTTATTCTCCCTTAACTTCGTTAATACTAAAGAGGCAAGAATCTAAGGATGAGTACTAGACTGTTGCCTCTTTAGTTTTTTGTTGTTGTATAGTATGTTTGTTTGTAAATTTATCTGAAACGAAAACAATCTATGTTACTGCTTTGAATTAGTACTGTTCTCTATCAACTATGTAGGTACTAATTTATTACGCAATTGGCTAAGTTTCTATGTTTTGAACATGCGATTTGAGGCTAAAATACCCTTACCTTCGACTATGCGTGTAGGTGTTGTAATGTTGGGCAATCGTAAAGTGTTTTAAAGACGCACTGAATGTGAATTTATTGTGTATTCGTATGACAAAAAATGACTCTCAATTAACTCCAGTGCATCCTCATCGTTTCGAATAAATACCTTGCTGTTGTTGATAATACTGTTGCTGTTGGGTTTGCTGCGATTGCTGCTGCTGGGCCTGCTGTTGCTGTTGTTGTTGCTGCTGTTGCTGCTCCTGCCGCTGCTGGCCCTGCCTCTGTTGGGGCCTTTGCTGGTATTGCCTTTGGTTGCGCCTGTCGAGCAACTCGTCCTCGGACATGTTGCTCTCGTAATTTTCTTTAGTTATTTCTGCAACGCACCGTTGTGCTAGCGTTTAGAAATAGGATTTTCTAAGAAAAACGATTAGTATTTCTTTTCGTGACACCAAGATCTACCTCAAAAATCTATTCTGTATGTACGTAGCTCGCTAATCTAAGCTGTTTTGATAACGTTTTACTGCTTTTAATTATGCCTAAAGTTCACTAAGAAGCTGGCCAACAATGTTTAGTTCGTAATTCAACCATGCTGCGTTTAATACTCTACTTTCTACTGTAGATAAGATATATAAAAAAATTGTTTTAATTTGTTTCGTGAATTTCACGTTAGGTATTCGCAGGCTTTTAATTAAATGCAATCGAATTCAAATTATTTTGTGACCAATAGCCTGGAAGTAAACGCCCCAACAAATTCACATTGAATTATACAGCATGTCCATTTTAATTCAGCGACGCGCATATATCGAATAAACTCCACAAAACAAGTTAGTATCATCGCCGAATTAAATATACATGGCATATAATCCGATATAATATCATGTAATGAACATTTTCCAAATTGTCTTGCGTGTAACGAACTCAAAATGGAGTAGGAGACATTTTTTTACCAATAGACGGAATTCCTCCTTGCTGTCTATGCGTGTTCACGTTCGGAAATATCTCTTTGTCGCTCAGATTCTCATCAGGATCGATAATCTAAAAGGAAAAAAGAAGATATAGTCAACAAAAACCAAAGTAATGACGTACACTTGTTCATATAGTACGTTCAAGGATACCCCGTCGTGACGTCATCACCTAAACTAACTTTGTAAACACGTATCTCTTGTGACTACGCGACGTCACCACCGATTTAATTTTAGATTGCCTAGGTGTACCTGTTGTCCTTGTTGTTGCTGCTGTTGCCTGGGCATCTGCTGCCTGACGTGCGCCGGTATGACGGCCGAATGGGGCTGCTGGCGCGACTTGACGGCGCCGCCGCGCAGCACGCTGAGCGGTATGGGCGTCGGGGCGCTGTCGGCCGATTGGCTGTCCCTCGCCTTGGTGCGCACCGTCACGTGCTTGGGATTCAACCCGAGCAACTTGCTGATGTCGATGAGCGCGTGATCGCCCGTCGGGCTGTCCACGTCGGTCACCTTCTTGCCGTCGGCGTACACCGCGTACCCCGTCACGGCGGAGCCCGGATGGTGGGGCGCCAGGATCGGGTGCCAGGTGACCAGCAGCGTGCCGTCTTGCGGACCTGCATCGAATCGACATCCGTACGTTCGACGTAAAACGTTGGTAAAATTTCAGTACCTGGTTCGACGAGGATGTCGCTGGGCGGATCGGGCAAGCCCTTGGGCAACGTGCGGAAGTCGGTGTGGGCGGCGGCCGGCATGGGCAGCTCCTCGGCCACGTTGGCCACGTTCTGGGCGGTGCGGTGGTGCTTCGCGCGCACCGTCACCCTGTATTGGGTGTTGGGCGCCAGGCCGGTGATGGTGTGCCGGTAGACGCCCGGCTTGACGGTGCGCACCTCCACGTTGTTGACGCACACGACGTGCTGGTGATTCGAATTGGCCGGCAGCCAGCTGATGATGGCCGACGTCGAGGTGATGTTGGACGCCCTGACGGCGCTGGGGCCGAGCGAGTGGGTGTCCCGGCCGATGATCATCGTGCAGGCGGCGTCCCTGGACGTGCGCCGGTTCGCCGTCACCGAACGTACGCTGATGCGATGCGGCTGCGATTGTATAATGAGGTTATACACTGTGGTATTTATATTTCTAAGGTCTGGAAACATAGGTCGAAAAATTGTCGCGGTATTTGAGGATATAACAGGGTTTCTAAAACAGCCGGTAGGAGACGATGTTGTAAACGACCACGGTTTTTTTGCGTAGGAATTATATAGAATTAGCATTAAGAAAGGTTGTACAGTTGTATTAAAAAAAGGGTATAAGTAATAGAAAGAGACATTAACGTCATCTTATTTGTGTAAAACCGGCTGGGATTATTGAAGCTTATCAAATGTCAAAAGTTGTCAAAAATGTAAATAATTTAAGTATCATTGGTCATTATTTCGTTTAATTGACTCCCAACGCCAATGATTTCCATTTTTTTCAACATATGACATTTGATAAGCTAAAATAATTCTAGCCGGTTTTACGCAAATAGGTTGACGTTAATGTCTCTTTCTATTACTTGTACCCTTTTTTTTAATACAACTGTACTCAAACTAAAAATAGATACAAAATATAAAGATATACTTAAATCAGCGATGATTTTGTTGTTAACATCACGCCTCACGTATCTTCGGTTAACGTATTTCTCCATTTTCTCATCGAAATGTCAAATAATAATTTTTGAAGTTTTGACAGGTCGAACTGTCGTTTTACACAACCGCGATTTATATGTAGCGCGACGCTGATTGGCTGAGATAAGTTGGTCCTCCGATCGTTCGCCGCGGTGCGGCGCAAAAGTGAAGCTCAAAAAGTCCTCAAATAACTGGACACATTCTCTAAGCCATAAGTATAGGCAGTTTCCAGACCTTAGAAGTATAGGGTCGTGGTTATTTATAAAATGCGACATAGGGATTCCTGTACAAAAGTGTCAAAAGTAGGCTAACTTTTTTACCAAGTAACGTTAATAAAAAATAATGACAGATTTGGACAGATGGCAGATTGAAAAGATAAATTCGGTCTGGTTTAATTATAAAATGTATAATTAAGTTGAAAAATAAGTCATTTTTCACTATCTAATAATTATATAAATGAGAGAAATTAACAGAGACGGTTAACGCTCTGAAATTTAAAAAATAAAAAAAAAATTTGTTTTTTTTTTTATTATTTTTATTTTTTTTGTCAAGAATAAAAATATGACATTAATTTAAAGGCTCTACCTACTAACAAAATTTTGCGTTATTAAAATTGACACTTAATAGTCGGAGCTTTTATTTAAATAAAAATAAATTTATATCCCAAATAAGCTCCTCTTGCAGATATACTGCTCCACAAAAGTTAAGGAAGTTCACAAATATTGCGATTAATTTAAAAGTTTCAGGCTTTTTGATCGCCAAATTTAGTATGAGTTGTAGAGGTAGGAGCAAAAATTACTCTTAGATATGAGAGAAAACATTTAATTTCGCATATTTGAAAATTTTCGGTGATCAAAAAGTCTGTAACTTTTAAAATAATCGCAAAATTTGCGAACTTCCTTAACTTTTGTGGAGCAGTTTATTTCAGATATTTCTATTTAACCTTTTATAGACAAAAAAAATCAACTGCGGGGAATTGTCGCATTTTATAAACAACACAGTGTAAATTATAACGTCCGAGAGAGGGTTCTACGAGGGTTTACCCTGTTGCTTTCGACGCCTTCGACGAGCGCCCGCGTGCGCTCGGTGGCCTTGATGGTGGCCTTGAGGACGCCGTCGACGTAGACGTGGTAGCTCTCGATCTGGTTGCCGGGGCCGATGCCCTCGGGCGCCGTCCACGAGATGAGGACGCTCTTGTTGAGCTGGCGCTCGAGCGTCAGCTGTCTGGGCGCCGGCACTAGCACCGAGAAGAAAAGGTCAGCTGGAGAAAAGGGGGGAGGCAAATGTCGTGTCAGTCTAAGAAGCTATAGCGGGTGCTACTCTTTTTCTACCCAACGATCGGAAGGTCGATTCGTTTTTTATACTTATATTTAACGCGGTCAGCTCTCGATTGTGGTTCAGTTCATGAACAAAACACGATTCGATTCTTATGTAAATTATTGTACTGTTAACGAAAAACTAGAGGATGAGCACTGGAATGGTAGAAACGAATTACAGAACTACAAAAATTATACAGAGTCTTCATAAAAGATTGATTCCCTAAAAATGTATGCAACCCATAGTGCACAGTTTTGTTATTATTTTCAAGAAATGTCCCTATTTTTAATACAAATCAACACAATGGCGTAAGAACATTAATCCAATAGGTTGTTCATTATTTTTACCTATCATTAATGACAGTATTCTAGTAACTTTTTGGTACCAACATAAACATAACAAATTTACTACATTCATTTCGAATTCGGTCACGTGGGAATCAATCAATTATAAAGACTCTGTACCACAAAGGATAAATGGGTAAAGAGGACTTTTAAATATTCTTTTGCATACAAAAGAGAACCAGTTTAGAGTGTGATGTTTACTAAACGATAAAAATATTTCCTCTTAATCTCTAGCCATATTGCAACGTTTTCCTCATAACTTCAATCCGAAATAAACGAATTATATAAAAAAATCCCGACGTCGTAATCTCACTTTGGCGATCGCTTAAAGCTAAACGGAACGGTAGATTCGTGACTAAATCGGTGCATGAATTGGTGTGATAAAAATCGAAAATTCATTTCATGCGGTTACCTAGTCATAACGGTATCCTAGGGAGTGAGATTGCTGTTATTCCAGTTCGTCTAGCGGCTATAATGGCTGAAATGGTAGGCACAGGTTTAATTTTCAGGTGCATTTTGCATTGGACTTCTAAGTCCCGTTCTCTATGCGGAATCGGAAATAACGGGCGTGTGGTGGTAATTAAAACAAGCGCTATTTTCTAGTAGGTATAGAATTGTGAAGGATAGTGAGGTTAAAAGTTTAGTGAAACTTTCAAGAATAGTAGAAGGATTGATCATTTTTAATGTTAATAAGCAATCATCTATCACCTGCACTATCCTTTCGGGTCATTCCGAAGCATAATTTTTCCGAAATTTCATCGAACTTATCGATTTAAATTGAATATCTAAAATTTCGAGAGCTGAATCAATCGTCATTCCTAAATCGAACAAGCCAAAAAAAAACTAAACTCCCACTAAATCAACGAATGCGCTGAAGCCAAATCCAAAATTTTAAAAAAGCGAACCTAATGCTATTGTCGTGAATCAGCTATCTAAAATTCAACGATCAAAGGTATAAGTGTAAAATCTTTGATCGTTGAAGTTGTTCAAACATTTCATCAAAATAAACGAATTCTTGATGAGTTACTACTAATTACTAGTTAGTTTCGTTAGTGTTGTGTAAATGTGTTTGAATTGAGGCTTTTTTTGAGCTGACTCAAACGGAACGCCTTACGACTATTGGGCCTCATAACAACTACTTCATAATAAATTACAATCAAGATCAAATATAAACTGGATTATCGATTATTATTAAATTCTTGTTATAGATCAGTAACAGTTTGTATTTGTTCTTTTTAAGCCTTACTACCTTTTACGAGGTCTGTTCAAATAATATTCGAATATAAGGTGTAAGTATGTTTCGTTTCTTATTGAACATACCTCGTATATCTAGCAGATTTTCGTAAAACTAATAAACTAAACCCTCTAAATTAGGTTTTCTCTATATGTTCAAAAAGCTCAATAGAACGTACTCCCTTTTCGCTGCGATTGTTCATTTTTTACTTACATTGATGGAGTTGTACTGAGGAGGCAACATTGATAAAAATTAATATTTTTCGAATACTTATACGTCGATAATGAAAATGATTTGTCTAAAGGAAGAAATGGTAAAACAATAAATGGTTGATTTTAATTAATTTCGATACATTTGTAACGTTACTTGTTTCGATTTCACTGTCAAAAATTCCTACAAAAATTGACAGATGACATTCGTGGCAACTTTGATGTTGTAATATGCAAACAAGCAACGTTTTATTATTTCTTTTACCCCACTAATAATAATCATTATCCTCCATACACTTTTTGAACATGCCGATGCGAACCAAAAGAGAAAATAATAATAATAACGAAGCGTGCAAAACATCCGTACCTATCTCACCTTCTGGTCCTTCGTCCTCTTGGGCCTCCGCCATTTCCGCTATTTCGTTCAGCCTTTGCACGTCGGCGGCGAAATTCTCCTGATTGATTTCCTCCTCTCTCAACGTGCTCAACACGGCCTGATGGAACTCCAGCAAATCGTCGCCTAAACCGATACAAATTCACAGTTTTAAAGTGCCCTCGCGTCGGCCATTTTGGCGCTTCGTTCGACGTTTCATCGGACAAAATGGCGGACGATTGTACTCATAACTAGGAACGAGGGGTGAGGGTAGAAAAGGGCGGGCGAAACCAATTTACCTATCAATCTTTGGACGAAATGCGACGGTACCAATCCTCGCCTACCGTCCAAAAGCTCAGCGTCCAAGTACCCCCCGGGACCGACGGGATCCCCCCAAACCAGCAAATAATCGCCGGCTTGTATGCTCAGTTCCTCCTCTACGTCCGGTTCCGGATCGTACGAGAACCTAAAACGAACCAATGTGAAACCACACCCTAGGCATACCCATCAGACATCTCGATACCTCGCTATGTACACGGAACACCGTCCTTTCCCCGGTATATCCAGCATGTCCACCTGCCCTTCGGCGGCCATCTGTCCGTTGAGGAAGTTCCTGTCGGCGCCGTGCAGGGCGCTCCAATCGGCGTCGAGCCCATCTGTAAGCATCCTCGGTCTCAGATCGGATATGCCGGAGAGGGTGGTGCCGCCCCACGGGGGCGGATGGGGGGTCACGGGCGTCGCGACGCGACGCGTACCTTTAAATCGCAATTCGATAACGCTAGCACACCAGAAGGACGCCAGAAGAGATGATCGGAAGATGGTTAACAAAGCCGTGCTAGTCTGATCGTGCGATGGTTAACGATAAGATGAGAGAGAAGTTTTGAGAAGCGGATGATTGGTACGAGAAGTAGTACTTGTGGTGATGGAAAGGCGTGCGATCGAAGCGATTTCGTAAGTACGTTGAAAGATCTTGAAAGGTTTTATTGTAGTAACTTACCGAGATCCACGTCGTCGATTTGCTTCAGTTTGATGCTCATCTGGGCGCCGGAGAGCGGCAGGCTGTTGAACTGCGAGCTGAGCGGATTCGAGAAGGTCACGTTGTTGTTGGCGTAGCTGGTCGACACCGTCGGATTCAACGGATTGGCGTAGGGCAGCGAGTACTGCGTCAGCGAGCTGGTCGCCGGATTGCCGAACGTCGGATTGTTGAACGAGGCGGGCTGCAAGGCGGCGGGATTGTTGCCCAACGGATTGCCGTAGGCGGTGTTCGACAGCGCCGTTTGCGTGTAGTTCGTGCCGCCCATCGAGGTGCCCAAGTTCGACGGGACGGCGCCCATCACGCCGGCGCCCATCGCGGATATGCTCGGCGGCAGCGAGGAACCTGCGCGAACGCTCCAATCAGCTCTCGCATATATTAATCCACCGTGCTCACCTAGTACGCCCGTTTGGCCCAAACCGCCGCCCATTCCGATGGAATGCTGGCCCAAGCTGGCGCCCATGCCCATCGATTTGTTGGTGTAGTGATGGCTGAGGCTGTTGTACTGCGTCGAAGCGGGATTGTAGCCGGCTATGTTGACGGGGTTCGATGGGATGTAGGCGCCCGAGAGATTGGTGGTACCGTGGTAGGAGGCGTTCTGGCCCATGCCGGGATTCATCGTTGGGTATATACTTGGAGTCGTGTGTGACATGGTGATGGGTGATAGAGGCGGGCTGCACTCGCCCAAAGCGTGCGAACTGACGCTCGTCGCCAGGCCCGCTCCTGGAAGACAATTCAGTTCGATCAGTACCGCGTTGGGATCGGAAATTACTGCTACACACAGCGTGGTCGAAAGGATACAAATCCATGGTTCTAGAGCTATATTCATTTATTTTTGCATGGTGCACGGGTACCATTTTGACCACTTTACAAGAAACTTTAGAGCTACAGGACTATTTTTCGGTTAAATAAACTATAAAGCGGTAAATATCTGTTGGTAATTAAATTATATACTAGCCATGCTGTCAGTATATGAGTGTGTCGTGTTCCACTTTTAGAAATGGAATGTAACATTTAAATGCGATATTTATAAAATAAAGTACCTTCTTTGACATGTTTAAGCCAGTTGAACATACCGAATAACTCCATTCTTTAACATCTATTAAATGCATCAAGAAACACAACACCGATACACCAAAATAATCATTAAAAAGACAAGGTAAGGACTCTTGAAAAATTATAATTAGTTCCTTCGTTAATTATTGCATAAATAAATTGATTGCACTATTTAAATATTGCCTATTATTATGCATGAGTCGCATGTGTTTTAATAATAAATACATTCTTTTCTAGTCCATATTTATATATATTTTTTATACACCTTGCTCCATTTCCTATTTCAATATGGTCATTTCTATGAGTGGAACAAAGAAAGGTTATTAAAATGACAGTTGTCAGAGTGAAAAGTTGTAATGACACAAATGTCACTCTTTCTTTTTCCTTTGTAAGTGTCTAATGGAAGTTGTCTTTATCGCACCCATGGCCCCTATAACCTATATTGCAATCAAAAATGGAGCAACCTGTATGTATTAAATAGTATTTATTTCCCTTGTGTTTTTAATTTTATCTAAACATCCACACCGAATCTACTGCTCTAACTTACCCAAAGTTGTAGAACGACTATGGTCTAATTCAGCTAATATTCTGTTATCTTGTTCTATTTTAGCCATAATTCGTTCTATTTCTGTACCTTTATTGCCCCAAGATTGGCCGCCCATGTTGCTCGATATCTGAACACCCTGGTGCATACTCGCCCCCATTCGCCCCCTTTGCGACGACGCCAATTCCAACTGGAGCTCCTCGCATCTACGATCAAAATCCCAACACATACAGGGTGAGTTCAGTAAACATATACAGGGTGGTTCAAGCGATTTGTGGTTTATAGAGAGTGGTTTACCTGACTGTTTCCAGTGCGACTTTCTTCTCCAATTCCCTCACTCTGGATTGTCGCACTTCGAGCGTCTCTGGACCGCATCCTCTGAGCGATTGAAGGGCGTCGGCGTGTTGTCGTTCCAGTTCGGCCCTTCGGGCTTCCGCCGCTCTAAGTTGAATTTCCAAGTCCATGCCCTGCGAGGGCGACACCGAAAAATAATAGAAATCGTTTTACCCGCGAGCGAAATCGAGATCGTGGAACTGGAAATATCGAGTTCCAGAACTCGAACAATTACAAAATTGACGCGGATGAAATCTAACATCTCGTATATGCATTATTCAAAACGGCGATACGGCGATACCTCGAGGAATAAAGGGACGTATTTTCCAATATTTCAACGTCGAAATACATTAGTCCCGACGGATTGTGTGCCCCGTACCATTTCCACCCTTCGGTCGGGTCGGTTCTACGCAAGAATCATACACAAACCCGTTTGTAAACAGGTAATATTGCGACTACAAATCGATTTTAATATCACATTTTATTGCTCGAATCTAGCGGGTTAATTAATTATTAAACCGCCCCCGTATACTACAAGTGCGTACGTGTAATTGCGACACAGCGAAGGATAATTATGGAAAAGATGCGACCTTGACCGATTTTATGGAGAACATTTAAATTTAGAGCGGTTAGAGATATAGAGAACATAGAGAATCGAATAGGCGCCGATTAAGGACGATTTGTCTAGCCAGTATTGAGCAAAATACAAAAAAAAAATCGATACAGAAATGTTATAAATACATTAATAATGAAAATTATTGTTAAATATTCTTACAGAATGCACCATACGGTTGTAAAACTCGTACATTTCGCGTATATCTAGCACCACCCACGAAATTTTCCGAAGCTCGACTAATCGACTATCATACATTTTCCGATGACTTCGAAAGGATTCCCGAGAATCGTTATCAAATATACAAACAATTAACTAAATAATCGATTTTTGTTAACATGACGCCTTTTATCGGAGTCGCCGAAAACATAGCAGCAGCAAAAGCGTGTTTATTTGATACCAGAACAAAACAATTCGTGTACTTACACACGATACTTGATAAATTTATTATGGGATAATGAGAATAAATGGTGGAAAATTGGTAGAGAAATTTGGTATTCTTGGGTATTGGATAGTAAAGGTTTTATGAAGATAATTTGCAATGTTTTCTGTCAAGGAGTGATTTTTTTATAAAGCAAAATTTCCTTTACAAAATTAAATATTTACAAATTAATATTTAAAGAAATGTACTTATTACATAAATGTATTTGTATCAACAAGTACCTACAAATACCTCTATATGAAATAAATTTTACTAAAGCACATTTATGCAAATAAAATTAAAAATTTCGGATCAATTACCATTACTTATTTACTATTAACGTGCTTTTAATAAAAGCGAAGATGATATGAAACAAGTCGTTAATTTTGAATGAAAATCGAAACAGCGAGTTTCCCTCGGACTAGGATTTAATAAAATCACAAGAAGCGCTCTAAATGATAGCCTATAAAGCATTTTTACGACGTTTTTGACCGGGTGTGCTTATAAATCCCGCGAGACAGTGTAGCATGAGGACGATTGATTCATCTATTACACTCACCTTACACTCGAAATTCACCCCAAACACAAAACCCTCCAAATCCACACAAATAAAAGCGATATTACTTAAACAAAACTTCAAAACAAACTCTAATTAACCACTAAAAGGATTAAGTACAAGTACAAGATTCATCTTCGAATGTACATACATATACACTAGAAGAAAACCATCTAGGAAAAATCGAAGTCTCATGCATCAACCGACACCCCCTCGACGGGGCCGAAACGCACCCCGAGCGGACGCAACCCGCTGGAAAATCGCCCGATCAGACTTACCCCGATTTTTCTGCTGGTTCGTCGAGTATTCGAAACCGAAAAGGACGGACACGAAGGTACCCTAGAATGGCGGCATCGTCACATTTAGGTCACTGTGATCAATTTGCGCGCGCGACCCGATCGATCCCTCTCCGAGGTCCTGGCTCTCCGTGACGTCACCGCGCCGGGAGCATCGCCGCCGCGACGGCCGTCTAGTATACGGGGAAAATCGCTCTACGATTGCGTGCGAAAATTCCCCGAAAACTTCTCGTTTCGTACGGCGGAAACCGCCTCGATGGCGGCGCGGAAATTCAAACGCGCTTTTACGCAGTATTCGCATATAGTCCGTCGCATATAGTCCTAGTCGTGACGTCATGATCGAGTTAACTTGAAATATGTGAAATATACACATTCTGTGCGGGGTATGGATGATTCGAATGTTTTATCTAGCAAATCATAAAATGTAAGAAGGCGCGAAATTGTATCGAGTCTACATATACGTACTTTTTCTTTTGCGGGGAAAATAATGCGGGCTTTGGGGACATTGTAGACGAGAGTTTTCCTTCTGTCGCCGTGCCACCAATTCGCGAATGACACGCGGAGTTTCGCTAGACCGTTCAATTCCCACGAATAGGTGTAAGTTTTTAGGATTTTCCTGTTGCACAGACACCAGCACATTTGGAGTCGACGGCGCGAGTTTTTCCACGACCGTTTTCCCTGCGGGTTTCGTGTTTAATTTTTGCAAGTTGCATAAGTGTGTATTGTATTAGGCGAGAACAATCGGGCGCGTTTGTAACGTAATAATAATAATAATAAATCGAGTTGTATTCGAACAACAATATGGAAATGATAATGATAAGATAATATTTTTTCAGGCATTGTATGATAAATGAATATGTAGGTATTAGAAATATGGGAGTTTTACTAATAGCGGGTGGATCACCTAAAAAAAAATCCAAATTAATTTTCTATAATATGACACTTTTGGGCGCAACAAAGACAACTTCCATTAGACTCATATAAAGGAAAAAGGAGTGATATTGTGGGATTGCAACGTTGTCATTCTAACCACTGTTATTTCAATAATCTTTCTTTGTTCAACTCATTTTGCAAACAAATTTGCACTTACCCGTATGGTTACCCTTATTAATCACCCTGTAGATTTGCAACAATTAATTTAAGTGGTTTCATTTATTTAGCATATCTTTTAATTTTAACTGTCTATCATTATCCATTCCAACGTTTAAATTTAATTATGCGGTACACAAACACTTATTTACATAGTACTAATTTTTCATCCATACTAAATGCAATATTATAAACTTTTCCGAAAAAAAAAACTCCGATAAAAAATCGTGTTCGAACCGCATTTACGTGATTTTTCAATTAAAAAGTCGTCCTTATGCGTGCGTTTGCTAAATAGTAAAGTATTATTTTGTGTTCTGCGATAAGATGCAACAATAATTTTCGATTTAATGACCGTCAAAGATGCGTAATTAGCGAATTAACAATAGCAAGTACGAACCCGATCGGGGGGCTATTAGTTAATCGATGCGATATTTTCCAGATTTGCATAAAAAAAATTTTTTATTGGTAATTCGCCTCTACAATCGAATGTTAAAGGTGCATTAAAATCGATCCGTTAAGTCCGGTCCGGTCGTCGAAAAGGTACGTGCGAATCCTCTCTTACCATACCATCAATAATTAACAAATAAATTTAATAATAAATTATCGTTGGTATTTTATCTTAGAGCGCACGATGTCGGTGATTCCCAAGCACGGTTTCAAAGCCTCGGAGATAATTAAGGAAGGTAGAACGACCCAATCGAACGTCGACGATATCAAGAAATGGGCTTCGTTCGAGAAGAGCGCCCCCGAGATGTCCGAGGAGCAAATCTGCTTGTTCCTGTTGGCCTGCAACAACGACCTGGACCTCACCAAGTACACCATAGAGAGCTTCTTCAAGCAGAAGTGCTCTTCGCCCGAATTGTTCATGAACAGGGACATCGACAACAAGGAGAACAAATTCACCCACCAGGTCTCGTAAGTGTTTGTTCTCTTCGTAAATTTTTGGAAAAAAACGAGCAAATTTTGATTCCAGTTTGCTGGCAGTGTTTCCTAAAAGGACCGAGGAGAATTACGTGATCGCTTTGGGTTGCTTGAAAGACACTACCTACTACAATTTTTGCATCGAATCGCAAATCAAGGCGGCGTTCACTTTGATATCGGCGTATTTGTACGAAAATCCACCGGACGGCTTGATTTTTATCATCGATATCAAGGGGGTATGATTTACAAAAGGGCATGATATACAGGTCGGAAAATGTCAATGTGATTCGCACTGTATATTACTGTTTGCAAACTTCGAATATTTCATGGTACTTTGATTTAAGGTGGGCATAATGCACCTGACTAGATTGAAATTGGGCCCGTTGAAGAAGTTTTTCGCTTATCTGCAGGAGGCCTTGCCGACTCAATTGCGGAGAGTCCACGTTTTGAATGCGACTTATATTTTTGAAAAAATACTCGCCATTGCTAAGCCTTTCATGAAGAAGGAACTCTTCGAATTGGTACGTTATGAAAATTTGACATGTCAAATTTTTGACATGTATTATGTCATTTGTCACTAATTGGCTGATTGTATTGTAGATAATTACACATCCTCCGGAAACGAGCATGCAAGATTTCTTCGAGAATCACATTCCGGCCGCTTGTATGCCGTCGAATTTCGGCGGAGAATTGAAAAGCCTGGAAGAAATTAGCGAAGACACCAAAGAGTACATCAGAGGTGTAAAGGGCTTCCTCGAAGACGAAGAGCAACAAATACAGTTCTTCAAAAACGAGAAAAAGTTGTAATATTCGACAATAATAACGAACAGTTGATTATTTATTTGAAATATATTTAAATATATTAAACCCGGATCAAATATTCATTAACCGGCGCTAATAAAACGTAGAGTTTTTATAAATGATTGATAGAAAAGTAACCAAATTCGAATTTACCGCGTTAAATTTACATTTTTTATGTTGCACTCTCTAAAAAAGTAATTAAATTATTTTGACATAACAAGCTGTCAAATCAAATTAATATTTCGCTAGCACAATGGAATTGGCCGAATAGTCCCGGCAGCTGAGGCCAAAAGAGTAGAATAAAAAGAAGAATTATATAATATTGATTCAAATTTGAAAACTGAAATGATTTTATTTTGGAGTATTCTGTATGAATATTCGCGATTTTTAAAATATACCATCAGGAAGAATATATCCATTAATACATATGTATACTAAGCGTCAACCGGTATAAACAAAAAAATAAAAGTAGCATAATTCTGCACTCTTATAAATTATTTTCATTTCAAGTATTAAATAGTTTTAATTTACATTTGACTACATTGTATGTTTACAAAAATCTAAAAAATCATTTCATTTTACTTCATAAAGTCCTACGTTTTTGTGCCGTTTTTATCTCAGTAGGCTTTTTGTTGTAAGTTGTGACTCGCTATGACAGACAAAACCCGCCGACTAGATTTCAGTTTTTAATTATACAATATTTAAATCAAAATGGCGAATCAAAACGTTCAAGATATTCTGAATTATTTGAATCAAAATGCCGTGGTAAGTTATTATTATATTAAAAATCGAAATGTAAAAAGGGTATTGCAGGCCGCGCAAGAGATTAATTTTGATTTCGCGGAATGGGAGAACAATTTGCAACAACAGTTCAACAAAAACAATAGCAATGGCATTGTAAGTTCAATTAAAAGGTACATAGAAATGGTTATGACTTGTACTGCAAATAAACCTTGTAAAGAGCAAATATTATCTTCCAGAGTGTACTTTAATCGATTATTGGTGAGTATATTTATTAATTTATTTTGGATGTATTGTTAAATAAAATTCTGTTTTAGCCCATTTTGCAACGTTTATTAGAGACTACTGTTCTAATAAAAGTCACCCAAATGATATTAGACATAATTATTGTGGAAAATCGGTGTATTTGGTGCATCAAGAAAGAATTATTGAAAATTTATAACAACTGGTTTTTGGAAAAGGAAATAGACGTTAGGAATGATGTAATCAAACAACTACCTCCCATATATTTGTAAGTATTTGGTTTATAAACTGTTAATTTATCTAATTTACACAATATTTTAGGTTTAAATTGATGGACTCCATTTGCACCAATGGAGATTACGATTTGCAAAAGACTATTATTGAAACAATACACGGATTATACCCTATGGATATTTTACTATCGAATCGTGAATTATTGATACCGGAATCTGAAGAATTATGCCAAACTTTCCTAAATGTCCATTCAGAAACGTTCAACAGAGATTGCAGATTATTTTTGAATGCTATGAACAAAAAAAAGGAAAAAATCTACTCAATGTTCTGTTGTAAATACATTCAAATTGGAGACACCTGTTGCAAACCTCCCGAGGTAAACAATCGTCCTTTATATCCTGCAGTCCTTTGACGACTTTTAATTTATTTTAAGATAAACGAAGGCGGCCTTTGGGTGGATTTTAATTTGGAAGATAAAGCCATTTCATGGTATTATAACAAAGCGCAGAATTTAGATGAAACGAGTTGGGAGCTGGTCACCCTATTCGCATCGGACGTAGATAATTATAGCTGGTAGGTAAACTCAGTAAAAAAAAGTCTCAAGTGGCCTCTTACATAATATTAATACAGGTAGATGTAAAATTGGCTATGGGTATAATATGGCTATGGGTTTAGTAGTATTTATTAAAGACTAAAGACCTACTTTTTTGTCCATAGGGAAATAGATGAAAGCCAAATAAATGAAGTCAAAGTACATTTGAAATTAAAAGGCGATCTTGTGTTGTCGTCCCCAAATCATGATTTGTTTGTAAGGCAAGCCAAAAGCGTTACAATTATAGCAGAAAATAACCAATTTATTGTTCAAAATTTCGTAGCCAATGTTTTGGCGAAAATATTTGAAAATTTTTGTACATTCGAAAATAAAACCTCAGAAGGTAACCGACCATGTAACCCGATTTAAATTGTAAATTATTTATAAACTTGTACTCTTTGTAGCTTTAAACTATGATGTAAGATCAACTAAATCAGCCAGTAAATCTTGTACAACAGCATCTAAATCAGAAATATCCACAGCCGTGAGTAAAATTTGTTTTATACAGATTAAAAAATAACACATAAACACTTTATTTTTAGTATAAATTATTGAAAAGTAAATTATCTATAACCAAGAACCAAGATGAAATTATAACTATCCTCTCATCTGAAAATTCATGCGAGATTACCTCGCCCAAGAAAATTGACCAGCCATTTTTAGCTAATCTGACATCCCAAGGATTGACATTAACCAACGAATTAAAAGAAAAATCTCAAGAACCAATCAAATTAAGAAATACAAAAATATCACAAAATTGCCATTCCAATTCACCACACAGGATTAATATAGATTTAAATAGTAACCTCATCGTCAATAATGCCAACATTACAAGCACTAAATTTCACGAGGACTCACAAGGATCAACGATAATACCAGAAGAACCACCTAATCAAGCTCACTCACTTCCTGAAGAACCATTTGATCCGGTTAGAGCTTCAGAAACATTAAACATGGGTTATGAAAATTTCGGCAAAGTGTTAACCGAGAGCATAAATTCTATTATATCGAAAGAAAAGTCGCTAATTTACGTTCCTAACGTTTCAAGCGATATGGGGAACAAAAATAACGGGAGCGACCTGGCTGAACGTTACGAATCGGCCATTGAATACATCCAAACCGAATTTTTGCACGAAAGTATCTCGAGAGAGTTTCATCAAAAGACGAGTACTCCTAAAAAATCTCCATTTTTTACGGAAATGTATAGGAAAAATGAAAGCCAATTAACTGGGAATTTCCTGTCTGCCAGAGGAAGCAACAGCTTGACAAGAACAGAAGACTTGTTAGAAGATGATGCGACTAATGAAGAGATTTTGAATATATGGGGAAAACCTAAATCAAAAGTTTCTGAAAATTTCGAGTCGGCTAGGGATAGCTTTTACAGGTCAGAATCAGACCAAACCTGCGTACAAGATGATGTAGCTGCTGAAGCAATTATTAAACATCAAGAAAAAATTAGTACAATAAGAGAAGATGATGCCACTATTACAGAAATTGTAAATGTATTGGAGAACCTTCAATCGAAAATTTCAGTGAATAAGCAGTATACAAGGAAAAGCCCTTTTTTGCCAGGATCACAAAATGAATTACTTGATGTAACGAGTACACCTCAAGAAAAAGTTAGTACAGTTAATGTCCCAAACGAAACCTTCCAGGATAATTTAACCAGCGATCTTCAGTCTGCAAGGACAAGCATTAACTTAACGGGAACCGAGGATAAGTTACAAGGTGATGCAATTAACGAAGAAATTGCAAACATATGGGAAAACCCTAAATCGAAAATTTCTGAGAACTTCGAATCTGCGAGAGAAAGCCTTCACTGGTCAGTTTCAGAAAGAATTTCACAAGAAGTTACAGCTACTGATGCTTCAAGGGAACCTCAAGAAAAAATTAGTTCTGTTGATCTTATAAACGAAATGTTCCAGGATAATTTGACTAGTCACCTCACAAGAACAGAAGTTGATGCAACTAATGAAGAAATTGCAAACGTATGGGAAGACCCTAAATCGAAAATTTCTGAGAACTTCGAATCTGCGAGAGAAAGCCTTCACTGGTCAGTTTCAGAAAGAATTTCACAAGAAGTTACAGCTACCGATGCTTCAAGGGAATCTCAAAAAAATAGTTCTGTTGATCTTATAAACGAAGTGTTCCGGGATAGTCTGACTAGTCACCTCACAAGAACAGAAGTTGACGCAACTAATGAAGAAATTGCAAAGATACGGGAAAGCCCTAATCCAAAAGTTTCTGAAAATATCCAATGTGTAAGGAATTTCCAATTTACAAAAGCCTTACAAGATGGTGCAGGTATTGGTACATTGAGTCAACCCCAAGAAAAAATTAGTACAGCTATTACCCCAAACGAAACAATACAGGATTATTTGACTAGTGATTCCCAGTTTGCTAGGGCAAGCACTTGCTTGATAAGAACAGATGAAATGCTACAAGATGGAGCGCCTAATGAAGAAATTGTAAATAAACGGAAAAAACCTACATCAGAAACTTCTGAGATTATCCAGCAGTGTGTAGACGACAGTCTTTACTGGACAGATTCACAAAAAACCTTAAAATATGACACACCTTCTGAAGCATCAAGCGAACCTCTAGAAAAAATAAGTTCTGTTCTGCCGAACGAAAACTTCCAGGTCGGCAAGACTTCATCGAACTCGAACGAATTTCCCAAAATTCAATCTCAGGTCGAAGATATAACATCTAAAAAAATAATAACAAAAAACACCAATCAAAACAGTTCCCACCACGAAGAAATAGTAGAAACTACAAGATACCAACGAATTCAAAACAGGAACGAGAAAGGCAAAAAAATCAAGAGACCATTCGTGGATATCACTAGTAAATACAATATCGATACGATTAAAACTCTCGAAGAACACGAGAAAAGGATAATGATCGAGAAAACAAAGCATCAGATAAACCCTATTAAGAACGAAGTGAATTCAACAGAAATTACAAAGAAGCGCTTACCAAAAGGTAAACAAAGAACTACTTCGAAATCTTCCACTAAAAACAATTTAGATTTAATCGAAACTGTAGATGAATACGATGAAAGAATAAGAACAGAAAAACGCACTAGAGTCGATAAATCCGCATCGATTACTACAAACAATGAGGAAGGAATTAAAGCAGTAGAAACGTCTAAATATTTAGTCGAGAATCCTGTTACTAATGAGCGCAATTTACAAGCAAACGTAATTACAGTTATTGCCGATGTTCACATCCCTGCAGCTGTCAATGAGCAGGAAATGGAAGAAACCATTCAAAACGCTACTGAAAAACCAAACGAAGAGGTCACGCAAACATCTATAAATATTATAAGCGATCAAAGGGTTGATTTGGATGAAATTGAACACGAGAAGAGGCAAACAAAGGTCCAGTTAAACCCCAATGAAAATGAAATAAACTCAACAAAGATCAAAAAGAAACGAAAAATTACTTCCAAACTGTCCACTAAAAACAATTACGATTTAATCGAAACTGTATCCGATGTTCACATCCCTTCAGCTGTTAATGAGCAGAAAATCGAAGAAACCATTCAAAAAACTACTGAAAACCCAAACGAAGTGGTCACACAAACATCTATAAATATTATAAGCGATCAAAGGGTTGATTTGGATGAAATTGAACACGAGAAGAGGCAAACAAAGGTCCAGATAAACCCCAATGAAAATGAAATAAACTCAACAGTAATCGAAAAGAAACGAAAAATTACTTCCAAACCTTCCACTGAACACAATTACGATTTAATCGAAATTGTATCCGATGTTCCCATCCCTGCAGCATTTAATGAGCAGGAAATCGAAGAAACCATTCAAAACGCTACTGAAAAACCAAACGAAGTGGTCCCACAAACATCTATAAATATTATAAGCGATCAAAGGGTTGATTTGGATGAAATTGAGCACGAGAAGAGGCTACAACCGGTCAAGAGAGGACAAATAGATGATGAAGTTTCTACCGTTTCTACCGTTTTTCCTAAAAAAAGGAAGCGTAGAAAGCTGTACGATCCAAGCAATTCCTATGATGATATTATAAACTTTGAAGAAACTACAGAAGAAACTATGGAAGCGAATCAATTCACAAGTGCTAAAAGCCAAAGTAATAGTAAAACTGACATTGCTAAAAAGGATACAACTAAGAAAAAAACTACCAAGAAATCCCCTACTAAAAAAACTACCGCAAGAAAAACTACTGGCAAAAGAGCTGCTAGGTTAGCTTATTTCGCGAGGGAGGATTCTTATAATTTTAAAAGAAAATACCTGTTCAAGATAAAATCGACAACGAAGGATCAAAGGAAGGAAAAACGTTCGCTTTCAAACAGAAAATTCTATGACATTTGTCCTGATACATCAAATTTTAAATCTCCAACGAAATTGCGAGGAATTCGTTTCGAAAAAGTGATAAGTCCCCTTCACGGTACACCTAAGAAGCCTTTTGGATTCGATCTCCATCATGTAAGTTTTCCCCTATCTTTATTTATTAGTTATTATGTGTTAATTTGATCGTTTATAACTTTCTTTAGCGATATAGCAAGAAATTGGAAAATGGCGACAATTTGTTCATTCTCGATGAAAAATACTTTGAAGACAGTAAGTGACCCTCCTTTCTTTAGCAATCCAAATTTGATTTTTTCCCGATTCTAGAGTCCCTCTTATATAAGGAAATCTGGAATTGGTCAGCCGAAAGTTACTACAAAGGAAAATTCGTGAAGATCTACCCCAACGATTATTTTGGAAAATACCTCCTAATCCTGTTTTATCCGCTCGATTTGTAAATACTCTATACAATCAATTTATGTCCTTCAATCAATACTTACTATTTTTTTGTAGCGGTCAATTGCCCCACTGTGAAGCCCCCAAGGAGGTCATCGAAATCAACGAAAACTACGAACAGTTTACCCGCTTGAACACCGAACTCCTTTGTTGTTCAGTTGACTCGGTTTCCACACACAAACGTTGGATCGAAGGTCTGAAAATCAAGGATCTCAAATTCCCTCTCTTAGAAGATACTACTCATGCAATATCGAATGAATTTAAAGTGTATTGCTCTCCTTTTGAACATTCCTACAGGTTGTTATTTATTTATTTCATACTCTCTAGGATACTCTATTGACTCTATAGATTCTATAGACTACTCTAGAGTGCGTTCTATAGACTGCACTCTGTAGACTCTATTCTTGACTGTACTCTTTGACTGTACTCTTTTTTATTAGGAAAAATAATTTTTATGTCATTTTTCAGGGGATGCTTTATAATAAATCGACTTGGTAAAATTGTTCTTTACATACAAGTCGATATGACTAGCTGTATACCTTTAAAGGAGATTATCGATGGAATTCAAAGGGTCCAAGCAAACGATTGTTAAGTTAATTTTATTCTCTTCTAATTATTTTGTGTAATTAATTTTTTTATTGTTAAATCAAATTAATGTTTTTTCCATCCATTGATGTTGTTTAGGATTATAATAATATTGTGTTTGAAATAAAATTTAGATGTTCAATTTGAATATTTTGAAAGTGGTAATTGTGGGCCTTGTACTTCGTTTGCTTTCGAATAGGGAACAAAGAAGAAGATTTTGACAACTAACAAACATTAATTTTAGGTTATATTTCTCTCACCTCCACCAATTTTATCTTAACTACCGGTATTTACGGTATCTAATCAACGAATTTGCTAGAAGTCGAGTTGGAAGCGCCATGAACAAGTTCTACGTGGTTTTCAGCGCGTTCGCTCTAACACTGAGCATCGTCCCCACGAACACGGAGGGATGTTTGGGCTGCCTCAATCTCGACGAGTACAACTTCAACAAAATCGTGCCGAAATTCGAGGCCGTCCTGGTCAAATTCGACGTGGCATATCCCTACGGGGAGAAGCACGAGATATTCAACTCGCTGGCGGGCGAGATCGTGGACAATCAGGAATTCGTGCTGGCCCAGGTGGGTGTCAAAGACTATGGGCAGAAGGAGAACGAGGATTTCGCCAGGACCTTCGGCATCGATCCGAAGAGCGACTTGCCGGCGCTCCGGCTGTTCGTCCAGGGCGAGGACGAGCCTTTCGCGTTCGAAAAGAGCATGCCGTGGAACAACGAAAACTTGAAGAGATTCGTCAGGGATCACACGAACGTTTACCTCGGACTGCCCGGGTGTATAGAGAAATTCGATAAACTCGCCCATAAGTTCATCACCAGCCAAACTAAGGAGGAAGTTCTGAAAGAAACACAAGCGGAAGCCGGTAAATTAACGTCCGAGGTAATATTTCGTTGTTTATCTAGTGTACGAGTATCTAATTGCAATCGCTTTTTAGAAAGATAAAGAAATCGCTGATAACTACTTGAAGGTAATGAAGAAAGTGCTCGATAATGGGTACTCGTTTGTTCTGCAAGAAGACGCTAGATTGGAGAAGATTCTGAGCGGAAAAGTGAACGATAAGAAACGAAGAGAGCTGTCGAATCGCCTGAACGTTTTGAAATCGTTTAGTATCGAACCGCAAAAGTCAGAGCTTTGATTAAAGCTCATTTTATGTTTCTATATGGTAACGTTTCCTGGGGTGTTTCTTTACTATAGGGTGCTTTCCGAAGAAAGGAAAAACAGTAGAATCGCAAAGGGCTTATAAAACGGGCAAAATCGTTGTACTAGAAGTTAACCGACTAAATGAATGTTTTGCAATCTTTTGAATGATACAATAAGTAGTTCTTAAAAAAAACCATAAAATATAATGGTTAAACATTCCTTAAGTCTATAAATATAAACATTCCATTTGTTGAACTGAATAAATGTGTGATACAAATCCATTTACATTTTATTTTTTTCAATAGTGTACGAATTAAGTACAAGGTCAATGTACATTTAATTATTTAAAATAATTAACATAATTCTTGTCTTGCATTACATTTGAATTTATTGACATTTATAATTTCATCGTTCGTTTGTAAAAAAAATTGTAACGGTGTAACAAAATGTCATATGTCAGTAAATGTCAATAATGTCAATTCATGTGTCACTTTTAGTTTCTATTTTTTAGTTGTTATTTATCCGAGTTATTATTTATTTGCGGTAGCAGTGCAGATAATACAGGTAAGCGTTCATTATTTCTAATAATAATTATTATTAGTTTTATTTCCTTCCTTGTCGATTTCGTAATGATTTGCTGAACTGACATTTTATAATGTCAAATTCAAAATATGACATAACAAACGTAAACACAGAAATGTCACCGTGACTAGTGCAAGTGCTACACACTACTACACAGTCAAATACGCGTAATTTTTAAAGTGCAATACAGTTTAGAGCGAAAGAAAAATGGATATCCCCGGCTTTTTGTACGCTGGAATGGTAGCAGCCGGTGGAGCTTTGGGCTACTACAAAGCAGGTAAGTTGTCATGGAATTGTTTTTTCAAAAGTATAAAAATCGAAAGAGTCACGCTCTACTGTTGGATTATCAGATAAATTCCATTTAAATGGCATCTCCGCATTTCAGGATCAATACCATCGCTAGCTGCAGGTGTTATTTTCGGAGGGGCCTTGGCCTTCGGGGCTTTCCAAGTAAGCCGAGACCCTTCGAACTACAACGTACAATTGGCTACAAGTTCATTACTGGCCGGTGTTATGGGCTACAGATTTTACAATTCTGGTAAAATCATGCCAGCGGGCGTCGTTTGCTTAATGTCTGTAGCTATGATATTAAGAATAACCGGAAAGGCCACCGGTTTGATTGGACCGCACAAAAAGGTTTAGGTTAAACTAGTTTTTTTTTTCTAGTTTGCTTTAGGGTATTTGGATTTGTAAGGAAAGGTGTAGTTTTTGTGTTTTGCATTTAGATTTCTAAGCAAACTTTTTTTTAATCATCAAGTTTAGAACAAAAGCCATGTGTCGGAGCCATGTAAGTTTTTAAATAGAGTAGATTCAAAAGCAGTATTTGAAATAAATATTGTTATATTTATAACAAAAATCCATCACTACTTATACATCACATATTTATTTAGAATATTAATAGGAATTAATTCAATCTTCAGCTATAAAGACTACTAATTCAATTGTAATTTATTATTGAAGTTGTATATTTCCAATTCCAATTGTAACTAATTTAAATAAAAAAATATTAATCGTTTCGCAATTTGAATTATTTTGTGTTGGGATCGAAGGTCGTGAAATAAAAAAAAAACATTTTCTACAAAATCAAATATTTATTCTATAATTTTTTTATGTCAAAATTGTTGGTATTTCGATAATTTCAAAATCCATTTCGATAAATCGTTATTGACATCCACTTGACACGAACACGTAAATACTATGGCAAGATATAATAATTCTACACAAACAATAACGCCAATAATCACATTATACATGTTTTGTTAAAAATAATTGTTAGAGCTTTATAATGCGACTAAAGTGCTATCAATTTTGCTTGAATAACAAACTTTTCGAAACGGATTTTTACACAATGTTTTACTTGCCAAACCCAAGATGCAAGAACACAGTTTTGATGTAAATTAAATTAAAAAAATATGAGTATTATTTTAGTTAATGAATTATACGCGAGAGATCTGTTGTTACTAATTCACCAAAAAAAAAAAATGGCAGTGATCCATCCGTTAATCAATAAATAAATATATCACCTTATCGGGAAATGATAAAAACAAACGACTTTTGCCAAATCACATATTATCACTTACGTGTATTTATTTTTATTTAATTTCTATCCTAATCTGAACTATTAAAAAAATAAAGAGTATTACATAGATAACACAAATCTTGGGTTTCACAATTATAATACATTTTTAGTTAAACGGCGGATAATTACTAGAATAACTCATCGTAAAAAATCCTGCCGGTCCGCGATTTTTCCATACAAACGCGCTCGTACATCTCGACAATTTTACTCTATAATCGACCTATTTGTCTGTACCGAAAAAAAAACAAAGAAACTTATAAACTAACAATCACAAGCACTGAAATTGTTCCTTCAACGGCAACGTTGAAGCAGTGTCAGTTTCGAAGAAATATTCTCCATAAATTAGCTTCAACTGAAAAAATAAATAATTTTTTTAGAATATATTATAGCAATTTTAGATTAATTTCGTGATTAAAGATCAGAATGGAGATTTGCGCTAAGAGAAAATAAATGTTTATAAGTATAAGTGTGATCTTGTTTTAGTCAAATGTATTATTTATGTTTTGTTTAGTTGATAATAAGTAAATTTTTGTATGTATTAAATGTAGAAGAAAACGTAAAAGGCTATCATTCGGCTTTAATTAGACCAGCAAGTACACGAAGGATTAAAATTCGAAATAAAAACAATCATTTTAGAAGAATAAAATAGTCGATACGCAAAAAATGATCTTAATAATGTTCTCATGCCAAGTATAAGAAGATGATTCTCTGAAGGTAACCGAACAGACCAACGAAACGAACCGCTTGTATCAGAAGGAAACTTTTCAATCACGTTTCACCACTCGAAAAGTCCCTTCAAACATTTCGCGATCCATCCCATTTGCACCATCCGGTCTCCTATCATCTTACCCTAAATCACCAAGCCTACAGCCTACTGCCTACTGTCTACTGCTGTCGCTATAGTAACTAACGTCGTTAAAAGAACTCCGGTGCGGATTGTCCTCGAAACTTTGATAGGGGCTTTTGGTCGATTTGCCGAAATCGGCGAAATCGTACGGGCTTTTCGTCGTTTTCCTGCGCAAGATATAGTAATTGCCGATGAACCGGTTGGTGGTGGTACTGGGTTCGGTAATCGCCGCTTCGGCGGATTTTCCGAAGTAGTGGAAATCGAAGGGGGACTGGGTGGTCGATTTCGTGGAAAATCGGTAAGACGATGCGGTCGAGCGCGTCGGAAAGGCGTATTTGTACGTGAATCTACTCGTAGAAGATGGCGTAGAAGATTGGTAGTTAATGGAATAATCGTTTTGATAGAGATACACGTTAGGTTCGTTTGTGTAAGGTTTCTGTTCTTTAACGTGGGTTTTGTATGAGTTCTGTGGTGGTGTTTGTGTAGACGTTATATCATTCTGATCTTGCACCGATTCTTGCTCTCCAAACCTGCATTCGATAAATTTTCAATAAATACCACAATCTACTAAATTCCACCAGAAGCTTTAAATAAAATAAATACTTACAACGATCGTGCGTTGCTTCTCAAATAAGAAGCGGAATTTTGTGAGTAATCCGGGATGATGTTCTCGTGCTCTGCCACGCACCTTCCATTCAAGCAGTACTAAACAAAACAAAATGTACCAATATATTAATAATTAATCAGTAATTAATTTACCTGTCCATCGCCGCAAGGCGATCCCTCTGCTGCCGGTCTATATGCTACACAGTAGCCACTACCGGCGTCGAAGCAGAAAAGCTGCGCGCAAACTCGATCATCCTTCTGCAAATCGCGAAAATTAAAGTCAATATTAGGTATAAATCATCTGGTGAACGTTCGAAACTTACGAAGCAAGCGCTGGTTCCTCTGTCTCTCCTACATTGAGCATCTAAAGTCAGCAGTTTTCCCGGCAGTACTCTCGGCAAACTCTCGTCCTCGTGAGGCGCGTTGTACAAACACGTCGCCGTATCGCCACTGAAATAAACCAATTTCGAACAATGATAGTACAGAGTAGATAAAAATGATGATTACTTGAGGAAATGGTGGAAACTGGCGATGCTGCACGCCGACCATCTGAATCCCCTTTCGGTATGCCTCAAATCGGACATGATGAAACCATCGGTCCATTGGCACTTCTCCGCGCCCGGTCCGCCCAAGTAGGAAGGCGGGGGACTACCATCGTGAACTGCTCCCAACCTAAACACAAACCCATGGAATCCTCTACGCTCATATTATAAGAATTTTAAGACTCACAAATGGCCGACTTCGTGGGCTGCCACGATGATTCCGCTGAAGCCGCCGGTGTCCTCGATGATGGCGACGGAATTCACCTTTTCCAATCTCTTGTTGACCACGCACGCTCCGCCGACGTAGGCGAATCCTAGCGAACATTCGTTTGGGCGTTAGAGCGCTTTGACGCGTTTGAGCGGCTGCGAACCTCCACCGCCTGAAAGCCACCCTTCGACCGGTACAACCAGAGAAGCGTTAGGATGATTCGATGTTAATCGGAAGCTTCGATAGGTAGAATTAACGGGTGGTAAATTGGGCGCGAAAGGGATTATAGATTTTAGTGCTATAGGTAAATTGGTGGCAAAGAGTCCAGATAATAACCACAAATAAGTTTTTTGTTTTCTACTCTACTATATTCTACTTAAAGTAGGACTTAAAGATGCGTTCAATGATAGATATTCAAAAAATGTCAAAATTGACAGTAATGACGTTTCATATGACTGAATTTTAATAGAGGTGGGAATAATTTTTTTGGTATAGAGGTGCTATAACGACTATTACAAAATAAGCGTTATTTTTTACATATCGTTCTCCTGATAACTCTACTCTACTCTGGATCTACTCTGAATCCACTCTACTCCCCTTTTCCACCTGAAATATCCTCGCTACCAATTTACCTACAGGATTCAAATACCATTAGGTTAATAAATGTATTTCTGTGCCCAATTTTCCCAATTTACCGCCGGATAGAAACGATCAAATTTGGAACAAATCTACAATCTACAATTATTTATAGTCCAGTAATTTGATCGCTTCTAAAAATCCACAATATGCCCCATTCCACTAATCTACATACCCCCTTTCATGCTTTAGTATTAAACTATATTTTTTCTAAAATTACAAAGATTGATGTATTTATTCGAGCATGTGCGTTCGTGTCTAGGTCATGGTACAGAAATATACAGTGCAGAAGAGAGATAACACAATAGGCACATAAAAACGCGTTGAAATTATCGTAATTATACGCCTAAATATTATCTAACGTATATGAAAAGAGAATTCTAATATATAAGAGAACACAAGAAGTACTAAAATGGTAAAGCTGCAAACAACAAACGATGTTCGACGTTGGTAATTCGTGACGGGTAAATTTTAAACAACATGCTGGACTGGTCGAATTGTATTTGTACAGATGATCCGCTAATTCTAACGAGCTTGGCGATGACTCGGAAGAAACTACAGTGGTTTAGAACAGAAATAACGAGAAAACATACAGGAGAAAATAAAAAATGTATAAGGCTTTAGTGCTGGATATATATTTTGATTGGATTATTTATTTTGTACCTGCCGTTCCGCGATTGCAAACATCACCGGGGTATGACCTTCTGCACATGTCAAGTCTGGAAAAAAACGCGGGCAAAATTGTAGATAATGTTAAAAAAAATGTTTTCGATATCGGCCAGTTGTCGCGAAATCGATAGTAAATAAAGCCTGATGATCTATTTCGTACAAATTACACCAAAATGAGGCTGGTGATTATTTGTATAAAACAGAAAAATAAAACCATCATTAGTAAAAATCAAGCGGTAGAATACTTGCGTGTAATGCGTTATATAAAAAATCAATTCACGCGAATATTCCTTCCTGCTGTTGTTTTAATTTTTTTTTGTTAATTATTCCTCGCTTCGGTATGTTTGCGTCTCCGAGTTAGTATCCCAGCTATTCGTATGTACACGCTATTAAATCGATAATTTAGAAATAAAAAAAAAATAGATAAAATTAGGGCAAGAATTACCCGCTGTTCCTTTCGTGCAGCGTCCGCCTTTCCTGCGCCGACACATGTCGTATCTAAATAAAAAATTCGTTAGTTATTTCGATTACTGCGAAATTTACCCGGACACCTATACGACGAATAAACGCAGTTTACATGATTTTTTACGATTTAATAAGCGTTAAATTTTCACGTACTTTGTAATAGCAACGGCGATGTCGTATACGGGAAGTCTTCTTTCTCTGAATAAATATTTTCCCATGTCAGTCAGAGCTGCCGCCGAGTCTATGGCATCTCTACCTACTCTGTTCCGTTCTAAATAGGGCGTCGCGTCTCTACCCTGAAAAAGTACACAAAATAACAACACTTGCTTTATTGCAGGTGCGAATAATGTCGTGCAACGAAGCCGTTTTGAAATTTTTGCAAGACCAAAACCGCCCCTACTCCGCCTCCGACGTCCACGGAGCAGTGAAAGGAGACTTCGGCAAACCGGCCGTACAGAAATCGCTGGAATTCCTCGCCAAAAAGGGCGATATCAAAGAGAAAACCTACGGGAAACAGAAGGTACAACTCGCCGTTTCCACATCCTCGAATCGATATTTAATAATTAAATTACAGGTGTATTGCATCGCCCAGTTAACCGGACCCGCTTCGGCCGAATTCCGCGAAAGACTGCTCGAAATGGACAGGGAAATCAACGAAAAAACCGCCCGCCTGAAGGAGCTGGGCGAGCAGTGCAAGAGCAAATCGAAATTGCTGGGCGAGATCCAAGGGCAAGTCAGCGTGAGCGAAGCGATAGAAAGGAAACTCAGCGTGGAACGCGAAATTACCGACGTACAGCAACAATTAAAGCAATACGAAGGTAAGGAATAGATAGTAAATTGTTGTTGGATGATTAATTTTGGTGTATAGGTGCTGTACTGATTGAGCCGAAGAAGAAAAACGAAGTACAAGAAAACTTCGATAAATACACCAGCGAGTACAAGAAGAGGAAGCGACTCTGCACGGACATGCTCAACGCCATTTTGGAAAATTACCCGAAAACGAAGAAACAATTATTCGACGACATTGGCATCGAAACCGACGAAAGCGCCGGTTTCACTCCGAACATAAACACCAAATAAATGTTCAAATTACGACTCGTTTGATTAACAACACACTCACCCTGCTGATGATGATTCCCGCTATCGATATCCTGATTTTGGGCCCTTTGAGCAGCTTGTACCTCAAATCCACGCCGTTCCAGAACGAAACGAAGTACCGTTTGATGTGCACGTTGTCCCCGCCGTGCAATCTATACCCGTCGTAATCCACGATCACCAATATCTCCGGGTAGATCGTGTAGGGCGCCTCCCGCTTCTTCCTATCGCCGCCGGCGCTCCTCCTGAACCTCTTCGCCAAGTGATCGGGCTCCATCAGCGCTGCTCGAACCGATTACCTTGTACAATCCATCGATCGTTTATCGAACGTCACTCACCGTAATCGCCCGTGCCGTCGTCCTCCTCCTGTTTCCTCCTGTAGACGATGTGATGGTGGACGTTCTTGTTCCGTCTGATGGGCAGGCCGGTGTCGATGGCCACCTCGGAGTTGAGCTCGCCGTCTTGGTCCAGGAACATCTCGTCGTCGTTGACGCTGTCCAGGTCGGTGTCGTTGGCGCCGCCGGTCGTTCGGTTGTTCTTCGATCTGATGACGGAGCCGCGGAGGCGCGCCGGCAGAGGGCGGATCACCAGGTGGGACCCGATGCTCCCTTCCTGCGGCAGGTTTATTGGTCAGTAAGCGATAATACAGCGCGGGTTACATGCAAATTGCGTTTTATTTTAGCATATTTTGAGTATTTTTTGCACATTTCGGGTAATTTTTGAATATTGTGCCGAGTGATTTTTGAGTAATTTTTGCATATTTAGCATATTTTGAAAGAAAATAATAACAGAAATGAGGGTTTCAAATTTTTAGTAGCGGTTTTAAACATTTGAAATTTTCATAAAAAAAATGAGCAAGTTTCGAGCAAATTTCTGAAAAATAGCGGAGAAGAGAGTGAAGAAGGGTGAACAATTTTAAATTTTCATAAAACATTGACCAAATTGATGGAAATTTCATGAAAATTTCGAAAAAGAGTGTGAAAAATTAAAAAATTTTAATGTAAAAATAACTAAATTGATTTAATTGATACAAATTTCATAAAAATAGTGAAAAAGAGAGCCAATGAGAGCGAAAAATTTGAAATTTTCATGATAAAATGAGCGAACTGACGCAAATTTCATGAAAAACTCGAAAAAGAGTGAAAAATTTTAAATTTGCATAAAAGAGTGACTAAATTGATACAAATTTCATAAAAATAGTGAAAAAGAGAGTGAATGAGAGCGATAATTTTGAAATTTTTATGAAAAAATGAGCGAATTGATGCAAATTTCATGAAAATCTCGAAAAAGAGAGTGAAAAATTTTAAATTTGCATGAAAAAGAGACCAAATTGATGCAAATTTCATAAAAATCTCGAAAAAGAGAGTGAAAAATTTGAAATGTACATAAAAAGAGTAACCAAACAACCAAAATAGCTAAAAAAGAGAGATAACGAGAGAAATTTTCATGAAAAAATGTGCAAAGTGCAATCTTTGGCAAAGCATCTTCTAATGCAAATTTCAAAGAATTGCGAAAATTGAGAGTGAAATTGCATAAAAATACCTACGTTTTTATGCTTATGCAATAACGCATAAACCTTTTCATATTAATGTGCATATTTTACGCTAATATCTTGCATTATACTCGCATATTTGGTCAAAAATTTTTGCATATACTTCGAGCTTTATAGTAACCACATGGCTAACGAAGATGGTAACAGATGAACTAAGCGCGAATTAATAATAATAACTTATTATTGATAGCAATAAAACATTTGACGTGGTGTTCTTCCGCAAATTCTTCAGTTATTTACAAACATCTCGTTGACGTTTACTCCTTTTAGTTTCGGTTAAAAACGTTAAGTGTTAATTGCTCCTTCCATAGAAATCGCATTGTTTTGACTGGGATTTCATGAGATTGTTTGAATTTCGCTCGGTACGTGTCGACAATAAAAATACTTGCGAGAATTCGCTGGGAATTTTTTCGCCAGCAATTACCGAGTTCATTATTTAGCTAATGAATTAAGCGAGCGCTCGGCAAGATTCGTTCCTTTTTTTGCGAAATTTCACCGCAAAATTTACAATCGATAAATCAGCAAAGTGTTTATGGCGCTGTTCGCCGAAAAAATCATCGAATTAATAAAATTAAATTGCTTCCTTATAATAACTATCATTACACAACTTTATTAGAGGTAATAAATTAATAATTCGCGCAGTACGTTATTGGAATAGGAGTGAATTTATAATGTTATAGAGGAATAAAAATTTGCCAGGAGCGTAAATTTTTATTGTCATTAGTGGCAAAATAAAAGTAGGTCAAACGAAACGTTTTAAGGCGTGCGTGGGAGTAATTAAAAGGATACAACGTTAATGAGCTGTAATAAATATTATTTCCACTGAACCTCTAATAATGATAATAATTAATAAAACGCAGCAATTTATTTAAAATGACGCGCCGCAACGCCCACACATCACACCTCTTTTCTTATTTTTAAAAATAATTCTATCGAGCCAAAAAAATGTCTTTTGATCTATGTATGTCGCAAATATTAAGCATTAAGAAAACTTTATTGATAATTTTTAGTATTTTAAATAAGTATACATTGTATTGCAATTTATACAATATATTATTAGAATTTATATAGATAAATATTATAGCGATAATTAAACGTTACAACACATTCTTAAATATCAATTTACATAATGCACCGCCGATTTGCCCATATACAATCGCGTATAGGATAAATACCCATGCATGTATAAAAAATGGCCGTCTATTAATGAGATGAGACTCGAGAGGATTAAGTGCAAAACTCGTTTGATAATGAAAAAGCTTTCTCCTCCTGGCTCTAGGTGGTTTTAATATCGTTGTTTAAATGTTACTTGTTACCAATCATTATGTAATTTCGTGTATGTTTAGCGCATAAATCATACGAAACGCAAAAATTGAGATTGATGAGCGTGCGAATTTCAATCGAAATCGACCTAATAACAAAATGGCATTTTCGATTTTCTTCCAATTATATTTTTATAATGGTTATTTATGCAACTAGTCCGTTACTCATGAGGAACTTTGCACAAAGCAATTTTTCTAATATGCATTTTCTATTTTACCCACCTACTAATATAAAAATCGAAATTTTATTATCGACTATTTTATACACAGTTTGTGATTTATGACTATTCAATCGAAGGTAATTTAAATTGGCTTCGGAAAAACAGCTTTGAATAATGCTCGCCCAGCAAATTAAATTACCTTATTAATTTTTAACACATATATCTTTTGCTCTAGGTTAATAAAAATTCGATAATTATCGTTTATAATTAATTTATCAATGATATCGATCGAAAAATTTGTAATAGACAGTCAAATTACGTTAATTAGTTAATAGCATGATTAATCGACAATCAGTCCAAATGAACCTTCACTAGAGCTGTAATAAACTTAATATTTCTTCTCCTAAGAACTAGTCTAGTCCTGGGTGAAGTTAGCTCTTTAAAATAGGACCTGGATGCGTTATTCGCAAGAGGCCACGATAATTGCAGAAGATAAATCTGCAGGATAGGACAGGACATATTTTTGCATGCGTTTATAATGCTTTACCTGCCATCTTTCATTAGCATTTCTTTCAATTAATACAAGTCGAAAGCTCGGCCTTATTTGTAATCCCAAGAGCGATCGTAATCGCGCCTAATTAGATAATTTGGAACCTGTACGAATTCATTACAATTATAATTTAAACTTTTTCTACTGGCACTTCCCGTTCTGGCTCGGTTCGATCGGTTTTCCGGCACGATCGATATAGCGCAATGACTAATGAAGTTTCTTTCAAAAATTAACTGCTAATGACGCAAATCGAACCGCAAACGTGAAAATACTGGTCGCAATAATTTCGGATAAGACGTGATTTACAAGAAGTGGAGGCTAACAGGTTCGCCTTTCTTAATTTTTCTGATTTATTTACTCGATAATGTGCTCATAAATTCGAATCTGAATATTAATGCCAATTAAAAGCGGAATTTCCAAGGGACATTTAGCAACAGGTATCGTAAGAAAACCGAGCGTAATCGGTCGGAAAAATAATTATGAAAAAACAATCACAATCATTGTGCATTTTAGTTTCTTCGGGTGTTGCGCGGTTTCACCTAGTTTCATCACTCCCATTCAAGGATTAAACGGTTACTACACCACTTATTTTCAATTTGCCGCGCGACCTTTAAGCTAGTTATGGACTTTTCAAAACTCTAATTATATGGAACCTCACACGATAAAAAAAATACTCACCAAAACGAGCCCATCGCCTTCGGTCCTTAGAAGAATCGCAGCCTGATTTTCTTCGTCTTGATACAATTCACCGATATCGTCGTTCGTCTGCGAAATAAACATATTCATATTCATAACAAAAATAAACCTTGCGCTTTAATTAAAACAAACTTTGATCGAAAAACTGGTACGAGCCGTTAATTAACGGCCTATTAAAGGTCGCAGACCTCCTGTAGCTGCATTCCGCTCGATCGACATCCAGCGATCGACCAATAATTCATCAATTAGGTTTTCGAATTAATCGCCACGCTAACGCGGCATTTCGTCCGGATCGGGACCAGAAAAAAAGCCGCGATTAAACGCGCGGATTAAATCTCAAGGCTCCGGCAAATCTCTCAAACTCGACCCAATCCTTGCGAAATCGAATCAATGCTTGATCTGCTTCGATTTAAAAATGGATCGCCTGTACATACGCAAATACAGTGTGGATGAATAAAATAATGACACCAACACTCACTTTCCAGGTCTTTATTGTCTTGGGTTCGAAAAAAATGCAGTAACAAACGTTTTATTATATTCTTTATTGTCTTGTGATATAATAGTGATTAAAGTAGGCCAATCTCGGCTCCGGTCGGCTCGATGAAAAAGTACAGGCGTAGGTACTATGAAAAAAAAAAAAAAACTTTCACTCTCCGTTCGGTTGTATTTACGGCACGCGCGTCTGTTGCAAAGCCAACGGATCGGAAGAATGTAGAATGGCCTACGGAGGTGGCGATCTTGATCGATACACTTTTAATGGTCCCCGGCGTTTCGAAACCGTCCTCGAACGAAGATGACCTAGGTTAGTGTTCGGATGATTCATCCGGCTCCGTACAAGTCGGAGACGCGTTTCTCCACCGAACCACCGACCTTTTGAACCATCATCTACGTCGCGATTTTAAGTACACTTCCGCGTGCACGACCGAGCGCTCTTTTTGGGTTGGTCTACGCCGACAAGGAAACAGCATTTTTTTACAGGCGTCCATTTATAGGTCCATTGGTCTATTTTGAGATCCCATTTATAGGTCTATAGGCCCAGTTATGGATCTATAAGTCTGTAGTTCAATTCATAAGTCCATTTGTAGGTCTAGGTTCATTTACAGGTCCATGGTCCATTGGTTCAATTGTAGGTCTATAGGTCCATTTTGAGGACAATTAGTAGGTCCATTTATAGATCCATTGGCTCGTTTATAGGTCCATAGATCCACTGGTAGTTTTTTAGGTTCATTTTAAGTACACTTCCTCGTTCGAGTGCACGCCCGAGCGATCTTTTTGGGTTGGTCTACGCCGATAAGGAAACGGCATATTTTTTTACACGCGTTATTTACGTTCGAACGCGCCGTCGTTAATCAACCTATGGGCTATTACCGTTTTCGATTTACCATATATTATTTCTATCTATATAGCGTGTTTCTCTTTTCGTTCAACCGCGAAGTATCGGTATAATAAACTTCGAATAGAACCGATGCTAACAAGATGAAAAAAAAAAAACGGAACGGTTTAGCCGGTTAGGTAATATGTTTTGCGACCGAAACAATATGTCACGTGCTCGTCGATCACTGCAAAACTTTCGTCCGGAGGAGCTTACGGAAAGAAATCGTTTCGAAACAGACCGGAATTACATTGTTTAATACAGTTATTCGTTGTTTGTTCTTTCTTTTATAGTAACATATTTTATTGGTCCATTTATGAGTACATACTTATAGGTCCAGGTCTTAGTGGCCCACTTATGGGTCTACAGGTCTATTTATAGGTCCATATTATTCCATTTATGGGTCTAGGTAAGTCCATTTACAGGTCCATGGTCCATTTTTAGGTCCATTGGTTCAATTGTAGGCCTATAGGTCCATTTTGAGGACAATTTGTAGGTCTTTTGGTCCATTTATAAATCGATTTGTAGATAGCTAGGTAGGTATACCGATTTTTTCATGAAATTAACGATTCTTGAATAATTCTTGGTTCTCAATGGAATACTTTAAAAACACACTTAACGGATGAATCACCGAATTCAAATCCGATAATCCAACCTCGAAGACTAGCCAGCGGAAAAACAGGTGGTATTTTTTTTGAGCGTTACAGGCGGATTTAAGTAATAAATAAATCGGCACGCGGAGGAGTGTATTTGGCCAGCTAATCGCGATGTCGGAAGTAAAGCGGTTATACTTGAACTATTGTCATGGTCTCGAGACTTTCTTGCACATTGCGACGAACGGAGACGCCGATGCGTTGCGAGCCCATCTTCCGGAAGAAGGAAAATTTTTGTACATTTCATACATATCTTCGTCGGTGATGCTCATCGCGTCTCCTGTATGTAGTACAATAACCTTCTTTTGTAGCGATTCCGAGATTTTAGTGCGCAAATATCCACAAACATCCACATGTTCGTTAATAATCCTTGCCGCTGTATAAATTATTTCTACAGGAAAGTTGTGGGTATTTAGTATTTTTTGAATAGAGGACCCTGTAGATGGGGAGTTTGTGGTAGTATTGTTAGTTTATAACGAAAAACGTTACCGGGTTGTTGCGAAACAACGAAACTTATACAAGACACAAGGAATGTTTTTAAAACGGACTTTCCTAACTTGAATCCGAAGAACTTGCAAAACTAAATAGAGTGGACAAGAGTCTCGACGACGCCCGTTTTCTCGTTTTATTTCTTATTGTTCGAGTTTTTATCGTTTCTGCGGATCTACACGTAGCCTGAATTCTGGTTGAAATATTCAGTCATGCAACAACGGGTAATGGGTTAAATACTCTCGATTCAATATGAGCTCGAATCGTGTAGGAAAATACGATTTTTGTGTCCAAAAATGATTCGATCATAAAACAATCGTTGAAATACAAGGCTCAATTTGCAAGTTAAATTTCATCACCGTGTAATTGAATTTAATGCACCGTTTAAGAAGTATCTAGACTGGAAGTAGGAAACATTTCTCTAAAATACTCGATGGATTCTCTTTTAAACAATCACTACACAAAACACTTCATATACAATTGAACTCGCCGTTGGAAAGGAAAACCGACACGTCCGAAACTACTCGTATTTGAACAAAAATACTAGCACGAGGTCGAATACCTACTAAAAAAAAAACACCCGGTGAGGGCCAATTTAACGTGTTTGTTTAAAAGATTAGCCGCGTATACTCGCTGCATATGGGCGAGAATGTCGCAATATAATTGCAAAGGATCATCGATAAATCATCGACGAAATTGCGACCTAATTAAAAATCCATTACAAACCGATAAAACCTCACCTCTGGTATTTCGACGTATTCGATGCCGTGTTGGGCGGTGGCGTTGGGCTCGATGGTCCACAACTTCAGCTTGCCCTTTTTGAACAAGCCCGTGGTGGGCACCAATGATAAATTGAACGGTTTCCCGAACGCCCTGAGCTTCACGTTGGTCGCGACATCCTCCGGCGCCGGCTTGCTCCTCGTCCTGTTGGCTCCACCGTCGCCGGGATCCGGCCCGTCGATCGCGTTCTCCTTGTAATCCGGCAACGTCCTGGCGTTGTGATGGACCGGCACCACCTCGTATTCCGGCACTGAAATAGTTTTTTTATTTTTCATTTAATTCACCTATTTAAAAGACCTTCATATTTCATCAATCTTCAACGCTTGTTGTGTTTTAAAGACGCTTGTTTAACTCGACAGTTTTACATTGTTGTTGTGGAGTAATTTAAAAACCCGATGCAATTTTTTTATCAACCTCGTTTGCCCACACTCGCGCAATTATGTAAGAGATTCGGTGCCTTTAGGCTGCACCTGGAAGAAGATCCTAGTAAAAGTTTATTTATGGAGTACTTAGAGGCAAATGTCAATGTCAAGGTAGGAGCCCGGTGGATCGGATTACATAATGACAATAGAATTTCATAATCTTTACGTTAAACGAGGCTTTCTATGCCGATGTTTTCCATAACGTAATGGATGTGTCGGCTCGCGAACGATCGGATGGGATTTTAATTTATGTTACCAGTACGCGAGAGGATGATAAAAAAAAATTACGTTCGAAAGAATTCTTTCATTACATAAAATTATCGTAAAGAATGCCTAATGGTAATAAATATGATGGTGTTGTTAATATGCAACGAGCAAAATGAGGAATTATGGTGGATTTCAAAGTGGAACTTTCTTAAATGCAACCGAGCGATTAATGTCACAATGTGTTTAAATTTTAATTAGCGCTTTTGCGATAATATGTCATGGTTTAACATTAGTAAGTAAATAAATCGCTATAATAAGTGAATGAAATATAAATACTAAAAATCTGTTAATACACTGAATAATGAGAAAATTCAAAATTACGAGACAGCTCGTTTCGGTTGATTCACCCGGTATAATTATTATTTAATAGGTTTTAGTTTATGATGAAATTACAACTTTGGCTTTCTTTCCTTTAGCGTACGATTAAATTTGCGGTTATTCGCAGCCTTGTCGATAAATAAATGTTTTAATGAATTACCTATAAAAACATAGGCACATTAAAAGCCCGGACTATTCCGGGATGAAGCAAACGCCAATACAATGTAGGCATTATGTTACTAGTTGCGCAATTTCAATTACACTTAAAATTCGCCGGTTTATGCGTAAGATATGCAAAACATTTTAACAGCATTCTCTAATTTTATTGTTCCTCCATTAACGCAACAGAAGATTTTTTTTGTCGAAAACCCGACAACCGACTTACGCCATGTTTGTTTTAACGATGCTAATGCAACGAATCCACTTTCATCTTCAACCCATATTGTTACTATAATTCCAATATCCAATAAACATCAATCGGCGTTCCATAATTCCCAGTTCTTGCTCGATTAAAGCGACGCTTTTTTAGCGATTAATTCATACGCGTTAATTGTTAAATCGATGAATAAATTATCGATTATCGTTAGACGGAAATCGAAGGAAATCACGCCGCAATTACTACATACATACGTCAACTTGTCCGCGAGTATTGTAATCTTAATGATACCCCGATCACAGTTCGATAGTGTTGGTACACACTTTAATCGCTGCTCCATTTAATTATCGCTCGTGTGCGTTCGATATGTTAAATGCACTTGTATATTGCATAACGCCCGCAATATCGATAGAACTGGGAACTAGGAATCTCAGACAAGCTCAAACATTACACCTCTTTGCAAGTTACGGAGCGCTTTAAAATATACCGCTCCACAAAAGTTAAGGAAGTTCACAAATATTGAGATTAATTTAAAAGTTGCAGGTTTTTTGATTGCCAAATTTGGTATGTGTTGTAGAGGTAGGAGCAAACTATCCACTTAGTTGTGAGAGAAAACATTTAATTTCGCATATTTGAAAATTTGGTCATCAAAAAGTCTGCAAGTTTTAAAATAATCGCAAAATTTGCGAACTTCCTTAACTTTTGTGGAGCAGTTTATCTTTAAAGTGACCTAATGTATTATGAAACCGTTTAACATCAGGAATACAGTTAAAGGACACTATATCGATAAAACTTCTTATTGTTAAACGATACTTTAACGTTTTATTAGTATTTTAATTTAAATATTAAACGAATTAATGTAATTCCATTTGAGTATGATGATGCATAACAAATCGTTGCATACATAATGCATTTTTTCTCTAAGAATCGAATCACGCTGTAAGTGTATTGATAAAGGCGTGAACTTCAGAAGGTGAACTTCTAATGCAAATTTCATCGAGCACGACTGGAACGTTAAACTCTATTATGTATGTATTGTGCCTATTTCAAAACTAGTCTACATTCTCAATCAACTCGCTTTAATTTCTTCGAACGCAGCCACATCGAAAAGTGCAATAAATATGATCGTTTGTGTAGCTGCGAGGCGATTTCCATCACACATCGGACGGCGTGCACGTGCAAACGCCGATAAATATATCACTATTAACGAAATCATTAACGAAACCAATGCTCCTCAAGGTTCGATCCGGTCGCCTTGGTTCGACGAATTTCCACCTATTACTGTACACATATTTGTCGTGCTCTTTACCAAAATAGCGTTAATTACGGTCGAGTTTACTCACCGAGGTCGTGATTGTCGACGTGAAACGTATGCCTAATTTCGTCCAAGCTCATTTGTTTGTGAATCTGCAACAAATCAAACCATTAAAAATTAGAATTTATTACTACATTGGATTTGCGATTTATGTCGTATCTCATCCGATTAAATTGCAAACGTTTCAAGCAAGAGTAAATCTTGTCGTTTTGTAGTTTTTAATTGGGATTCATTACCAGACTAATTGCTTTTAAATGCGGCGTTTTATACGCACAATACGTATTACATAAGTGCAATGAATCGGCTTTTTATATAATTCGATATTTAACGAATTGAACTTTAAAAACTGGAGGATGTATCTTGTAGGAATGTGCATAATTAATACTAAAAGGTTTCGTAATAATCGATTAATCGATCGGATTTTTAACGTCTCCGGCATTTAACGTACAGTTTTTACGCGTAACGTAATTTTGCAAATGACCCTCTACATTATCGCGCTCGTAATGAATGACTCGTTAGGTCGATATATCAATGTTTGCATTACGAGAAGCTTGTGGAAAAATAATCGTATAATTGTATATAAACAATTACCAGCCGGACTACGCCCATGAAACAATAAAGTATGCAAATTTTGCTCGGACTAACAGAATACGTATTAATCAACCTACCCCGACCTTAATAAATAAAAACCGCAAGGAAACGAGCCATTGCATCGAATAAACTGTAACAAACGTTACGTAACGAACGCTGGTACTATTGGCAGTACTTTTAACTTTTCTATGCCGTTTGATTTAAAACCGTTTTACCTTCGCCCGTACCCGACCGGCTTCCGGAAAACCGTCGATAACTTTATGCAACTATTCGACATTTTTTATTGCCCGACAGCACCCATAAATACCTGTACTACAGAGCAAACAAACGGTGTAAGAGTGTGTGTGAGCGTATGCTCGGCTTTTTCGTTTCTTTTGTACGCGATCAATGCACAATTTCGATTAAAAATCAACGCCGACTTTCACCTAGACAACTAATGCTAACTTATGCCTACATGGAAGAGAGGTTGACTCTAGTTATTTCGAATTGTCGGAATTCCTGCGAAGCATATAGTCAAGTTTTTTTTGTCAAATCATTAAGTTTGATATCCGTTTTTTTCTTCCATTTAGAGAAATATATTTAATTGCTTATAATTATGTACAGATAAGTGCAAATTTGTATCTACTCCATATGATGTATTTTATTAATCATTGTTCAACAGAAAGAATTGACCATATTGCAAACATATCTGTACTTATCTCTATAAAGAAATTTTACAGAACTACACAGAATTATCCAAATAGCCTATAAATTACGATAATGTTTGCCTATACATAAAACCGATTCCGTGCTAATCAATTTCGATCGCAGAACTGAAGTAATCGCGGTTATTACATGCAAAATAAACGGAAGGAAGTATGAGAAATACGAGTCGTTTTAATTACTCGTATTTACTAATTCGCGTTGCGCCGGTTCGTAATTATTGCGCACGAGACGTCCAACTCATCCGACTTTCCAATTACAAAAAAAAAGAAATTTAATAGTTCGAACGAAGATGGTACAAAACTCGTTCGAACAGATTCGAAGCGAGCATCATCCAGTGGTTTATTGGCTTCCTGCACGATTTTATCTACTAAACGATCTTGTTCGTTATTTGAATGCAAGGATATTCGTTTGTGGCTTAGCAAGAGACCACTAAATAAACTAGTGATAATAGCGAAAAAATATTGATGAAAGTAAGAGAGATATTAATGGTAAATTTACATTGAATTGATTCCAAACAAAGCATTCCAATTAATTACTCAACGAAGCTTTTAATACAAATTCTGTCCTATCTAAAATAATATCGAAACTATTAATATTAATTTCGTTACGAAACCCGTTTGCTGCATCGTCCGAGATTTTGTTATAATTATCCTGCAGAATATGTGGGTAAGTCGGCAAGTATAATAGATAAAATGCCGTATGAAATAATTATTCAAAATAGGATTTGTAATTACGTAACAGAAAACAAGGATTATGTCACCCGAACTTATCGACGTATTTTAAAAATAGATTTCTGATGTTTCCTCTATCAACAAAAGTTATAGATATATTTTTTCACAGTAACTCGTAACCCTTTAATAGAAGCAACACGCTTTTACGTTCGGAGAATTTATAGGCGATCAGACAAGAAACCCAGCAGTAAATATTTTTATTATTATACCTACATTGTATTAAAAATTATAAATTTTTAATCACACCGGGTGATATCATTCCCGATGGTACTTACTCACATCTCATTGAAGAAAAAGTAACGACTCTAGTAGCGCTTAAATTAAACGGTACTGTACTTGATGCATTACCTATCGAGTCAAATGGATGTCGTAAACGGAAATTAATTAAATTCGTATTATTACTATTATTACCGCGGTGAACATTTGAGGCCAAATTTTAATTGAATTGTAAATACGATACACCTTATTTAATAAATGTAGGTATATAAATATTATTATTAAATAGCATTTGCACTTTTTTCATGTATATGAGGAAGTGAAGATATTATTGACATAATAAAAAAGGAGTCGATTATATTTAATTAGTGGTAGTATAATTTTTTTTTTTAAATTAAAAAAGTGGTTAAAGAAGTTGGATTTATTTTTTCAAACAAAAAAAGTATACGGCGTAATAAAACATTATATTACTCGTGTAGACCATTAATTAGATTTAAATGTCAAAAATACACCAATCGGTAATTAACAATAAATTATTTTCGTAATTGAACCACACCTTTTCGACGTTTCTTATCCCCCGGATTATTCATTTTTTCCAGTTAATTTGCCTAATTCATCCTTGACGATGTTCCTCATGTACGGGATTAAGCTCGCACAATAACAATTCGAACATAATAAACAAATTACTTTTTATCTCGTGCATATCTACGGTTATTTATTTATTCAAATCGACGAAAAAAAAATCACATGTCGCCGCCGCGAAGAAGGATTGTCGCTCGTTCTTCGCGGAATTACCCGAAAGACTCGTCCTTCGAGAGGCGAGTTTTTTTATTCAATTACATTAATTTTTGTTTGCATAAAACATAATGGCGATTAAAACGAGAATGGTCGTTGTATGCAAAATTTCGATTACTATCGACGAAATTATCGGTATATAAAATCGATAGGGAAAATTTTAATATTTATTGTTTAGTGATTGATTAATTCGAAGATTTTTTATATTTTGCTATATAAAAAATTCCCTTATTTTTTCGTTTAAACTTTCTTTATGCTAATAATTGTGATGCGCTGGAGCCTTGATTGGCCTTGGTTGAATTTTTCCCGATGCAAAAATATTTGTTTATTTCCTGAAGAAGGAGTGTTGCTATTGCGGATAATTATTTCCGTGGCAGGAATCGTTGAAATGTGTCAATTTATTAGTAGCTTAAACGATTAGGGAAATATTTACTGTTTACTCATGATATTAATTATGTTAAAGTGCTTTGAAAAACATAACATGGATATAAAAGTTTATTTATTGTTTATTTATTCCTATTTTTCGCATGCTCTTTTGATTCGAATTCCACACTGTGCATTTATATTTTCGAAAGAATTTCGAGTACGATCAATCACCCAACAGATTACAAGATTCCTTCTATTCGTTTTGAAATTACGCAACCGCTAAAATCGCAATTGTGCGGCATTTAAATGAACATTAACCACAATTATGATCGATCGATCTCTTATTAACATTACGTAAAGTACGAAATTTTCATTTTATAACAATTCCTTTCCCGACATTACCGTATTTGGTAATTGATTTCGAGAGAATTTTCATTGCATGTCGACATTTCGATTCGCAATTTTTTCACACAAAACCCACGTGAATATCAAATTACAAAATCCCAAACCGATAGTAATTGATTTTTTTTTGTTTCTCGTCTTACATAAGCTCAATATCTGCAGAGGTAACTTTTTTAATATTTCCTTTTCTATATAACGCAAAAAATTGTTCATAATAAAAATACGGGTGTCGCGCAAAATCTATTATTTAATCCATATTATAATGTACGAGGGTAACACGAAATTTCGACGGTTTAAACTTTAAACAACGCTCGTTTAGCTTGATTTGCGACCATCGTAATTAGCCTCGCATAAATTATGTAATTTCGGTCGTCGAGGAGCATTTTCAGCATGCTTCGCTAAGTTTCGTGTGATATAATGCGATTAAGCATTTTTTTCTCCTAAGCATTAACCGAAGGAAAAAAAAGTTCTAGAGAAACCGCAACTTAAACGGTTTGCTCCACTTTTTTTTCGTGCAGATCGCTCAAATCACGCCGAAAGGTGTGTAATTTGAGAATTATGCACGGAGGTGTGGAAAGGACGGCGACTTTTCAACCGAAATATGTATTTGGTTAGATGATTTTTCGGCGTGATTTATAATGGAAACGGAAGGTTATTCGGTAGCTCGTTAAAAACTGCTTATAAGTAGAGGATACTCGTTAATTAATCGATAGATCGGCGCTCGATCTAAACGAGCACAAAAATATTAATCGCCGATTTCCATTGAACAAATCGCTCGCACCTCGTATAGGGATTTTTCAAAAGCCAACAGGTCGGATCGTTTCGCAAGAAAAACAAATAGAATTTTTATGGTTCTTATAATTAAATTAACTTTATGATTTATACCTTGAAAAAAGTTAAATGTTGTTGAAAAACTGCAACGAAAGAATGCAAGTGTGTAGGCACAATACTTATTATTGCAATTTATGTTTATTATAGTCAAATAACTATAAATCCTTTATATATAGGGTGTTATCAAATATTGCTTTGTTATTAAAAATTAACAAAATAACAAATAAAATAGAATGTGAGATGAGGTGCGCTGCATATTATTTTCGATAGATGGAGAAGAAACAATTTAACGAAGGCCGCACGTATATCAATTGAAACGTGAAAACAATAAATCAGATAGGATTAATTGAGTAATTGAGTAAAAATTAAAATTAACCAACAGCATTGTTAGGCGAATAAAAAAAATCCGATGACACGTTTCCGCGTCTAAAGACACCAACAAAAGCCATTGTTGTTATTGTTGAATTCTTTCATGACACTTCAATTTTAATTTCTTCCCTCGCCGGAGTATTGCCATTAACTGTTTATTTTTTCTAGTCGAAATGGCAAATATAATGGCACCTTCGAAATTTATGCGATATTAATGATTAGCGATTTTTCCGAGTCGTTCGATCGAGAAAGGAGAATATTAATAATACAACGAATAATTAAATAACACCGATCGTAATAGCGTTTAATTATGATGTTAAAGCCTACTTTCTTCGTTCGTTTTTCGCTCGGTTTTTATCGAATTTTGCAAATCTATTCATTGAAATCGTTTCCGCAGTGAAAGGTTATCCGTATCGGGATTAAGTAATGCAATTGCCTTCGATAATAATCGTATCGATTTTTATGGCAATGAAAATTGTACGGTAACAAATGATGTCAGTGCGTAATTAATAACTTTATATAATGATATTTTGTAATTCGTGAGGTGGAAGAATCCCTTGAGAATTATTATATGTTAGGATAAAGAGCTTACCTGAATGGATGAGCACGTGCAGAAGAGCAAAGAAGTCGCCAAAATAATCAAACGCTGTGCCATTTTGTCCTTAAACAAAAAAAAAACAATAAAAAAATCAATAAAACAAAAACAAACAAATAAACTGTCAATAAATTACAAAATATTACGGGAAATCGATATTTAATTATCGCGTTTAAACGATCCTACTACCGAGCGTTAGTTACTAAATGTCTAAAATAAAACAATAAAAAATAAATAAAGGAATATTAAAAAGGAATAAAATATTAATAACTATGATGATTTTATGATAAATGGCAAAAACTTGTTTTGTTCTTTTCTCATTCATTATCGAATTTGTCGCTTTTATTCGGTATCTTACGGAAAAATATGCGATATTTGTATTTGGTTTACCGGTGAAAATTTATTATTCATGAAATTATCGGCATTATATAATCACCAATCAGATCCGGACTGACTAACGAAAAATACATAATTTTTAAATATTTTTTGCGAACGAAAAAAAATTAAATGAAATATTATATACATAAATAAAAGAGACAGTGAAGTCAACAACGTATATTGTTGCTTTTTTTATATTAATATTAATTACTTTAATCATCCGATAAGAATCTTTAACGATTAGAGATAAATAACAGTTAAAAATGATTTTGTAATTTATTGTTTATTCAAACAATGAGACTTCCTCTTATTCGCGTAATTACTTTTACTTTTCAACTTTATTTGTGGGCTTTTCACGCCTGGTCTCCCGGCAAAATTAATCAATTAAACTACGAATATGAAGTTTTAATGAACCTTTCCGCGTATATTAAAATAATTTGACTTTGCTCGTTGGAAAATATAAAAACTGAAGCTTATTGGACTAAACACGCACGCATTTCTATTACATAATATTATTATTACCTTTTGTTATTCTTTGTGTTCGCTAACTTAACTGTACATTCCGTAATAACCGTTATACATAAAATTAATATTTATGGACTTGTCAGTGAAACGTAATATTAATATTATACATTAAATTGGAGTGGAATTTTCGTTTAAGGTTATCATGCGGAGGTGAGGATAATACACTTAGGTACATATTATGGTATCCGAGAAAAACTAGAGAGAACGAACAAAAAATTGCACTTACTCATGCCGAGACAATTACAACGAACGCGAACGTGACCGTTCAATTTTTTATCGGTTTACCGCAGAAGGTTAATAAGAATAAGGATCAAATGGACAAAGCTGCAACATTGCGAATTTACAGAAAAATCTACTCGAATTAATCAAGTAAATTTATGAGGGTATTACTCTAGAAAAATGGAGGAACTGGATAGATGATGGATACACAAGAAGCAACTGGAAGTCCTACAACCAGCAGTGGAAAAATTCAGGCTGAGGAAGAAGAAAAAGAAGAGGGAAAAGAAGATGATTACTGAAAATGAGAAAATGTCAAATAAGGTCAAACATTCTCAAAGAGCCATATAGTTGGAGATCATTTGATCAACGAAGTAATAAGTAGATAGCAGGATGGTATCAGACAGCGCAGGACGAGGAAATGTGGAATAGAATGGGGGAGGTCTGTAAATTAATTGGAGGAAAATACAACGTGAATAAAGGACTTTGAACGAAATAAAATACGTCTGATTCACGAGACCGAGCTAACGTTTTGCAAGTCGTGCGGTGGAATAAATTTACATTAAGGCGAAAATAACGAGAAACTGTAACAGTACCTCGGGCTCGCGGGATAAAAAATTGTTACCTACCTACTTTATGAAAGCAAATATTGCATAAGCAACAGCGATCCTTACTCTATACGTATTTTAGAAGCGCACTATTTCGGGGAAATCTTAAAGCACGGAACGGTTTCGTACTAATGATTCCTATGAGGTGAAAATAAACAATCTTGGCGAATTTTTCGTGATAAACGAGTGAAAATTCTGATTAGTAATTAGCGAAGTATTCGAAAGATAATTTTTTTTTTGAATGTATGTAGAAATTTAGTTTTGTGGTGAGATAATTGGCGTGCTGTAAATAACGAGCGTTGTCGCATAATTGTGTAATTGGTTTAGTAATTTGTAAATATATGATAAATATAAACTTCCACTCTCTGAATGATAATTCTGAACGTTCGATTTCCGTTCGACGGAAACGCTCGACTGGCCGATTCTTGGGCAATGGCTTATTTATTTTTCGTACTTACAGGTTTTTTTTTTAATTCTCATTCATTTCGGTTGCGAATTTATTGCCTTATGGATGTGTAGCAATCGTTTCACTGACCCTGACACCCTTGACAGTGGAGGCTGAAGGATGCAATGCTAAATGCTATCGAATTTTGCCAATGGTGTAGTTTGTTGTGAAAAAAAAACTGCAGAAATAATTGTGCACCGTTTGCTCAATTGTTGATTTTTAAAAACTTTTGTAATTCGCTAATTCGCTTACTTAACGTCAAACGTCAAAAGTTTGGCCTTTTACATCTCGGAAGACAACTCCACTTTTACTTACTTAACATCAAATATCAAAAGTTATGGTTTAGCCTTCTTGGAAAACAATCCCCTTTATGTCAACATGAAATTTCCTGTCTGTATACTAGTTTATTAATGTTCTTTAATTATTACTAATTAAGTAGAGTAATCATATTTTGCGAAAAATGCAGATATAAATGAGCACAAATTAGCACAATTGTTAATTTTTAAATATTTGTCATTCGCTTACATTACGTCAAACGTCAAAAGTTTGTCCTTTTACATCTCGGAAAACAATCCACTTTATGTCAACGTGACATTTCCTGTCTGTATACTAGCTTATTAATTTGTACAAACGATTTCTGCAAAAATCCATGCGAATATAATACAGTTCACCGATCTTATCCGGCAATTAATCAAATGTTCCGAGTAAAAAAAGAGAGAGAAAATGAAGATGTTAGCGATTCCGCCTGCGAAAGCAAGTAGCAACCTTGCCGGCATGAATGAAAATAAATTTCTATAATGAAGACGGGTTCGATTTGAATAAATTTGAAAATTACAATTCTAATTCGTAATTCAAGGCTGGCCAAAAAAACCGATCGAACGTTCGAAAAAACAGGTGTTAATACCTATAGAGGTGCCACTTCCTCGCTAGGTTACCGACTATTTTTAGTCCGGAATATTTTTTTTGTCACTGTACAGAAAATTCGAATTTCGGTGTATTAGATACACGGGGGTGCTTCGATATGTTTTAGGGAGTTGTTAAATTCCGGATTATCGGTTCACAAACTTGGCTAATTTAATAGAAACCAATCCTATTTTTTTATTTTTGTAAAAGTTTTGTAATAAAGGAAATATTAGCCATTATAAGAGGTTTCATAATTTGAATACCTGCCATGGAAATAAAAAAATGATTGAAAAAAATTGTAAACATTCTGCAGGACCGTAATTTAACGTTATGTAAAATTGTATACATTTTTTATTTTTCTCAATATTATTTCCCAACAAATTCAATTAATTTTACAAGTTAACTGCATGTTTGCAATGAAAAACCCTGTATATTTGAATACTCATATCTTCATATACTTTTTCAAGCAATTTCGAAGGTTTAATATATGTATTCGAATATCCGTATATTTGCGAAAATTAGTAAACAAGTTTAATTTAGAAATTCAGTAATTTTTCTACTACTATCTTCTCAACTATAAGCCAACGTGGTTATGACGTCACGCAGCACAAAACATAGCCATATTATACAAAAACTCACAATATTGACTAAACATAACTCCCAAATTTTCGAATTTATAACTCTTCAAGAACTCCTGAATGTTCTAACAGATGATTACAGTGAAAAGCACTGCATTATTTAACAGTTTATATCAAAAAATATTAAACATATACATCAAACAACCGGAAACGGAACGTCATCTTCGTGTACGCAAAACCTCTTCCTCGTCAGAATAAATTTTTTGCGCAAACAATACACGCAATGCCCGATTCAGCTTTGAGAAAATCACGACCGAGCGGCTTAATTAGATTCGAATCATCCTCAATCGTGACGGAAAATCATTGACAATCCCATCGTGACCGCGCCGCGTATATTGTAGACATTACATTTCAGCGATGCAGCTTTTTTTTCCTATTCCTCCGGAGATGATTCTCTCTCTGCGTACAACGAACCTTACCAGCGAGCTAAAATCGAGTGTGTCGATCCTAATCTGCATACACACCTATTATGAATGTGTGTAGGTGAAATGAAATTGAATTATCTACATACTGTAACATGTATAAATAATATAACATATGGATATTACGCCGGGATTGATTATGCGTTTTCCCGTAATTGTTTTTGTTTTTATTCTGAACTCTTCTGGTTATTAATAAATTGATTTGTCATTTAATTACGTAGGTATACATTGTAGATATTAATAATAAAACATTGTTTTTTTTATTATTATTATTAACTCATATTTTGTTTTTATTGTGTGTATATGTATAGTGCAATAATAAGGCACCATGCTGGTTGCGTCTAGCCGTATATGAAAGTTATTGCTTAATTTTAGTTTATTTTTTTACAGCAAATTACGCCTACCGAATGGGTTCTCACGCTCATTACAAATCGAATGCAATATATTTACGATTTTGTTTGATTTTGCTATTAATTAAACGAATTCTCGTAGGTTTCTACTTGCTAGAGTGAAGGACGAAAGACGATTTGATTCGTTTGCAAACTTTTAACTATCCGAATTTCCCTCGTAAATTATTACCAGTAGACCATGTATAGAGAGCTTTTAGTATCTAATTCTAATTCAAAACTGGTATTTTGGCGAATACGTATTTACCTATTGGCAAATCAATTGCGAATCGGTAAATATTACCTTTCTTCATGATGCAATTACCGATCGCTACTAGAAGTAATTTAATCAAAATTAATTAGAAATTGAAAATAGTTAGTACTAAGATGAAGGCTCGAGTTTAATATGTTATCTCTTGGATTAGACATTATGAAACTTGCGAGGAAATTGAATAAGTACGTTTTGGACAATATTAATAAGAAAAATCTATTAAGAATTAATGACCAACAAGCAGTAAATAAATAATAAAGAAAATTCTCCGGCGGTTTCGAAACCGCGCTATTTCGGAAATACAGCAATTATGCACAAAAAGTTTGGGCAATTAGTTGCAAAAGCTCAATTTCTATTTTGTTAACCAACCGGCCAGTCGGTTAGATGGACGTTAATAATTACAATTATTACTGTTATCGAAGCACATCGAAAATCGCATTAAAACGGCGGTAAACGAATAAGAAAAGGGTCCCATGCAAATATTTTTGGGCGCAATTAAATCCAGAATTTCTCGAAGAAAATCATCCTATAATTCTTTCAGCAATCGACGAAAGTAAATTCAGTTAGATTTCGCAACAGCACATATGTCGTTACGCGAGTTTTTGAGGACAATTATCGAAGATGGTGTTTCGAATTAGCAGCACAATAACGAAGGAAAAAACCTCTTGCGCATTATGCTCAATTTATAATTTTAATAATAATTCCCCATCACGTAATTCACTCATTACGGAAATGTTACCGTTGTTTGCGAAAAAAAAAAGTTTTAAAGCTTTTACTATACTAGTCTATTTATTATAACAGGTTAATTTGTTAAGGCTCAGCCTCTAATTGAAAAAGTTTATTTGCATTTCATTGATATGCATATTTCTACCCATTGTATTTTTTCTACACCTAGTTCAACGTACTATTAACAAAAAAATAGACTTGATTGATACTACCTTCTACTATTTCTATCAAATTATAAATTAGCCTGTCGGGAGTATAACTGTTCTCCGAGTAATAGATCGCTTTCGCTCTACCGTTTTGAAATCGCTTTATTTATCTAAATCGATCCAGAAATGGTCGTTGCTCTTCTCCGAATTTCCGCGGAATCTATTACCATTATTTTTTGCCACGCTTTTCGAGCGATCCATCAGCTAAGGAAATCAATGAGGTAACGCCGATTTATCACAGTATCGCGAATTTGATTCGACTCGACCGCAAAATCGAGCAAACCCGATTCGATCCTCGATCAATCGTAAATTCTTCCTATAGCGAAAATCACGCAATTTACGTAACGCAGATAAATCGATAATTGGAATTTTATAAGACCGTTTTCGATTGTTTATGTTAATTAACTTTTCTAGATAGATACTACATCGTTGTTATTAGTTGAGTAAGAGCTGGTAGTTTTAAAAAATACATTCGAAATGTATCAATAAAAAATTTGTTCAGTGCGATTATTTAATTAATGTGTAGTTATGAATGCAAAGCAGGTGGATTGGCCTTAGATCGAAACAGAAAAATCCGAGCGAGTGTAAAAGGACAAACAATTAATTATGATAATTACTGGAGCAACTTTAACCTACATACGTTATTGGAAAAATCGGATTTTATAATAACGCGTGTTTGTTTTATGCCAGCCGTTTTTATTCAACGTGCAGCAGGTATAATTACCGATCATTAGATCTGATGAATATTAATCTAGTTCGGACAATAAGCGAATTAGACTTCCAGGAATCGAAGGAAAAATCGCGTTTTATAAATCGAATAGAATGCATTTCGATTAAAATACCAGCATCACGGCACACGATGGGAATCCATGAACTAAATTCATTAAATGTATAAATAATTGTCCGATTAATCGGCACTAAATAATAACTCAAGGATTCCCCTTTTAGTATCCGTTTGATTTATTAATAATAATTAGCGACGCATCCATTGTCTTCTCTTATTTAATTTCGCGCGAAGTGAAAATGTTATTGTTGTAAACACCGTGATGCAACCAACAATGAGCAGGTATTCTTTATTTTTTTCGAAAAATTCGCGAACGGGAAATTTTGCAAAACCAGTACACCGGATATAATAAAGTCGAGGAAATTTTTTTCTCCTCCAAACCGACCGTTCAATCCCATTTAATTTACGTAATGCGGCAAATTAATTAGTTTAAAATACCGTTTTATAAACTCTTGTGCTCGCCAATTTAAATAAAATGGAAAGTTATGTGTGTAGGATACGCGCGTGTATATAGGGTTACAAAAAAGTTACATATTAATATTTTTCATGTTATACATAGTATACTAAAATTAATATGGTTTTTTTTATGAATTATTATTATACAATATAATTTTTATATGTATAGTTTTAATTTTTTTTAATTCTAATTAGTATTTTTGTTTAGTTAAAGAGATAAAACAATTAGAGTAAAATTCTTTTAGCCAGTTTCCCTTTCACTAACGCGTTAGACTTTCCAATAAATTCTCTAATCTAATCGGTCAGTTTTGCCATTTCAAAATCGAATTAAAGCCGTAGAACTTACGAAATATCAAATTACCTTTTTCGTATACGAAAGTCTCCAGTGAGATGGTGTGTGTGTGTATAATCTTCTTAATTTCTTACAGTAAAAAAAATATTTATCACAGATCACTAGCACCCGATTGGAATGGAAGGAAATCGAATCCGGCACACTCGTCGACTTTAAGGCGCGAACATCTTATTTTCCCGAAAAAATTTCACCCGTTTTCCGCCCAGAAAACGACGAGACTTTTAAATGTTGAACGATTACCGTGTCTGCTGTGCGACTATCGTTAGGTAACAGTCAAAAGTAACATTTAGAAAGTGTAGCGAAGAGAATAGACGCGATCGGCGTACTGCTGCTGGTACCACCGACTTCGGTTTATTCGCTTTGAAATTCGGATTTTTTTTTTCAGCCGCGGCCCGTGCTCATGACACTCGTCGTAATCGGTGAATGAAATTTCGGTTTTTGGCGGAGCCAAGAAATGCAAGTACCAAAGCACCCACCGTCGCGCTTATAGGTACTTATTTTCCGACGGCGGTGCGCCCGGTGCGCGCGCAACCCGCTCTTAAACAGCGCCATAGAGAGGGAAAGTTAGGCCTGTGGTGAAAGGAAAATTAAAGGACGCGCGAACGAATCGATACGATGGTGATTTACTCGACTTTGAAATCGAGAGCTGTCGGTTAATCGATTCGAAATAATCGAAATTACAATATTATTTTGGATTTTATCCTAAATGGCAGTTAAACGGATGTTTTAAAACAGATAATCGAGTTGCTTGTATACATAAATTATTCTTTTGTGTAGATAATTGGTTTAATTGAGTAGGTAATTATGTAGGTAGATAATTCACTCGCTTAAGATAAATGAATCACTCAGGTAGATAATTAATTCACTTAGATGTATAAAAGATTCAATCAAGTAGATACTTGATTCTCTTAAGTAGATAATTGACTCACTTAAGTAGATAAAAGATTGGCTTAGGTAGATAATTAATTCAGTTAGGTGGATAATAGGTGGATAAATGATTCACTGAGATAGATAAATCGAGTCACTTGGGTAGATAAATGATTCATTAAATGTAGAACTTTAGATAACTTTAGATATACTTACTTAAGATAGAAAATTGTATAAGTTAAATAGATAATTGACTCAATTAGATAGACATTTTGAGAGTAGGTAGGTAAGTTTTGAATGGGGATAATGCACCTTCGTATAATTAAAAATATTCAGGGATTTTTAAGCGATGCCACCCAGAGTTCGATAAAGCGATTTTGTACGAATATAACTACCTGATGTAAATTAGGAAAAATACAAAAAAAAATGTCTCTACGACCTGTCGTTTATTAATGAAAAATTAAAACGACTCTTAAACAATCCCGTTCGACAACAAAATTTAAATTCGCCGATTAATTCAATCGGTTGGGATTAAAATTGCGCTCTTTCTCACGGTGCCGGTTTTCCAGACGCGATTAATTCGACGAAAATATCGAAAGGCGAAGCCACATTTTGGACAAAAATCGAAACGAAACCGCCTCGGGGCCGATATTCAAAAAAGCCATCGCGAAATTTATCGCACGTAGATACGGTTCAACAACACTTTTTTCGGCGACAAAGTCCAAAAAGTCGATTATTCCGGTCCGCGAGAGGTCGCGGATTTGCCATTTTCGTTCGAAAAATTCGCACGCCCATCACCGGCGGTACAAATTTATGGCCGGTGGATACTCGGAAAAAAACTTCATATAAATCAATCGGTCCGAATGGTCAACTCGGTATATACCAGGTGAAGAACTCCGATGGAGGTTACGAGGATCGTAACTTCTACAGACACCCAGGCAACAATATTCCAATTGTTCGTACAATTTATGGAAATATTAGCATTTCAAAAAAAAAGCTTGTTTACATATTACAAGAATTAAAAGATGCGTAAAATTAAGCGTTGTTTTTGTCACCTTGGGTACAATAAGCGGCAAGTAAATCACGTGCAATAGAACCGATGATTCCGCTGAAAACTTCTCTTCCTACTCCGCAATTAAATTTAATAAAAAAAACTTTAATTTACGCTCTTCGAGGCTTCTGTCGTATAGGGGAATATCTAGCGGTAGAGCCAGTCAATGTCACGAAAAACCGCTGTAATAAATTTCTCTACGAGACGCGAACGCATCTCGGGCTATTAACTACATTGCCTGTAAATAAATGAAATATTTAATGTCCGTAATTTTCGTGGATTTGTCGTCACATCCGCTATCATTGCGCAACTTTCGTTCGATGTTATAATCGCCGCGGATGCCCTACTTGGCGTCTATTCATGTCAATGCAATAACCGAGTCTCTTTCACGCTTTAAAGCTGATTTTTTCATAATAATTCAATGACGGAAAAACGATTAGATTAAACCGATTAATTGGAATGCTTATCAACCAGTTAAATCTGGGCTACAAGCAATCACCGAGTACTCCAGTACATTTAAAAGTTGAGAGAATGATAGAAAAGGTAGATAGAATGACAGTAAAAGTAGTGAGAATGATAGTAACATAGGAAGAATGACTGAAAAAGTAGAGAGAATGGCAGAGAGAATGACAATAAAAGTAGAGAGAATGACAAGAAAACTAAAGACTAAAGGTAGGGAGAATTAAAATAGTGCCACATAAGACCAAAATTTAGCATTTTTCACAAGGTATATAGAAACAAAGAAATAATCTAAAAGGTGAATTAAAAAGGATAACCTTTTCAGGCACTGGGCGTATGCAAATTTTTAAAATATATTATAGTCTTGTTGTCTGGTGTAGCTTTTCAAAACGAGTTTTTCAAATTTCGATAATTAATTAGTCATTATCAAAGCTTGGATTTACTGTCAGAGTTTCCTTGAAATTCGGAATCGGTTTTAAATATAATTCCACTCCGACCGCAAATTTGAATACCGTCATAAATATGTGCGAGCAAAAGAGCGAAAAAAAAATGTTTTCAAGCCGATTAATGACGAGGAAAATTTCCTTCGATTCCCAATACAGCATACAGGACTGTAGTGATTCTTTGAATCAAGATATAACACGAATTACAGACTAATGGTAAATAATAATAACATTTTTTTCACAACCTTTAGGTATCTATTTGTTTGATTAATCGGAAAATATTTTTTTCAATAAAATCACTCGAGCAATAACAACTTTACTCGTATTGTTCTTCGTCTGGTAAATAGTAAATATACTAAGAATCATCGACATTAATGAAAATTTTATTGGCTATCCAAACAAATAAAATCGAATGCAAATAAACAAATTCTAAATGCAAAAAGATTTAATGACTGTTACATTTCATTCCATCAAGAATCTCTGTAAATATTTGTTGGGGATTAAACCAATTATGGTTTATCGTTAATTCCATTAGACAATTAACTTGCACTTTTTTTTTATCCATTACGTTCCCAAAACATTGCTAATGAATCGATTTAACTGCTATTATCAATTCGAACGAACATATTCGAGGATTCGGCTATTGTTAAAAAAATGTCTATTTGTTTATAAAGCTCTATTAATCAAATTTGTTTATATCGGAAAGAACAGATAAAAAAACAATCAGTAGCTTGTAAGTGGTGTTAGAGCTATCAAAATTTAATAGACGTTTTTGACAGATTAATGGAGATTATTATTATCCTTTATTATGATTGATAATCAGTTGTTGTTAACGAACGTTGTGTATTTAAGTGTAAAGCAGAAAAATATTGCATGAATGCAAAAATAGATTTAGATAAATATTTACAAGGTGTCTAAATGTATACTTTTGTTACCTGCATTTTCTACACAAAAAATATTTAATTAAGCTGTTTAAATTAAAGCAAGCACAGTTAGAAACGATACGCAGAACTTTTTTTTGCTGAAACATTTTAAATAATTTTTTATAAACATGCTTAACACATTTTTTATTTCATTCGGTATAAGATATTCATTATGATTGATTTAGATTAATGGCCGAAAAAACCACTTTGTGCTAAGCTAAGGAGAAAAAATTTGCAGGTAAAAAATACTCTCCACAGGTGCAATATGGCATGACTTATTTGTTTACGATTTTTTTTGGGTGCATAAATCATTCTCCACTAACTCTACTAACGGCAATAAATAAAAGAATAATTTGGAACCCAAACATATCAAATAATTTCATGCCGAGTAAATCATGACTCTCTTTCAGATTCTAATGAATAGTACAAAATACAAATTAAATTCTAAAATATAGGTACCTATTTTAATATAAAAATTAAATCAAATCTTCTTATGATAATATAATAAAATAACGCCCTTGAACTTCTAGAAATTGTCGAAAAGTTTCCTAAACGTGCATGAATAATGTAAACGATTTGTCATTTACACATACTGGTAAAGTACTGGTTTTTGGCAAAATTCTCTAATTTATTCTTACAGTATAAACATAAATTTATTGACTAAACCAGATGCGGACTTGATCTTACCAATAAAGAAACCATTCGATTTCGTGAATGGTAATTAAATGCTTCTCTTTGCTTTAAAATGTCCCCAACAACGTTAATATTTAACAATATTTTTGGGAGTGCATTGACCTGGACATGTAAAGCAAATTGCAATGACTTTTGTTGTAAGCCCAAAAACAACTCAAGAAGAGTCAACAAAGCACTAATTTAAATTCCAAGAAGATAGTAACACAAAGAATTGTCATAAGTTCACCGAACTAACCTTACAGGTCAAAAAGACCGTGCAATAATCATTATACATATAAGTTATTGCAAGTCTTGTTTTTCTTATTATTTTTCAAATTAAAATAATAAAATATAGTACTTTTATTGAGTTTTTTTTTAAATAGTAGATAGCATTATTACTACGTGATAATTATAAATTATATACAGTTCGTTCGTAATTAATCATTAATAACAATAAACATAAAAAAATGACAAAGTTAACTAAAACTTAACTAATAATCAGTTACATATTGGTGATTGGGTCTCCGCTGTTGCAGAGGAATATTTATATCCTCCGGCGATCTGTACACGTGCTGGGGTCTAAGCGTCGTAGGCGAGAGGTACTGTTGACGAGGTTGACTAGTTACACGTACCTAAAAAATCAAAAAACAACTCTACAATAAACTGTTTTTTCGAAAATCAGAAATGCACATTTGTAATAATTCAATAACGTACGGAATGCTGGTGGTGAACGGGCGTATCGTCGTCCTCGTCGTACCTCGACCTGTACTGCTCGGGATAGTACCGGTCCGAGTACCTCAGCGTCACGTTGGGCTTCTGCTGGAACTCCTCGAGGTTGAGCGGCTTGTAGAGGAAGTCGTTGACGAAGTGATAGTCGTGCGACTTGTCGCAGATGTTGTCGCCGCCGGGCGGCATGCAGATCAGGTGGACCTGGTGGAAGGTGAATCCCTCGGGACAGATCCAGGAGTGCCGGGCGTTCTCCTGGCAGTAGTGGAACACCTCGCAGCCGAGCTCCTCGTCGGCGTAGTAACCGGTGTTCTTGCCGTTACAGTTGAATTTCGTTTGCGGCAACAGAAGGCTCAGTCTGTCCGGTTCTTCTTCTTCTTTTTCTTCTTCTAGTTTATTAATTGCCTTCAAATGGAAATTTGTTAGTTATTGTTTTTTGTTTCGATGCAAGAATTGGTGGTTCAGCCACCAATATTTTAAATTGTGGTAAGAATTGACACTATTAATAAACCAGGTTCATCCACCAAATTTTTAAGTATATCTACAATTAAATTTATCCCTTTATGCATCCAGTTTCATATAACAGGTTGAGCTTTATAAGGTATTTATAAACCTTTGTTGAATACCCTTAATTGTATACAGGGTGTGCATACAAATAGTACAAAGATAAACTTCAAAAATACCAATTTTCTTCATTATTGTAATGGAACCACCCATTTTTTTCTGATTTATTGGAACAGTACATGCAGGTATACTATGTAGGATATTTCCAGAAATCTACCTATAATTTTTTTTGTAAATTTGATGACCAACCTGTAATTCTTCTCCGCGTCTCAGATAGTGCTTCTGGGGTCTTTTCTCCGGCACCGGCGTCGAGTACCCTTTCCCCACGGTGGTTCTCACCGGAATGGGGTAGTTCAAATTGGGCTGTACGGTGGCCTTCACCGGAATCGGCACGGGGTAGTTTTGATTAACGTAGGTCGCAGCTCGATTCTGACTGGCATCAGCATTACTGCAAAAAAAAATCCACAATTTTTCCACCGAAAACGCTCGCTCATCGCAAACCCCACCTGTCGTCGTCGTCCTCGTAGAAATCCTCCTCGGTCTGCCGGTAGGCCTCGGTGGGCCGGAAGCTCCGCTGCGTCTCCCCGAACCCTTTGCCCTGCAGGTGCTTCACCTGCTGGGCGGTGAGCTGCGTGTAGCCCGGACCGCCGGTCACCGCCGGCTCCGGGAAGCACTTCACCGCGGCGACGAGCACGCAGCACATCGACAGGTAGGTCTTCATCCTGGAAAAGAAACGGCCGGGAACTCGTCAGTTGGATGAGGCGGAGATCGAGACTGCGAGCGCGGCGCGCCGACGGAATCTCGTCTCGATTATCCGTTATGTCACTTAATATAAATGCGAAAAGAGAAAGTTTTCGGATCTATAGGGAGCGAGAAATAAGTAAATCGGTTCACCTGCTGCACGGGCGGCCCGAGGCTTTCCTGATACACTTCGATCCTGATGTATGCGAGGCGGTTACGCAAAAAGAGATATGCGGTTTCATTCATACGAAAAAGAAGTTAATAAATTCGAGCCCGGTTTCGTTATAAAGTAAAACTGGTTTTTCCTCGGTGTGCGTATGTGTAAAGGAGAACACGCCTTGCGATTATTCGGATTAATTCAAAAGTTATACAACGATGAGATCGGGCCAATTAACGAAATAAATGCGGTTTTTCCTAACCCATTGTGTCTTTAATGCGAGTTGCTCCACACAATCTTTTAATTAAACTACAAGATAAACTTCCAATTAATAAAAAAATGAGTACACCTAAAAATTCTATGATAATTGTGCGATTATTCGACACGATTTTACTCTAGTACATCTAAAAGTTAAGAGAATGGTACAAAAAGTAGATAGAACGATAGTAAAAGTAGAGAGAATGACAGAAAAAGTAGAGAGAATGATAGTAAAAGTAGAGAGAACGACAAGAAGACTAAAGACTAAAGGTAGGGAGAATTAAAATAGTGCCACATAAGACCAAAATTTAGCTTTTTTCAGAAGCGTTTTTTAATATTACTAAGAAGTTAAAAATATGAAGATAATAATTGTGCGATTATTCGACACGATTTTAGTCTGTGTGTATTACTTAATATTTTCGTTATGATGCAATATGAATATAGGTATAGGTTTTTCACTTTCATTGTAGCCAATTAAGATAAATCTAAACTGAATTTCAATCGCTAATTGATACGTTAATACTTTCTTATTATGTACTCGTTTCATATATCGAAAAAAAAAAACGGGTGTAATGGTTTCGTGCACTTTATAATAATGTAAATATATAGGTGTCTCGACTTAATGCGATAAATATGAAATTATTACTTCTCTTAATCGAAATTCGAATTATTTTAATTCATGGTAATCTTGCGATGATCTCATAATCTAATATATTGATTTGTTTTTTTGGTTCTACATTCATGATTTTAGATTGCTACAAGTAAATTTATAAAATTATTTATGAATCCTCTCACATTGAAATCACAAACGTGACATTACGAACCTTGCACAATATAAATAACAAGCCAATCTATGCAGTTTATCTCTTTCGATTCAATTATAATTTTATTTGAATTGAATTATATGATAATTCGACATTTCCAACTAACAATTCGTTCGGGCTTACTGTATATTTAACCAAATATTAGTCAATATCGGGTAGAGATTTTCGTATTGGAAATTGTGGATTTTTTCCCATCGACAACTATGTCAATATCAAGGCTAATGAGTTAATAAATATCCCAATTGGGCAATAACTTTTTAATTGACGAAACAAGTTTCACTGGAAACAACGAATTTCTTGTCGGAGCACGAAAATGGACTTTCTCGTTTTTTTTTATGCAATTATGTATTCAAATCGACGCGGTATTAGGTAGATAACGTTTCAACTGTGACCTCAAGTGTTATAAAAATGGATATACAGGTATATAATTTGTGGAAAGTAAAAGTGACTGAATATTGAACATCGTAATAAAATCCTCATCGCGTTATTAATTTAATTCTATTATTGTTTACCGTACCTGTACAATAAAATAATTTGTAATAAACAGATGATTGGTTAAAATAATTACTGTACTGGTATCAACAAATAAAAGTGATCGAATTAATTGCAGACATCTGTTCTTATAGAAAGTCTGATCTAAAATAATAACTCAGTTGATTAAATTCTTCTAAAATCTTGTAGAACCAAAAACTGATACAATACTTTATAAAACAGCCCAATTGTCTCGTTAAATATCAATTTACGAATGTTTTTCAATACGTTTTCGCTTTCTTCTCTCCTGAACGTCACATGGGATTTATTAATTCTGAATTTGTAAGCGAAATAACCGCACGTAAGTGCCACTTTCTTCGATTTACTTCAACAATATGTCGGCCGCTATTGTTACGCTTGGACGGTTCGATTTGTTCCAAATGTTCATTAAAATTTCTTGGGAAATTTTGCCAATTTAAAACAGCAAAATTGCAAGCAAAAAATCTTTAAATCATTGAGTAAGTACCGGAGTATTAAGCGTGTAAAACATACAAATTAACAAATTCCTCGTTAATCAATCAACGGAAAGTAAAGAAAGTATTAATGATTCTCTATTTAGTATTTAAATTCGCTGAAATCGATGACAAATATTATAATTGCTCCATTTGTCCAGCGGACCGCGATTTGCACTTTCCCACCTATTCATCGACAACTCTTTAGATTGCAATGGTTAATAAGAAATCGTTTCGCAAGCTCGAATTCTGCTCTAATAAAATACAAATTACTCTTTTAGTCCGACAAATTTATATCGGTAATGGGAATAAAATGCAATGCTGATTTTATTGCGATTTGTTATACATTTCAAACCGGTCATTATTCGTATGTTCATATCCCAATAAGGACTCGCTGGCATACTTTGCAAAATAAATAGGTGTTTTCTTAGTAGGTGAACGACCAAAATAGCGAGATGTTTTTGTGATATAATCTACGAGTACATTAAAGTTGTGAATCATTATGTTGTGAAGCCTCACATCACTTTGCTATATTGTGTTGCAACCGTTACATAAGCGGAAATTTTGACCTTTCGGCGCTAATTTGAAATTGTACTTTAAAAACTGATTAATTGCTTTTTTTAAACGAAATGTTGCTATCATACCGGCAAAATGATTGATTAAATGGATATTGAAAATGGCATATTTTTTGATAATCGTGTGAATTTTTTCCTCTCTATGTTCCCTAAAAATGTTTTTAAACAACTTAAAAAATAAGAAAAAAATAGGTAGAGAAAATGGATTCTCTTACAAACAAAGGTAGTGAAATAGTCTTCACATATTAAACTCTAACAGGTTAATAAAGTAATTAATGAAAAGGTTTTTTGCGATGGAACTTACTTGAATATCACTAGTTTATCACTGGCAGGCTGCACACCTGATTGCTAGACGATAACTGAATTATCTGCATAAGACTTGTTGCGTGAAAGTAAAAGCAGAGGGAGAGTAAATCTTGAAAAACTTTCGCGTGTTCTCCGTGCGTTTCGTCCAATAAACCGAGTGTTCCTCGACAATGAGCCATCAGCTAATAATCGGGGAATTGCACTGTTCCATTAAGAATTAAATCAATAAAATAATTTTCTATATTTACGGGTGTGTCTCGTGCAAGAAAGTTTATATTAATCTAGCTATTATGACACGCGTTTCGAAGTGAAGAAATAAAATTAGCATTTTAATCTGTACATTAAAAATCACCTACTATTTTTAACTTTTATAAACTATGCGTAATTATTAAGTTAATTATTAATATTACTCCGCATAAATTCCATATCGATTTTCATCGATCTAAAAGGTAGAAAGTAAATCAGCCGAGATTATGCTAGAGAAATCATAATCGCTGTCAAAACATCAATTTCCATTCTTCGTTCTTCCATTCTTCGTTCTTCCAAAACGATTCCGTTTGTACATTGTATGTATACGAGGATCACACGTGAACTTTCGCACGCGCTCCAAATAAACGCGCGCCGGCGAAATTAAGCCGTTAAAAACCGCAAAAATCCCGTTTGGGTGCAGTTCAGGAATCCGAAAAAAATCCGCCCGATCGCTTTCCATTCTAATCTCGCTCTGTGTCAATACGCGGATGATTTAATTTTTATCCGCGAGACAAAAACGTTTCGTAATCGGGCCATTGTCTACGACCTAACTAGGACTAGGAATGCCTATTATATGTCACAATATAGTTTTAATTATAGTTCGTTGGTAGTAGAATATTTTGGAATATTCCACTCCTAACTCACAATAAAACCCCGATTGAAAACCACACCCTGTAGTACCTACTCTAGGATTGTTTGGATATCGAGCATCTGTAAAATTTGACCTACATTTCGTCTAATCTAGCGCCCTGCCTCACCGCCCTTTATCTATTAATTTATTGTGAAACTAAGACAAACTAATAAAATTAAATAATAATAAAACAGGCATCACCCTCTGATACACCGAACCTTTCAAACACTATATAAAAGGGGACAAATAGGAATTTGTTACGCGATACAAGGAATTTCTGTTTCCTAGCGCAAGGGCATAGGGCTCTGGGTTACTAACCAGTGGCGTAAACCGCTCGAAATATATTATTTTTTATGTACTACACCACAGAATAAAGTCTTCAAAATTTTACTACTTAATTATGTTAAAAAGGTCTCAAATAAATACATTGTATACCTAGTATAATAGAGATGGAAGTGTGCGTTTGAGAAAAAAAATAATCTATTGGCGCCGCTGTGATAGGGCACAAGACAATTGGCAAACTATTCTTTCAAGGTCTATTAGGGGGCGCGCGAGGGGAGGCGGCCGTTCTGCGCAGGCATATCCAACCCTTAGTTGACTTAGGCTAGGGTAGCACAGGCCTAACGGAGGGTCGGTTTTGCAGAATGTTCGTCGGTGCTATACGGAAATGTTGTGAAAGTCTTTCGATACCAACATTGGAGTTATGTGATATCTAATGAGAAAGGTAAGTTTTTCGTTTTAATTTTTGCTGTTTAACGCGATAAACGCTATCTCGCTTCGAAGCCGGTTTTCTCGAACGGTTCGCTTTATTATTCGGAAACTATTTTGAATAATTTAATTTTGTGGTTGTTGTTGCGGGTAACGAGGATCGACGTGTCGCAAAATGTTATCTAAGATAGGTAATAGTTTTAGATTATTGCGTTGTAATTTGTTTATGGTCATTGTCGATTATAAGTGACAAATTTTGAAATTGTTGGTCAATTCGTTTAATTAAGGAACGAGGCGCATGTTTGAATTTATTTGCATTAATTTATTTTTAACACAATCCAAAAACATACATATTTTTTGTTTGTTTTGAAATTGTTTATTAATTTACAGTAGAAATATTGTTAGAATGAAATTCGTATTAGGTTTTTAGGATAATATTTACAAACATACAATATTTAAAAAGGATTATTCTCGTTGTAAATAACCGTATAAATTCCTTGTAATTATTAAACTAATGTAATCTGTTCCAAAAAAACCATTAATAACCCATTATATTTGATTCGAATTATCCAATACAAGTGCCTTCGGAGATTTTCTTCATTGGAAAGTACAACAAAAGCCGGATGCTGGCTAAATTTCTGCAGGTACCTGCCCTAACAAAAACCCTCTTTCTTGCAATTTCGACTTATTTCGACCCTCCTCTATATTTACCCTCTGTCCACCGTTGCCGAACCCCATCCCTAACCACCGCACGGAATTCCATCTCGATGGGTAAATTCGCGAAATCGACAACGCCGCCTCTCTCCCAATGTCCTTGGCCTTCAGGATCAATTTCCCAAAAACGTTTTCGTTTTGGCCCTGTGGCAGCGTTCGCGTTACGTGTGCTCTTATTTTTATCGATTTCGGGGCCTTTTCCAAGAAGTGCGTGAGGGCGCGTAAAACCCCTTGAACAAGACAGACAAGGACGGACGGAATAAGGACATAACTGTATCTGGAATATTCGAAATGCCCCATCCACCATCATCGACGATGATAATGAGCACCTACGTTACCGGTATACACCTACTAAAACCACTCGGTTAATAGTACAGTAAATGTCGACTATTTTTGTTTTATATTTTGTCAAAAAATATCTAAACTTCAGTACAATGAAGCAATCATTGTCTAAATAGTGTATTCTTGGTAAGATCCTGCAGGTATGCGAGGGTGGGTGTAAATTTCGGGCAAATAAAAATCAATAGGGGCTTCCCCTCGTCCGTTCTATTAGTCTTCTAATATTGACTAGCCTACCAGAAAAGGGCCGTGAATGTGCGTACGCGTCCCGTTAGAATACGTTTTTTTTTTTATTCTATTTCAACGTGGTGGCAATCCTGACCTACGAGAACAACATTTATTAGGGCCCCGGCATCATCCGCTGCCATCCAACCAGCGGCGTCTTATCGAAATTCGTACTGCACGCTTTCACGATTCGATTTACTTTTGAAATTAAATGGGCTATTAATTGTGCGAGCGGTTTTTACGCTGTGAAATCTGGGCGTTAATCGCGCGCCCGCGACGGATTTATTAGCGTGAGAGGCGTTCGGTGGTAAAAATTGGAAATTATGGTAATTAGGTTCAACCGCGAGCACGCCAATGGGTTTTGGGTTGAGATAGAGCCGTACACATGGCGGCCTTGAAGCGAGGGCTTTTCTGAGAATTTCGGATTAGTACAGTTTTTAAGTGGCTACTCCTGTTTCGGTTGGAATGGAACCATCATTCAGAGTTGAAGATGATTTAGCGGAAATTCGTGGGCCATCGATGTAAATAAAAAAAAAATAGGTCGATTCCATTAGCTTCCTTTTTGGACTTTTCTTTAAATATTAAGCAAAAATTTCACAAAAACCAGTAGATAAAACACTTCCAATTCCGTCAGAAGTAGTTATAAAACAAGATAATTTAAATACATTTTATGACAAAAATTACTAGAAAACTTGTCCACACAGTACCAACCGGATTTTATTTTCGAAATTCAACATGAACAAGTTGCAAGAAGCATGTAGTGCAATTTTAAACCGGTCAAAATGCAACGAGTAAAACCGTACAAAAGGGCAGGTAGATAGAAAAAGGGCACATTGTGCGTTTCCAAACAAAACTAGGGATAAAGAAGACGTCCCATAGCAATGTTATTGAACGGCAAAGTTTAAAATATTTGAGTAAATAAAGATGCGAAGTGCAACAATAGTATTTGGATGGTTGCAGTTGTTAAATTGCAGGTACAGCGGGTATTTTATGGTTTCGTCGAAAAATTGAATTTCGTTCAACACTTTCTAGTTTCTCGGTCACCACCTTTTTCTGCACCAGATGGCAAGCCGGCGAGTAAACGAGCAGAATTTCTTTATCTGATTGAAGTTAAACATTTTGACCAATATCAATTTGTCAACCTCTCATTTTCAGTGACTTTTAATTACCAACCAATAGTAATAAATGTTTTTTTTTGTCAAAAAATATATGTCAATACTTCAATTGAACTCAGGTTATAATTCGAAGCGTCAATCTTTCATACTTTAGAGAGAAAACGTCACAGTGACAATTCCGAAATAAAAATTTAAGTTTATTTACCTCAAAATTCATGTTGTTACGCTGAATACTCGTCAGAACCGTTTACGCTACATGTAAATCATCCGTTGGTTTTTTTTTGTGTTTCAGCCAATTCGTTTCACAACCACAACCGCCATAGATCCATCCGATATATAGAAAAACTCGCAACAAAAAGAAAAATGTCTTGCCTTACATCGTCAAGTTTCTCCACTCCAACGTCCTCAAGTTTACCTCTCAATATTGGTGCTAGTGCTCCCTCCGATTCTCCCATCGATAGTTTTATAACGGACATCATTTCGGTAAGTAAAACACATCAAAACATTATTCGATTGTTATCTACCACGCATTTCTCCACCAGGCTGTGAATATAGAAGACGGTTCGCTATGCGGGAATTGCGAAGAGGGCGCTTCCGCATTTTCAAAATGCATGGATTGTAGCGAATTGTTATGTGATACCTGCGTTCGCGCCCATCAACGGGTCCGCCTCACCAAAGACCATCGCATATCGAAATTCGGCAGCGCCGCCATCACGCCGCCTCACACCACCAACGGCGGATCGTTGGAAACCTCTTCACAGGTAATAACCACATACCTACTCCATTATACAAGTACAATAACACGCGTTATTCACCAGGTCAGCACGAGCCCGTGCAACAATACCATCGGCAACATGTGTGATAGCCATCGCGAGCCCAACAGGATATTTTGCCAGACGTGCTCGGTCCCGACCTGCACCGAATGCCTTTTGGAGGACCATTGCGGCCACCAGGCCACCTACATCGAAGACGCCATCCAAACGGCCAAGATCAACAATCAGAAATTGATCAACGAGACGCGCACCGCCATCGTGGCGGTCCGGGAAGCCGTCGATAACGTGCAGTGTATGTCGGAGAACGTCGAATTGAGGTGCATCCAAGCCGCCACCGACGTTCGAACCGTTATGAGAAGGTCGGTATTATTTCTTTAATCTCGTAGACCTGGTTTAGAAAAGCATGTATTAATCATGTGATTATTTGTGTAGGTGTATAGCGGCATTGGAAGAGCGCGAAGTCGAGTTGCTGAAGCGCATCGATCAAACGCGCCAGATCAAAGGCAAGTTGCTGTTGTCCCAGTTGGAGAACCTACGCGTGGCCCTGTCGAAATTGTCGTACACGTCGGATTTGCTCAGCGAGACCATCGACATGACGAACACGTTCGAATTGATAACGATCAACGAGAAGGCCACCAACGAATTGAAGCAAATCCGCGCCCTCCGACCGGAGCTCGTGCCGTGCGAAGACGACGGTATAATGTTCCTGCCGCCCGACAACGGTTTCCTGCGTGCAATATCCTCCATCGGCAATCTAACTCTAAGCTCGTCGCTTATGTCTTCGAGAGTGGTACGGGCTCCGGTCGTGAAGGATCCGCAGCTGTTCGTGAAGTTGCCGCGCTGCGACAACAAAGAGGACCAGCTGAGGAACCGGCCCATCTACGGGGTGAAGCACGTCGTGGCCAAAGACACGGGGCCGCTGCCGTCGCTGGCGTTCGGCACCGAAGGCGAGGGCGACGGCCAGCTGTGCAGACCGTGGGGCGTTTGCTGCGACCACGTCGGCAACATCATAGTGGCCGATCGGAGCAACAATCGCATCCAGATATTCAACAGTTGCGGCAAGTTTTTGTACAAATTCGGCGTGCAGGGCACCGGTCCCGGCCAATTCGATCGGCCCGCCGGCGTGGCCGTCAACCACCAAGGTCACGTCGTCGTGGCCGACAAGGACAACCATCGAATACAAGTGTTCAAATTGGACGGGACGTTTGTGCTGACCTTCGGCGAGAAAGGTACTCGCAACGGGCAATTCAACTATCCCTGGGACGTGGCGTGCAATTCGCTCGGCCACATCGTGGTGTCCGATACGCGCAACCATCGGATCCAATTGTTCACCAACGACGGCACGTTCTTGAACAAATACGGCTTCGAGGGCTCGTCGACGATGTGGAAGCACTTCGATTCGCCGCGCGGCGTCTGCTTCACGCCCAAAGGCCACGTCATCGTGACGGACTTCAACAATCACCGGCTGGTGATCGTCGACCAGCACTTCCTGCAGGCGCAGTTCCTCGGCCAGGAGGGCTCCAGTTTCAAGCAGTTCCTGCGGCCGCAGGGCGTCGTCTGCGACGACGAGGGCAACATCGTGGTGGCGGATTCGCGCAACAATCGCATCCAGGTGTTCGAGAGCAACGGCAACTTTCTGTGGAAGGTGGGCCAGCCGGGCAAGGGGCACGGCGAGCTCGACCGTCCCAGCGGCATCTGTTTGAGCCCCGAAGGTCGGATCATCGTCGTGGATTTCGGTAATAATCGGGTACAAGTTTTTTAGAGCGATATTTTTTTATGGCTAGGCCAATATTGTTTTCTGTAGTTAGTAATAAGATTATATATATACATATAACTGCTAATGCATTTATTCAATGTTTTTTATTCGTTTATTTTGTAGATGAAAATTGGGAGTAACTTTGGGCGTTACTCGCCGTTTGTTTGATAGATATCTACTACATATTTTGTCATTTCTAAACTGTTTTTTTTTGTTAAAAAATTTGCTTATTTTGTGCAAAAGTGATTGATCTAGGAAGTTTTTTTCCCGGAGACTAAACATTGATAATTACCCCGAATAAGTCTGTTTTATTGAGGTGCTTACCTAGTGATTTACATATACATATGTATTACTTTTTGTGACGATTAACAAATTTATTGTACCTACATACTTTGGTTTTGTTAAAACTAATTTGCGCTTATTGTATTTTTTTTTATTATTTTCCAACAACTGTTTTTATTTGGACGTATACCGGACTGTTTAGCACGCTCTACTAGCATTTACATTGTGCCATAATCACTTTGATTCGGATTTCCGATATTGTTTCGTGTTAAACCGACTTGTATAAAAAATCTTAATTTTTAAGGATATTTGTGAGAAATCGTGACTTCTCAAAAACACGCGTGATTACATGTAATGATTAAAAAAAATATTTTTTTTCGCTAAAATCAAAATACGAATATTGGGGTCACAGTGACTTAAAAATGCAATTTTTTGTGTGAACGGAATAATTTCCGCTACTTCCTATTTGAATTGAATCGACTCGAGGAGAAAAACCGCTGGGTTGTTTGCGAAGCAGTTGAAACTTCAGTCAGAAATATATTTAAGTATCTAATATATTGATGTTTTTTGTAATATACGAATCGATTACGGGTATTTTAAATGAATTGATATAGCTGTGTGTTCCTGCAAAAACTCCGAAACCTTCTGAACTTGTGTATACGCTTAGTAATTACATTTCGGCGTTTTTGTCGGAGCAGCCCTTATAAAATTATTGCTAAAGATGATGCTATTGAGTTAATTACTTAGCTAATAATAATAATAAATAGACTGATATTGTAAGTAAAAGACTGAAACTGAATCTCAGGTATTGTGGATAATCAAGTCACTTTTTCATGAAGTTGTACCAATTGATACATGTTGACAGTTTATAAATATTCATATCAATGTTGGCAACGCTTCAACTGCATCAAGTTGAAAATAAAAAAGTGGCAAATTATCTGCGAAAAGTAATAATCACTGAATTTTTTTTAAATAATTTTATATAATATATAGAATAGTTACCATTTTGCAATATTTAATGGCAATGACTTAAGAGACTGATTGCACTCTTTAAGACTGATATTAGTAAAATCATAGAAATTAGTATTTAGATAAATTTTTTATTCCTATGGATGCTGTGTTTTTGGCATTTAATGTCACAATAATTGCCAACTTAACAGGCCAATTGAGACCGGAACGCGGCCTTTAATGGATGAAGGACTGAATCGGAAAAAGAAACTTCGATTGTAATTTTTTTGACTACCGAGCCTGTTTCATATTGTATTTTAAAAATATGAATATGAGTATAATGTTTTCTTTGCATAGATACTTCTGATGTCTGACTGAAAAATTACTTTCGTTATTCTATGGCAAAACCAATTATGATTGTATCGAATATTTTTTAGTGTAACTATACAAATTCAATTTAAAATTCTACAATTCTTTTATTAACTGTAATTTTGTGATTGTTAATTTATTTCCAATAAATTCATTTTGACAAAACGAGTTTTTATTATTAATAGTAGGTAACCGTATTTTGGAGCATTTTTCAATCAATACAACACGAAATAAAAATTTCACTGAATTTTTTATATTACATAATAATAAAATACAAATAATAAATATAATACTTAGGTTAACATCGACATAGTGAATTAAATTAATGGTCCTGTGTCCCTAGTTAAAATGAGAAAAGGAAGTAAATTGGACGAATAAGCGCAACAGACGTTTTTCTTCGGCAAGTTGGACACTGAATACATTTTTTAGATCCTTTTTTCATGATATCAAATTCATTAATGCAATCCAAACAAAACAGGTGACCGCAGCCAATATGGCGGAAATTTTGATTTTCAATAACACGACAATTGCGACAGCAATACACATCAATGGTTGTTTCAGTTCCTAAAAACATATTTTTTTAATTCAAATTTCCTATGAGAATCCCAATTTTATTGAGTATTTCAAGTTATTTTAAAATTACCTTTTTTCACACCAATTGCTGCACTTACAATCTTCATCTTTTGGAATATAGAATTGGTAACGAACGTGTATAAAATTTAATAAAACAAAATAACATAGTAACAAATTACCTATACACTACAAATAAAATAGACAAATTGCTATGAACGTATGAAGATTCAAACAGGTATTAAAATTTTTAGACTTTTTATTCAACATTCTTTATGACTTTCTTTTATAGACAACCTACAATAATAATAAATTTAGATCGTTTAATTTACTTGGTAATTAATTTGAGTAAATAAACAATAAGTTAAATATAATTTTTATTTAATATGATGTAATACATGCCAATTCTCTCATTGCCTTTAGTATTGTTAAAATAGAAGTAGAAACCTTGTTTGGACAATTTTATTTAAAACCGGTGACATCATTACCAAACTATTTTAACTCTACTATACACATACTGCCAATGAGTTCAACTAGTTTACGCGGTTGTCGGCTCGGGACAATCGCTCAATTCGGCATCCAGACACTTCTTATTGCCGGTATCGAAATATCCTCCGGCAGCGCAGGTTCTCAACTCCGGCTCGTAGTAGGTCCAGAATACGTAGGCCTTCTTCTCCACGCATTCGTAATACTGATTGCAAGCAGGAGCCGGATGGAGCCCGGCCGCTTCGCAAGTCGGTGGGCCCGTTGGTCTCGGCACTGCAGGATTAAAAATCAAATTTGTTCGAACAGTAAATGCATTGGAAGGTTCTCGACCAGCTCGAACCACCATCGAAAAAACTTAGCACTAATTGATACCAGATAAGTTCTTACTCACCAGGTGGTTTGCGGGTTGTTGGCGATGCGGTAGTAGTAGGTAGTTCTGTAAAAATGTCTGTTAATACAAAAAGAAACTTTCAATAAAAGAAACCCAATTACCTGTGGTAGGCTTGACTAGGACGCACCTGAAATGAATCGAATTGAGCCTGGCGTAGATAAAATATTGTATGGTACTTACGGGTGATCGGTGGAATCGTCGCAGAAGTAGGTATCGGGGCAATGCAGCACGATGTTGCTGAGTACAGATAAATTATCCAAACTCGAGCAAGTGGTGAAGGAGGAGTCGCCCGTGCATTGGATTCCCGTGGGTTTGCATTCGATTTTCTCGTCTGTGAGGTACAGTTCGAAGGACAGGCACGGTAAGGTCACGCAGAGGAACACCTGGAAATTGCGCGGTTTTTACAAGCGCTCGTCACAAGTTTAGATCGTGGTGTAAAATCGTTGCATCAAAGTTTTATAGCGGGATTAATTTTATGTCAAGCACGAGAGAGTGATGTAAACTTTTATAGTTCGTTAGTGATTAGTTCAGAGTAAAATTACGCGCAATTGGATCGTTAAATTGTATCGTAAATCCAAGCCCACAAGAATTGATTTTGTAAATTTTCAGTAATTTAAATTATTTTGGCTCTTCAAAAACTGCTAGCATTGCAGGAGAAATTTGCACAATGGAGAAAAAATTGCTCTATTTAAATGCACACATTATCTTAATACTAATTACAAATTATACAAAAAAAAATGCACTTACAATCGAAAAAACATTGGCACTTTTCATCTTTCGAAGATATTACGCAGATTTTCAAAATTAAACAACCCGCTCGGAGCGCTTTTAAAACTCGCAATGATTCTGTTCTGTCGAATTCTTGCTTTATTAACGCCTAAATCAGTTTCTCGCACGTCAAATATTTACAAAATTTATGGTCAAATGATTAACGTTCTAATACAGATTATGTTTTTCGTTATCCCTGTGTTTAATCCTCGCGCTGTTTGAACTCGTTTATCCGTCTAATAAAAATACCTAAATGATTTTATTGTCTTTATTGCATGAATTTTTGTAAGGCGAAATTCGAGGAATATGTACTTCCACTATATCGCTTTCCATTTGATAGTTTTTTTATTTTTATTAAAGCATAAAATATATTATCAGTCAATAATTTTTGCTAGCATATAAGGTTGTAAGTTATTATTACAAATTCATTGAAAATTGTAAAATTTCTTGATATTACGCCACATTCCTGCATTATCAAATTCAAATAAGATACGTAAGATTAATAAGAAATTGTCCTTTTAATTAAAATTTTATGAAATTTTAAAATAGCTCATTTTCGGTGTTTGCAATCAACCTTCTCGACTAAAAAATAATGCAGTTAAAGTGAATCTTAATTTCCGCAAATAAAACTGTAAAATAGCCATAAATATTTTTTATGCGTTAGGGTTTTATTGCATAAAAGTACCGACAAGTTTCGCATGTTAGCCATGTTTTGTAAATACCTTTATAAGTATACGAGTAGTAGTTTGTGTTGCCTATAGTTCAGGAAGAATTGAGAATAAAATGAGGAATAAAAACATCCTTTATTGAATAAACTTCTCATACAGTTTAAATCACAATGGTAAAAATTCGTTTAACAAATATATCCAGGTAATTCCTAGTAAAATTTTCTATAATAAGAGAAGAGAAGGTAAAAGGCGAAGTTAACAAAGTGTTAATTTAATAAGGCATAATATCTTCTTTATTTGGATTTAATTGAAGAGTATCGAGATAATAGTTAAGGGAAAAATCCACCGAATTAACTTTTATTAACAAATACTATTTTACGATTAATTATTGTGCACAGACATTTAAATATACTTAAAAATTTTATTACAATGTATAAATATTTGAATATATCGAATACGTATATAAATTCTTTTCTCGTTAACAACCCTTCCTCGTGATAAATTATTTTCTACATGATTGTCATATCCACTCTTTCCACAATTATTACCTAATAATACCAAATCCAATCAGTCAAGATTTTTGCATCAACATCAATAATTACAGCCGTAACAATCACTCAAAACATTGACATCCCATCCCAATCATCGACAACTCCTTTATTGTCATCGAACAAGTTACCCAATAAATATTTCAATGCCTGTGCACTCGTCTGTGGTAAATCCTCTCCGGTGAATCACCCAGCGCGCCGCCAACAGCCTTCCTCGGATCGCAGGACGCCCTGGTCTCTAATATCAGCGGCTGCCTGCCGTCGGTCACTATGGAGTGCCTTCTGCCGCCCTCCAGCACGGCGGCGGGCCTGCCGTCGACGACGGGCACGTACCGGGTGGTTTGCATGGAGAGCCTTCGGCGCAGGAACACCCCGCAGGGAGCTACCGATCGCGCGGGAAAGGAGCTTTGTCGGTGCAAGGTAGACGGTTTGTTGTCTACGAAGAGAATCGACGGGTAATTCGTGATGGAGAGTAATGCGAAATAATGATCAACAATAGTCATGCAAAGTTTAATGTAGTTATGATTTGTACAGAATGAGTTGCATGTGTAGATGTTTGATGTGTATGAAATTTGTATGTAATAAAATAATGAAGCGATCGAAAGGGTGGATTGGATCAATTTGGTATATAGAATTGCAATAGAACCTGCTTATATACCTCGTTGTACCAATACATCCAAAAGAAGAAGCAAATATACGCAGTGTGATCTATGCCATAGAATAGAGAAAAGGAAAAACGTTTTTACCATCCAACTTTCTACACGAACACAACACAGAGATAACCACCGGCATGCGCTCTACCTTCACTCGAAACGCATCGGTGGTCTGGACACCTTCCTACCCAATTGTTTGGAGTAGAGGTTCTCCTCGGGTAGTTCCAGTATGGACTCGCGGCGCACCATCTCCTTGCGCTGGTGCTTCATGACGGTGAGATCGGCCAGCGAGCACTTGCGGCTCAGCGAGTTCTTGCCGTCCTTCTTCTCCGGCTGCCGCTTGGCGCGGTAGAGCTCCAGCAGGGCGGCGGCGAGCGAGCCCATGAGGACGATGCCCACCGCGTAGTTCACGATGGCTGGAACTGGAAAATTGCGATTGATTGTAAAGCGGTTTTTTAGTGTCGTGTTGTTCAGTACCTCGTTCGTTTACAGGGTGTCCCGTTTTAAGAATGTACGACTTAATTTTTTTTTTGGGATACTCTGTGTAATTGTTTTGATGAAATCGCTCAAATGAGGTAATAAACTTTATTACACTAATTAACTATTACACTATGATTATTTGAGGGTTTCGAACGTATTAGGACGTATACCTTTGGCTTCTTTTTTTGTTGGCATTGTTAGGATTTTCTTAGGGATTTTGTGTTTGTTAATGTTGGAGAAATCTTCGGGGGTGCATTGAGTACCCCAGGATGTCACCTCATCGCTAATATCCTTTAGAATTTTGATGTCGCTGGGTTTCGGGCAAGTCGAAATTATACTGATTTTTTTCACTGGTTTAACCTGCAAATGTTCCACTGTAAATGTATATTAAATTCTACAAAATTTGCGTACCTGTAGGATTTTTTGTTCTGGAATTTTCCTCGGTAATTCAACTGGTTTTGGTAGTTGACCGGCTTCCTTCCGGATGTTCATTTTAATCGAATATTCGGCCAAAGGTAGCATAAATGCCACTACTACTACTACTTTTATTATTACCAATAGCACCGGAAATTCATCTGAAACGATTTAAAAAACATCTCATATGTATACTATCAACTAACTAAAGACATAAAAATTACACTAAAATTGCCGAGAAATTGTAATATCAATCAAAGATTAGCTTTATTCTATCTACGTATAAATGAAAGAACAAATTACCTCTAATAAACAAGCCATTATTCCTCTCCTCATCGTTATTTGTGTTTTCAACGTTTTCACCACCGTCCGTCATGTTGCCGGAATGTTGTTTCAGCAAAAATATATTATCAACACCTTTGGAACTCTCCTTAAATAACCGTGGATCATTCTAAACATCATGCATTTAGGTAACTGATGTAAATCAATAACCAGGAGCAGAGGGAAAGACTGAATTTCACCGATAGCGAAGCGCAAGCGTCGATTGTTATCTATCTGCGTATTTCGTGGAATATGAGGGGAAGATTTGAATTTTCCAAGAAAGGGGGACCACAGCAGATTATAAAATTTACCTGCTTTTGATGTAAGAAACAATATGTTTAGCGTTTCAAGTAGCTCATGAACTGTAATTTTAAAATAAGAATTACCCTGCGATCGAATGCATTTTGAGAACGAAATATTTCGAACGCTCCGTATACACATCGACCTTTTTTTTTAACGTACTCCAAACACCTGCCCGTCAGCCGCGATATTATTAATTGTTTAAATATTTATCGCAATAATGGCATGTAACCTTTATGCTCGCGATAAGAGCGCCGCGTCTGATAACGCCTGACCCCCGATAAACCTATGGTTCACCTTAATTTGTATTGTGTCGTTTTCCAGTTTTATTTGTGAGTACCTGTGTTACGTGCGTGCGTGTACGCGCGACATTCGCAAATAAATCGGTACCTATTTGAAAATTTCCTGGTCGACACGTCGATGAAAAGGCGTTTTCTCGTTCGATTTTTCGCGATTGGTTTTAATCCGCCGGAACGTTGTGATTCATGCGAACGATGAATGCGGTACGTATTTTGAGGAAAATTTCGGTGGGTTTTTTTGTTGCAGGAGAATTTGCGATCTGGAATCAGGTGGAGTGGAGTTAGAAGGATTTTCGTTCGGTATTTTTGTTTTTATTTTGTCGATTTCGCTTCCATCAAACAACACATGCTTTGTTTATCGACTAATTCGGAGTGGGTATTTAGAGATTCTTATCATTCTATTAAGATTTTCGTTTAAAACGTAAAAATAAAATATGAAATTATTAAAGAAGTTATGGAGTTTATTATGATTTAATTAGTATAATTGAACTCATTTATTTTATTCCTCGTAATTTTTGACAAATATATTTTGCATATTACGATGTTTGTTTTAAAACTTTTGCTCCTCCTGTAGTGTAAGTAATTAGTTTAGTAATATTTTAATCGAGTTGCTGGAAGTCATTTCGATAATTTATCTTAGTATGATTCAATTTGCATACTTATCTGTTCAGACAGTTAGTATTTGCTCAAGATTAAAATCGTGTTTAATAATATTACTATTTTTAAATAGATCGAGTTACCTATAAATCGTTTAGCTAGAAACCAACAAAATTGATAAAATAGATAAAATTTACAATCCAATCTACGATGGTTTTCCCAATTTTAAGGATTTACGGTAAATGGACTTTACAAGAGTTTGTACGACAAAATTATTGCAATGATATAAACAAATCCAATATCTGTTTGTTTTGCTTATTGCAGCGAAATACGTGAAATGGGCATAATCACGTTATGCTTGTGGTAAAATATCACAAGCATTCTGATTAACCAGCAAAAAGTACCCACAGCGTCGTGTGCATTTAAACATTTTCTGTAGAAATTAGAAATAATTACATAAATATTTATTAGAGTTTTCGAGAAATTTCTGATGCTTATCAAAACTAATTTGATTAAGTGAGTGAGATACTTGAAGTGATTGATGCGCTATCAAACGACAATTGCACAATTTTTGACATGTATCAATGACTGTTGACATTTATCCGATTTAGTTTGGCGCACCGTGTAGAAAACGGGGGCATCAATTAAACCCGATACGCTTCTATCGTCCGTTTTAAAACAAATTACATCGGCGCAAACGACAACGAGAAACCTATTTATAGAATTCGATACATCCGCGGTTTGGTTTGGACTTGCCGCGTTTTTCCGTGAAAAGGTGCCGGGGCTATTTCGAAACCGGGGAACGTTTTTAGACCGCGAGGTCGTCGCAGGTCATGGGAGCCTTAACTTTAACCTATGCACTCGCGTCGCGACGCCGGACGTCGCACGGCGAATGCCGCCCGTGGCGTCGGAATTTCGGACGGGACGGGCTGTCGCAGTGCGCGGAAAAAGGCCGGAAAATTCGGTGCTCCCGTCGCGGGATCGGTGATGAGTTTGTTTTCAAAGTTTAAATTGTACTAAAAAGACTCGATATTCGTTACAAAAGTTTTCGTTTGTAGTTATAGTGGTAGGTAATTTTGTTCCTTATTTATACCTTTCATTTGCATTAAAACTACTTTCTTCTAGTGTCTACTAAATTAACAACTAGATTTAAATTTCCCATTCGAACTTTTTAATTTGTTTAATACATTGACTCACCCTGTAAAAACAAACGCAAACTTACTTCCAATTTACAGCAATCTTCTCCTAATCGAAACTCAACTGATTCGCTTAATAAAACAGAGATGTCGCTGCTTGTTCGGACTTTTCTGGTTCTGTACGCTCTGATTTTTTTTCTAATTTTTTTCCAGATGGAAAACGCGAAATATTCCAACGAAAAGCCGCACGAAAAGTTGGCGGTACCGAGCAGTATCGATTCGTACAAGTGCGACAGTAAATTGGAGTACGATGAGAGCGAGAAAAGCGAGTACCAGTTGAAGAAAACCGGGCCTTTTACTATGATGAACAATTTGAAGCACCACCACAGGGGCCAACTAGATTTCGGTGAGTTTCGAAAGAGATATTGCATTGAGCTTCAAAATGTATCAACAAGCTCCGAAAATTCGTCCTAAATCAGCGACCCGAGCACCGACAATTATTTATTGGACGTAAAAAATGTATGGAAGCAATTAAGATTCCTCTATAAATAATTTTTTTCACACGATTCTCGATAACCTCGGCCGGGCGAGAAGAAAAATATGGAAGCGATTAGAACGGAATTCTTATTAACCGCACGGTCACCGTCGATCATTAGTCAGTCAAACGTTTAATTCGGAATCGAAGGAAGGCGAAGAAACCGAGACGGGCCAAGAAGTACCTACTGATAATCTTCTTCTTCGTCTCGGGGCCTCCGCTACTTAGGCTATTCGGTATGCCTACTGATAATCACAAATGAGCCGGTCAAATTCGAAAGAATAAAAAAAGGTCACATGTCAAATGTCAATGTCAATTTCGAAAATTGAGAAAAAGTGTAGTTGAATAAAAACTGTTCATGTTATCATTTTAAATAAATACTTAGCTGATAAAGGACGGATTTTCGTTCGTAATTTTTCGAAAAAGACCGTACTATCGGTGGCGAGATGCGAGTAAAATCAACCGTGACCCCCGCTTGCTACCTGTGCTCAATATGCCGAATCATTTCTGGTAATGAACGCTTTCAGAGCCCCATTGAATACCGCGTGGATTACCAATCATTCTTTTGATCGACGATGTGACCTTTCTCGCTCCGGCCGGCTCCGTTCAAGAAAATAAACTCAAAAATCTAACAATTTACGCCCATTAGAATGAGCCATTAGAAACGTCAATTGTCATATTCTGCTAATCTACTTAATACTTGGCCTCTTACTTACCAGTAAAACCACCCTTCTAAGAAAACTATGCGCCACAATATCTCCCCTTCTTCACGTCAATTTTTTCATTATCGACCATTCATCATACGTTTCCTGTAACATCTACATTAGAAACTCGTTTGATCGGACTTTTATTCCGAGATGATCATAAATCGTTATAATCAATATAACTATATCTATGTGTATACGCATGTAAGTGAGTGGATTCGATACCGTTGCCGTAATGTAGCAGGAAGTGAAAATGAATTAATAATCCGTCCGGTGGGGCATTTTAATTGATAGGACGAGCTCTCTCGGTTCTGGATTAATTTCTTCTAATTTTTTTTTCATTAATTTATGTCCAGTAGGAGCGATGATATATATACCTACCGTTTGAACGGTTAATGAGTAAAAAATATCTTTATAAACTCATTAATAAAGAAAAGTTAAAAAAAATCAACTCTTTTACGCCATTTTGAAACTCAAATGTCAAGTTAAGTTAACAATGTTGACATTTGAGGTATATGTCAAGGTATGATTAAATTCGCAAAAAAATCTTGTAATCTTTGGTATTTTCTTACGTGCGGTCGTTGTCGGCGTTATTTTCATGTTAATCAATCCATATCACTGTCCCATGTCCAGCTCGTTTCCGTTTCGAGGATTTTCCCACAAAATTATATCGGAAACACGAATTTAAACGCATATTGCACCGACTAATACACTGTCATTTTAAAGAATTATTACCTACCTGCCCATTTCGCTGTGAAATAGTAAACAATGTAACTCTGTCAACAAATATTAATTTATTAAATGAAATTTTGTAAGACTGACATCTCGATTGGCCATGGGCAGGCTTCCTGTCAGATCTAGTAACTTTTTTGGCAACTAGTTAATCGCACGTTATGTCATTTCCATAGCACACTCTGTGATGTCCTAACGAGGAATAAATCGTAATTGTTGCAATGTAAACTCTGTCAAATTTTTGAAATTAAATTTTATAAAACTTACATCTCTGGCAGATCTAGTATTTTTTTTTGGTATAGGTACCGAAATATTCACACGTTATATGTCATTCCCATAGCACACTTTGTGATACATTAACGAGCGATAAATCAAGTGCGTTGGTAATTGTTATTCCGTTAAACAGCACCTAATAAACAAGAGTTACAAAATGCGTTATCCAGCTTAATCTCTTAGAATAAGGTGACATGCCGAAAACACACGAAACTTCGCCTACTTGATAAACATCGCCACGAAATTTGAATAATTCCAGACTCCCAATCTAGTTTGCTGGGCATTAGACGGTATTTATGCCCGTTTGATGCTCGTAAATATTTCGTCGCCGGGAATTTATTAGCCAGAATTTCGGCTAATAAACGTGAACTGAATCCACAATTTCGGTTAATCGACCAAAAAAAAAACCTGAATTATATTATACATTAATTATTCATAAAAATTATGAGCAAATTAAAACTTTCTTGTTAATAATAATTGGCGACACTTGTATGTCAAATGTCAATTTAATTTTATGTAAATTACAACAAGACTACATACAATGAAAATATAATCAGAGTAACATGTAGTTATCCCCACTTAGGTTCCGCAGGAATCCTGCGAGAGTAGTGCAGGTACGCCTTTGTGTGATTATTAAATTGTAGAAGGAAATCGAACAAAAATCGCGGCGGCCGCGGCGGCGACCTCTCAAAACCCGTAGCAGGCCATTGTAGCAGGACAGGTAAAAGCGGTGGGTACCGCAGGAACCACCACCGCGCACTCAAAGGCACCGCCTACTTCTCGGCGCTTGATTTATGCCGCGCAGATGCTCTGGATCGCGCTCTCGACTGCCCATTGTTCGGTGGCAGCCACCTTAGATCACCGTGAAAAAATTAGGAATTTATTAGCTGTGGAAATTAACCGTGCGGCGGGTTTTGTGAATGACGTGAATAATTTGTATTCTCTTCTTCAACTTCTTCTTCTACTTCTTTTTTTTTTCGGTCGAGTGGGCGTCGCAATTAGCTGAGCTAGATTAATTGTTCTGCATTAGGAGATATTAAGTCGTTATTTATTATTTTGTTGTAAAAGTCGGCTGACGTATGGTAATATTTCGATGATGTCCGTTCGAGTTTTTTTTTGTTAAATGATTACAACTTTTGTATACAGTTAGTTGTGGTTCGGTGGGCGCAGGGGAACCAATTTTATTTAACTGTAGCAAAATGGAAGATTTTTTGATGCTACATTAGAAAGCCAGACCAATTTAATTAGATCGTTTAATAAGTTGCATATAGTGCGTTCATACTACTTTAGCGATGACGTCACTATGTGTGATTTTTGGACAAACTTCAAATCAACAAAGAATATAGGAATATAGGAGTATTTTACTTTCTTTATTACATTTCCTGGAGCTCCTTTAATGTTATAGTATTTGTGTTGTTAATTTCTTCCACACACTTATGAGTTGCATATAGTGCGTTCATACTACTTTAGCGATGACGTCACGATGTGTAATTTTTGGACAAACTTTAAACCAACACACAAAAGATGAATATAGGAATTCTTTACTTTCTTTAATTATTTCGTGAAACTCCTTTAAAGTTATCGTATTTGTGTTGTTAATTCTTCCAACACTTATAACTTGCATATAGTGCGTTCATACTTCTTTAGCGATGACGTCACGAAATGTGATTTTTGAACAAACTTCAAACTTTCAAACCAACAAACAAAACAGAAATACAGAAGTACATACTTTACTGTCTTTAATGACATTTCCTGGAGCTGCTTTAATGTTATCCTATTTGTGTTGTTAATTTCTTCCACACATGTTTAATAATTCATACTTAGCGCTTATTAGATTGGTTCATTCCTGCGATAGGTGTACCGGATACAATGCATAAAACAAAACAAAAAAATCAGTAGATAGTGTTCGCGTAGTAACCTTATGGTCGGTCAGCAGTGGTCACTAGACCGGTAACGAAAAGTTATCTTTTCCTCACTTGTTGCTTACTATACACAGGCCAGGAATTAGCCTTTTTTTCATTCAACAACGACGGATTCCTCGCGTCGAATCCATCGATTCCGTTGCGCCGCCGGAAAATCCCTTTTAATTACGCTCGCGGAATTCCAACGAACCCGGTCGATAATCAATCAATGGGAAATCGATCGTTTGCCTTTCGCTGGGTAAAATCCAGTACGCGCCGCTGCGCACACGCACCAATTAGTTAATGCCAGTAATGAAGGAAGGCCTGCCGATAGACGAGCGGACGCGTGCTCGCTCAATTAGGGGCGGTAATTACGAAAAGTGGTAATTATAATTGTAGAATAGAGGCGGGCGCGTGCCGGAACCGTTCCGCTCGACCTGGAAACGGTTGCGGGTCACTCGGATAACATCCGGAATTCTGTTTTTTTTTTTCATTATTACTGTTTCTTTGTCAGAATAATGTACTATATTTAGTACTTATTCACTCGATAGAATGCCTTGTACATTGCTATTACTGTAACACTTGTATATGGGATAGAAAAAAACTAGTTAGAAATATCCTCGGGGCGACAAAAATCCCCGTCGAATCTTGTTCGGATGTCCCGAAGGCGCGAAATCCTTATCGAAAAAAGGAATCCAAACGATCCCCGATTCTCCCGGCTTCTGTGCACCCAAGCAGTAAATAATAACGACCGTAAGAGCAACGCGAAAAAAAACCCCGCATGCACCGCTACTCAATTGATTAAATTCTGAGAGAATTTATTAAGCTATTTCGCTTCTGTCGGCCGGATTTGCAGCGGCTCTATAATTTGCTCTCGTTGTAACGGTCTCGAGTTGTTATAGATTATAGATGATTATTAAGCGGATTTATTTATTCACGTTTTACATTTTTTTTCGCTTAGGTACCTACTTAAGCCTGAAGGGTAGTAAACTGTACGAATTCGATTTGCTAATTATCGTTGAAATTGTCGTTCTGTTTGTGGTGCATCCGAAAGTCTCAATCGGCGTTCGTAATTAGAGTTTCGTATAGGCAAATATAGGAACTTCCTTCTGCCGTAGGTCGTTAGGATGTTCAACGAGCATGAAAGGCATGAGCGAAGGGGCACGCGACGGCCGCTCACCGGAAATCTCTGTATACGAATTACAAAGTACGGGAGGCCAACACCGGAACCGTGCACTATGACTCTTCTATAGGCGTTTTTTTTTTTTTCGTTTACACTCCACTCGCAGGTACTTGAATAAAAGGATTTTTTACAGCGTATACGCGATGATAATAATAACAGTGGTATACAGAATTAGACCGTGTTTGAATCTCCACTAGTTGTAGAAAAAAGGTTTTATTGTACAAAAATTATTTGCCTCCAAATTATATAGTAGAATTGCTGTTAGAAAACTGTAAATTAACCGCATTTCAAGCCAGCTATAAAACCCCTCTGCTCCCCATCATAATTTAGCAATACCTATTTCGAAACATAATTTTTTTTAAATATACCAATCATTCGATTCACCCTGTATGGCGTGTACACGTTTGTTTAACAGTAATACGCCGCAACGCAACGAATCATGGAAAAGGTTGAAGGTGGTTATTTTTTTTCGAAAACATTCCTTTTACACTACAGCCAAGTCTTTATAAATGTGTTTGTTCCTTGAACCCGACCACCTCTGACCCGTTCTTCCATCTTTGACCAGCGGGTCAGAAGTTACAGGGGCGTAGATTAAATAAAACTGGTAAGTGCCGGCGTCAGCGAACCGTTCACAATGTGTTTTTGATTAGCTATTTACGCTATAAAATTCGCTAAAATCTACGTGTTTTTATTCGTTAATTGAACGGTATGACGTCATGTGGGGATTAACGTGAACGTACTATGTAGGGTCATTAGGAGATTCGTGCACGACTTTGATATTTAATGCCGCAATGCGAAAAATGCTCCTCTCGAGACCTCTTCGGTTACCTCTTAACCTCTTGCCGCAACTCCGGCCAATTATTGTTTTCTCGTTGCATCACCGGATCGAAGGAATTATGTTTGCTTACCGTCGAGATCACGAATATCGCTGTACCAACTCGGGTAAGTACAAGTGAAGCCGATTGAAAAAGTGAAATTATCTGGTTTATGCCGTTTTTAACGAAGATAAATAATTTCTACGGGGTGTGTGATTAGAGCGTAACTCGTATATTATTAACGGCGTTAGCCGAAAAAAAGGGTCATTATTTCTGCATTACTTGGAGCAGTAACTCGTATTCCGATAGAGGAAGAGTGTTTTTTTTTCTCGAATAATAATTACGTCGTTATGCGTTGGAATTCCGTTAAAATATTTTTTATTGGCAGAAAATAGATCCAAAAAAACCTAGCATTTCGTATTACAAGCACATTTTCTCGTTTCTTCGTACAGGATGTCCTAAATAAGCAGCACATGCCTTCCGGGCGTGATTATTTCATTAGTCACCTGCTCTCAATTTTCTACTACAATTTCTACAACCCTCGTATTACAAAGTAAATAAAATCCCGCGTGCGCCAATGACGAAAGGCGTTTTTACCGAGAGCAACAAAACGCAGCCGAAACCACGAAATGACGCTAAAATAAAAGTAAAATTCGAGTTTAAGACACGGCACATACGAGGGGAAGGTTATAGGTCTCAACCTGACCCTGACCTATCACCTCCGAACGCCCGCCGTCGTCTCAGCGATGGAGTTAAATGTGTACACAAGCCACTTCACAACGATTTAACTTTGGGATTTTGAAAGACGCGATCGGATAGCTAATTGTCGCTCGAAAATAAAAATATAGTGCTGGTGAAAATACCTCGAATTGGTGAATTTATTGTGAAAAAAATGGACGTTTTGACTAGCATTAAATGCGAACCGGATTGGGATTATTTACTAGCAATCGGTAATAATAGTTTACATACTATTGCATTTTTTCTACAAATTATTAATTACTATTTTTGTTATTTGTTACAGACAAAACGATTACACACAATTATGGTAAGTTTCTACTTCTTTAGCGTTTTCGAGCAATCATTTTTACGAATTAATCACTAAGAATTTCCTCGTATATCTCTCGCTAACTGCAAATAAAAATCATTCCCATTCACGAAGCCTCATACTTAGATACCAACAATGATCCCAACGGTTTTTAAATAGACAACGTTGCATCTCCTCTATATATCTCATCATTTCGACCTGTCGATGTAATAACTATCTTTATTAATATCTACTTCTAATTATCTGTCGAACGGATAAAGTCAGCGTGCATATTTATTTGTTCCTTTTGGAATTTACGCGTCGCTTCTAATTAGGAGAAACGATCGGATAATTCAAAACTTATATATGCACAGATATTAATAGATAAATGAATGGTGTTTGCCAATAAATAAACCGGTATGGGTGCGTATAGTGTTTCCAAAATCAGCTCGATATCGTACAGATATTCAATCAACTTTGGAAAGTCTATACCTTAATGGAATACTCCATTTTATAGGCTGTTGGTTTTTCGCTAAATCCGGAATACCCAGAGGGCCTAAAAAATAGGTAAACCAGCAACAAATAACATGTAGTAAATGCGAGAAACGAACGGTAAAAGCGCACCACGCGATCGCAATAAATCGACGAAATAGAAGCCTTTTATAAGCGGGCGAATAAAAGGCGCTCGTACGCCTAACTATAGGCAGAAAATAGGCAGAGCCCGTTTCGAAGTGAAGTGACCGGTAGGCAGGCTATCGGGCGACTTTTATTTTCCGAACAACACTCGCAGTTTATTTTACACCTCGAAGATATGCCCGCTATCTATCCGCAGCCTCATTAAAACAATCTCCTTTCGATTGGAATTGAATTGGAAAAATGGTAGCTCGCTCGGCCGGAAAATCCAGCGACGGACTGGCCCACGCGAACCATCACCTTCCCAAAAAAAAGCCCGATGGTGTATAATATCCACTCGATTAGTATTACGCCTATTTATTTAATTCCCCGATCATTCATTTTCCGATGGATTTCCTGAACGTTGCGAGTGGGTAGCGTACGCGGTAATTGGAATTCTAAGTGGGATTTTGGGCGAGTCCGCGGCCGATCGGCTAAATAAATAACTTCTTAGTGACCGGCGGTGAAATAGCAGCGTGACCGCGCTAGAAAATGCTCCGCTTCCGGTGACCCCGGCTTCTGCATCATGCTCGTTTCGTCGAGGCTTCATCGCCGTTAAGCGGCCGGCAATTTTATAGTTTTTTTTCCGGTATTTTCCCTCTTCGATATATCGAGCGATTGATAAGCGAATCGAACTGATAACCGGCGATCGAACGGCTTTTAAAAAAACCTTTACGCGTCGCACACACCTGGCGTAACAGTTTAATTTGTTAAATAAACATAATGTCGAGGTTACTGACAGTTCATAGAGCCCAACAGAGAATTCCAAATAACCGCACTACCTTTTATCTGCGATTCGTAATGACTGTAAATATTATTAGAAGCCATCGAAGGCACAAAGAACTCGTTGTTTGTGGTTTCGATTTTCCAACTGGTGGAAAAAAAAATCGTACCTAATCCACGCATGCATTCGTATAATTTAATTTATTTAATGGCGAACGTGAGAGGGAAATTGGAGTCGGGCACCCATATTTTCGATTATAATTTTAATTCGTTTCGAAATATGTTAGTGGAGTAATTAAATCGTACGATTTACGGCTTAATTATCTCCGATATCCGTCCCTTTTTACTGCGACAATACCAGATGATGCACCTTAATTAACATACGTTGATATCTCCATTAATTAAAAATTGAATAAAGAAATTAATTTATGATTAATAAAAAATAAAAACTCATTCGGTATACGGAACAACAATTATTATCATTCGGGCAATAAATTCCGATGTTTTAGTTTAATTTCTATCGTATACCAAGAATTCGTTTTAACGATAATCGAAACTGTTTTATGGAGCTTAATTAGATCGGCTGGTGAACCTGGAGAGCGGTTTCTAACAGTTTTCCCGCAGGTATTAAACTGTCAAAATAACCGATAAAAATATCCAACGGACGCAAACCGAATAGAAATTTGAATATCACCATAAAACCGATGCGTTACAGTTCGACGGTGAGAACTTCAGATCTGTCCCCGGCCCGACGTGAAATCTTAATTACCGCGAGATGTTCGTTGAATAAATTTCGAATTGGATTTAATCGAAGGTTCGCCGAGAGTGCAATAATCGATATGCGGTCGCTCTCATTTTTCGAATTCGACCGGTATACCTGTTAGAACGAAATTTATTCCCGCCGGTGCGCTAATAACGCTCGACGGCCGCGATCGTATCGCCTCAAAATCGAGTTAATGGACTCGGAATGCATTAAAACAATCTAAGGACTAAATCGCGCAGGGCTATTACGTCGCGTTGTAATTGCGAAACGGAACCGTCGAGACGGTTTCGCCGATGCGGCGCTCTTCTTTTTATTTTTTTCGGCGGAAATTCGCACGCCGTAAATACTCGTTCGATCGAACTAGTTTATGGTAATCTCGCGCGGTGCGTGCCTGCACTTGCCGCTCGATGCATTTATGCGGAGGTGATGATTTTGTAAAACGTTCCGAAACGTAATGAGAGTGATTTACGACGTGTCGACCCGGCGCTCGCCATTTTTGCGACGGTTTGCTAAATCGTGCGTTAACAGTTCGCACGATTAAATTAACAATCCGACATGGACATCTTTAAATCTAACAACAAACAGGTCCGTAATCGAAACAAAATTAATGCTGATGATGGATCTGATGTGAAACCGAAACGACTGAGACCAAAAATATAATAACTATCAAACAAGGGTTTTTATTTTTCTTTTTATTTCTCTCAAAACTGCTACAGTTTAACATCCTCTCAATTTTTCCCAAAATCCCCATTCTTATCCCAGATAATTATTGAACGTTTCTTGTAAATCTTATCCAGATCCAGAGTAATTATTAGGAAATATGGTAAGGGTTTCCAATTCTTCCGTTGTTGTAGGCTTAGCCACAGCAAAAATATCCTATTAACATGGGATTTCTCACGGCTACCGAAACAGTATTATGTAAATGGTTTTTATGCGACTTATTATTATAGCCAAAAGGCCTTTTATAATTGATATTTCGTCGTCGTTCGAATTTATTTAATATCGAAAAATTTGAATTTTATATCGAAACCGCAACGTCGAGGTTTCATCGTGCGTATTTCGATGGAATTTACGAGCCGATTTCGATACAATTTTTATTTGAACGTGAGAATAGGCGGAAATCTTTTTTATTGGCCAATTTGAATCCGAGATAGCCGAACTTGGCTCGACCCACCTTCGACCAAATCGGTTTATCTCTATGGAAACAATAAAAGTTTTATTTATAATTAGCCGATAGATAACCTAGTCAGGTTATAGTAACCTATAAAAATGATACATTAAATAATTATATAAAGTTAAATTTCCGTGTGACGTACACTTAAACAGAACCTCTCGTTTATTTAACGTCGAACGACCTCACAACTTATCGATACGAATAAATTCCTGTTATATTCGGACATCATTAGAAAGTAGTTCAACTCGTTATCTCCGCTACTGATTTAAATAAATTAACAAAATAATAAAATCGATTTTAATGCGTTCTCGACGTAAAAATTTCAGGTTAATAAATTATATTAAATAATTCCATGCAATATATTTGTATATAAAATGTTAAAGGCGAATCGAAACGAGCTGATCGTCGGGCGCCATGTTTAATGTTCATCGAAAACTGGAGTATTATAATAAATCAGGAATATTTAATTCCCATTAACATACTAATTGGTTTCGAATGTTAATGGGCATGCGAAAAAATCATCGTAAAAATGATCACAATTAAGTACCTTTATTATAGATTCTTTCCCTGTATATGCCTTTCTTTAATTTAGATACAACCGTTGTTCCACTTGAAATAAACGGTCCATAATCAATCAATAATCGATAATAAATTCGTATGTCGATACACAATCATCGATACGCGTTTATTCGCCAAACGAAATGAATTTTTCCATCGATCTAATCGTTTTTATTCTTGCTCAACGCACCAATCAAGGACGGCCATCTCGCCCGTATAACTAACAAGGCGATTGATCTACTTTCGTCTCGCGACGGCAACAACCCAAAGTCTTTTAAATAAAATGAAAGTCTACCATTTCAGCCATTAGGTACAATAAAATAAGATCGACAAACAGGTGACCTCTTGTACACCTGCTCTCCTTCTTGACAGCCCAACTTGCCGTGAACGTACAGCGCGCAACGTAAGAGGCCTTCTGACCCCTCCGATATCTCCGTATACGAAACGCAATTACCGCGAGGCGTAGAAATATATGAATGGATTTAATTTATAAAATCGTTAATTAATTTAGTGTATAGTAGCGAGTTGTCTGCTTCGTTATACACTCGCTTGATTCGCTCGTTTGTGTATAGTGCAAGTTCTATCATTAACCTAATTTTTTTATATATATATTAAAATACTTTCATTTTAATTATACCTTAATATTTGTTTGCCTTGGACAAGATAAAAATCGACTGTAAATCGATACTCGACGATGCAATTAGTTGCGTTTATTGCGCTATTAAAATTATAATTAAACATCAAATTTTTTGTGTTAATTTTGTATATAGAGTAGCCGCGAAAAGGAGCCCGTCCCTGTCGACGACTGCTCAAGTTTTTTCCCATTTATTTCTCATGAACCTGTTCTCTTAACCAATAAGCTACTGTTATCCATTTCACTCTGCCCCCTTTCATTCACCGCCCGGCGCGGCTCTCGTCGTCTCCCTCTCGCCCGTGGGGCGCTGCGGCGCGCTCGCACATACAGGAGGTCGAATCGTCTCCGTCATGACAGGTAAGGTCATTGAAGCATCTCATTCTCATTAAAAACTTCCATCTCCGTCTTGGCTCACGTACAAAGGTCGAAGAAGTTTTTTTTTTATTTTGTTCCGCCGCGTTCTTCTTTTTCTGCTTCTTCTTTATTCGAACAATCAT